CCCAAAAGACCAACCTCCTCCGGTCTTGAAAGTATTTGCAGCCAGTTGGAATGCCGAAGGCATACCTTTTCAGTTCTGGGAGTTGTTTCGACTTACTGGCTTCATGTCAGAAAGCAGGGAAGCAGAAGCCGTAACCTATCCCGTCCTATACCGTGCAAAACTGTTACTCCGAGAGATTCTGTTCTATGACTTACAACAGCCGGAACCGTCGATACGAACTGAAGTCAACGTAGCGAATGCGCAACTACTCCCCGACGACATGGACTACGACGGTCGAAATCGGCTGATCTACAACTGTATGGCTCAATTCCTGCAGTCCTTCGAGAGTACAACCATGCGGAGGGTGATTACGGAACCGAAGAGCTGGCTAGCTGTCTTCTTCTCGCTTTGTATTTTCAGCATCGTGAGGACTATACTGGCCGACTTGATCTCTACACCGTCACGGATCATCCCTGCCCAGGCGCAGAACGGCTTGCCCATGTCGGGTGGTGCTATTGCTATGCACAGCGTTTACAAGGTGCTGGTCAACATACTTGCGTGGTCGACCCCCATGATCCTCGACAACCCGGCTTTGGATTTGGAAGGGAACGATCGGGCCATGTACGCCACGACCGTGTCGGCTATTCGAAAGGACGACTGGATCGCCTGGGGAGTCCGTTCGACGAAAGAGTTCTTGCTTGGACTGGGAAGCGGATACTTGGTGGACAACGCCGGGTTCAATGGATTTTTCCGGCAACGGACCCCTATTTATCGGCATGTTTCTTACCAGCAACCTACGGCGATTGGTCAAGCTGGCGAGGCACTGAAGCCTGTAGCCGAATGGCAAGCGATACATCCGTGGGCAAACAGGAGTGATCAGGAGATGATGCCAGCGGGATATGGGATGGACCAAGCAAGAAGGCACACAGTAGGCGAAAGCCCTGCTTTCACTCGCGCTATCTCTAGAGGACTGAGCTCACCTACGAAACTCAGAACATCCTACCAACGACCGCCGCTTCGGAGGGTATTCTGTACGAAATGTAACGAGTATCCCGAGGGTTTTCGTGGAGAGCACGAGCTTCGCAGGCACACCGACGCCAAGCACGCTGCTCTGGTGAAGAGATGGGTGTGCAACGAACCGCAGGCCTCGAGCCCCAACTCGCCACAGCCGGTCATACCGCTTTCCAAGTGCAAAGCCTGCGTGACACAGAAACGATACGGTGCATACTACAATGCCGCAGCTCACCTACGCCGAGCGCATTTCCACCCTCACCGCAGCGGGAAGGCCAGCGGTGATTGGCCTCCCATGACCATCTTGAAAGACTGGATGCGAGAGGTACGGCAGTCTATCGACGTCAACGAGAACGATAGCTCGAGTGGCGAAGAGGACAGCGATGTCAGGATGATGGAGGAGTATACCCTCCCAAGACAGCAATCGTTCCTCGAAGCTCCGAGGCTCGCCCCTGCACCGTCTCAGGGGCAGTTGTTGGCCCCATCAATGACGCCGTCTTTGGAAAGTACTGTGCATAGCAGTCCCGTCATACCCAGAGCCGAGGACAATAGGAACCGTTGTCCACACCCCGACTGTGGACGGGTGTTCAAGGACCTTGCGGCGCACATGTTGACGCATCAGGAGGAACGACCTGAGAAGTGCCCTATAGAGACTTGCGAATACCATACAAAGGGGTTCGCTCGGAAGTACGACAAGAACAGACACGCCCTGACACACTACAAGGGGACCATGGTATGCCCCTTCTGTCCTGGGCCTGGCACAGCATACGAGAAGGCCTTCAACCGGGCCGACGTCTTCAAGCGACATCTGACGGCCGTCCACAACGTCGAGCAGACCCCGCCCAACAGCCGGAAGATGATTATCACGGGCAACAGCGCCCGCAACGGAGGCGATGCCAAGTGTTCGATATGTCAGACTCGGTTCGCCACAGCGCAGGAGTTCTACGAGCACCTGGATGACTGCGTGCTGAACGTCATCGTGCCCACGACCCCCAAGACATCGAAGGATCATATCATCTCGACGCCCCAGAACGGCGACGAACCCAGCAGCGCCGTCTTGATGGAAGGCAATGACGACAGGAGCAATTCCGACATCAGGGGCCCCAGCGAGGTCCCGACGGCGGAGACAGGCATTGTCCCCGAACACGCGAGAGGGGTGGACAAAATGGAGTTGGACTCGGACAGGGACTAGGACTAGGACCATGACAAGGGAGTATGGGGGAAATTGGGAGATGGCTTTTTTCTCGGTGTTTATTCGAGGGTGTGAGATATCCGTGTACACATGCTTGACACGACTGCTTTCCGAGGCAGGCCAATATCTATTTCGACGTATCGTTTATATCCCCGAAGAGGCCCAAAGTACTGGGCCCTTCACTGTTTGAATGAAGAAAGATACCATCTCAACTACACTATGTTGCTTGCTTTGCCAACTTACGTCGCCGTGAACATGGGTGTCTGCGCCGAATCTCATCCTTCAGGATTGAGGCTCGCGTGGCTTGCAGGGTGTTGCTACCCTAGGTCATATGTCACGATCCTTCGTGGTCCCGGCTCCTTGGACTAGCTTGTTTCATCTGCCATGTTTCTTGTTCCTTTTGGCAATAGGAGTCGACAATGCTAGGTGCTCGTGACACAGCGTGCAGCAGCAGGAATAGCCATCCTCGTCCTCCTGATATTGATTAGTCCATTGCATGGGATGTGTCCAGAATAGCTCACGCCATGCTTGCTTCGTCCGCAGTACGGTCAGTCTTTGAGCTTAGTAGCAAGGACTCCATCCATCATCGCGTGTTCTCAACCAGATCCTATGATAATTCTTGGTATACTCGAACAACCTTGGACGTACTACGTGTGAGATCGTGTGATTTTCCTAGCCTCACGTGAAGTTCAACCCGTCACTTCGCCGACAGACAATAGCTTCGTCACATACGTATCCGGCTAACCTCATCATGCCTTCCGTCCCTAGAAAGTAGCCCAGGATAGCCCAACGTGCATCACCATTCCTTACACAGCTAGGTAGATATCTCATATCCCCTGCCTGTTGGATTGAGGTACACCTGTCACTGAACCCTCATTAGTCTCCGTACACCACCCGTCTCAGCAAACAACAGTAAATTTATCGAATTACAATAAGCGTACTGGAATAAGTACTAAAAGTGTCGTATCAGACCATCTCTGCTTATTCCTATCTGCTTATTTTAATATTTCTAATTTTTAACGTGTAATCGGGAATCCTCCCAACATGGCGCGTACGGAGACTTATGAGGGCTGAGTGTACCACGGCCCGGGGACGCGACCCATACCGCAGGATTCCACACCAAGCTAGCTAGCTGCCCACCGGCACCAAGATCCCTCCGTGCTTATGACTGTCGCCGTCGTCAGAGGTCCTGGTTGATGTAGTAGACAGGGGCTACGGTGGTACTTGAGGTATGAGGAGTTGGGTGAGCGCAACCCCGTGCTATGATACATATACACCCAAACAAGTAAGGTTACGATAGGTGTCACGAAGATCATATCAACCGGCAAGCTGTGGTATACAAGTCAGATCTTGGTCTCCCTTCCCACCTGCCCGGGTCAGCAGTCACCAACGAACGGGTCGAGATGTCGACTTCGCGACAGCATAGAAGTTAATAAGCAACCAACCCAACCTCTGATAGAGAGCACCTTGCAAGCGCCCCGATTCTCGGCGAACCAGTCTGGTGCACTGTGCACAGGCATAACGCGCTGCACATCTTTAGCCTGAACTGTGCTGACTGGTCACGCGAAATTGCGAGACGCAACAGGGCTATATGTCGCGATCATGCAGCCTGTAAGTTAATATGTATTAGGATCAAGCCGAACCGGACATTCAAGTCGAGAACTACCTATTAATGTGTACATGCGGTTGTTGCCGAGGTTCGTCTCCGCTGTTCGGCGTTGACTGTCAACACATGATGGCACGTTCGCCAGTCAGGGGTTGTTGGTCTTTACCGCCCTTGCCTCGCCGGATAGGGGCGGCGTGTGTGTCTCGTTGGTGGATGGGAGTGGCCGACTCTGGCCCGATCGTGTTGGTGGACATAGTGAATAGATGCAGGTTGGTAGGGCTGAGACTTTCGAAGCAGTCTCGTCCTGCAAGGGGCAATGTCTTCGCATTCAGTTCTGCTTCTCTACGTTTATCTTCACTGCTGTACACCGAGCGTCTGTTTTAGGCGGACATGTACACGTGGCCTCTTACCATTCTGTGTGGGACATGGCATCGAGGTGATTAGATACTGGACCGATGCACCTCGCGTGGATGGCCATGCCGTCCGGCAACACTTGATGGAGCGTTGGTTTAGCGTGAGAATATCGTTCTACCGAACCTGATGAACGCCGTTAGGTATGCCTGGACAGTCGTGAGAGTATACCACAGCATTGGGAGTCGGTCACCCCTTTCTACACCTTTGCAAACAGAAGGGGCAAACGCCAGTCGATACTCGCGTGGCAGCTTCGTGGTGTCTCTTAGAGGGACAGCCGGTTGAATTCCCGAGGGCCACTGCAAGCCGATATGGCGTCGGCTCCTATAGCCATGGATTCATGCAAGCTCTAAAGCGTACTTTTTCGCCATGTGTCGATTTTGTTCTGCAGAAGAGGCATCCAGGCGGACCTTTGACAACCGTCCGAGACCCAGGGGTCGCAGCATGAACCAAAGAACATGCCAGATCCGCTCCCACAGCACGCAACAAAGGTGGTCGCCAGGCTTCTGCGACAGGAGTCAATCATCCAGCGAAGGAGATGGACGTCATTTAAGGCAGCCACCCCCCTCTCAGCACCACCCAAGACGCATCACGTTGCCTTGACAGTGTGGCTCGATCTTTGTGAGCAGCCATCACATTCCCCCTTAGATCCAGCGAGTACCCAGGCAACCATCTACACTTGAAATCAATGAACTACCGGGAAATTGGCCCCTATGTCCGTCTTTCCGTCCATCCACCCAACCCTCGTCAACGCCGACATTTCGATACTAGGTTTCGCTCCAGACTCTCTACCACCTCACCATGGCCAGCTTCAGCAGCATGCCAGCCGAGCTGCGGCTCGCGATCTGGGGCATAGCGCTCCATGCCGAAGCTCAGCGCCGAATCATCATTCTCTAGGGCGGTCACGCCATCGCCTTCAAAAACCTCGCGAGCCCCTTCCTCCGGGTGAACGCAGAAAGCCGACACTGCGCGTTGCGATTCTACAACGTCAAGCTGGGCGTCTGGTTCGTGCAAGCGCCTATACTTGGCCGGAATTTCTTCGAAGTTGACGAGGAGCAAACTTTCGAGAAGGAGCAAGCTTTCGAAAATATCGCCCGCGACCAAGAGACCAAGATCCTGTGCCGAGGCGCCATGTATATCAGCCCGGAGCACGATACGTTTGTCATAGGGGCCGACTGCTACGATTTCCTCAGCTTTGAAGCGCAGGCCAGGGACTTGTGTTCACCCAATTTCACTAATAGCTTGGAATCCGAGGAGAGTACGCGCCACAAGCGGCTGGCTGAACCGCTGTATGCCACATCCGGAGAGCTTGATGCAGTGGCTTGCTGTGCCGCGCGGAGGCTGGCCCTTGTGGAACTGTCTGTGTACAAGTATTCTACTAACATGCACCCAAACTACTATTACTTCAAGGAGGAGGCAGACGATCTCTGGCAAACCGCCACATTCACGTGCGAGAAGCATTACGGACACCTGTGGGTCTGGGCCGGGCGGCAATTGCTGGAAGCCGTCGCGAGGGCCGGTAGCGGAGTGCTTCCCAATCGTTACAACTTCCGAGAATGGGTCTGGAAAGAGACTGCCACCAAAGATCGTTTCGGGGAGCAGTTGACAGTGTTGGTAGATCTCCAGGTCCGACGCCAGTATATGGTGCGGATGAAGGAGAATACGGGCACCGTGCCAATACGCGGATATGATTACCGTTTCAGCTCAGCGAGATACGCTCCGGATGACCTAGAGCTCGAGTTGGACGATTGAACACTGGCGAGGAACAGTCTGGCGTCCCTGCCATGTCCACATATTTTACCACCGCGGCATTGGACCTGCCCCTATTCATCTACTCGTGGGATGTTGCAGCTCGTGCCCAAACCGGCGGGCAGACGACCCATCAGGACACAACTTTCTGCTAGTCAGAAGCAGGTTGAAAGAAATGTATATATCTCTTGACCTGTACCAATCTTGAAATCTCCCAGTAGCCTCGAACTGCTGTGCTTATAGGAGACTCGCTCTCGTGATGTTGAGCCGGGGAACTGTAACTCGCCAGAGTATCATAAAGACTGGCAAGGCATTCGACTCATGGGAGTATCCTAGTACGCTCCTGAATGGTAATAAATAAGCCTTGAATATGGACAAGACCACGAGTTATTGACCTTTCCCACAGTGCCTAGACTTCCCCACAGGCGATCAAGGTTGTAGACTGCAAAGCAAGACACCTCACGCGGCTGAAAAGAACCACAGCCCTATCCAAGAGGACCGGCTGCTGAAATGTACTGATGCTAGTTAGCATTTATGCTGTATGACTGGCGGGAAAGCAAGATGACTGGGCTCATATGAGTTTACAGTAGTTTCGCCTCCGCTAAGATCTCCCACGGCTCCCCTTTCCCAACCTACTCCCCCATTCTGTAACAGCACTTGATTGGGGTGACCCAACGCTTTTCGGCTCTAGACGAGTTACACCACTCACGTGATAGATACATATCGCAACCGCCTCTTAGCAAATGTCCCTCTTTCAATCTTTATGTTCATGGGTCAGGACCTGAGCTCTCATCGTACTTGCCACCATTGGTTTGTTGAGCCATACGCCCATCGCTCTACTCTCTTCGCGAATGGCAATCAAGCCGAATCATAGCGGGCCTTACTTGTACATGATCAATACTAGTTGAAGTCAGTTGACCCTTATGGACCTGTAGCGGTATTCAGCTTTAGTCACCCCCCATAAATCTCCGTCCGGCCCCCCTCGATCAATCGTGGACGCCGATTATGTATTAACATTAATAGAATAAGCACCCTGGAATAAGCAGCGTCATTCCAAAAAGCTATTTCTGATGCTTATTCCAGAGCGCTTATTCTATTATAATACATACACCCCATGCTGCTGAACGAAGGGTGTACGGAGACCTTTGGAGGTTCAGTGTAACACCATGTCCATGGCTTCAAGATCTGTTGTCCACCAGGCATTAGCATCAGCCACTGGCTCGTCGCCTACACAGTGTGCACCTCCTTCCCAGCACTCGTTCTACGTATAGCAGGCAGATTGTGAAGCATCGCATCGCGCAAGACACAACCTTCGCGGATCGACCATATCACCTGGGCTCAGCGAAGATGCCGGGTGCAACGGACTGGAGAACATGCGTCGAGTCCCTGCTTGTCCGACTCCAGGTACTATCGTCACCGCCAGTCCGGCCCTTATGTGCCTACCGGCTGCTCGCCTGATCCACCTCTGCTCGCCTGATTCACCTCCTGCTCCCTGGGCAGTCTCGCTGGATGAGCACTACCCATCTCGCCACCCTACTGAGTAGGCTAAGTCTCCAGGCGGTGTAATCGATGCGCGCCACGCAGCACGATCTCGAATTCCGAATGGTAGCAGGTCTTAGATCGCATCCGACTTCAGAGACTCTACTCTTCCTAAACGGCTTGCACCTTGAGGCTCTGCCTAGGGAGGCGGCGTCCTCGTGTAACGACATATGAGGCGATTGAGCTTGCGCGTCAACGGAAATAGCTCGCATCGGTCTGTTAGTCTAACGTGTGTCCTTGTCATGCTTGCGGTCGGATCATATGGGTGCATGTTCTTTAGAAGGCATGAGGAGCGTATAGCAGAGCGATGAGACACCCGGAGGTTCCTTCGACAGCAAGACATCGACGAAAGGACCTCGTAGAATTGGAGCGCACGTACTTAACCAGGTGAGCATGCAATCAGTTGATGCGCATGTAGATGCTGCACAGGTCTATCAAGGCAGGCATGGGGTAGGTAGTGGCACATGGTGTTGCCGGTCGGTCAGTCGGGGTATTCGAACTAATAAAAGTGGCAGTCGCGGGGACCTTGGACAGGTTCGAACCCTCGTGCTTGCCAAAGTAAGTTTTAATCGGCCGAACACCTAGACCGCATCCGTGCCCCGGGCCCCGGGCCCCGCCCGCGCCGAATTCATGAGATCTAGACATTTGAAAGGCAAACAAAAAAGTATTGAAAATTGGTAGCTTCCTAAGATAGTTGTTAGATGCTAGCATTGAGTGTTGTATGAAGTAATCGCTTACTCTTTGATTGAGCCTGTAGTGAATTAGTATTTGGACGATACTCGGGAATGTAAGGAATGTAAACATACGTGTCATCCTTAGTGCAGGGGCCATGCTAATCTTCTAGAGGGGATGTCAGCAGTTGGACTACACTCGGGCAGCTTGTTATTACCTCTGTATCGTTTCAAATTGACCAAATGCCCGAAGGCGAAAATATCTGTTTTGTTTGGGATCATATACCCATCCGGGCCATAGCTTACCCATCCCTGGCTGAGCCTGGCAACAGGGATAGCTTAGACCGTGGATTAGCCCCGCCAGCTGGACGAGTACTGTCTGCGCCACACCGAAGCAATGGCAGGGAAACAGAAGACCGGGCCAACAGGTACAGCCAAATAATAGGAGAAGGGAAACTCGAGATCTCTCACAGAACACTGACAATGAACCGCAAAGCAACAACCTTCCGAAGGGGATGAGAGAGAGAGAGGGGGGGGGGGCGTAAGCGCTGGACTTGCACAAGGAGGGGTAATGCATCTTTTTATACTGTGTACAGGCTGACAGGCGGACAGGTCGACAGCCCTCAATCTAGCTAGAATGGTCCCCCGGCCCACAAGGGCTGCGGAACCTCCACTAGGCAAGTCTGGGATTCTGTCCCAGTTGATCTGCCTTTGATCTTGGAACTCGACGACGCAGGCTTGACGAACACTGGACTGATATGACAATACATGCTGGGCTTGCGATGCGAATAGGTACCGTCTATCACAGAGGCAACCAAAATCCACACGAGACGGCCGATTTAAAACGGAAGAAAGCGAAGCTTCATCTCTGGCCGTTCATCAGTGCCCCTGAGACAACCAAGATTCTCGCCAATCAGTGACCAGCATGCTTACCTTTCAGGGAGGCAGAAAACACAGGTCACCATCTATCGACATGCCACTCGATCACACCAACTGACTAGACATGTCACGGGCGATACTACTACACTCTTTCAATACTGTTGCTCTGATATCACAGTCAGGCAAGCCAAGCCGAGCATTGGGTCGACATTTCCGCACCGACATCGGTGCAAGCCCAGCCCGTACCCCTCATGCTCGCTTCATCCGTCCATGTTGCCACAAACCTACCGAACTGTGACTGCGCTATTCAATAGAACCTGATCACAGAGTGGCAATACATTACTCACATGACATCGACGCCCTGGCCTTATACACAACCTATCAACTAGCATGAACCACTCTTGAGTCTTGTGCTCTTATTCCAGTGCTTAACCCGTTACTGTAATAAGTAGGCACCAGAGGTGGAATAAGCGTGAGTACACAGGAATAGGCGGTGTATACTGTGATTATGCCATCTGGGAATTGAGCCACGTCAAAATCTCCTATGCCATTGTTCTCTAGTACTACCTACAGAGCAAGATATGGCCAGCTAACGGGCTTCATCTGTTCAATTATGGATATTCGAGCCATGGGCCCGAACATGTTCTTGTAGAGCCCATCGTCGGTTTTCCAATCGAGAGTCGTGACAGTGGGGTGGGTATGTTCAGTGCTTCCAGCTAGCACGAGAGGACATCCATTGCGCCAGGGCACGCATGCCTCTGCGATCCCCATTGCACCGGCATGGTCCAGCACAGTCACCTTCGCTATCCCCTCATTGAATGTCTTCACTGGTTCGTCGCCGCTCCGATGGGTTGTCGAGACAATGATATCTGCAGCAAGAGCTACTGAGGTGAAGATATCTCGCACGAGGTTGTTCGGTGACTTGGGAGCCAGACCCTGGCTCGGTTTACTTCCATTCCTCCATCTTCTCCTCGTGATTGGCCTGTAGTTCAGCCCATGTGATGCATCCTTTGAGACACTGGAAAAGGTCTGCGTACTCGGGGTTCATCATTAGGCTCTGTTGCAGCTTGTGGAGCTCCATGCTATCATTGTCAGTCAGACCGAAGCCTTCGAAGCTGACTATCCTCAGGGCGAATTCGCAGAGAGAAGAAGGGAAGGCCCAGTCTTCCCAGTTCGCCTTGGTGAACTTTGATGCGACCCGCGCCGCATCCGAAGATGCGCCATGCTTTGCTTTGCGGATGAAAGCGGCCAAGTTGGTGTCTTCGTCTGTTGCATGCAGAATAGTTGCCGAAGACGATCTGCCATGTCTTTCATTGTACGAGTCCACCACCATCTTGTTCATCTGGGATACGCGCTGAGCCAGTGTCCGAACTGCAAGGTGTGTGGGAGCACATGCCATGATCTTGTCGAGCTACGGCATCATAAGCAAGATGTTCAAGATCGTAGCGAGAATGTTTGTCTTGCCAGAGTCTGGGGGACCAATGATAGGCAGTATGCTTAGAGGGACGTTCCGGATGATGTATTCGAATGCAGGACGCTTCTCTGCTGCTACCGTTCCGAGAATAATCCTCATGAGATCCGAGTTCTTGCAATCGTCCTTGCAGAAGTTGCCTATCGGAACCAAAGGCTGATCACTGATAACGAGGTTCTTGATAGGTTCCTCCTCTTTGTCAGATGGATACTCATGCTCCGGGTGTACTTGGATCAACGACACCAGGGATCGACCTTGCAGAATCTCTACCTGCAGTCTCTTTCGCAACATATTGTGGGCGTCACTTGGCTCCGTAGTTGCGTGCTGCTTGCGCATTCGGACAATGTTTTCCACTTGAGCGCAATCGCCAAGTGCGCAGGCTGCGTCTGCTCTGCGTCTGCTCTGCGTCGGGCCTAGTTAGAATAAAAACCCCTTTATTAGCGTTATTAAATAAATATTAACCGGTTATAACGAAAATAATAATAACGATAAGCTTAAAACTTTACGAGTCATATAACCCACAATTTAAAGGAGGATTTTCTTGCAGCGTTTTATAAAGCACATAACACTGCCATGACGCCGGAAAACGTCTGAACAGGTTTTAGTGCCACTGGCCTTGTTCTTTTTGACCCATAAAGTGTAATTTTGAAGCTGGATGCTATCACTGTGACGGGCTGCACGGACCTTCCTACATGACAAGCCGATACCTCCCAATAAGAGAAGAATCTGACCAGAAGATCCTCCTAAAGAGACAACCTCCCGCTGTACCTATCTTTCTTCTCTTTCTTTCCTCTCTAGTCTTGATATTCTCGTTAATAGAGTAATAGCTGCTTGCTGCCGGCCATGTCCCAGCTTCTCAGTACGCTTGCTGTGACAATATAAGCTATATAACGTAGATGACAAGCGAGCGGCAATTACAAGCAAACGGCAACTTTTCACCAGCCACCTAACCTTTCAATCAGGCTCTTAATTGATCAACCAATAATAATGGCATTGCGTTATAGCGAATCAGACTTACAGCTTGCTGTCCAAGCTAGGCAACGCAACCCTCATATTACCATTAGCAAGCTTTCTAAGACTTTCCATGTCCCATATAATACCTTGAAGGCTGGAATCGCCGGCCAACCATCACAACGCGATAGCATACCCAATACTTTGAAACTTATGGTTTCTGAAGAGAATGCCATTCTTTCCTTCATTCTTGACTTAGATGCACAAGCATTTCCACCCCGGCATAGTTATGTTGAAGATATGGCAAATCAATTGTTGGCAGCGCATGGAGATGGACGCGTTAGAAAGAACTAGACGCAGAATTTCATTAAACGCACACCAGGCCTCCGGACGCATTTTTATCAGAGGATGGACTACCAGAGGGTCTTAAACAAAGATCCAGACGCGTATTGTGTGTGGTTTTGCCAAGTTGCGGCAGCAATTGCAAACATGGTATCTAAGACGCGGGTATTTATAAATTTGATAAGACTGGGTTTATGATGGGCATTATTGGGTCCAGCATAGTCGTTATAAGTGCCAAAAGATGTGATAGGCCTAGACAAGCTCAATAAGGCAACAGGGAATGGTCTATAACAATTTTTGCTGTCAATGCTGATGGTTGGGTGGTCCCGCCACTCATCATTCTACAGGGCAAAACCCACCTTGCGTCATGGTATCGCGATACAACATTACCACACGATTGGAAGGTGACTGTGTCCAATAACGGTTGGACTACGAACGAGATTGGGTTGGAATGGATTCGGCATTTCGACAAGTATACCAGACCGCGTATGACTGCCAGTAAACGCCTCCTCATCCTAGATGGTCACAAAAGCCACCATTCCCAGATCTTTAAGGATTATTGCCAGAATAATAGCATTATTACCCTTTATATGCCTGTCCATTTGTCACACAGGCGCCAGTCTTTAGATGTCAGTTGTTTTAGACCGCTTAAACAAGCGTACGGTCGCATGATTGAGGATCTCATCCGGCGTCATATAACCCACGTTTCGAAAGAGGACTTCCTTACAGCATTTTGTGAAGCACACAACGCTGCTATGATGCCAGGAAACATTCGAGCAGGTTTTAGTGCCACTGGACTTGTTCTTTTTGACCCAGAAAGTGTCATTTTAAAACTGGATGCTGTTGCTGTCGTACAAACACCGTCGCCAGACCCCAATCTTCCACCCACTACTTGGACTTTAAAGACTCCTATCACCATCAACGAAGCAGTAAACCAGTCGGTTTATATCCAAAATCGAGCCAAAAACTACTAGGAAAGCTCACTTATATCAATAATTGATGCGTTGAGCTCATTTTCAAAGGCTACATACGGTCTTATGCACAAGGTCGCTTTGGTTGATTCCTGGATCCGTGAGCTAGAAGAGGCCAATCACTTACTAAATAAACGCCAGAAAACAAAAAACAAATATCTAATAAAAGGAGGAATATTTTCTGTTAAAGATATAATAGGTCTCCAGGCTATAAAGGATGGTAATGAGCTGGCAAGACAGGAAATATGTGAAGATAGTCGTTGTCTGAAGAGGGCAGCAGCTCGTGAGCGACGTTGTGGCGTTTGCGGCAACACTGGCCATAATGCGTGAACTTGTATAATAGAGATAGAAACGTCTGAAGAAGAAGAATCCAATTGATTAGATTGAATTAAATGCGTTGTGGTTAAGTTATTTGACATGTTGGTTGGAAGGTTGGTGAAAAGTTGCCGTTCGCTTGTAATTGCCGCTCGCTTGTCATCCACGTTATATAATAAACTTTATATAAGACCAATTTCAAAAGCAGGCTTTGAATAGCTTAATAAAAAATAAAACTACATAGACTTTTTTTAGAAATAAATATAATAGCTTTTTTGAAGTATATATAATTAACGCCGTTTAATAAGCTGATAATTAAATGTATAGCTTTTAAGTACATTTTAATATTAACGTTTTATTTTAATATTTATAGCGCTTTCAACGCTATATAACCTTTAACGTAAAGCTTAACGCTCGAGCCATATTAAAAAAATATTATTTAAGAATAAAGGCTTAAATAATTATTAATTATAACGATATACACGACCTCAACACTCAATAATATAATAAAGACAAAGGTAGAAACAAAATAAAAATAAATGACAATATAACGAAATATATAGAAACTTAACTTAATTAAAGTAAACTATATTAAAATTTTATTATAAAATAAAATTCATTGCTTTAACTTTATTTAAGCTTATACGTAAATGTACAACGAATAAAAAGGCTATACCTTTTATAAGTAGTATGGAAAAGATCGGTTCAGTGGTTCAGGTCATCATGTTGCTTACATTCTGGGTGCGGATCTACCCTTGGGTCTTGGGACCTGTTCAGGTACTAAATACATATACCAACTTCAAAGCAATGCCCAGCCTTTGATCCGGAGGGTAAAGATCCCTTGTCCCAGATACACTAAGGCTCAAAGCCCGCTTCCAGGCTGTTCCTTCCTTTCAGTGCTGCTGTCAGCCTTGTCAGCCTTGTCACCCCTAGAAGCGTGCTACAGCACACCTGTGAGCCACCCGACTGCTTACAAGTAGCTTAAAAACATACAAACGATCTTAAGTATTTTATTATAACTGCACATTCTAGCTAGTTAATAAGGTTAAAACGCGTATAATAAAGTAATAAACGAAGTAAATAAACGGCACGTAGCTTTATCGTTTGATCAAAAGTAATAAAAACGTAAGCTTACGTTAAAACAGTATAAAAGCCTTATATAGCGTTTTCCAAACGTAAAAAATAAGTTAAAATAAATTTAAAAATAATACGAAAATAAAATTATATATATATATAAGGTGGCAAAGTAAAAGTTTTAACAATTATAGGTTGTTAATTAAATGATTTAAAACGTAAAGTATATTATAATATAAATAAAAGTTAAAAGGTATAAGCGCGTAGTTTTATGTTATAATAAAAGGCTATTATGTATTATAAAGTTATTATATAATAATGAGATTTTTTACCGTATTAAAAGCATTTATAATAGTATTTAAAGAGTTTAAAACATTCTAAACGTAACCGATTAATATGTTACATTATGGTGTATTTTCAAAAGTATTTAAGCTATCAAGTTAATATAAACGTAATTTAAATTATACAATAGTTAAAAATTAATATATAAATTAAAACAAGTTCAGTTATTTATATAACTAGTTAGAAGCTAAGCAGTTAAAAACTAATAATATCACGGTTTTTAAACAAGGCATATATATGTATATATATATATAAATTTAGTATTAATGCTAAATTCAAAGCTTCCGCGCTAATTAAATCGCTGCTATATAAAAAAAAAGTTAAAGGCTAGCTAGCTAGGAAATAACCAGCTAGTTAAAAAACAATTAGCTAGTTAAAAAGTAACTAATTAGTTAAAAGTCAAAAGCTAGCTAAGAAATAACTAGTTAAGTAAAAAACAGCTAACTAGTTAAAAGCCGGGCATTTTAATTATATAAAGCTTGATATAAAAACGAGATTAACAGCCTTACTCTAATTAAATCGATATTGTATATAAAAGAAACTAAAGGCTAATTAACTAGCTAGCTATCTTGTTAAAAGATAACTAGCTATTTAAAAAACCGCTAGCTAGTTAAAAGTCGAGTATTTTAACTATATAAAGCCTAATGTCGAAACGGGATTAATAGCCTCCGTATTAATTAAATCGCAGGATTTTAAGCAGGGTAAAACGGTTAATACAAAGAGTTAAAAATAAACGATAAGTCTTTTATTCGTTTTTCGTTTTAAAGCTTATCTTATAAATTTATTATTATTGAATTTGTTACTATTAAATCTATTACTATTAACAGGTTTAACGTTGCTATTAGCCTTATAAATATAAGAATTTAAAGTTATTTAGCGTTTTTACATAAAACCCAATGATAATAGTTATTTATTTTAAGCATCGGTTTAATTAAACGTAACCGATAATTATTTAATTAACGCATTTGTTTTTAGCCATAGTAATTTCAAATTATATACTATATTTACACGAAACACAATCAAAGTAGGTATGTATATTAAAAAGCTGCCTGGTTAATTAATGACGATTAATGTATTTAGTTAAAAAGGATATAATAATTTAAAATTAAGTAGCATGTTTATATAAAACCTAATCGTAGTGGGTATCCAGCTTGGTAAATAGGCTGTTAATAGCTGTTATAAGTAGCTGTTATAAGTCGCTGCTATAATTAGCTAGTAGGTGGCTAGCAGGTAGTTAACTAATGTAAGGTGTAAATAAGAAATTTTGGTAAGGTATAAAAAAGAAGACTTTATATAATACTATACCTAGGTATACAATGTAAAAAAGCCATCGATGTAAGGAAGGTTATGCCTTAGGCACTTACTTTCATAGGTTTCCAGGTACACATTATAAATGGAATAAGTACGCTAGAATAAGCATTGCAGGTGACTTTATAAGTACAATCTGCTCATTTCAAAGTGCTTATTCCATGGATATTCATATTCTTGTTACCCGATGTCCGAAAATTGAATGCGGCACGCCGGACGGGCACTTATAGGGGTGAACATGCAGTCGGCATTCAGGGCCAAAAATATTTCGACCATATTCTGAGGTAGTGCCTGGAAATCTCAGTCATGATTCCGCAAACAAGCCTGACTCATGATAACAACAGTGCAGTGCCTAACCGGGCTACGTACCAGAGGCATCAACTACATGCAGTGCTGCCAACCTTCATGTTGGCCATCGAATGGGCGTTGATATCAGCAACAATAGGGGTCTTCGGTTTGTCACGCCTCCGTGGTGCCTTTCAGCTTCTCTCCATCCAGTTGGCACATCAAGAATGGCATGCCAGTCTCGCCCAAGCTACCCCTCTGCAATGGCCGTGATGGGTTTTCCATCTCGTGCGGGAGGTCTCTCTACAGCGCTCGGTCAGTCACCTTTTGACAACTATCTCCCACCACGTCCCAGCCGCCAGAAGCTTCTCCTGCTCTTCCGAGGAATCCGACGAACAGTCGTGGAGACATTCAGCCCACTCAAACATTTCATGGGTGCTTGTACTATGGTTCTGCCCAAGGCACCACAGCCCCGCCACGCAAAACACACAATCAACCACTTGCTGATGCAAGCCCTAACCACTTGATCACACTGACCCGTCGCCCGTCGAGTCATCTTCCGAATATTTAAACAGCTTAGCACCTTTGAAAATTCGTCGCTTCCTTCCATCCCTCATTCATCCCAACTTCCTTTCTTTTCCTTCACAATCGTTCAATATACTTGCCACTATATATTCAACCCACCTCGCTACCTATGGACGCCACATCGTCCTACAACCAACCACCGTGGCTCACCTCATGCAAAACGCCCTGCCGGGGAGACGGTCAACTGGAACGAGAAGAAACCCATAATAAAGCCCAAAAATAACATTTCCTACCCGGACCCGAACGACTTCGAAGCATGCAGGGCCTATGGAGACACTGAAGGAGGGTTCGGGGTGATGCCGGCGGTAATCGACACCCTCCTCAGGCAGACTGGGCTCGACTGGCTGACCCAGCCGAGCGACTTTGGAGCCACCCCCCGTGCCGTCCTCGGTACCGGTACCGGCATCATCAGCCCCCCGGTTTGCAAGCCGATCCAGTTCACGTTCCATTGCGGATTCAGTGAGGAAGAACTTGTCACCTCCTTCGTACTCGCCAAGAAGATGTAAGTTATAGTTATCCCCCATCCAATCCCATCATCTCGTCCCACTCGGTGACCAAGGCGGTCACGAGATCGTGGTTTCACGTCTACCCGAACGTATTCGGTGCCTACGAGATCCCCGGTGCCGTCCCTGGTGTTGTCCCCGTGTCGTCCCCGGCGCCACCCTCTCCTCCCCACAACCACGAACCACAGATCACTGACGAAGCCCAGAACCAGATCTACTGGGACGTTGGCCTTGTCTCGTCTTGCAAACCCAGCGGAGAATGGTGGTGCGAGGGTTTGACTTAGCTAGAGCATTGTTTTACGCTGACGTCGTCGGCTTTTAGTACGACAGTTCCCTTTGCGCCTTGAAACACCACCCACTAGCCATCAAACTCGAGAGATGGCTCATCAAGTCCCACCAGGCCATATTCTGCGATGACTCCCCGGATCGCCGCATCCTTCCAGCCTTTTTCCACTGCGAGGGATCCGAGTGTCTCATTGACAGCTCTGGCACGCCAGCAACCCGCAGCAAGCCCAGCAAGCCGGGAAAGTCATCCTTGCAGCTATGGAAGAGGGCATTGCGGTTGCCAGCGATTTCATTATCATTGTACCGTACACTGAATTGAAGAACTGGGTCGAGACATCGTGGAAGACTGACACAAAGCTTTCAACCATCCGAGTCACCACTAGTCCTGCCACTGCCCCAGTTCTCGCCCCTGTAAGTCCCTCTCTTCGCTCTAGATACTGGATGATACTAACTACCCCTTAGGTTTCTGTCACCGCCACCCTCACCGCTCTGCCACTCCCTCCTGCTCCTGTCGTCGCCGCTGCTCTGCCCGTCGTCCCGGCCGTTGTCGCCGCTCCCGCTCCCGCTCCCGCTCCCGGTTCCGTTCCCGCCGGCGCCCTGTGCCCCTTCCCGGGCTACGGCCAGTGCCTCGCAGGCAATCTGCAGCGCCACCGCATCCAGCACTTGCGCCAGGGCGGCTACCTCGGCTGCACCCAAACGTTCGCCGACTCGGCTGAGCTGGGCGAGCACCTCATCCGGACTCACACCTCGGGCACCACGCCATACGTATGCACTTTCCCCGGCGGCGGCCATACTGCCGGTGTGGCACCTTCACCGAGAAGGGGACCGACTCTTTCCAGGGCCATGAAGGAAGTATTGCAGTCTTCATCATGACTCGGACATATGAAGTTAAATGTGGGTTCGTTGCGAGCCCACAGCGGCTTCGCGTGGGATTCACAAGACACCGAGACGCCCTTTGGGTGTTTGGAGATATCGACCTAGCTGGCGACATTACCCGGCAATTACCGAAACAAAAGATGAGGAGGGTCCTTGATGACGATGGTCGCGAGATCAGGGTGCCAACTCTTGCACTCCGTGAGGCTCTGGAGTGGTCTTGTGCGATCTTGCAGCTCTCGCCCACAAAGGCTCACGATGTTCTGATGATCAACCAAGACAAGGCTTCCGGCTACCATCTGAACATCGCCATGGGACAATCGCGAATTTTCGGACACCGCGAGGCCTTCCCTGAGATGGTCTGCAAGGTCCTGTTGTACAAACACACCACACAGGATTCCAACAGCCAGAAGCAATACGCGAACAGCAACTATACGACAGCTCGCAACGCCCTCGAGGAATTTTAGAACCTCACCACAGATTCGACAACAGATCCGGACGAGTTGGGAGACATTCTCATGGACAACTTCCGCGACCATCTGGAGAAGCCTACTCCCGCCGATGAGAGTGTCACACAGCACGGAGAAGTCGACATGATGGTCACTCCGGATGAGGAACGCAGTCACCACGATGACTCCGATCATGATGATCAGGAAGCGGACGAAGCTTCCGATGAGGACGCTGGTCATTTCGGCGGATGAGCATGGAAGGACAGGATGCAAGGAATGGAGACACGGGAATGAACCCCAGAAAATTGGTGTATTATACTATCGCGAGGACGCGATAATTGTCAGGAGGACCGGTGGTTATGTGTCTTGGCAGTTGGGAGGATTGGCAGCCGAAAGTACTGAAAATCAACCACCTGGATTGGTTTGCATTCCGTTAGACATAGTTGACTTGATCAATATGGTTGCTTGATTCACCAATCACACCTCTCATGCAAGAAGTCGATTGACTTGCAAGACATGAGCACTAACATGGGCACTGACAGCAGAAGCGACACCGGCACCGACGTGGGTACCGTCACCCCTTATAAGTTCCTTCCGTATTAATGGAATAAGCACCCTAGAATAAGCAGGTTGAATCTAGTCAACCATGTTTGATGCTTATTCCAGTTATAAAGACACCATTTGCTTGATGTGAGAGGGGTGTACGGAGACCAGTAAAGTGTAATCCGCGTCGGGTCTCTCCCCGAGGTTATACGATGCGGGGAGTAGAAAACTCCACACCTCATTCAGGTATATGGCGCCGCCGATGACGCGGGGCACTCACTTCCTTATGCTGTCCTAAGAAACCAAGTGAATAGTCTATGGATATAGGACGAATATATTTGCCTTGCTATTTACTGCAAGCTTGAATATGGATCACCACGTGGGGACTCCCTTTTCCGAGACCGGATTCCACTATGGCCCAGAGACACCCGGCCTCGAGCTGGGCACCAACGGAATGCCCTCGGGCGTGGCCTCGCCCGACCCCCTACTAGGTCCCTCGCGGCCACAGACGCCCATCAACCGCAAGGCGCTCGCGAAAGCCCTCAGCCGGACTCGCAGGGAGACCCAGGACATCACGGACCGCGACCGGACCCATGATGGGCACCGTGACGACGTCCTGCCCGAGCCCATGCTCGAGCTGGTCGCCATACGCAGCAGAAGCCACCGCCCCGACAGCCCCTCGCGCATCGGCCTGTCGGACGAGCTGGGCAGTCCCACGTCGCCCGTGTCGCAGGGCGTGCCCCCACAGTTCACAGGTCTCGGCGCCGAGATCGTCTTCGTGCTCGTGTGCACGGCGGGGCAGATCATCTTCTCGTTGACCCTGGGCCACGTGCAAGTGCCCCAGATAGCTCTGACGGCCGCGCTGGGCATCTCGGCGACGCAGACGCCGTGGCTGATCGGGTCGTCGCTGCTGGCGGGCGGCCTCTCCGTCATCATCGCCGGCTCGCTGGCCGACCTCGCGGCGCCCAAGCCCATGATGGTCGGCGCCTTCCTCTGGGGCGTGGCCTGGAACGCCGTCGCGGCCGGCGCCATCAGTCCCAAGCTCAAGGTCCTGTTCTTCGTCGCGCGCGCCATGCAGGGCCTGTCGGTCGGCGTGCTCGTCTCGGCCTCCATGAGTATCGTCGGACACGTCTACAACCCCGGCATGCGCAAGACGCGCGTGTTCTCCCTGATGGCCGCCGGGGCCCCGTTCGGCTTCTGGGTCAGATGCTTCCAGGGGGGCGTCCTGAGCGCGCATCTGCGGTGGATTTTCGGCAGCTCGGCCATGTTTCTGACGCTGTGTGCATTGGCGGCGCAGCTCACGCTTCCGTCTCTGAGCCCGGCCAAGGATAGCGTCAGTGGTGATGCGCCCTCGTTGCGGCACTTCGACTACCTTGGGGCTACTGCCGTGTCCCTGGGCTGCGCTCTGCTCCTCTTTGGCCTGACGCAGGGATCGTCGGCTCATTGGAGTCCGTATACCTACTCTCTCATCATCGTGGGCTTCCTCATGTTCGTTGTGTTCGCTCTCATCGAGCAACGAGTCGCACGTCCCTTGATTCCGAATGGGCTCTGGAAGACCCCCGGTTTTGTGCCGTTGTTGGTGGCATATTTTCTTGGGTTTGGAGGATACAGTGAGTACTCTGCCGTCTTACAGTATAATTTTCGGATGAAGATAGTCTGCTGATCCATATTCTTAATCAGGCGGCGGATGGCAATTCTATGCTGTTCAGTTCTGGCAAAGATACCAAGGGGCGTCACCACTGACTGTCTCGTTCTACATCTTACCCAACGCCATCGTTGGCGTGCTGGCGGCCTGGATAGTCTCCAAGACGCTCCACATCTTTCCCGGTCATTGGATCTTCACTGCAAGCATGGTGTGTTTCGCCATGGGACCCGTCTTCTTCCTCCCCCAGACGCCGTCGACCTCGTACTGGGCACTGTCCATGCCGAGGGTGGCCCTCGCGACTTTCGGCCCCGACCTGAGCTTTGCGGCCGCCGCCATATTCATCACATCCAGTGTGCCGAGGTCGTATCAGGGATCCGCCGGTGCCCTGTTGGTCACGGTCCAGAACCTGGCGTCGGCCATCATGACGTCCGTATCGGACTCGCTTGGCGCGAAGGTTGACCAGCTACCGGTACACTAACCCCACACAAGTCTCCGTACGTCTCCAATACCTTCCAAATGTGAACCGGGAAGATTTGAGCCGAGTAGATGTGAGCGGTCGCAATGGCGATGTCTTTCTTTCGTGTCTTGGCGTACAAGTCGAGCAGGTGGAAGATGATCATGTCTCGAGCAATCACGGCTGCTTTACAGTCAACCAGTGTAAAGTGATGATGTTTTGGGCCGCTGGCGCTGTGCTCCCGCGCCTGCATGTACACTGAACCCTCATGAGTCTCCGTATACGACCCTTCCAGCAAACCATGAGAAATTTACCAAATCGGAATAAGCATACCGGAATAAGAAGTTAGATCTTTATTGGCCATGCTTGACGCTTATTCCAAGGTGCTTATTCTAGTATTTTAACTATCCCACTGGTGATCTAGAGTCTTGCTAACATGCGCGTACGGAGACTTATGAGGGCTGAGTGTACCAGTGCACACCAGTATTCGCTGGAAGAGATTCCGAGCATCACCAACGCCGCAATACATCAAGGAGACCTTCTCATCAGGTTTTGGGCCGAAAGCGTACTCGAACTCCTCCCGAACTCCGTCATGACCAACAGCGAAATACTCGGCCTTAGGTTGCATGGGAGGCATGAAGCGCGGCAGGGCAAGAATGTGCGACTTTGCATCACCCTTACCATCACCATGACCCGCTCTAGTGTAGTGCCTCTGGCTCAGCTTGAGTGAGGACAATTCGGCTTCTCCGTCATGCTGCAAGGAGATCCTGGCCGCCCATTGTCGGGCACTGCCGGCATCCTTCAGGTGGCTGTACGCCCTCGTCAACCGGCGGAAGGCTTTCTGTCTCTTTTGGTCGTCGTCTGGCTCTTCTCTGATGAGCTCGAGGGCCTTCAGGGAGGCCTGGATGCATGATTGGTAGTCACCAGTCTCAAAGTGAGCTGCACCCAGATTTGACACGGGTGTGGGATAACTCCTTTCTCTTGAGATGTTCATTGCCCATGAGTCACGCTTTCGATGACAGTGCAGCTGGTCTGTCGCCATGATTCCCTGTCCAGGTCCCGATTGAAGAACTGGAAGTCACCAAGCGTCGATTGCCTGCCCCCTGATAATAGTGTTTTCGCCTGGCCCGATTGTTGGTAAGCCTCGCATGGTGCATAGCCTCGATAAAAGGGCAATTGTTCATTACTGGGACCGCATTCCCTTAAACATACGAGATTTGGGACCACAGATCTGCATAACCAAAACCGTCAATTGTTCAATGAGATTCGAAACACTCCGAAGTCATTGACATTGACACGTGATTCAATCAACAGTCACGACCATTTGTCCATCCTACATGTAGACTTATATTATCAATTAATGGTTGGTTATCCTGTCTATACCGATCTAGTCTGCCCCACTGGAGAACCTCTGGTCTATTCCATTATCTCTCCCACACCCCAACCCGCCAGCCCGCATCCCACACTGCCAAAACTCCGATCCGGACTCCGGGCCACGCCCAGCTTCCTACTCCGCCCTCGCGGTCTCTTCGCTGGCGGACATCACAACAGGTCCCGTCTGAGCGCTGAGCGGGCCATCCAACTCGCACGTCAACGGCGCGGTCTTGCCCATCTGCAGACAGCTCAGGTACGCGTTCGGGTCGCTGGTCTGGCCAGGGTTCATAGTAAGATAGTGCGAGGCATCCAGGCCGGCGCTGAACGGGTTCTGGAGTTAGCACGTCTTTTCTAGTGTCGGGGCCAGGCGAGGTATGGCTCACCCTTCAAGCGTCGTCTGCTTGTAAAACTCGACGAGGTAGTCCGCCGTGCTGGTCCATCCGTCCGCCGGCAGCCGCCACGTCATAGTGTCATCGGCGCAAGCGGTCCAGTCTGTAGGTCCGGGGGCGATGCTAGCCGGCCAGTCGTAGCTGCAGGTCGTGCTTTGAGCCGCGCCAGTGGCGTCCTCGTATGCGAGCGAAACGCTGATGTGGGAGTCGATCGGGCCCGAGCCGTAGGGGCCTCCCTCTGGGACTGTGGCGGAGAGCAAGGTGATGTTGAACACTTGGGTGTCTCGTTGCTCGAGAGGGAGGGCAAGAGCGAGAGGGATGAGGGTGAAGAGAGAAGTAAGAGTGGTGGGAGTATACATCTTGGCTGGGCGATAGCAGATGCGTTCTATGATGCTGAGTAGTCGGTACTGAAGACGGGAAGTCCAATTGATGCAGAGGCCGGAAGAAGTGGTGTGCTTGAGAAGATGCGATCGTGTTGCAAGCGAAGGTATGATCGGGATACCTTTATACCATCGATAGCTCTTGCTTACCTAGGTACCTAAGGTAGCTAGCTACCCTGGCTATCCTGTCGCAACAAAGGGCTCACGTCACACGAGAACGGTGAGTCGGTGACAGCGATCCAACATGCCATCCCGGCAACCCCCGGCGGACCCCCGGCAAGCCCGTAATCATCAATCCCAGCCGGTGAAGGGTCTCGACCGCCAATACCCGTTCCGCGGCGACAGGCATATGCATCCGGACCTAATAGCGCCATGCGGCTCAACTAAGCCTCACCAACAAAAATCTCCGAATGGGGCAGGCCGCGGTGGAATTGCTCGTGGACTACCGAGTACGAGATGGCTCGTGTTACCGGTGACGGCTCCCTTGTTCGCTATCCGTCCCAACGTTACATGAACCTTTAGCCTCTGCTCTGCCTCGGGAACATGCGTCATGAACTTTGAAGTAACCATGGCGTCCAGCTGTGATTCCCGGAATTTTTTCACTGACGATCTGACGCACGACGACAGTGGTGAATCTGCAAGCACCCGTGCTCCCATGCTGGGATTCGATATTGCCAGCGAATCACGGCGCGATAAGGCCTGAACTCGGAATACGGACCGAACGGTTGTCATGGGAAAGAAATTCGTTCGTGCAGCCACGTTTCTCGAAGGGCCGACTGGAGGATATATCTAGAAGAACCAACTATTCGCCTGCAGCAGGGTTGCAAAATACGATACTTAGTATCGTATTTAGGTCATACGATACGATACGAACCCGTACTATCGTATACTATTTATATACAATAGCATTAAACAGGGGTCTAAAAGTCGGACTTTTTAATATAACTTATATGTTTTTAAAAAGAGAAATAATAATAATTAAAGACGTTTTTAAGAGTTTTTTAATACTATTATTATTTTTGTAACGGCCTGCACGGACCTTCCCACATGGCAAGCCAATACTTCCCAATAAGGGAAGGATCTGACCAGAGGATCCCCTTAAAGGGGCAAAGTCCCGCTGTACCTATCTCTCTCTCTTCCTTTCCTCTCTAGTCTTGATATTCTCGTCAATAGAGTAATAGCTGCTTGCTGCAGGCCATGTCCCAGCTCCCCAGTATGCTCGCCGTGACAATACTATATAATATTGAAATCTCATACGATACGATACGATATGATACGATACGATACTAAGTACGAATACGATTCGTATTTTTTGCAACCCTGGCCTGCAGTGCCCAAGTCGGCCGAATGCTCGCCAGGCAGGGACCATTTCACCTGAATGGTATCTCACGTGTAGGACTTCTACTGCACTCATGGCTACTACTTCTCATGCGCAAGATACGGAGCGAGTCCCTAGTACGAGTGAAGCTTCTGGTCATCGTCGTCTTTTTGGAGTTGAACAACCCGTTTTGATGCCCTTCAGTTCGCCTCCTGTCAGCAAAATCTGCTATACAGCACTCCAAGACACTCCATGTGTCTGGAATAGCGAACATTACGAATAAGTGCAAGAAGACTCATCATCTGGCCTGTTTTTATCCTGGTATACGCCAGCTGTTTGCTTTACCGATCATGCGGAAACCCTGCTAGTCCAGCATGCCCTCGCCCTCCAAGATCGAAATATACTCATCTACCATGCATCAGCTTCTGCAGGGCCTCTTCACACGGATGATGAACTTACCGGCAACGCCCATTGCCCTCAAGGCTTCGATGAGATCCCTGATGGGCCCCAGGATATCTTCCTTGCCACTTACTTTCCAGCCAGCCGCGTACAGGCAGTCGCCCACGAACGGCCTGATGACACTCGTCGAAGCATTCGGACCACGATCTTCCCGAACTCATGTGCCCAGCCACAAATATGAAAGATCCCTTCCAGCGCGATCCCCTGCATCAAGCTGCTCCTCAGACTCGACGCCGGCCGGATTGCCCTTGTCCGCGCACAAGCCCCATCGCAGTGCAGAACTGCATTTCGCTTCTTCCCATCACCGAACCCCTGCGCCGATCGCACCGCGGAAGCTCCCCACGATGTAACCTCACACCACTCTCACATCAGCCGCGCATCTCATCTCCTGTAGGCTTCATATGTCTGCTGATCGGGTTTCTGGCTGTAGGCTTGCTAGTTGCTGGCGGAGGCGGATCTTGGAGACTGCATGGCTGATTCTCAGTCGAACAGGAGGGGTGGAGAATGTTGAAAATGTTTCAGTGTCGCGCCGCGAACCGAGACGCATTGTCACGTGTCAGCTCGGCAAACTCCTTCGGAAAGTTGTGAACACGGCCCGGGACCGCTTCCTCCGGCTCGCGAAGATGTAAAAGCCCAGAAAGAAAAGCTTGGGAAACGCGTTTTGCGCCGTTACCGAAGCCAACCGAGGGCTATCGTTCCGTCGGCCACCCTGCTGTCGAGTCTCGCCGGATCACACGCAGGAGTCACATTCGCAGATCCGTCGTCCGTCTCCATGTCGATTGTGTACACGATTATTGCGGCCATTCGCGGCTGCACTTGCGTTTCATCTTCCGACAGGCCGCGCAACTGAAGCGCGCAACGTTGCTTGCATCGGTCTGCCATGCTGCCGCCGATCTCCCGGTCTAGAGGCATCGTTTAGTACCTTGCCTCTGATCGAAGCGACAGATACGGTGCTAGCGCCAACCAAACCTCGACGAACGCTGTCGTGAGTACGCGATTAGGGCCGACAACGCCATTGGACGGTTCTTACCGAGTCGTGGACGGACGCGGAGCTGAGTCGGACCCTCCGCGGGCGTATAGACGCAATTCTACTACATTTGAGGCGACAGCATGCCGTTCAGCATCATCAAGATTCTGAGGCGTCCACTGCTTCCCGCACTATCATCCTGCTGAGCTCCCTGGCTGGTCACTAACAGGATTCAGAGACGTGGAGAACTAGACTGCAGCTATTGTACCAGCCCCTTTCCTGAAAGCTACGACGGCGGTCATGGAGTGTCTTGGCATTCTGGCCCAGCAGGAGAAGGGTGCTTGATCCTCGCCGTAGGCAGTTGCGAGTCCGAACCTCGCTACTTCTGGCGCATACGTCGTCCGTACGCCAAGGTTGGGACTCCAAGTGCTTTGGCTACCGCGGAGCTGGCTTCGCAGGTTCATTGTTGTGGTGTTGGACGGAAGCGGGGTTTGAGAAGAGAGGCCTTCCCTAGGAAATAGGAATTTCGGACAAGCACAGCTAGGTAGATGCATTCGCATGGCTTTGGTTAATTACGTAGGTAGGTTGATGTGATTCCATCCTTCTGGGATAGTTATGACATCAAAGTTGGGATCAGATAAGATCGTGCCACGCAAGTCGATGAAGCCCAAGGGCTGCCGAAATACCCGAGAGATCCTGTGGGCGGAGTATGATATCATGTTGCGACTGCTCAGTCAGATGTTCTAGACCTGCGATGACGCTTTCAAGTCAGAAAGGGCCGCGCACATGTTCCCGAATACGCGAGCAAGAAGACGGTACCTACATGTGAACTACACTGAACTGCCAAAAGTCTCCGTACACCCCTATTTCAGCAAGCGACGGGTTTATCTACTATAAATGGTACAAGCACTCTGGAATAAGCACTCGAGATGGCTTTTTATATAAAAGCTGCTTATTCCGGTGTGTTTATTCCATTAATGCGAATGGCGTTAATAATCAAGACTTGATAGAGGCCTCCCGGACGGAGACTTATGGAGGGTGATTGTATTCGGGACAGCGACTGGCTTGCTGAGCGTCAATGTCACTCACTCAGCATCAAGCTCGTGATTTGAAAAGCAATGATGATCAATCCGCATGAAGAAAGGAAAAAACAGGCGCGAATCGACGTGACGAAAGTTCACGATTCATGCTTGTGGAAATAATCATATATCTTGATAGATGGGTTGGGTATTTCAGAACGCAACATCCAAGTTGAGTCATGAAGTTCCTGACCTGGCTAACATCTCGGACAACTCGCTCGCTTCCCGTGAAACCAAAACGCCATCGCGACCCCATGCTCATAGACGCCGGCCGTATGCGCAAATGAAAAACCAATGATAACTCCGTTTCGATGCGTATGCGTGTCGTAAGTGTTGTCTCGTAACCATGTTCATGTAAGTCTGTCGTCCATATCCACCTTCCGATGACCGAGCGCTCAATAGCTGCCCTTCTTGAGCATAACATCCGAACTCGTCCGCGACGCACGCGGCGACGCACGCGGCGACGTTATCGGCGACGCCACCGGCGAGATCAAAGGGGAAGACCAGCTGGACTCGACCGAGTCCCTCATCTTAGGCCAGGCCTTCTCCCTCTCGAACATAACATCAGAAATCGTCCTCGACGCCCGCGGCGACGTTGTCGGCAACGGCACCGGCGAAATCATAGGTTGAGACCAGGAGTCCCTCGCCATTGGCCAGCTCTTCTCGCTCTGCGGTGTCTTCCAGCTATCCGGAGTGACGTGGGGTGCGACCCGTGTCCACCGGAGGGCGAGGAAGAGGATCACGCCGAGAAATACGATCACGCCGACGACGCTGCACACGGCGGCGATGACGAGTTCCGTTGTGAAGCCAGACGTTTCTGTATTTATGCCGTCCATGATGACGCGTCGTGTGTGGTGACTTGGAGGTGTTGATTAGATGATTGTATTAATGTAGAGGAGGTAGTCAACGAGGGTAAGCCTGGGTCTCGGTTCTGGAAAGCGTCCAGACTACCGAAGTAGCGACTAACACAAGCGAGGGTGCTGGTTCGGTTGGATGTGTCTGTGGGCGGTGTGGCACAACACCACGAGAATACTGGTCCCCATGAGCGCAACTTATAGTGCTTCTCTCCTGTCTCCTTCCAGTACGTCATGTTGGGTGATCTGGGGACGACGCGGCGATGCGACGATGACAGTGCCGCATCCCGATGATGCGGTCCAACCATCCCCATGGACCCTTGGACTGTCTGTCATAGACTGTTAGTCGCAGAGGTGGTGCAGAGGTTAGCCCCTTGGTCCCAACAACGCACATCCCGGTTTTTCTCCGCGCTAAGTCTTTGTCAGATCTAGCATCGTGGCGCTAGCAGTCTCGGACTTCGCGCTCGGCGTGTGACGGGGATCGGCCATTCGCTCATGACGTGCACTAACTTCTAATTAAGACGAGCGGCTGCCGGCTGCCGATGGAAAAGCACGGTCTGGTGTGTCGATGTGTAGCTGGATCGTGACGCGCCAACACCGAAGCCTTTTTCGTCATTGGTCTGGACCTTGCTTCTGCGGCTGGGCGGCTGGGCTTGGGGTTGACCATTGACCACACCGCCGCTTCTTCGATGTTCGACGCCCAAAGATTTCCTCTGGAGGGAGGCTGGTAACTGACAGATCCACTGCGGCAATTATTCGACGTGATCGATAAGGATATTGAGTAGAAACGTCGTTGATTCTGTCAATTATTGCAAATCCTGTAGCGGGGCGAGCTCGGTGTGGTCACATACCGTTTTACTAGAACTTGATCATGATCAATCATTTCTATCACTATCAAATGTCGATGTGATGCAAGTTCCCAGTGGGTATTGAGAGTCTTTGATCCAGAGTCTTTGGAGTACGGCGTCCCCTCAAGAGACGTATCTCCCTGAGCCGGCAGTAATCCTCGTAGGGCATTATTATCTCTTTAGGATGGTAGGGTATCAGGGCGAATGCTTCGACACTATAGAAAGTACTATATACGTGCTTCCAAAGGTTATGCTCGAGAGCAATGCCCAGTCAGGAAATATACATCTCTTAAGATAAAAACAAGTCGACAAACCTGTATTAAACGTTCAAGATGCGTGAATACCTACATACATGGGTTCCACACGCTGGCAGCGGCCTATAGATGTAGAAGTCGATGTCAGGCATAGAGCAGCGACATCCGAGTACCACCTATCGGCTAGAGTCCTGTATCTTCTAGATTCACGAAGTATATGAGACCTTGCGCATGCATCTCGCATGGGGGTTTTGAAGCGGCTTCCACATATTAAAACCCGGCACGGTGACTGCAGCACAGCAAATTAGGTTTCTATCAGCTTGAAAAGATGACAGAGCTAGGTTCAATGCGCAGGTTTGTATATGTGCAAAATGTAAGTTATGCCTAAGTGCTGAGATTATCGGTAGCCCCGATTCCTCCCCTCCTACCCCTGAATGCGTGCCCGCATTGGCATTCCGTAGTGCACGACTTTGGAATACGAATCAAATGGAGATGCAATACAAGGTCTGTCACTCCAATCTCAAGTCCGACGAGGAAGTTGATGTCAACCTCATGATTCCATGTTGTCCGAGTGCAATGGAGGAGGTAAAGCTGATACAATAAGACCAGTTGACGTTTCGGCTGACCCTGAATGTTGTGAAGCTAATGGGCGTACTGTCAGAGGGAGCCTAAACCCGGGTCTAGGTGATGTTGTATCTTAACATGGTATATACCACACAGAATCACGCATCGAGAATTCACTGCACATACGTAGTACACACAATATAAACTGCGGCAGACAGCGTGCTGCACGTTTGGTATGTCATTACTCCTCTGGACTACTTTCAACCAAGACAGTCGGCAGGTCTTTAATGTCTACGTGCTCGTTGCTCACGAGGTCGACGACCCGTACAGCTTCGATATTCACAATCCCCTCTTTCAGCGCCAGGAACTTCAGCTCAGCCACGTGACATGCACCGGGCGCAAGCGGTCCGATCCTAACATCCGCACTCAAACAGGCCACCTCTGCGCTGTCAATGATGCTGCTCCGTTGCATGGCGTGGACTACCTGGTCGTCCAGCACCGCGTCGGCCACCGCCCGGTCTTTGCCAGCCTTTGATGTCGAACGTGCATACGAGGCTTCCGATGGCCTAGATACGGAGGGTGGTCGGTTGACCCGTGATTCGTGGCGGCGGCGCTTTGGAATGACCACCAGCGCGAGTTTCCGAGGAGGAGCCGTAGAATTGGGCGATTTGTTGGCAACAAACACGCTCCAGACAAATTCATCGCCCAGAAATACCTTCGTGTTTGCCGGCGGCGCCATAAACGTCATCGTCACGCCTAATTCCTGTACAGTGGTTTCTGATTTTGTCGACGCCTCCAGTGCAGGAAGCGCATCTGGACGAGCAACTGACGGTGCTATTAGAGAAGTAGTACTTTCACCTCCGATGGACAGTTGACTTGGCCGATGCGAGCGTTGGATCGGCTGCGTAGTGGAACCGTAGCCAGGGTTCACCGGTATCGTAAAGTCGACTGCCGCAGTCCAAGCCATATTCAAACGCGGCATGCATAAATCGGGATGGACCAATGCTGTTGCCGAAATCGTGATGTCCAGGTCGCGCATTGGGCTTCTCGCTACCAGATCTGCCTCGGCTGGTGCAACCCGGTAAAGGAATGTGACGTGATCATGTGCCACACAAGACAGAGGAAGAGACATGCCCGGTTGGCTTGTCAGGTTCTGGACTGTACCACCCGGGATTGACAGTGTGATGTTTTCGAGATTGACTTCGCACTCAAAAAAGGGGGTGAAATCCACCTCGAGTATCGCAATCACCGCAGCAGTTGCTGGTGCCGTGTTCGGGTGGGTAAACCTCATACGTGAATGTATAACAGGATAGATGCGCAGAGACAGTTTCGGGAGTGATTTGACAGGCCGCAGAAGGTCCTTCTCTTGCTGCGTGACCGGCGCGACTCGAGATACCCGTAGCGCAGAAAGCCGAGGCTTTACTCCGTTCATGGCTGGGTCACTACCGAAAGATTCCAGAAGATTGAGGCCTGCGGCGACACCACTGGCCATATAGCCATCCCGAAGGTCGTTGGAAAGAGACACGTCGGCAGGCTTCAAGCTTGCCGTAGCAGCGAAGACAACCGAAGGACTATACAGTCGTATTCTGGGTCGTCCGAGGAAGACGGACAGCTTCCATATAGCAAACGCATGCTGTGTGCGCTCCGCCTCCTGAGGTTCACCGTCGTCTGTCGAATCTTCCACCAGTATCGTTGGTACCTCCGACTCGTCTACGGTGCCAGTATATATGACGTCTAAAGCGGGCGGGCTGTCGCGATCAGGCGCATTGCCGTTAACAATGTGCGCCTCGAGGGAGATGACAAGCCTCTTCAGCGAGGATCGGAGTGTATCCTCTGGGACGTGGGGCGTTCTGAGCACGAGGAAGACGTCGACGGATTCATCTGGGTTCTGGGAATGAGTACGGTGAGAATTGGACATTATGGTAAAGTAGGAGCCTGCTTACCGAAAAACAGACTTTCCCGCCGCTCTATGGAGTCGAAAAGCTCCTGGTATGGCGCTTTAGTCCCCTCTACAACGTCGTCGACCCGGAAGTTGGTAGCGAGTGGTATGAAGTATGTGAGGCTCGAGTTGTCCATAAAATCTAGGCCGGGCTTGAAGCCGGTCTCAGGGGCTGGATCAGCCATCGTCCTGACGGGACCCGCGGTCAATCAATCGGGGAAGGCGAGATTTGGAGGCGAAGGATCATATTCGTGTACTGTGCATCGCTTACCCCCCCGAGCGATTGAATGGCCTTGAAACGAAGACCGGTGTAGGACAGTAGGGATATCGTGAGCCGCTGCTGTTCCAGAACCATTCATGCTTGAGTGATGGACATGGATGCGCTTGTGAACGGCGATTGAAGCTACCTTAGGAATGGTGTGGGTACTTCAATGTTGACATATGTACCCCAGCCCCAGCCACATCTGTGGCTGGCCTGTGCCTGCATGTGGCTGTTTAGCCTTCTTGACTTTAGAACTAACGCCAGAAAAACTCGCGGCTTTCCGATCTTGACATCTTCATTCCAAGCAGCCATCGTTATCGAGACGAGGTATCCTTTCTGCGCCAGACCAGGGATCCTCACTTTTCTTGCTGGCGACTTGGAACACCAAATAACCAAAAACACTTGGTACCTGCCCTGCGACCGATTGCGTGAGAGCCAGCAGGCCTTCCACGATGAACGGGGTCAACGGCCATTACGGCCAGCCAAGCCCATGGCAGGAATTCAAGAGTGCCGACGGGCGCGTCTATTACTACAATCCGGTTACGAAGGTGACACAATGGACCAAGCCCGAGGAGATGATGACACCGGCCGAGGTATGTCCATAACCCTGTGGGAAGTTTTTTCTGGGCGCACGCTAATCTGCTGTTGCAGCGCGCTCTTGCGAATCAACCATGGAAGGAGTACACTGCGGAAGGCGGGCGCAAGTACTGGTACAATACCGAGTCCAAGCAAAGCTCGTGGGAAATGCCCGACGTCTACAAGAAGGCCCTGGGAGTCGATACCGCCACTCCATCCACACCAGCGTGAGTAATGGCACCATTGGTTGTTGTATAGCTTGGAGCTGATCATGATAGTTCTGCTACTCCCTTCGCTCCCCCGGGCGGCTCCTTCCAATCTTCCGGCTACGACCAACAGCGTGACCACCGCGACCACCGCGACGCCCTCCCTGAGTCCCGTCAACTGACCTTCGGCAATGACCCCCGCGCCCAAGCATTTGTCCCCGCCAGCGATGAACCCGACTATGCGACGTTTGAGGAGGCTGAAGCTGCTTTTGTAAAGCTGCTTCGTCGTAGTGGTGTCCAGCCTGACTGGACTTGGGAACAAGCTATGCGAGCTACGATTAAGGATCCTCAGTATCGCGCCATCAAAGACCCCAAGGACCGAAAGACAGCCTTCGAAAACTACTGCTACGATGTGATTGTTCAGGACAAGGAACGCGCCAAGGACAGATTGACGAAGCTGCGCGCCGATTTCGCGACCATGCTCAAGAGCCATCCCGAAATCAAGCATTATACACGATGGAAGACGGCTCGTCCCATGATCGAGGGTGAGACCATCTTCCGCTCTACTAATGATGAAGACGAACGACGACAGTTGTTTGAGGACTATATCTCTGAGCTAAAAAGGTCCCATGTCGAGACCCAAGCCAACCTTCGGAAGAGCGCCATGGATGGTCTCATTGACATGCTTCCGAAGCTCAACCTGGAACCCTATACTCGCTGGTCCGAAGCTCAAGGTATGCTGAAGGCCACTGCCCCTTTCCAGAATGAGGAGAAGTACGAGGCCCTTACTAGCTTTGATATTCTCACTGCTTTCCAAAACCACATCAAGTCTTTGGAGCGAACTTTCAACGAGTCCCGGCAAGAGCAGAAGAACAAGAAGCTTCGCGTCGAAAGGAAGAATAGAGATGCATTCGTTGAATTGCTCCAAGAACTACGCAGAGCTGGGAAGATCAAAGCTGGGACGAAATGGAAACAGATTTACCCGCAGATCGAGAACGATGAGCGCTTCAGAGCTGCCTGTGGCCAACCTGGTTCATCCCCTCTTGATCTGTTCTGGGACGTGGTCGAAGAAGAGGAGCGTGCTCTTCGCGGAACGAGAAACGATGTGCTTGACGTTATGGACGTAAGTTGCTTCTCGGTGATCCACCCTGAAGTATAGACTGACTCGTGAGCAGGACAACCGTTTTGAGTTGACCCCAAAGACCACTTTCGAAGACTTTTTTGCAGCACTCAATAATGATCGACGCATTGCTAATATTAATCGTGACATATTAATGCTGATCTTCGAGCGGGTATGTCACCAAATAGGCCCCTGATGGAGGTCGTGCTAACAGTCGTGATAGCTCCAAGAGAAAAGGTCGAACAAGCGGTCAGACGAAGACAGGCGTTCCGAGCGTCAACAACGCAGGGCTGTCGATGACCTGCGTTCCTATATTAAGCATATGGACCCCCCTGTGCTCGCAGACGATACCTGGGAGAAACTTCGACCTCGTGTTGCACGTGCCCCTGAGTTCCAGGCAGTCACATCTGAAGATTCTCGCCGAGGCGCTTTTGAAAAGGTTCTGAGGCGAGTTCGAGACCGAGAGGAGGAAGATAGGGATCGTCACAAGCGTCGCGACCGATCTCCTGATCGTGGTACGTATCGGGAAAGGGATAGAGGGGATCGGTCTCACCGTAGTGAACGCACGCGACCATCTCGACAAAGCCGCAGCCCCGAGCCGGATGCGTATGAGGCAGACCGTCGCAAAGCTATTGCTGAGCGAGAGAAGAACTATCGTAAGTCCAGCATGGCCGAGAGCTTGTTATCTGACCGTCGCCAATCGGACTCGTACCGCGAACGCGACATTCGAGATCGCGAACGTGACCGCGAACGGGACCGCGAACGGGACCGCGAACGGGACCGGGACCGAGAACGCGACCGAGGAGATCGTGACCGAGACCGGGAGAGGGAGCGGGATCGGGAGAGAGACAGGGATCGGGACAGAGTCTTCACGCCTCAGTCTCGCCGTGATGAACCACCGAGCCATTATGATCGTGAGCGACGCGATCGAGAGGAGGAGCGGGAAAGGATGTACCGCCGTCGCGTGGAGAGAGGTCCAGTAGAGGAACTCCCTTATGGGGATGAGCGCCCGACCTCGTCTCGGCGCCGCAGAGCCGATGACGATGATGACCGTCGCGATTCCAGGGATTCCAAGGTAAGATCTACTTTCCATACTTTTGGCCGGCTTTCCACTGACTCGTCACAGAGGCTGAAGAGAGAGAAAACACCGCGTGAGCGTTCCCCCCAGCGTGATAATCGTCACAAAACAAAGACACCACCACCACCAGCCAAAGCAGCTCCTGTGGAAGACGTCGGTGTGCATTCTGGCAGTGAAGAGGGTGAGATAGAAGAGGACTAGAAGCCGAAATCAGCCAGACGCCCATATAGACGTTCGCTAGAAGCTCAGGCTAGACGCTCAGCCAGACGCTCAGCCAGACGCTCAGCCAGGCTAGACGCTCTAGCTGCTGCTGCTGCTGCTGCTGCTGCTGGACACCCGATTGATAAGCCTCGCACCCTCAAGTACGACTGAGATCAACGCTACCGCTCACACTGTCAAAGGCATGGGCTGGGATGCGACCTCCAATTCGAGTACCGCTTGCTGAACACTTGAGCAAAACTGAAAAGTACGTCCGTGAAACTCCGAGTGCGCTTGTCATGTGGGATCTTGGATGACTCGGCATATGTCAACGCAGTTCGGACCGCCATCGCGCCTCGCTACACAAGATATCTCCGGAAACACACGAACTGCTTCTTTCCGTACGTCTCTACACCACCGGACATCGTTGTTGTTCGACCATAGCTGGAGGGTTTTCTCACTCTTCCGCAGGATCTTATGGGGGCTTTCCCATATTTCGTGCTGTGCAGAGCGAGGCACTATCAGCAGCTGGGGAGGAGGAACGACCTTTGGTGTGTATTAATCCTCCTTTCTTGCCTAATAAATACAGCGCGTTTCCTGTAGATATTTAGTCGTTTATGATTATTCAACCCGTTATACTGTAAATCAACTCATTGCTCGTGGTTTTCATGCCCACGATGGTTGCGATCGGTACCTGGTGCTTGTGCTCGTTGTGATGCAAATACTCCAGACACCTGAAACTTTCCCCGTTCAGCAATGAAGGGTACTACGTCCACTTCTCATAGTCTGGAAAACAACGGTCATGGATCCGGCTCCCGTAGTCCAAGAGCACCGGAAGACTCATGACCACTTCCTGCTTGTCAGTCCGGTCCGCTAGAACCATAAGGCGAGCCAGTTTTATATGTAGCTGGACAGACAGGCACGTGCGACTTCTCTCATGGACTTCAGGCGACCCAGGCCATCAGATCGACGCACCTCAGAACGCAGTCCATCCTCCTCGATGGCAAGACTGATCTCACAGTGTTTCGTACCGGCTGACTGAGAGATGGCTGTTGCCAATGTCTAACTTATTCCCTGAAATCTTTGGGTGGGAGGGTATGGCCAGTCACACCTGAAAAGATACACTCAGCCCTCATAAGTCTCCGTACGCGCATGTTAGCAAGACTCTAGCAAAGCAGTAAAAATAATTAAAAATACTGGAATAAGCACGCCGGAATAAGCATTAAAAATAACTAATAAAGATTTAACTGCTTATTCCGGTATGCTTATTCCGATTTAATAAATATACCGTGGTTTGCTAGAAGGGTCGTATACGGAGACTTATGTGGATTCAGTCTAAGAGTACGGATCGTGCAACTGATGACGGTCGATGTATGTATGCCCTGCGGACGGCCAGAGGCGATGAGAACGATACCGGCATCGTTACGACCTCGTCCTTAATCAAATTTCGGTATCATATAATCTAGCATCTGGCCAGGCAGTGAGGTTATTCAAACTACATGTAGCTGAACCATGACCTGGGGTTCGCGATTCATCACCTCAGGATTGCAGGGCGTCGAGTCATCTAGCATATGTAGATTTTACTACATATCGAAGTGTGAGTACATGTGTTCTGCCTACCTCTTTGAGTATTTTAATGAAGGTCGCAAGAACCCAAACATGTCTCATCTAGACGGTAGTCATCCACTTGGCCCGTTCGCCCCTCTATCCGCAGAGATGAGCCATGCCAGCCAGAGTCATCCTCAGGTCATATATGGCGTATGATGTGAGGAGTAGCTCCTCGCGCTCAAGCGCGGCAAGACCATAGAGGAATTCAGGTATCCGCATCTCCACAGGACCAGGCAGAACAGGGGATAGACTGCCGTCGCCTTGGCTAGTCGTCTGGATCCTCGTTGTCCTCTCCATCTTCCTCATCCAAACCCGACGAATCGTGAGCGCCATTGCCACGTTGATGGTTTCCTTCTCGTTTTTGTACGCCTAGAACGCCGGGACCCGAAATTTCGGGGGTATGCTGATGGTATCTGTGCTTTCGGCCATGTCTACGACCGTTCTTCTTTGGGACGCCCTCTTCAGGCACTATCCTCCTCAAGGAAGAACTATAGATATGATGGTCAGTACTGCTTTCAGATACGTACGGTGGAGTTGGTCTTACGTAGTTCCCGCCCAGCTTCTGTTCCTGATCCAACTGACTGTTAAGCTTGTTGATTCGGGGTCTGTAGTTCGTGGGGTCACGTCGGAAGGTGACATCCAGATTCTTCAAGAATTTGTTGCAACCCGTGAGCAACGACTCAGGCTTGTTAGCATGAGCGTCGATACCTGGCTTGCCGTCAAATACGATAACGCGATCCGCCAAGTACGTGGCCATGATGAAATCGTGTTCGACGATGAAGGCCGTCTTCTTGGCGTGCATGATGAAACGCTTGATAACACGCGCGGCAATGATACGTTGTTCCGAGTCGAGGTAAGCAGATGGCTCATCGATCAAGTAGATATCAGCCGGCAGACCCAGAGCCATGACGATGGCAACACGTTGGAGTTCACCACCTGACAGGTTCTTGACTTCCTGGTCGATGAAGTCATCGAGCTTGAGAGGTTTGACGACATCTGTTTGGAATTGCGGCGACAGGAAGGCCTGCTTGATTCTCTTGAAGAAAAGCTGGCGGACCGTGCCTTCGAACTTCGGGGTAATTGTCTGTGGCTTCATGCTGATCTTCATCTCGGGAACTTTCTTCGCATTATCCGGCTTGAGAGCGCCGGCCATAAGTCGACAGAATGTCGTCTTGCCGGTACCGTTCTCGCCCATCATCACGATGATCTCGGAATCAGTAAAGTCACCCGGCTCGATACTCAGCTTGAAGTTGCCGAGGGCCTTCTCCATCTTAGGGTAGTTGAAGGCTCGGTCTTTGTCAACCTGGAATTCATCGGCTCCTTCACTGATTCGGAAAGTCAAAGACTCGTCTCGAAACCGAAGGTTCTCGGTGGGAATATGGCCATCCAGGAAGATGTTGATGCCCTCGCGGACGGAGTGAGGGAGAGTCACTACACCGTAGATAGCTGGTTTACCATAGAGAACGCAAATGTAATCGGAGAGGTAGTCGAGGACGGACAAATCGTGTTCAACGACAATGACGTAGTTATCTGGGCCCAGGAGAGAACGGATCATTCGCGCAGCGGACAGACGCTGCTTCACATCCAGATACGACGAGGGCTCGTCAAACATGTACACATCTGCCTTCTGGACACAGACGGTTCCGATGGCAAAACGCTGCAGCTCACCACCTGAAAGGTGATTGACATCGCGGTCCAGAATATGGCGAAGTTCCAGGACGTCAAGAGCCTCATCCAGATTGTTCATGGCAGACCCGCGCTCAAGCAGGAACTTGACAGACTTGTCTGGCGTTTTGATAGCGCGAGGAAGCTGGTCGACATATTGAGGCTTCACGACAGCCTTCAGGTCGTCCTCAAGAAGCTTGGTGAAGTAGTCTAAGCGACATGTCAGAGGATATGACCAATCGAGGGTACAAGCCAAGTCGTGATAACTCACTCTGCAACTCGGAGCCCCTAAAGTACTTGATAACGTCCTCCCAATCAGGAGGGTTGTCATATTTGCCCAGATTCGGCTTCAGCTTTCCACTGAGAATCTTCAAAGCTGTACTCTTTCCAATACCGTTCGTTCCGACTAGACCGAGCACCTGTCCAGGACGCGGCATGGGCAGTCGATGAAGCTTGAAGCTGTTCGCAGAGTATCGGTGGGTGACCTGAGTCTCGAGATTGGTGGGCAGGTTGATGATGGTGATAGCGCTGAAGGGGCATTTCTTAGGGCATATACCACAGCCGATGCAGAGGCTTTCGGAGATGAAGGCGAGTCGCGATGTCGGGGTCACTTCGATGCAGAGCTTGCCGCTGCGGACGACCTGCGCGATAGCTTATCAGCAACGATGACCGACTGTAAGGGAGACGGGAGGCTCAACTGGGCATGACTTCTTGCACTCTTGGCGACATTTCTACCGAACCGTTAGGAGACAGTCCCAAAAAATATGCGTCTACTTGCTGGCTTTACCTTGGGCTTGCACTGCGGGCGGTATCAACATTAGCAACTATTAGTTTTGGAGGGGCATCAATGGCAGTCTGTCGCACCTTGTCGTCATTGACGATGGCAATCCTAGAGTTAGGCAGTCAGTATGCGATCAGAACAGGATTTGATGATAGGGTAACGAAGACGTCGGAGAGCCTAGGAGGTGATCGAGTTGACAGGTGGAGGGCGGATGGATGGATCGGTTGCTTACCGGGTGAGCTTGGAAGCCATGGCTACCTACTTAGGCTGGGCGCAAGCAAGGCAGAGGCTGCCAGGGGACAAGGGATGGGTGGTATAGAGTGGAAGAGAAGAATATCGAGTTGCGACGCTGAAAGAGCTGCCCAGGTGTAGATGTTTCCAAAGCACGCCGGATGTCCTTGGTGCGATGCGCCGCAAGAGATGCAAAACTGTCACAAGTGACTAGGCAGGTTTTGTGCGTGCGGTGTTGAGGGGCAAGCGGGCGGCGGGCAGTGGGAGGATCAATCTTGGAGGGGTCGTGCTGTGGCTATCGCATCATCATCCAGATCCTGCGCAACAGCAATTATCAATGTCTGATTGGCTATTGGCTCGTTTGTCAGTCTACGATTGTGGCTGAACATGACCAGGACGAAGGTAACACGAATACACTGGAGCTGCTTTATGTCCTGTTCCAACCTACACGGCTTGACTTTTATCTGTTTGATCTATGCTACGGAAGTACACATGAGCTACGAAGTCACCCAATTCACATGACAGCTTCCATGGTCATCTGTTCTGATTGTGTAAGTCTCGCTTCGGTACGTCAAACGACTTCGTCCCTTGCCCGGTGTATGGGGTTATGAACTCACATGTCCTCCAGCAAGCGTTGGCTGCCAGTCAGTTGCTTGCTCTCTGCATAGGCTGATACATTCTGATTCACATTCTACAGTCTCCTTTCCAAGTAGATCTGTTGGTTCTCCACACGGTTGGCCTATTAATGTAGTGGTTCTGAATGAACCTACATCGAATCGCGAGGAACATCCCAACCAAGACGAGGTGCTGATGAGTTGCCATCCTCGAAGCTCTGACTTGATCTCGCAGATGAACGTCTACGTCTCTGAATACATGATTTGGGTCTGTACTGAAGAACCTATCCCTGGTTCACCAGCTGTGAACCCTTGGCGACATTCAGTAACACACAGAGCAGAGCTACCACAAGTAGCCAGCAAGGATGGACCATGGTGGAGTTCCTGGCAAAAAGATGATGCACTTGGGTTCGGTGTTTATCTTCGCCTGGAAACGCAAATTTAGCTCAGATGTTTCTGAACAATGGATTACAGTAGGACTATGATATCACAGCTGCTCTCCCCAAGTTGAGAGGTATGAAGATATATATCAAGACGTGGGCATATACTCATCAGGTATTGCAGTGTATGTCATCATTGTAGTGGCTAAACCTATAACACATCAACAAGAATGACTCGCACATATGTTAAGACTTTGGTGAAGACTGGAGGTTGCCCTGATACAACAGCGTAGCCACGCGAGCATTTACTACCTCTTAGATGCAGTTCCTAGGACAGATTGTGGCATGCATTTGCCTACCTAATGACTCGCTCGCCATACACACATGTGCTTGCGTAGCTTAGAGAACAAAGAAGCATCCGCAGCTCGTTGAAATTGTTGGTGAAAGATGTTGGTACGGTTGGGCGGCGGAGACTTGAACCAACATGGAACTACAAGTTGTCACATGCCAGCAGATGCGTAGGAGACAGGTGACCATTGTTCCGTTGTTGCACTGCGAGTTGATGGTACCAGAATATGTAAGATAAGGTAGCAGAGAAAGGGAGTTGTGAGTCAGCAACAATGTTCACCACGTGGGGGCTGCCCAGAGGTGATCTTGGGACTCAGTAGGACGCATGTCGTTGTCCCCAGTCCGCGGTTTGATGAATGAAGAAGCCGGAAGTCGGCTTATGAGGTGCACTGGAGGTAGACTGGGCTGTGACGGTGGGCCCGGTGCCGGTGTGGGGCGATAGGCTGATAAGATCGACAGGTGAATGGAGTGGGACCTGTGGCTGTGCCACGCTAAGCTCTATTCAGTTCGTTTTTTCGGCGGTAAGACCTGTGGGCCAAGCAGCTGCCTCTGCTCTTCCACTTTCCCTCAATTATTTCCACACAGCTTCGACTTGCACCACGACCGCTGCTACACCCCCATCACACACCACCCCGGGTCCGCAACCCCGTTACTTCATCAACCTCAACCATCGCGTCCTCCCTTTCTTCTTCTCGCCGACTTGGTAGACACAGTTGATGTCACGTAAGTGATCCCTCTTTATACCCCTACCCACCTTGTTGGCAGAGCCGGACGAGGCTGGAATGCCCGTTGTGCCGGTGTACTTGACATTGAATCCATCCCGAAGTCACCCACATGTAGCCTTCCTATCAAGCCTTTGATGGCATCCGAGCTTCTCGGATGTTCATTTCTTGATGGAATCGCTTGTTCTCGATCCTTTGAACACGTCGGGATCTCAATGTACTCCTCATTTCCCGCCGGCCGGTGCCAATGCCTTTCCATCGCCCATCAGCCTTGTATCCATCGAGACACCCTCCAGCATGCGCCAGATGGATTGTCGCGCCCTGGCTTCATCATACATGGCTTTTCATTGTTCTTTCTGAGTCGCGTGTACCGGCGCTACCTGGCAATGCCATTGGTTTAGCCTTCCAACGCTTGGTTCTTGCTAACCTCATCGTGCCTCTAGGCGACTGTGCGAAGTACCAAGATGTCGAGCTCGCCTGAGCCCAACTTTGCCAATGGTGATACTTCACCAGCGGTACAGGTTGGGAACAGGGTCGTACTTGACGATCGAGTCAGCGAGAGCGATCTATCAGACGTGAACGAGACTGCTGCCCTACCTGCCGCTGCCTCCCCATCCACCCGTCACGAATCATCCCCAGACGCAGAAGTAGATCCAGATCCACAAGACGCTGCCGATTCTAGCGAGAACGACGCAAATGCTTCCGATGATGCCGACTTCGACATGGAGGACAGTCCCGTTCCGTCACATAGCGATGCCCCTCAAGACGAACGTTCGTCTTCCAATGACTCCCGTCGCGTCCCGAAGCGGAAAGCTGGGGTGGAGGACGATACCTACATACGAGACAACCCAGAACTGTATGGGCTCAGAAGAAGTGTACGTTGCAAGATATACGGCCTATGTTACTCTGCTGACAGCATTGATTAGTCTCGTCCGACGAAGCAGGCCAAGATTGTACGTCATCGCTCTTCCCATTCCAACAAGTTTGCCGATCCAGTATTAACAAATGCATTCCACAGGTTGATTCTGACGAAGACGAGGAATCGGATTCCGACGTGGCTCCTACAAATCGGCGGACGAAGAAGCTTCGCGTCGAACAAGGCTCGCGTCAATGTATGTCAAATGTGCCCTGACTGGACGCAGATAATGAATCGGGGCTTACCAGTCATAAAACGCAGCATCCAAACGCGCCACGCCTGTACGGCAGACACCGGCAGCCGACTCCGACTCCGATACATACGGCGGTGCCCGAGCCCGATCATTCATCAAGAAAGCGCGCCGCCAACCGACACAGCCCCAACCCTCCAACTTGCGATGGTCGGAACGCACAGCTACAAAGCAGGTGCAAACATATCAAGAAAGCGACCTCGATGATGAGGAGGAATCGGAACTCACACCCAACTATTGGGCTGGGGATTTCCCAGAAGACACCCAGTACATCGCGAAGGTCGTTGGCCACCGTGTCAAGGATGGTGGTGAAATGACCGAAGATCTCACCAGAGATGACTTCGAGTATAACATCAAGTGGCAAGGAAAGTCGTACCTCCACAACTCCTGGGACACTATGGAGACATTGCGCGGCTATCGCGGTTTTCGCAAGCTCGAGAACTACCACAAGAGAACAGTCGAGTACGAGCTGGATCTGAAGTTTGCGGGCGACGACCTACCGCCGGAGACTCGAGAGCAATACATGCTGGACAAAGAGCGCGATCAAGATGCCTTAGAGGACTACATCAAAGTCGAGCGAGTTGTTGCGCAGCGAAGTGGTGACGAGGGCAGAGAGTACTTCATCAAGTGGAAAGGCCTTACCTACGAACACTGCACATGGGAGCTCGCTGGTGCCATTAGCGATGATGCACCAGACAAGATCGACCAATTCCTCGACCGCCAATCGCGATCGTGGACCTCGGACAAGTACGAGTCAAACCCCGCGACCCGCACCAAGTTCCTGAAGCTCGACAAACAACCCAGCTACATCAAGGGGGGCGAACTGCGAGGATTCCAGCTTACTGGGTTGAACTTCCTGGCCCTCAACTGGTGTCGGGCGAACAATGTTATCCTTGCCGACGAGATGGGTCTCGGAAAGACAGTCCAGACTGTATCATTTCTGAGCTGGCTGCGTAATGAACGCAAGCAGGAAGGACCATTCCTCGTCGTTGCTCCTTTGAGCGTCATCCCTGCCTGGTGTGATACCTTCAACCTCTGGGCTCCCGATCTGAACTATGTCGTTTACCTAGGTAATTCCGAGGCGCGAAATACGATCCGGGAGCATGAGCTTATGTTGAACGGCAATCCCAAGAAACCCAAGTTGAATGTTCTGGTAACATCGTACGAATACATATTGATGGATGCGGATTTCCTGAGAACGATCAAGTGGCAGGCTCTGGCGGTCGATGAAGCCCATCGGCTGAAAAACAAGGAGTCCAAGCTCTACTCTGAACTGATGAGTTTTGGTGCACCTGCTCGTCTCTTGATTACCGGTACCCCCATCCAAAATAACCTGGCTGAGCTGTCATCACTCCTGGACTTTCTCAACCCCGGAAAGGTCCACATTGACGAAGATCTGGAGACCTTGGCTTCGGCCGACGCTCAAGAAAAATTACAAGAACTACATGCCTCGATTGCTCCGTTCATCCTCCGGCGAGTCAAGGAAACAGTGGAGACAGATCTCCCTCCCAAGACTGAGAAGATTATTCGAGTGGAGCTCTCTGACGTGCAGCTGGAGTACTACAAGAACATCCTGACGCGGAACTACGCTGCTCTGAACGAAGGCAACACCGGCCAGAAGTCGTCTCTTCTAAACATCGTCATGGAGCTGAAGAAGGTCAGCAACCATCCTTACATGTTCCCAGGCTGTGAGGAAAAGGTCCTCAACGGAAGCGAGCGTCGGGAAGACCAGATCAAGGGTCTTGTCGCCAGCAGTGGGAAGATGATGTTGCTAGACCAACTTCTTGCCAAGCTGAAGAAGGACAATCATCGCGTTTTGATCTTCAGCCAGATGGTCAAAGTCCTTGATATCTTGGGTGACTATCTGCGACTTCGCGGTTATCAGTTCCAACGACTTGATGGTACCATTGGAGCCGGGCCCAGACGTCTGGCTATCAATCACTTCAACGCGGAAGACAGTCAGGACTTCTGTTTTCTCCTATCAACACGAGCAGGTGGTCTGGGCATCAACCTGATGACTGCCGATACCGTCATCATTTTCGACTCCGACTGGAATCCTCAAGCTGATCTTCAAGCAATGGCGCGAGCTCACCGAATAGGCCAGAAGAGACCTGTCACTGTCTATCGCCTTGTTTCCAAGGAGACCATCGAGGAAGAAGTCCTCGAACGAGCTCGCAACAAGCTTTTGCTTGAATACCTAGCCATCCAAGCAGGAGTCACGGACGATGGGAAGCAATTCAGAGAGGAGTTCAAGCAGAAGGGACTCAGGATTGACGAGGCCAAGTCAGCTGATGATATCCAATGGGTCTTGAAGATGCGATCCCAGAAGATGTTCGAGCAATCTGGAAACCAGGAGCGGCTGGAACAGCTCGACATCGACACTATCCTCGAGAATGCCGAGGTCACCAAGACCAAGGTGGACGATAAGATGAATCTCAGCACTGGTGGTATCGATTGGGACAACTTCATGCAGTACACCGATGTCAAGGTCGACGATCTTACTCTTGATTGGGACCAGATCATCCCCGCAGACGAAATCGCCGCCATCAAGGCCGAGGATGAGAAAAAGAAGGAGGAAGAATATCTTGTTCGGGAGTTGGAAGCGAACGCTCCACGACGGGCTGCACTCAAGAGCTCCAGGACTAACGGTGAAACGGAGCGAGCTGAGCGTATTGCGAAAAAGCGGGAGCGGGAACAGTTGAAACAAGAGCGTCTCGAGGAGCAGAGGGCCATGCTTTCGGACCCACGACGGCCCTTGAACGAGAAGGAGTTGCGCAACCTCATCAGAGCTTTCATGCGGTACGGCTTCATTGAAGATCGACCAGACGAATTGCTACGCGATGCTCGGCTGAGTGACAGAGACCGAGACTTCGTCAGGGAAACGCTTAACGATTTGATTGCTACCGGTCGGGATGCGGTGGAGAGGAATAATGACGAGATTCGTTCGCAGGAGCGACAGAGCAACAAGAAGTTGACCAAGAAGGACATCAAAGCTGTCATGTTCGATTTTGGCGAGGTCAAGAAAATCAATGCTGAGACCATCCTCGAACGGCCACCGCAGCTGCAACTCCTGCGACGCACCATCAACGAAAAATCCGACTTCCGGGATTACCGACTCGCCGAAGCCACCAAAACAGCACACTACAGCTGTGAATGGGGCGCCAAAGAGGATGGAATGCTCCTCGTCGGCATTGATAGGTATGGGTTCGGGGCTTGGACACAGATTCGTGACGACAGGGAGCTCGGCATGCAGGACAAGTTCTTTCTGGAAGAACATCGCATCGAGAAGAAGCAAGAGCGAGAGCATGCCGAGGCCAAAGGTGCAAAAGCCCCAGGGGCTGTCCACCTAGTCCGTCGTGCCGAGTACTTGCTATCGGTGCTCACTTCTGTCCATTCTGATGATGTCGAAGCCCGGAAGGTAGTGGAGAATCACCACCGTAACAACAAGAAGGGCGCGCACGGCATGATGAACGGACATCGCCGCTCTGATAAAGGAGGTTCTGTCTCGTCCTCGCCAGTCCCTCAGAATGCGAAGAAGCTTTCCCATCGGGACCGAGATCACGATCGAGCCCACTCACGCGGAGATCACCATCGTTCACGTAGCAGCATTGGTGACGGCAGCACGCCGAGGCCTGATTCGAAGAGGAAGCATAGCGGAGAAGTCGATGATCGTCGATACAAGCATCGTCGGGTAGAAGAACACAGACGGAGCGGCGGGCCCAACCAGCAAGAAGCGGAGGACGAAGATGACGCGAGGAACGCACCTGTCATTGAGGCACTCATGCAGCCGATCTGGAGCCATGTCGAGAAGGTTGAGTCTTGCACCAAAGCGAATATCCCCATAGCCAAGGCAAGGGCCAAGGTCTTGAAGTCTCAGATCACAGCTATAGGCGACTTCATTGAAGGCCTTCACAGGACTTCCGGCTTGTCGCTGGACCAACTGGAGGAACTCAAGCCGAAGCTATGGTAAGTTGGCTGAACTTCAGAGTCGAATTTTGCTAACGCATATCATAGGAGATTTATATCTAAGAGGATACCTGCTTCTGAGAAACAGTCGTCCGGCAAACCCGAAATGGATGACCGGTCGCCCCCTCCGAAGTCTTCTGGGAAATCCTCGTCTAACGGAATGACTGGTCCGCGGCTATCCTCGTTATACCAACAACTGAAAGACGCAGATGAGAAGAACGGCGATGTTCCCCAGAAGAAGGGTTCCGGCTCGGCTGTCACCAACGGAGGTTCTCGTGGTGAATCCTCCAAGACGGCTCGCTAATAACACTTGTACACTTACCCGGGTGAGCGAACGGACACATCGTCTAATGAACTTACCAACAACTATATTTGCATTGGTCGGCGTTCAGAAAGGCATCACAGGCGACGGGATTTCTCGGGATCTGATATCATGAAGCCATACCCAGCAAAAGCATCGACGTTATAGGCGACTTGGAGTTTACGGGCGGATTGTCTATATCCCACCAGACTCTGGCGCCTGAGGAAGACCACAGTATTCAGACTCTGAGGGAAGGAAAACGAATAGTAAGAGACGTGGAAACGGACACGATGAGCATGGCCAGTATGGCCTAAAGATGGATGATCAGTTTCGTCGACAGCGGGTTTGACATTGCTTGTGAGACAGCCGAGATGCGTCCCATAGAGGGTTCGTGCCCTGTCACTATGCGATGCCACCCGGTCGTCACTATGCGATACCACCAACTTGGTGGATGACCCCCGTCTTTACTTCTCGCGACAGCAGAGAGTGAACAGCGGCTACTATGTGTAGGCTAGACTGCATCTGGCCAGTTACTGAATATCACTAGTACTTAGTATATACCCGGGAAGTCTTGCCTATGTCTACGTGACTAGTGCCTATATCCCCGATGGTCTCGTCGGCTACCTACTTGTGAATGTTGTGACCACCCAGAGACTGAATGACGACTAGACGACTCGGCCCATTGTTCATCTAATCTTCGGGGCCAAGCCTGACGTATGCGTGCGAGTGGACTGGATCTGATAGCGTGGCCAGGTAATGCTTACGTCTAGAGTCATTGCTGAAAGTGCGTAAGGTCCCTCATCTCTACTCCAGCCTTCAGGTCATATTTCAGAGGTTCCTGGCGCGACAAAGCATGCAAGACGTCTCCGCCGACTTCACACCAGCTGAGCGGACCGCTATACGGCCTACAGGTAGTCGGTACTCGCAGAGCCGAGAATGCGGGAACTGTTGGCGATATGGACGATGTAGATACTGAGAGATAGTGGGTATGTAGGCAGCGAGTGACACATGGGCGTAAACTGCTGCTCAGAGAAGCATGACTGGATGTACAGGGCATGGATGGGAGGAGGGGCAATGCCAACTAAATCCTCAGCCAAAGGCTCAATCAAGCCAGCGTAGGACTTTCTGCCACGCATGATGCTGAGTCGCAAGGGGCGAAGGCCAACCAAATCATTCATATCAGTCTCCCTTTAGCAGGTCCTCCGTAAGCAGTAAACACCAAGAACTATGTGTATGTATCGTCGTCACCTTTCCCCTTTGACACCAAAGCACATCACGCCGAGAACACCAGGAGATTTGTGTCATGAACGAGGCAAATGTATTCGTTCATCTGGGTGGATTACCGACATTCCCACCTCGTACGCACGTATGGCGCCGTATCGAGGAAGTGACGCCGACAAGAAGTCTACAACAGAGATGACTATCTGCAACCATGCCATGCCACGCCATACCATGCCTAGCCTATCAGGCAAGCTGAGATGCTCTTGTCATCTCTCCCTACTGAAAATAGAAGCCTATTCAAACTTCTCTTTCCAGTGGTCTCGTCACGCTCTTTGCCCACTGCAAGGCGTAAACATGCAGCCGAATCATATAACATCTCCCGCGCGTCGTATCAGTGAAAATAAAGGAAATGCCCGATGATTGGACCGAGATCATCGAAAACGCCCATACGTCATGAAAATGCTTCGTCTTGCTCGTTCTCTTGCTGCGTTCGTCCTGTTCCCGATCGCGCCGTGGAAATGCTGCTGTAACGAAGCCTTGCAATGAAAATATTGCATATGTCCGTACGATGCTATGTACACAACAGGCGTATATACTATCCTTTATCAGAGGGACTGATGATCGAGATCAGGGGATTCCCGAAAAAACCTCTATGCATTGTGCACTAACCAGATGCTGAAGCAGAACGGCGTCGTTGATTCTGAAAACGGGCAAGTTGGTGTTGCCAGGCGGGATGGAATCTAATCGATCATGAACTCGATGCCTCGTGGTTTTGATGGAGGTGAAACTGTATCACTTGAGGATGGCCGGTCGCTTTGACCCGCTGGGGTCATAGGTCTGGCGGAGACCATATCCTGCCGGATCTGGGAGTCGACAGCCTTCTGTGCTTCATAGGAGTCACGAGGCTGCTTAGGCCCCCGAGGCCGCAGCGAGAAGTCGCTGATTAAGACACTACGTCTGGGATCGAGCTCAAGGGGTGAGATTTCAGGCTCAAATTCGCGCTTCAGGGGCACTTTCGACTTGATAGTGACATTGGCTTTGGTGGCCTTGGTGGCCTTGAAAGTCGCATTGATAGTAGCACTGGGCTTCTGCTCGGCCTTCTTCGGCTGCTTCTTCGTCTTTCGCTGAGTCGGCTTCTTGGCGTCTTTCACTACTCGAGTCTTCACAGCTGTAGCAACAGCAGCGGCAGCCTTGGCGGGCTTGGAGGCGAATGAAAGTTGACTTTGCTTGGACTTGGGTGGCTGTTTCGTCGGCAGAGCTGTCCGGATCTTGGGACTAGCAGTAGGTGTCGGAATGCCCTGTACCTTCTCGATCGACTGCGGCTTGGCTTCTTCGGTCGGCGTGCTGTCACGTGATCCCTCCTTGCCCGAGACGCTGGATTCAGGCGTGGTCTTCCGAATCTCGACCTCCAGTTTAACACCGCAAACGTCTTTCTCATACTTCTCGGGGTCCACCAAAGTCTCCACTCCCTGCTCTATGCTCTCATAGAAGCGAGGTAGATGCACAAGAGAGGCAACGTCGTCACACTTCCCTCGCACCACCAGGTCCCAGCAGTCCTTCAAATCACTGCCAGTGGGCGCCGGATCCAGATTGATCCAAGCTGTGATGCCATCTCGCTTTTCCCTTGTCACCTGGCACATGTCTTGCACAATAGCTCGCACACCAGGAATCTTCATGCTGGTGCCGACGACAATAACGGCATCGGGTTTAGCGCGACGGTCCGCCTTGACGACGTTGGCGATGGATTCTTGGTCAGGGTTGTACTCGTTATACAAGACCATTCTGGGTCTCAGTCTTCCAATGCCATGACTCCGCTTGCCGGCATGGGACGTTCGCACATTGTCCGTCACTTCGCAGCCCTTGCAAAGAGGTGCCTCGGGTCCTTCGAAGAGGGCGGGGTCAAATTCACTGATATCGCTGCACTTGGAGCATACCATCTTCTCCAGGCCACCATGCAGCTGGATGGTCTTGGGCCAGGGGCCTTTGGGGCGCAGGGGAACGTCGGTCTCTAGCGGTTTCATGGATGTGTCGAGTCCGTCCACATTCTGTGTGTAGAGTCGTAGGAGGCGACCCTCTTTAGCAAGTGAGGCAATCAGGTGGTGGAAGGGGGTAGGCTGGGCATTCCGAGCAAGTTTGGACAGGTCACGGACCATGTCGTGGAAGGACGAGGTGGTGGAGTTGTGCTTGTAGACAGAGGCGTCGAAAAGGTCCTTGCCAGAGCCCTTAAGTTTGTGGTCTTTGGGTAGAGTAGCAAACAAGCCTGTCGATGATCGGAAGTCGGGGACTGGTGGAGGTTGTGTGGGTCAGTATTTTGGTAGAGTGCAAACAGGGCAGTAGGGCCAGTGGGTGCCGGAATGGGGTACACATACTTCCTGCAGAGACGGAGATTCCGGCGCCAGCAATGATTACGATCTTCTTCTTCTTGCGGAGAACTGACGTCAGGCGGTCCAGCAGCTCCTCATCCTTCTCACTCTGTTCGGAGGCTGCTCTCAAGTCCAGGTGCTCGGTGGTGCGAGGCTTGCGCTCGATGCGACGTCGCTTGGCTGGGGGAGCGCCATCCGGATTGACGTGGATCTCCAGTTCGGGCATGTCGGAGGGCTTCATCGGCGACGCGCTTCCTGAGTGTATTGTCGAAGACGGCGGCGAGGGAAGTCGTGTTGGGTCAAGGGAGAGGGATGCGCGTGGTGAGACACTCGGCGATTTGGAGAGTACGGACAATGGAGAGGAGGGCGGGTCGGAAGAGGGTGGATCGGAGAGGTCGGAGACGGAGGATATTGACGAGGTATCCATCGCAGATTACCCAGGTCCAGTACCTCAGGTATGATTATATAGTAAGTAGTGAAGGAGGGGCTGCGGTGGGCGCGAGGTGCGGAAGGCGTGAGGGTGGTCGCGGTCGCGCGGTGGGTTTGTTCAATTGCAGTATCAAGTATCACCGGTGTTGACGTCCCTCTGTCTCCCGGCTATATCATAGCGCACGGATCCCCTTTACCCTTTACTGTGGCTTCCTGCGTCGGTTTTCTTTGGCACAACTAGACAAATGAAAGAACGATGGTGAGGATCGCGTGCGTTTTCGCGTCCTGGTGGTGCCAAAGTCGGACCGGCGCAGTCTGCGTGGGTTTGTGTAAGTATGGGTTATTAGCTGACATGTAGGTAGGAAGGGGTGGATGTTGGCCAAGTTGGAGGAGGCAGAGGGTAGAGGGTAGAGGGTTGGCGACTTGGGGAGGCTTGGATTGGATGGCTAAAACTCCGGGGGACGGGGCTCGTCCTGACTCCTGCTGCTTGGGTCGCAGCTGGAGCTGGAGCTGGAGGCTTTTCCCTCTCGTCCTCGCTTTTTATTATTATTATTTACAATCCGTCCCCGGCCCCGTTTTAATCGTCTCGCCCAGTCAGAATTCAGAATTGAGAATCTTCACTTTCCTCATCACTTCATCAGTGCAGCCTTCGCAGTCCTTCCTACCTTATTTTATAATTAGGGCAAGGTACATCATCCAAGGTATTCCCTCTACAACTTCCCTCTTATTTGAGCTGCACTAGAGAAAGCCAATACCTTTCATGCTTTGATCCAGACCAACCACCAATCAGTCCTTTCTAGATGGCATGCCCGTGCTCCAGTCGCTTGACTGATCAAAGGTCTGCTGTTGGTTCTGCTCTTGGTGGCATGTTCAAGGCGGTTGGTCCTACAAGGTCTTTGTTATTCCCTACTCTTATGCCCGATGGAATTCCATGAGGACCACGAAAGAGTTTTAAACTTTGCATGTGCATATCTTGCTCTGGGCTTCAATGTTCTACCCATCACGTCTTATCCGTCAATAAGAATGACTACAACCTGAACTTAGATGCCATTGCACTGCTCTGATCACTGTCCGTCATTGGCACTTGCCTTGCGACCAATTCAGTTGATGGATTTGGAGGACTCGTTGCCCCTTGGTTGCATAGAACAACCTTAAAACCACGATTGCACGGGCAGGGGGGGTCTGATCCGCACAGATATGATGAAATCCCGAGTTGTCCTCTCAAGCACAGCCTGCAGATGCACATTGCAGGGACATGGGCACCGCAAGGTACCCAGAGCCGTTCCTGCAGCTCAGCCACATCTTGACTAGATCAGGCTTAGTGGCAGAGTGGGTGATGCCAAAGAGCGGGGGTCCCATGCTTCGGACTTCCACGCTGCCACCCATTCCCCACCATTCCCCACCCATTGCTTCAATCGCACGCGAGGCAAGGTGCCATTCTTCAGCCTTGTCCTCTTCCAACCATCAAGGTCTTTAATCTTCATTCACCATCACTACCACCACTTGCAACACCACTTCCATCCCACAGAGTTCTTCGGGGCTATCAGGGATTATACACCACTCATGACATACAGTATCTCGCTTACTCACATTTCATCATCGTGTCTGGCAACTGAGCGTCTTTCGAGGTATGGCTGTGGCAGCCAGCCTCCACCCACGTGCAGGCCCTATCATTAGGCGAACTTAATACCCCAAGGTCTATTATAATTCCTGCTTGGCTGCCCGCCCACCACTGCTGGCCCCCATGACGAACAACGGGATGCCACTCATCTTGGACGGCAGCTTGGGAAGCATGGGAGGTATGGGAGCCATGGGAGGTGCCCCGATCCATGTCAACTTGGAGGACGTCGACGATCTCTTTGGCGATGGCGTCCCGCTCTCTCTGCCGCCTCGACCGCCGAGCCGACGTCTGCGACAGAGGCTGGACGAGCTCCGCGGTCGGGGCTGTTGCAAGTAGACTTCCCCTCCAGTTCCCATGCAAGCATTGGCGCCCTGTGCTGACGAGCTAATCAGGGGCATCGCCTGGTCCAAAGGCGGCACCATCGCTTCTATTGCGCCCGATGGTCAATCTCTACAGCTGAGCTATCTCCGCGCCGACCCCAAGGATGCCACCTGGGCTTTGAGCGAGCCCAAAGAGATCACGCCCTGGGCCAGTCTCGCCGGCGGACCTATTGTTCATCTACATTGGAGTCCGGCAAATTCGGAGCTCGCCGTTGTCGACGCCGTAGGTCGGGTTCTCATCCTGAACTTCAACGCCGATCTGAACAACTCTCGTGAAGCCCGAAAGTGGGATGGAGACGCCATAGACGATCTTCATGCCGTTGTGGGCTCCCACTGGCTTAACCCAATTCCATCCAACTCAAGAGTGCGTCTTCTCCTGTTCGTCCTTTGAGGTTCGAATGTTGACCGCTATTCAGTACCATCCTGTGTATACGCCAGCTATTAAGAGTGGCAAAGGATTCGAGTATGTGTTTGAGAATAAGGGACTCCCCAGCATGGGACCATCGCACCCCAACCCCAACAGATCTGCCTTTATTTGCATCACCACCAATGGTTTATTCAAGATGTACTGGAGCCAAAACACCGGTATCATCGAGGAGAAGATTTGTGAGCTGGAGAGCGTCACATCTGCCGATGACCTGATAACACACGCCGCCGTTTGTGCGGATAAGAGTGAGTCCCGCGTGGCAATTCCAACTTTTGTCACCTCCTGAATCCGTTTCTCATTCTCCTCGCACAGCAATGAGAACCATCTTCATCGCAATGGCTACTACGTCCAAGCAGCTTCGTGTTGTCCAGGTGATGATCAGCTTCAATGCTCCCAAGCCAGAGAACCCTCCAAGCATTCCACCTGGGGGCTTCCAATTGAACCCATCCCTTGGGAAACGACATATTGCTGTCACGAGCTGGGGTCAGACAGCCAGCAGCGAGTCGCCTCTCGATATGTCCATGGCCAAGATATCGCACCTCGAAATGTTGCCTGCTCTCTTCAATATGCCCACCAAGGATTGGTCACCTATGATACTACTCACAGTGCGAACATTCGTGCCGGAGCCCAACTCACCCTACGGCCAGGAGGTGCAAAGCATCATCGACAGATGGGAGTTATTGACCGACCAGAAAGAGACTCCACATGCTGCATTTGAGCAGCTTGGCTCAAGGAGAAACAGCATGGAGTCGGCCCCTCCCGTGAGTATATACTGTCAGCGCCCAGATTGGCTTTAGCCCTCACGACTGACTTGTACCGCAGGTGGGCGCAAGGCTCAAGAAGCTTGACTCGACCATAGTCAACAAAGTTGTCATGGGGATCAGTGTCCTTTCTTTTGGAAAGGTCATATGCTTGACTTACAACGATGGCAGCATCGAATACCGAGATCGCTTCTCCATGAACGAGCTATATCGAGAGGTCAATCTGGACCAGATATACTCGATCCTTGAAGCAGGGTTCACCCAAACAGGAGAGCCAGGTTGTGAGTTTTATCTCCTGTGGCACTACGTCCTAAGCTAATCATGCCGTCGAAAGGCTTGCAAATGGCATTTTCACCGTCCAACTTTTCCTTGGTCCAGATGTATGAGGATGGCAAGGTCAAGTGGCATAACCTAGCATACACCCTCGAGGATGTCACTTCTATCTCGGACGGTATGTCTCATGGTTTTTCTGGATACTTTCGTACCATCTGACAACGGTGTAGCCCATCTCGCTGCCGTCAATGCTGCTTTCGTAATGTCGACCGCTGGTGCGGGTGCGAACGGCGCCAACATTGACGACATCCTCGCTGTCGCCAGGAAATTTATCCACAAAGATCGTAAGTGAGATTCAGGCCTCCGTTGCAGAACGTAAACTCAGTGTTTTGTCCAGATTTCGCAGTTAAGTGGGCGACAGACATGGTGCAGATCAACCGATCAACAATCGATTACTCCGAAGAATCACCTCATGATCATCTCATCCGGAACAACACGCTGCAGTTATGCTTCAGCATTCTTAACCATCTCGGTTGGGAAGGCGAGTTCAAGCCGCGGCATTATCGGAGCAAGTTCGCGGTGCTGGCTCTCAACATGCGCAATATTGTTATTCTCGTCAGTCTCGCAAGTAACGCACCGAATGCGATGCGGGGTTCCTCGAGTCCGCTTGACGAGCCTGGTAAGTCTTCGTAAACTGCCCTTCGAGGCTCGACGGTTGTGGGAGGCGCTGATGAAATAATGCAGAGGTTGTGGATGCCTTGGCCGGCTGCACGAAATGGTCAATCGACCTTATCTGCTGGCTGTGCGACTGCTTGTTCTGTCTCCTCACCGATAGCAGGTTTATGGGCTTTTTGACCCAGTCCAACCAGTCGCAGTTGGTGTACATGACTCAATATCTGCAGTCCAAGAATGAGATAGCACTACATCTCATCCTCTGCTCTTCCACGCGGAATCTGCTTTCCGCCCTGTGTCGTCGCATCAATCTTCTCGACAGCTGCTCCGCTCGTGCCATTCAATGGTACCGGAGCCGTGGTGAGGTGGCCGATAACAGCAGCCGTGAAGCGAATCACAAGGCACTGTACGCAGCCTATAAGAAAATTCAACGACACACAGCTTCTGCACTCATCAAGGCCGATGAGTTTGACAAACTCCTGACGACGCTGGCCACGGACATTCGATCTGCATACAATACATCGGGCCTAGCCGAACAGGCTCAAAAAGCTGCCAAGAACCAGCCCCCGAACCAGAGGCCAGATTTAGCACGACAGTACGTCGAGCTTAACCTAATGCTAGTACAAACGCCAGCACCGCAGTTTCTGGCCGTCACGGCCAAGTTCTTCCGCAATGACTTGACAGAGTTTCGGGAACATGCACCGCTTGCGAAGCTGTACTTCAAGAACTACGAACTACTCGAAATTGATGACGAACCTAAAGCCCTGGAGAAGCGGAGAGCAAAGGGGATGATGGTGGACCTGTTCAGGCGGGTCGAGATGAGCAGGTCGTGCGGCGGCCGCATGCGCTTCAAGAGGTGCTCCCGGTGTGCCAGTGTCATGGAGGACATTTCCCATATGCACAACAAGCCCGGCATTAGTTTCCTGCTCAGTCAGCAGCGCACGTGTTGCTGTGGTGGACGGCTGTCTTTGCTACCTTAGGAAGGCTGGCAGGACGGTCTCCTGGCGTGGGATGGCCATCCGAGGGACCTACCAAGTTGCGCTACCCCCGCGGCATGTTGAGATCCGTCCTAGTACTTCTCATGGGCTGGAAACAGGGCAATCATCACCTACCGACAGCGTATCGTTTCTGTTTTATGATATCGTGGCCTCTCCTGGTGCTGTACTTGTCTTCATATTGGAGAGGCCACGTCAATCTTGTATTTAGTCAGGGGGCAGTGGCGTAACCTGAAGGGAGATCAGATACTCGGGGCCTTCATAGGGTATCTCAGTCTTCTCTATTTCATGATAATAACGATACAATGCAATATGCTACAGGCAGGTTACGTGATATCTTTCTGGTTGTTGCAGTGATCTCATCATGTACCGCCACTCATCCCTTCCGCGTATGGCGTATGTTTCAACGACACGCACCGGACACTAACCGTGACGCCCATCTGGTTGTTCGTGTATGTTGCGGATCGCGCTCTGCTTCAGTTTCATAAGGGGCTTCGTATCGGTAATGTCCAAAGTAATAACAGTGTTACAGAAAGATCCTATGTACAAGCATATTCCGATTCTATATACAATACACACATCCTCAATCCAGCCAATGCAGCTCCACGCACATTAGTACCCTCCCATACTATACACACAAACGCCACACTCCCGAAACATTCACGCCCCTAGCCCTCTAGGTAGATTACTTAGTCGCACGTCCCCGACGCCCGACGCCCCGTGGTGTTGATATCGTCGTCGCCGTCGTTGCAGAGGTAGTACGTGCCGTACTCGTGCTTCTTCTTCCCCTTGAAGACGGGGTAGTTGTAGAAGCACGGCGCGGGCTTGCCGTCGGTCGGCAGCTTGTTGACGTCGGGGTCGATGGCGCCCTTGCCGTCTGGATGGTCGCGCGCGCACTGGATCGCGTTGCCGTACATGATGGCTATGTCGAAGCCGCCGTATTTCTGTGTGGGTGTTGTGTGTCAGTATGAGGCAGGCTCGTGGGATTTTGGAAGGGGGAAGTAAGGAGAGTGGCTTGGCTGCACACGTACAATATCCATCATGTTGTTGACCTCTTCGTCCTTCTTGCCCTTGCCCATGACGTTCGGCTCGCCGCCGTCCAGCTTCCAGAAGTCGCCGCACCCGGCGCCGTCGACCCAGAAGCGCGTGCCGCCGTCCTCGGCGCAGGATTCCGAGTCCGCGTACGAGGTGTCGATGTACACAAAGTACTCCTGGGGTAGCAGGATGGCGTTGACGGCGCCCTGCTTGAGGAACTTGGACAGGTTGTCCAGCATGGGCGCTGCCACGGCCTCGATGTTGGCGACGAGGAACTTGCCGCCGTCGAAGTACTTGGCGATGTTGGTGCTCCAGGGCCCCGACATGTTGGGCAGGTCCGCCGTTGTCTTTTGCGACTTCGTGTCCCGGCCTGTCATGGCGAGGTTGAGGTTCACGGAAAGCCCCTCGACGGCGGCTGTGAAGCTCTGGTGGTGGGGTTTGTTAGTCGATCTGTTTCACGACGGTGCTTGTCTCCCTTCCTGGAGCTAGTTCACGGATGAGGAGGGTAGGGATGAGGCGGTCTCACCTCGCCGAGCTGGTCGGAGATCTCCTTGGTGTAGTCGAGCTCGTCGGGTGCGAACGCGTTGCCGAAGCCCACCGAGCCGATGCCCAGCGTCAGCAGAGCGGACAGCTCTGGGACGGGCCCTGCAGCCGCGCTAGCGGTCACGAGGGCTGCTGATATGATGGAGAAGATGTTGGACTTGTCGTTCTTGTTGTTGTTGAACTTGTCTTGGACTGAATGGATAATAACGTGGTCAGTCAAATCGCTCGTGCCTGGTTCGGTGGCGTCACTCACTGTCTGGGATTGCTAGTGTGTCTGAAATCGTCTGTGTTTGCAGATAGTCGTTGATATGATTCGCAAGCTCATAGTGCGTCTTCCCGGCCTTGAGGATCCAGTACAGCTGAGGGACTTTTTTATCCAAGTACTTGGCTACATGGAACACTCGACGTCAGCTTCCTCTCATTTTTCCTACAAACCAGCTAGAGCCGTTGGCTCAGCTTTATTTGAAGACTCACTGCAATCATCCGGATCCGGGCAGTTGGCGCCGCCGAGGCTGTTGCACCAGAAGCTAGACTCGCCGGTGGCGTAGAGATCCTCGTCGATCTTATTGATCCAGTCTTCCTCGCCGTGCTCCTTGATCCAGTCCTCGAGGAACTTGCCCGTACCGAGTCCGGAGTCGTCCCAGACGGCTCGCATGGAGGCCTCGGTGTCGTCGAGGAGGTAGGAGCACTCGGCGGGCCCGTCGGCGCGGCCTAATAGCATTCGATCGAACAGCTCCAGCGAGCGGAAGGCGGGAGCTGGGATGGCGAGGCCCAGCGTTGAGAGGGATAGCAGCGTTGCTGCGGCTGTGATACGGCGGGATGCCATGGCGGCGATTCTCACTGGAGCGTGGATCTTCTAGGAGGGGGCGGTGACGAGCCTGGAGTAGGACGTAAGATCAACGAGCTGCCTAAGGGAGTTGTGCCTTTGCCTTATGAACGAGAATACTGGGAGTAGCATGAGGTTGAATGATGAAACGAGTGAAGAACTGGCCATTGCTTTATACATATGTCACAATGGCCTGAAGGTCGAAAGCCCTGGCCGACGGGACAGCTTGGATGACGGCATTGACTTCTTGGGCTTCTGTCCTACCCCTTTTGGAAGTGCTCATATGGACGCCTTGTGGTTCTCCGGATGACCTTGCAGTCATTAGGATGGCCTTGCATCGTAGATCCAGAAGTAACCTCGATAGTCTAGCCGCCTTTCAGCTCTGACTGCAAAGGGGTCCATGAAGTCGGCGATCGGTGCGTCCAAGCCCCGTATGAGAAAGGGATGATCGTGAATACTGTGGGTGTATCGTAGAGTTGAACCGTATGGGGTGAGCTAATCAAGCCAATAGGAGTACCTTCGGATCCCAAAAACGTAACAGATAGACCCCAGCCAGTAGCCCTTGCAAGAGGGACCATATGTTTCTCCATTGACATTTCCAGTGGCTGGCTCTATCATGCTGCCTGTGGCTGCATCAGTAGCATCGCTAACCTGCCATCAGCCAGCATCTAATAATAAACTCATTTAGACTATTCGGACAGCCCGCGTGATCATCAGTCTCCTGATCAAGAGAGTATGTAGGAGTATACCAAATAGGACTCCCATTACGAGGTGGCTCGCGACCCCTAGTCTGCTTGGCACAGCACAGCCCAGCCGTTGCAACTTGCTGACCAAGTGCATGACCTTGTACGGCGTAAGGTTAAAGACAACGTTAAATCCCACCGCCGACCAAGCCTTGCGAGGAAGCTGGGGAAGACATGTGGTGTCGATCGTCAGAGAGGCTCTTGTTCCATCTGATTAGCTGCGGAGGATTTTAGCTGGCGTGACGCGATGAATCCTGCGGCGCTGCCATCCGGCCGACCTCGGGTCCACAAAGGTCGCGCCAAGCTCAGCTGTCGTCTCAGAAAGTACTGGATTGGGAAGGTTGTCTCGAGAAAGTAAACGATGCCGTCATTTGGGCAACATCACGCTGGTAGAATAAGAGTAGGTTCTATAATTAGTTAGATTTGGGGAGCTGGGCTACGTATATGCTTAATTGACGTCTATCTAGCCGGCGGTCGAGTCAGAAAAGATGGGGGGGCCTGGGCTCAACACTTCGTGTATCTAGCTGTCTCACATGTATGAAGGCCAAGCTGTTAGCACAAGGAGATCGAATGATCGAGGTTAACAATAACAATCCAAAATCCTCACCAGGTTGACCTTGTAACGCCAAACCCTCAGCTGATCTGGAATTCAGATTTTGGCGATCGGCCAAGCCCCCGTCCCGTCGAAGGATCACGCTAGGTAATGTTCTCGAAAGCTGTCAAGTATAATAACGGCCACCGCCTGCATCATACGATCAATAGGTACTGGGCTTGAGCTCATGAAGTGTAGTACTCAATTGGTGAGGTGGTGCCAGACACCATTTCATGGGATACTATCCCCTTGAGATCTGAATGTGACCACAGTTCGTGCCACCACTCCAGAGCCTATTAGATGTCGGGCCAAAGCAGGCTCCCGCAGCTAATGCCGGCGTATGGTTAGGCCGTCATGTCTATCCAATAGCTATGAGAAAAATCAATTAAACATTTTAACATACCTTATTGCTTGCATATTGGTATCGACGCGTATAAAAAACGCGAAAACACGGGTCAGGTACATAGCCGAGGAAAAACGAACGGGTAGCGAGATTGGCGGCGCAGATAGGTGGAGTGGTGGCACGAACCGTGGTCACATTCAGATCTCACATTGCTAGGTCGGCCTCGGGGCTCTCGACCTTGGCACCGTGACAGTTGCCGCGTCATGAAGTGTGTTCAACGGCAACTTGGATCGTGAGTGAACGAAGGATAGGCAGGCGCTCCCCGACAATCCACCATCATCCATTCAAACAAGATGAGAGTTGTTGTGTGATATCCGGCAGGGCAGAGCCTCGCTGCTTCACCCCCAGCTTGAGTGACTCCCAATGAGACACTCACCTCGACTGTGATGTCTCCAGCTACGTTCCCCAGCTCCGTTTGTTATTAGGGGCTTGGATGAAGGATAGCGACGTCTCTCTCATTTAGAGATTTGGCTCTGAAGCGGGTGATAGCAGATTTGACGTGTCGAAAAGTGTAAAAAGAGCCTGCACCTCTGATTCGTCGATCTGGTGCAGTGCCAGTTGGAGGAAGCCGGAGGATGTCCAGAAAGAAGACATCGTCTCCCGAGCGTGAACTCTTTCGTAGATCTTCACCCTTCTCTGCCTACTACTATGTTCTGTTCAAATTTTCAGGTAGACACACTTGAACCGACTCATGAAGATTCACCATGGGCCAGGGACCATCACACGACGTCGCTGAGCTGGAGACGAGAGTCGAGGATCCCCAGGACGGCCGTCGCCCAGAGGGTCTTGCACTCATAGCTCACGGGAGACTCGGAGGTTCATTCGACCAGGCCCCCGTCCGCCTCCTGGCCGAGTATTTCCGCAATCAGCGACATCTGAGGGTGGTAACATGGAATGCTCGTGGAAACGGGCACAGTGCCGGTGGCAATGAGTGGGCAAACTTTGGCAACTGGCAGGGTGATGCGTATGTCGATGATTATCAGGTACGTAGTCGCCTCTGTACTCGCCATCTGGGCTCGATTCATGTTGGCCTGAGCTGACCCGAGTGTTGACGAAGCGCATGCTTCGGGACGCCATGAGCAGATATGCCCAAGACTTCCCCGATGCTGAGCACGCCCAACTCTTCATTTGTGTGCGTGAAGTCTTGCCAAGTCTTCTTCGTCTGCTTCAAACTTAGTCATCCGACCTCATGACAGGCTACTCTGCCGGCGCAATCTTTGCAGGCTGTGCCCGTCCACCGCGGTCTTCTACGCAGTTCGCAGCCCCCCGCTACATCCTGATCTCGTATCCCGTTGAACTCAACCCAATCATGGCAGTCTTCAAGACGGGTTCATACTTCCGATCGGTCGAGGCACTGGTGCAAGGTTATATGGTTGGGAAAACTTGGCCGCCGAGTTCGATAGTAAAGAGCCGGCCGGAAGTGGCGGGTGTACTCACTATAAGTGCTGAATATGACACCAAGCTCTTTTATAGTGTCTGGACAGGTACTCTCTGGAGCAAGAACGCGCGGGGAAACTTGTGGCATGTTGTCGTCGAGGGTGCTGGTCATGCGTGGAACGAAAAGGCACATTGTATCGTCGAGGAAGTGGACAAATGGCTCACTGGCTGAAGAGTGCTGAAGAGTGCAGGTGCTGCTGAGGTCAACCTACAGTGAGAAAAGGCACCTGTCACCTGGATCAGAATTCAATGCATACTTCCCGATGTCGGACTTGTAGAACGCCATTCACCATGTGGCCACATGTGCACGGTTCTTGCCTCTGCATTGACCCTTGCCCTTGGTGAGCGCCACACCACCAGCCACACTTCACCATCTCCACACCTCGATTGACCACATGGCAATTGGACGCGTCGCGGAAAATGACCTGACTGCACTCGCGTTTCCACCTTCACCCATTTCACCCGTTAACCTCGCAGCCCAACCTGCACATATTAGCAGACACAGTCATAAATACAACCCGACACGTCGCTATTCTAGGGGTTGTGATGGCTGACTCAGAGAGCGACGACCGTGAGGTGCGTTTCGATGCTGGTCCGACCAAAATCGAAGCTAACCTTTCGCCTCGCCAGAAGGGCAGCAGCTCGACTGGAGGTGCTGAAGTCGAGACTGATGCAGTGGGGCCGCAGAGAACGAGAGGAAAGCGATACGATCTGTCAGCTCTTTTTGCGGAAGAAGAAGAAGCAGTCGAAGAACCTGATGACTCTTCTTCTGCATTGACTGATGAAGAAGTCGCAAGTCCATCACCAGGACCGGGTCCTCATGCGAGTCCCATGCTTGGAACCGCGTCAGGCGACGATTCTGACGACAGCGACGAATGGGCATCCGGCCGAAGAGAGCGACGAAACCCCGAATCGCGCAAGAGCAGGGTGGGATCCGAAGGTCGTCCGGATGAGGATGCCGAAGACCAGCCCGACGTCGTCGCCACGGACCTGTTTCTGGCCTTGCCCTCGGACGGCCCAGGACTCATGCAGATCATCGCCAAAATAGAAGCTGACCGGACCTTATGCTTCAAGATGCGGTGGTACGTTGCAAGACACGTCCGCAAGCTGTACACGCGTAAGAAGCCCCCGAGTCTTCAACCCTACCAACGACCAATTCGCAACGCACTGCAGCATTACGTTCCTGGAAAGATGGGACGTCTCCGGTCCCGGCCTTTCAACCGCCTCGACTTCGAGGCAACTCGACTCCATGAGGCCTTTCGCAAAGACCAGCCGGATTGGGAATCTAAGCGCGTCACTCAAGCGCTTCAGCTGGCGTACAGCACTTATCAATGGAACGAGACCATCTATATCTCCGAAGTCGACGAAATCCTCATAGAAGCTGGCGCAGACCTATCGCTCTTCGCCAAGGCTGAAAAAGCCAGCGGCTTTCGCAAGACACCCGCAGCTCACATTGACGCGGCCATCGACGTACAGGAACCCAACCCGGCCAAACCTGATTCCGACTATGCTCCCAATATCAGAAAAGGACGATCTAGTACTGGTATAGCCGTAGTTGACAACACACGGCGCAAGTCAACACGGCTCTCTGCTGAGGGCCCCAATAGCAGGCGGCTCATGACACGGGCAGAGTTTCGTCCTCGAGATCTGGCTCACGACGAACATGGTCCCAGTAGTGCCGTATCTCCTCTTCAGCCTAATGGAAACGACAATGATACCCCCGGTGTGACGGCGGGATCTTCTGGTACCAGAGCGCTACATGGAGATCGGCAGCCACAGGAGCCTTTGCCTGACGACATCAATGCCTTGTGGGCAGAGATATCCGACCTCAAAAAGGAGGCCGAAACACAGAGACAATTCACCCAAAGAGTTATCGCGCGACACAGGACCGAGGTGGAGGAAACCATCGACCGAGAGCGCCGGTATTGGGGGACGTTCATTACCGAGCACAAAGCCTCAACCGAAGCCCTCCTGACCGAGCTGCAAGCTATGCGCGAGAAGGCGGAAGGAGTCAAGACGGTGGAAGGAAGCAAGGCAGCGGAAGGAAGCAAGAAGCGGAAGAGAGACGACAAGGACAGCACGAAGAAGAAAAAGAAGATGCGCAAGTTGATGCGCAGACTCAAGGAGCTGGATGCAGACTCATCTTCGGCCGACGATTCGAGTAGCTCAGACGCATGAAGTTGCATTGTCGCGATCCACCTTTCGGTGGGTCAGAAGGACAGACGCAGCATGCGTGAGGAGGGATTTCACTCCGTCCATGTGTCTTCCGTGCGTGGAGTCTGGCTGGCGTATGAATGTGTACTTAACATGGGTCTCAAGGGTTTATTACTTCCATCTTATTACTGAACTGATACGTATCTAGTAAAGCCGTCCACTCCATGATTGTGAATGCGGAAGGTTCTCTAGAGAACGTATACCACCTGGTGAGATCTTGCATGACCGAAGACGCCCGCTGCATTATGGCTGTATTGTTTGCTAAGCCATCATTTCAGCAGTGCACCAGGGCGACTCGATGCATCATGGATAGTCTCAATAGCATCCCCTGGCACGGCGAGTTTACTGGAGCTGGGACAGGGACAACAGCTAAGCAGAAGCTAGTCTATTGATACCAGATCAATGCTAAGGAAAGGAAAGAAGAAGGAAAGCTATGCTGCCTATGCGAAAGATATAACCAGGGACCGGTGGGTCGCCGAAGGGCCACCGGGTGACGGCCGTCATATCCTCGATCCATGCCTCAAAGGATGTCACTAGTAGTACACTGCCACTAAACCAAGGGCTTTCATCCTATCTATCTGGGACCAGCAGTCGTTTCGAGCGGAGCAGCAGTCAGCCCTTGGTCGAGTGGTCCCCGGTAAGGTATCACCACCACAACAACCACCACATCACCACCATTTACCATGAGCCGCCGAGCGAAACCCCCATCCATCTCAAGCATCAAATGCCCGCGGCGCCGGCGCCGGCGTAGCCTCAGCCCTCTTGTCCTCAGCGGCCGCCGAAGACGAAGACGACGACTCCTCCCCCTGCACCTCGTCCTGACATACCACATCGTACGACCCCCATCCCTTCGATCTGCCGCGGGTTGGGTAACTCGTGCTGTACGCCGCCGATATGGTGTAGTCGACGCCCTGCGAGTTGCCGGAGCTTTTCGAGAATAGCTTACTGTCGCTGCAGCGGGAGCCGGCGTACACGCTCACGGTGCACAGGGTCACGCCCTTGTCGCCCAGGCTGCTGGGGGTGGCGCTATCGCGCTGCCAGACCGCGCACGGGGCTTCCTGGTGGAGGTTCTGGCACGCGCTGGGCGTCTTGTCGCCTGAGACTTGCACGGTGGTCTCGGTGCCGACGGCGGTGCCGAGGTCTATGTCGCCGCAGGTTTTGGCGTCGGCGTCGGCATCGTTGATGGTATAGGAGGTCATCTTTATCTCGTGGGCGATGGTTGTGGCGGCTCCGAGGAGGAGGAGGGCTGAAGTGGTGGAGAAGCGCATTTTGTGCTGGTGATGGTGGTGGTTCGTGATGGTTATGAGGGTGATGATGAGGACGCTTCGCGGTAGGTATAAGTTCGAGGTTGATATCGACTGACTGACTGACTGCCTCGTGTTGAGTTGCTTCCATTGGGCATCAAGCCACGACTTTATATCATTAGCTATCTCCATCCTCATCCCATTTCCATAGGTCAACCATGAGGTCACCAGAGACGTGGCTTTCATCATAGGTAGTCTGTGCCATACTATGTATGATTACTATTAGACATGTCGAAACTTGGTGGAGGGCAACGTATCGCAATCACTCACTTGGACCAATCTCAAAGTTCCAACGTCAGCAAAGAGCGAGTTACACGGATGCGAGGATTCGAATCGAATCCCTCGTGCCGGCGCAAAGGCACGAAGGATCGTTTTAGGCGGTGCTTGGATGTCCTCAAAATCCGCCGCGGTCCCGCCCATACTACCACATCACCTGTAGACGCCGTTCTGCGCAGACAGCCGCGCATCCATAATCCACACTGCAGGGTCACACGACATAGAGTTTCGGTCCGTACGGCGTGGGAACTGATCCTAGCGAGCCAATCCCGCCAGTCTCGCCACATGCTTCGGCGCCTCTCGGACTAAGAACCCGACACGGCGCAACACAGTAGTAAGGTGTACCGTACGATGCGATGCTTCCTAAGTAAGTTAGTTCGGGAAGAGAGCCTTGTGCCAGCGTTAGGCTGACTTGGGACTATAGGGGTGACTGAGCATGAGTAACAATACAAGATAATAAGCCTAGGTATTACTACTATTTTTATAGACATGTGCCGTCTTCCCTGGGTGTGTGGCAGTGTTATAGCGATAGCGAGATGACCGAGACGAGTCGAGTATACCCGTGATCATTGGTATCTCGTCCGGATTGTATTGCTTGTCTTTATAGTTGCTGTCTATTCGGTCCTAGTAGGGTGGGTGTTTGGTGCGTCCTGTTGGAGGATGAACTTCCTTAAAGCAAAATCAACTTGGCGGCGTTGAAGCAGTCCCAAGAATAGTTGCGTGAGAAGGGCATCTTGAAAACCTTCCGCTGCCAAGCTCCCAAAGGGTAGGTATAGAACTCGGCCGCAAGGTGTCTGTCACTTAAGGGAGAGCGACGCAGGGCAACGGACAAGTCGCAGAAAGAATGGACCTATAAGCAACCCGTGCTGCACCATTATCCTAAGTCTATGAGTAGGGTTCGATGAGCACACGATCGAACAACGCTACAGTAGGTCTATCGAGTTCACAATAGGAGCTCTCGCAGGACATCATGTCGGGATTAACCTTTCTACAGTGTCTGCACTCATGTCGAAGCATTGTGATGAACAGTTGAATACCAAGCCCGTGAGTTGAATGTGCGTCTTTAGGCAAGGTATTTTCAGTCTAGCCAATTACCCTCCCATCTTGCCCATTGAAGTCAACCCAAAGTCCGCCGATAGGTACGGACAATACCGGCACAATCCAGAAAAGCTGTCAATGGTGCCTCTTCCTATGGATGAAAGAATGTTGAGCAAGCAACTTCTGATAAGTCGGCACGTAGTTCTCACCATGGTTTCATCTCTCTACATGGACACGACAAATCCTTACCACCGCTCATCCAGTCACTCATTTGACAATTCCGACCTCTTACATCTCTTGCTAGACACCGTCTGATCGTCATTCATAAGCTTCGCTCCTTATTACACTGCGAGTCACCCTTGCTTCACCTACACCCAATCAAGTACCCAACCACCATGGACCAAGAAGGCCAACGTCCCCGTACTACGGTAGTCACAGTAGAGACCAATAACTTCAACGCGATCCTCGAGCACTTCGACGAGGATGGACATCTGCTCAACCCGCCGCCTGTCCACCTGTCGATCGAGTGCCAGATCTGCTACGACAAGAACCTCGCTCTGGTCAACCCCCGCTTCGACACCAATTCTCGCGATACCCATGAGGTTTATGCTGTCCTTCCTCGATGTGGGCACGCATTCGGGTATAGCTGTCTCTTCCACGTGAGTAAACAACCAGATCCACCACTTCACAGACACCCCCTTTTCACTTTTTTCCAGTTTCGCCGTTTCCCCCCTTCCCCTTTCCCCCTTCCATCCAATCCACGGCACATACCCGAACTCAATTCCAAACGCAAGCTCCCGAATAAAAACCGCCCGTACTAACATCCAACACCATAGTGGTTCAACATGAACCGCAACGGCCGCAACCCGGGCTGCCCCTCCTGCCGCGCCCCCGTCTTCTGCGCCGCCAACCACGCCACCATGCTCACCATCTACGGCGCCGCCAACCCCCAAGACCAAGCCCGCGAAATCGTCGATATCGGAAACACCCTGCAAGATCCAAGCTGCGCGACCTGCCACGCGAGTCACGTATCACCACCGCCGAGTCGTTCGCCATCCCCGCCGGGACCACCATCCCCGACCACGCGGCCGACGCGACGTCGACCTCGTACCCACCGCGTCTCACCTCCTCCCATGCCGGACGGTGGTGTGTACATGGGCCACACGAATGGCGGCGTGCCGCAGTATTATTACCCCGGAGCGGCGCCGCTGGGTGTGATGCACGGGCCGGGTGCGTTCCAGTACCCCGGGTATACTTGGGGTTATACTGGTGTGTATGCTGGGATGTATACTTCTCCGCCTATGGATCACTTCAGTATGCAAATGCAGCAGGCGCGGTTCTATCGTGGCTTCTGAGTTTCTGGCAGAGAATTGGGAGGGAGGTTTGGATACACGGGGGAGGGGAGACAGTGCGAGAGACAGGGGAAGGAGAAATAAGAGGACGGAGAGATGAAGGAATGAAGGGGGTTGGATTAGGGGATACGATTTGCATAAAGGAAGACTCAGTGTATGGGCTAGGGCAGCGGCGTTCTTGATCCGAGGTGGCCTGGTAAGTTAGTCTCTTGCTCCTTATTCTGGTGCTTAAGACGCCCATTGGGCGTACTTGCATATTTGTCAATAGCGAGCTCAGGCGATTTCTTTTATAATTTTGATACAAACTCTGTGATGCGTTTCCATTGAGTCTATCCGAGGCGCGGACATTGTGTGAAGGATGGTATACCGCATGCAGCAACTTGAAATAGACGAAAAACGCACTCAAACTATCGACTTAGGTCAGTGAGCTTGGTGTGTCGATGTCAATAGGTGGACTCTCACTTCAGAGATCACAGATCAGGACATTGGCTTGAGTTCATAGCATTCTTACATATGCCCCTTTTCTTCCCACGGGCGCCATCAGAGTGATCCCAACAGCCAGCCTTCTTCCCCCAAGCTGATGAGGCAGAGTTACAGGGGCGAGCCAACATTTCCTCGCCACGGCCGGGGCCCGTCTGAACTTTTCTCCAAAGTCCCACGATCTTCTCAACGCTTATCCTCAGATCACTCACCACAATCTAGAACGTATTCAAGAAAGAAAACTGCTACCGCATATCATCAAAAAGTATTCATGTTCTCATCAATCAACAGATAGATACCTAATCTGGTACGCAGTAGCGACCACTAAGCCCCCCACACATCCAAAGAATGCTCAGCAAGCCACGCCATGCCGGCCGCCCTAAAATCATCCATCTCAACAAAACTCGCCTCCCCGTCCTCATCCGCCTTCCAAACAATCTCCCTCCCGACACCTCCACCATCCGTCGTGTTATAAACCGGCCACTCCGGCGCTATCATCCCCCCACCACCCGCCGCGCCGCCGCCATTCGGATCCAGCCCTGTCACGAAGTTGACCCACGCCGTCGACATGGTCTCGGAGAGCGCCCGGTACGACGCCGGCATGCCGGCGAACGGGTTCGTGGCGTAGCCGTCGCCGGCCAGGTTGTGGAACACGAAGGCGACCTCCTGGAAGTGCGTCGCGGATACAGAAGCCGGCACCCCGCCGACGGTCACGTCGAAGCGGTAGGCCCACGACGGCACGCCTGCGGCCGACCAGGCGACGTTGCTCGCGCGCCGAAGGTACTGCATCTTCATGTCGCCGTACAGCGCGTTCGCGCGGCGGTACTGCAAACCCAAAGACGCGACGCCGTCGGTGGCGGGGGTAATGACCTCGGGCCAGGATTCCAGCGAGGGGATCCCCACGCTCTGGATGTCGGGGTAGAGCGCCGCGAGGGTGTCGACAATGGCGTCGATGGTCAGACCTGAGGACAGCGTGGCGTTGGGGTCGATGGTGCTGCGGACGGCGGCGGCGAAGTCGGCGTCGGTGTTCACCGGCGAGTCGGGGCCGAAGGCCGTGCCCTCGTCGCTGTTGCACCCGATCATGATCGGCACCTGCACGAATGCGCCGTTGTCTATCTGCTTCGAGGGGTAGTCGGCGAGGAAGTCGCCGTCGAGGACGGGCGGCCACGGCCCCACGGCCGTCACGTTGAGGGCGTAGTGGAGCTCGTCGAGGGGGAGCGCGCTGAGGCAGGAGATGGAGTCGCCGATGCCGAGGGTGGAGGCGCACGATGTGTTGGCCACGAGGTTGTCGAATGTCTCTTGCAATGCCGTTGTGGCGTTGAGGCCGCCTGGGTATCTGTTCAGGATGCTGCCGAAGCCCGACTCGGCGATTGCGCCGCGGAACAGGCCGTCATCACGACCTATTTTGGCGTCAGTATATCTTATCTTACATAACAAGATTTCCCAGTTGTGAATGAGGACTCACCGTTATAAGCCACGACCTGGGCCGTGACCGACTCAGCCCCCGAGCTCTCGCCCCAAATAGTGACCTTGTCAGGCGCGCCGCCAAAGGCCGCGATGTTCTCCCGAACCCACTGCAGAGCCAGCCGCTGATCGCGGAACCCGATGTTCGTGACGCCTGCCTCGCTCGCCTCGCTCCCGCTCAGGAACCCGAAGGCCGAGAGCCGGTAGTTGAGGCTGACGCCTAGCATGGGGGTGCCCTGCTGGACGGCGTTGTCGACGATGAAGCTGAGGTTGTAGCGCCTGTCGGCCGACCCGCCCATGACGAGTCCGCCGCCGTGGATCCAGACGGCCACCGGGAGGTCGGCGGTGTCGTCCAGCCCAGCGGGCCGGATGACATTGAGGTACAGGCAGTCTTCCGAGAGTGGGTAGCCGATCTCGTCGCCACCGTAGCCTATGCAGTGAGGCGGGTAGGCTGTGGCCTCCTTCGTACCGTTCCATGCAGTGGCAAGCGGCTCGGCTAAAATGAAGCGAGCGGCTTTCTGAGCACGTCATGTAGATTTAGCCTATTGCTCACAGAGCTGTTGAGGTTTTAAAACTGTAAAGGTGGACATACCTGTGCGTAGGGCATGCCTAGAAAGAAATCTTGGTCATACTCAGCACTGTAGATACCTGAGTACGTTCCATTCTTGACAGCCACGTTGGGTGTTGTTCCGGTCTCATTGCGGTAAGTCAAATTCGGAACAGCAAGGGTGGGAACGGCGAAGCAGCCAAGGGCGGCTGCGCCCAAGGGGAAGCGCATCGTGAGAGAGGGCACGGAGAGAGTAAGAGAGACAAGAAGCCGCAGGAACTTGGCAGGCAAGGCAGTCAGACAAGTGCTCTGAGGTCGAGAGCAGACGAAAGGAAGACGATGTCGTGCCCTTTAGTAGTCCCCTGGCTCATCATGCTTCAACGCCCAGCCCAAGCTGCCGTCCCGTCCGCATGAGCCGGCAGAGCGTCTCGGCGATGTCTTCGCCGAGGTGTATTGACCGCGGTGTCTTGGCTGAGGTCCTGTCAAGTAGACATCCCTTTCAATCGGACCTATTCCCCCAGGTTCTCCATCGAGTTATACCCCGTTGAAGCCTATTAGTGCGGAGGTGATGTGGTCATTCGGAGCACGAAAGACAGCGGAGTGCGGAGCACAGACGGGCGAGCTTGACCCTTGCAGGACGAGGGCCGTCTCCCCCAGGCTGCCCAGGCCAACTCGAGATTGCCAGACCCGGCAAATGTTGGAAGGGCCGGCAATGTCGTGATGCGCTCGGTCAAAGTCCCCCGCATATCAGCATGGCATCAGCTGCGACTGGATGACGGAGTCGTTGGATATGGGGGATATGGGGAATAGGGAGGGGGGCACGTGGTGGGGATTTCTCCAGAGACCGGGGAGCGCACCCCAGGCTTAACATATCAACCCCAGATATTAATATATTATCGGCAGACTGGTAGCGAAATGCAACTCTGCCATTGTGGGGATGTCCCCATCTGGCCCCCATGCCGTCGCCATAATTAATCATGTCTGGGGGGCCATGAGGTTGAGTATTTTCTTCACTAACAGCGAGGAAGCCTCGACGTTAATTTTAGCGCTGCAGTAATTCAAAGTCAGGCTCATCGAGCGACCTGGGATACAATACCTGCGGTGGTTTGATTACAACCATGGACTCGTCCATCGCTACCTAACGTCAGGCCTCTTTGGTAGGATGCCGACACTGTCTGTGGATTATTGAGCAAAGAGGTCCATGTCAGCCTCGATGCGGTCAGTAGGATCCGCTTCAGAATTTGCCGGACTCGCCGTTTTCCTCGCGTTGAATCACTTGACAAGACTCTTTGTAGGTCTACGAAGGGCACAGTCGAGCGAGGACGACTGCTGTCCCCCTCCTCGGAGATGACTTCCAGGTTTCGAGACCTTCTCTCCTCTCTGGTCAAGCAAGGACGACTGCTGGGCCCCTCGTCGGTGTCGCGATGGACAAGGGTCAGGCCGAAGTGGTTGTTCATATGGTGGTGGACGGCGAGGACTCGATATTCCTCGAGGAACACATGGAAGTTGTCAACCTGGATGCCAAGCCTTGCCTGCTCAAGAGATCCGATGGTGGCGATCACGGAGGGGTCGTACGCGGCCATGATTCCGAGTTCCATTCTGCGTGTTCGGTGAAGGTGGATGTTGCGCAGTGTCCTTGTAGTGGTGATGAGAACGTATAGCGCTTTTTGTAAGAACTGTATGATGACTGTGATGATGATTGGTGTTAGATAAGCCGAGTTGTTATGCGAAAGGTCAAGGGGGTGCCCAAGCAGCTCGTATCTGTGAGTAGGGTGGCGTCAAGTTATCGTGCTTGCCAGCTTGTACATCAAGTGGTTGGCAAGTAGGAGGAACGGTGAGGTAGTCTTGAGGCAGCAGGTACTTCCCGGTGTGATGATGGGATGTTGATCAGAGGAAGCTGCAACTGATCAGCCAAATACGTACACTGAGCCCTCATAAGTCTCCATACACTCCTCATCCACCAAGCGAAAGATGCGATAATTAAAAAATGGAATAACCACGCTAGAATAAGCATCGAAGATGACTTTATAGCCATGAGCTGCTTATGCCTGTCTGCTTATTCCAGTATTTCCAAATCTTCGCGTGTGATCTGGGATTCTTCCAACATGGCGCGTACGGAGACTTATGAGGCTCAGTGTACCAGTGATCACGGCCTAGACAGTCACTCAGAGGCAATCGCCAGCTTGCCGAACACTGCCCAGCATACATGATCATCATGATGGATCAAGAAGATGCCTCCGTGAGGTCTAGTTTGCCAGATGAGCTTGATATGTTGTACAGCCGTGTGATTCTCAGTGTGTATGTAATAGCCTGCCGTGCCGTCTGTTGCCGTCTCGTCATTACAGATACCAGGAAAGACATGGACCCAGAGATGCGCCGTCTTTTTCTGCTTCCTCAAACTTCACCACCGCGTATTCCATCCCCGATTACGACAGTACCGAGAAACCCTTGTCTTCAACATGTTCGAGTGTTCAAGTTTATCATTATCCAATAAGCCATCGCTTTCCCACTCATGCCAGAGGCACATGTAAGGGCTGGAATATTGGGGAGAGCGCACTGCGGACCTCCCTCGGAACAAGAACAAGACGAAAACACATAGCATAGTCGGCCCTCCGCGACGCCTCCCCTTCCCTCCTGGGGTATCATTTGTTTTTGCATGGTCCCTGATTCCCAACGCATTAACCGTGTTCATTACATTATGAAAGAAGAACTTGGCTTGTTGAACGTCCATCTAAAGCTGTGTGGGAAATTGACAGTACCCATCAACGAAAGAGCAGATGCAGATGCTGTACGGCTGACAATGCAACGACAAAAAGCACGTAGGAGTATTGGTACACGTGACCCCGTCCGAGTGATCTCGGTGATCCGGCAAGACCAGCTCATTATGTCGAGCTTTCGGATATCGCCTGATGAGATTGTGACAGCGTAGTCGTGGGCAAGTGGCCCGCACCGTGCTGGATGTTTGGTTGAGACGCGTTCATTCCAGCACTGACTAACAGTAATCCTGAGGAGTCATGTTCTGAGTGAACTGAATCTGCTTTGATCGAGGTTGACCTGGGGAGGACTTGGGCGAGATGACAGACTCGTTCGCATCCCAGTCGTACTGAGTGTTGTTCATGGAACTGCCAGCGAATGAACTCTGTTCTGGGATGGAACCCATCATGTTGGTGTACAACGGCGTTGTTGGAAGACTGCCATCGCTCAACTCCACATAGCTAGGCATGTTACGCATGCTGAGATCCGGAAACTCGGTATTGAAGAATGGCGTCAAAAGCGGTTGGTCCGCAGAGAAGTCAACCCCAGAGCTGAACGGGTTGGCATTATAGTTGTGAGCAGAGAAGTTGGTCATTAGGCCGGGTGTACTTGGAGGCGTCTTGAGGTTGGACTCTGCCTTCAGTTCCTGCATGATATTCGATGACACCCCTCCACCTAGCATGAACGAGCCATCGTCAGAGCATGTCGAGGACACGGTCGGCTCCCGAATGGATTGTTGGTCCAGGAGGGCTGGCGTCATTGGTGTTGGCGGAGCCGCGCCCTGGAACGTCGAGCTCATTGACCCAGCCGGCGAACGAGTACGGTACTGAAGCAACGCTTCATGATTCCTACCAAAGTACATAGGGGAACGTGGTCCCATACTGTACTTTTGAACCCGCCCGGGGCCAGCTCCCGTGGCAGATACAATGCGGCGCATTGCAGAGGCAGGGCTGCAAGGATCTATCCTCTTCCCATCAATTGCAGTCTTGGGACCACAACCGAGGTTGTAGGAACGGCTTCTCAGAGAGGCAGTTTGGAGAGATGCTGGACGCGGTGTGTTTCGGCGTGATGCAATGTTGGCGGGGGGGGGAGGCGACTTGAAGGAGTCGTCTGGCGTGGGCATGCCCTGGGATCCTAGTTGCGTCACTAGCTCTGTGTTGTCGGTCCTGGTGTCTTCCAAAGGGCTTCCCGTTATCCCTGAATCGATGCCCGAATGCGGCTGGAAGAAATATGTCGTCGTTGAGCTCGGGAGCCCTGCGCTCATCAGGTTGGGATAGAGACGTCCGCTGTCATGCTCACCGGGCATGCCATGATCATCGGGCGAAGGCACTCGAATTGAAACGCTATTCAAGCGTTCCCCGCGACTGTCGTGCTCTATCTCATGTTGGGACGACATGAATGAGCTGTAGTCGCTCATAGATCTAGGTTGAGTGTAACCGTGATGGGTGTGATCCTGCGACAACCCGGGCATTTCTGTGTGCGAGTAGTCGAGCGACAGGGGAGATTGGAAACCACCAGTCGAGTCATCATGGTGGGAACTGGAATCTTGGACAGAGGGAGAGCCGATAGCATCGGAGCCAACAGGGGTATCGTCCTCATCTTCATCCTCGTATGAGGAGCCCGTGACGTGAGAGGTCGAGGTGAGATCTGGGAAAATAGCGGACGATGGTTGCATACGTCTGGGAACGTTGTCACCCAGGGACTCTGAAGCTTCGCTGGCTGTATCCTCGTCGGGGGAGTTCGGCGTCGAGGTGGCTTTCTCTGCCGCTCTTCGGGCCTCGTATTCTTCTTGCTTCCTCTCCTGCTTTGCCTTGGCCCGCCGATTTTGAAACCAGTTCTGGTAAGTCGAGTCAGCACAGCGCGATGGGATGCGTATCAAAGGGCATATGTTACATTGATTCTTGGACGTTCCAGTCCAAGCCCATCCGCCAGTTGTGCCTTCACCGAGCTCGAAGGCTTGGGGTTTTCTTGAAACACCTTCTCCAGCTTCTCAACCTCCTCTTTCGACAACCGAGGCTTCGACTCGGTTTTGCCGTCACTCAATCCACTCCGTTCGGCCCCAAGGTGGCTGCTGGGTTGCTGATAGCCGTACATGTATTGGAGGCCGGGGAATCCAGGATGGACTTGGTACTGGCTTTCGGGATATTGCATGGGGTTTCCTTGTCCATGGTTGAAGCCGTACGCCGAGGCGTAGTTCGATTGAGCACAGAATTGCATGTTCATGATGCCGAAAATGACAAACCGCTTTATGTATTAAGTATTTATATTCGTGGTAGAACGGTAGCTACCTTCTCGGACGCAATGTGGGGTATAAGGCTGCCTGCAAGTCGACGTGCGAAGGACCGAGATATTACTAGTAAGGTGTTCTGAAAATGTCGCAGAGGGTATATATACTGAAGACCAGGAGAGGGCGTGGCTAGTTGTTGTTGTTATAAAGAACGACTGGGGGTTAGATACGTCAAAGACCGATGCAAGACGACTGCCGCAGAATGAATGTGGTGGTGAACTGATGCTGCTGAGCACGAGGAAGCAGTTGCTCAAAGTGGAGGGACCAGGCCGATATAAGAGCAAGCAAAGCAGGCGAGTGGTCAATGGGTACGACCGAGTCTGGGTGAGACAGAGCTCACTTGGACAGGTCCAAGTTCACTCGAGGCAGAGACAAGCAGGGTCGAGATGGAACAAAAAACCAAATACAGGAGGAGTGAGGAGAGCGGAAGGGAGGGGGTCGTGTAGAGAAATAGTAGTCGTAGGCGGTGGGTCGGCGTGGGAGCTTGCACGATGCTGAGCGGCTTGGTCACTCGCCTAGTGTGCGCTGTCGACCGGGAAGCGCGTAGGTACTTCCGCGGTACCAAGAAATTGCGCGGAGGCGAGGAGGGAAAAACGCTGGCTGCGAACAGGGCGGGTGACACTGGGCGCCGACAGGGTACTGTGCCTGGATGCAGCCTGCAGGCCGTATCCATCCTACCCACCAAGGCCACCACCACCCACTGCGCAGTGTTTTTTCACATCTCAGATCTGGCGCCCACGGCAGAGAGAGGCACCGGCAGAGCACAGTAGTGCAGGTACCGAGGATTCCAGGACTTGGCTTGCCAACAAAGTAGCGCTGATGAAGCGCCGGGTCTCCTGACTGGGTTGTCTTTAGGTATGTATGTCGGGATGTTTTTTTTTCTCGCGGCGGGCCTGGGCGCTACGTTGGCGGAGCTGAACCAGCCGAACATGGTGCATCACCACCATCATTACCACCACCACCAGCGAGCGCATCCCTGGGCAACGGGGACTGACAGACTGCCCGAGAGGGACTAGAACCAAGCGTGGATACTGGATAGGGCCACTGGCGACTGATCCGTCGACCACGCCGACTCGCCGAGGCTTCGTTCCCTCATCCTAGTCTGGTGTCAGTGCCAGGGTACCATGGTCGGAAGACTGCCCTGGCCCCTTGGCTGTCTGTGCTTGTACTAGTACTACCCCTTATGTAAAATACCCTGACCACGTACCGCGTTAGATAGGTATTAATGCCTTCTTTCATAAAAATGTGCAATGAGGGCTCCGGTGCTGACACTTAAATCAGTATAGCGGCGGTCATGGGTGGCCCGGTACCTGACCAAGGGATTTTTCTTTTGCGTGACACCGCAGCTCGTGCCTGTATGTGCCTCTGCGTGTCTGACCCCTTTACGGTACATGTTGGGAGTAAAGGCGGCGCGCTAATGGTGCAGTTGATCCCTGGTCTCTGTCACCGCGACCCCTGTCTTAAGCTGAAGACTGAAGAGGTACAGCCATGTAAGTACCTGAATGGCTTCGGATGGCGCAGCAGATCAGTGGACATGATAGATAAGGTAGGAACCGAAAACGTGTCGAAGGCATCACTTCCCGGCCGAAGCTAGGCCAGGGCCCCCAGGTAAGCGGAGGGAAGCAGGGATCGAGGGGAGGGAAATACAGTATGTGGCCGAGCCTCCGAGGCCGCCGGCAAGCTCCAGTTCTACTTACCTAGGTGGTAGGTAGAGGAAGCAAGGCATGATGAGCACTGAAAGCGATGGTCCTTCTCAGGTTGCGAGGGACGGATGGTGGGTAACATGATGGCAGAGATTCAGCAAAGGGCAGGCCACCTGGCTGGAGATGGATTTGCTGGACCCGCCGGTGTTGGTACTCCAAGGCGTTGTGGTCCTGACTCCTGGGGAGAAACAGAGAGAAATACAGAGTGGTCTCTGGGGCCTGCCACCTGGGGGCGCTTGCCATGGCCCGTGGTCCCTGCAGCCTGCAGCCTGCCAGAGCCGCACAGTGCGAGTACTCCACCTACAGCGACAGTAATGGGACGTTTTCACACAGTGATACCGACAGCCCGGGTGTAAGTGCTTATTATATTAGCACCGCGAGATATGCTCAGGCATTAGACGGGAGCCTTGCCCTGTATAATATATAGCACTTACATCATGGGGTACCTTATGCTGTAACATGGCCCGAGGACAATGTCCTCTGGAGTCCAAGTCATTACACCGATCAAGTAAATCTGACTGACACGCCTTCGCACGTGAGAACCTACTATCTTATAGTGACGCTGAGCTCGGTCTCCTCCAGACAATTTCAATATGTATAAGTCTACGTCACATCAGCATCAACACGATATACTGCCATAGCGAACGGTGACGCCTTCATTGCGGACCACGTTGCTGGAGAAATCAGCCAGTCTTGGATCTATGTAGTTTCCATCTACCTGCTCAGGCACAAGAGTACTCGGTGAAACCAGATAAGTGGCTGGCTGTCTTGGACCTCTGCACCATCCAGAGTTCGACTGTGTACATAGACTCCAGGGAAGATGCTGCATAAGGTAGGTATTATGTAGGTAGTAGGTAGGTCGGAAGCTGCGATCACCGGTATGCGTTCGCTCCACCTCTGCAACCGCCCAACCGCCCAACGGTCAACCGCCAAACCCAACCAGCTCCAGCTTCCATCCCCTTTTCATAAGTTTGCAACTCACCACCTCATGGTTGCAATCCACCTCTACTAATCCCTGGGTCACAATGCTCATCACGCGCTCCAGACTCCCGATCTCATGGCAACATGGGCAACATGGGCAACATGGGCAACATGGGCAACATGGGCAACTGCCAACGATGGGGCATGGGCTCGCTGAATGTCCCTTCCGCTTACTTTTGTGCTTGATTCGCACTTCTCTCGAGCATAACTCGTATTCGCGCCGTTTTGACAAGATCGCCCTCACTGCACCTAGACCGACATGACCGACATAGCAGATTACGCCCGCATTTCAGCTTCCCACCACGAATCCCTCCAGAGATTCACGCCAGCATCGCAACTTGAGCCCAAACAGGAACTCAATTCGTGTCCATCGTGCCTGCCTACAAGCTGTCGGCTTTCGCCTTCGCAGCCAGCGGTCTGGCCAACTGGTCAGTGGTCACCCCGACGATGGAGATTCGAATAATCAGTCGACGTCCACTGTGCAGTCTGGGGCAGGGTTGCATTGCTTATGTTGGCTTGCATGAGACGCGCTCAGCTATTTATGGCCCCACACTCGCAATCTGCACAACCGCAGCAGGACGGCTCAGGAGTCAGGACTCAGGAGTCAGGACCCGAAGCTGGGCACAGTAGACACAGTGCCGTCATACGATTGGGCGCGACGGTCGGCAAGGCATCCACCTAGTTGCAGTGACCGCGTCGATTCCCGCGCCCTGCCAGTACGACACTGCGGTCCTGCGCGAGCAGCACTCCCTTTTCCGCTCCTTGCTTTTATTATCCCGCAGCTGCTGCAAGGTTGTCTACTCGGTGCCGACGGGTGCGTCACTGCCCATGCCGCAGTTGACGCCATGAGAGGACGACTTCAGTCACTTGCAGCTTATCCTGCCTTGCTAGTCTCGCCTGCTTCTTTGCAATTCCAGATGCGGCAGAGCCCAAGGACATGGTCCTCGCCAGTCTTTCCTCCCTGAGGGTGTCGAGACGGAACCGTGTCCGAGCGCGAGAATAGGATCTGGCGCTCCAAGGTAGCTCCAGCCGGCAGACATGATGGGGTAGACTCGACGTAGTCTCTACAGTCTCCCATGATGTTGATAACCTGGGGCGTATATCGGGACTGGATGACGCTTCGTCCGATTTCGTGCTGGATCTTGAATACAGAAATGAACGATGATGTAGCAGTGTCATCCCCCCGGGTTGCATATAGGCTGACTATTTTAGAGAAGATTTCCTTAAGCTATAAGTTAAGATGTGCAATATAGGCCAGCTGTTGGTACACCCTGGGGAATACTAGAATTCCTGGGATGCTGGGGCTGCATTAGTTCCCTGGCCACCTCCGCCTGCCAAGCTGAGCCAGAAAGCTGGGACTTCGGAACAAAAGTCCATGGAACCCGGCCAGTCACCAGTCTGCGCTGACCAGAGGGCAAGCATAGAATACACCTTGTTCCCTGCTAGTCATCAGCAACAGGGAAACCTACCACTCGCGAATCTGGGCTGAGAAATCGGACATACGAGAGCCCTGATCACCCAATCGAAGATTTTGTCGTTGGATAACATAGAGGCCTCGCTGGGAAACGATCATCGGCCGGCCCAGATGCCCGGATAGCCTTGTTCCCGAGGGTGGGACTGGTCACTGCTGTCAGCTGAACCTGGCGATCCAACCAGATCAGGAGCGCCACAACGACAACACCTTCGACCTTTACTTGGACGAGAGGAAAAGCCGAGAGAAGGTATTCTCCCTGAAGGCAACAAGCCGAAACCTTTTTATTACCATTGTTGTGTGGATGATGTGCTCGCTCTAGTATTCTTCTGATGGACTGATGAGTATCAGTGCACCATGGAGGCCAACGCACACGATCCGGACCCAAGACCTACCTTCAACTCCAGCACAACACTCCTGCCAACTCGTGTATTGGAAAGTTCCGCCCTTAGCCAGAACAGTAACATGACTTCTACGGTCTCCCACTGTCATGATCAAGTCGAAGCTTGAAGGTCGAGATCTAGGCATCGCGTACACTGTAGAAGACAGAGTCCTGGCAACCTGAGTGCCTCCCCTCGTTCTCGGTCCGGGCAGTATGACGCGCCCAATTCCAGCGCCACAGCATGCGGGTTACGGAATCCACGATATGCAAGATCCATCCACTACTACTCACTGGAGGCGCGGCTCATCACGTCTTCTCAGTTCGGGTGAACTACCAAAGCAAGGACCTAAACAGGTCTTAAAGGCCGTGTCAGACCTTGGCGACTGCCTTTCTTAGATACGATTGGACGGCAGACGCATCTGCTTTAGTGTGACCCGAGAGGCAGGAGCCCTTCGTTCTAGCGGGTGACTGTTTCTCTGCCTTCCTGCACAGTACTTGCTTGATAACTTATAAGTGCATCATCACTGGTCAGTGCGATCCCTTTCATGGGTGGTGGCTGCCGCGTCGCTGACAGCTCAGTCAGGGCTCGGCGCCTGCTGTCAGGACGGGTCAGCATTCAATACGAATTGCGAACGGATTGCGAACTCCCCTGTCACGATTATCGTGTCCGCGTTGCAGTGGGTGGGCTACGGCCCGCTGAATGCGACGCTGCGCTCGAGACGCCGACCTTTCCGCCTGTCAAAGCATGTTGGTGTCAGGGTGTCAGAGGACTCTTCCCCCGGACCATCAAGATTTATCATCATCGCCTCAGCAAGAGAAGGTCTAGGCAGATCTAAAAGCTCCGGGCGAGCCAACGGCACTCCCTTCCCGATGCAAGGCAGGCCACCAACCACCACCCACCCTCGCCCGTCTTTCTCACGGCTGGGGACTCCATATCCCAAAGGTAGGAACCAGTGCGGCGTCTCTCCAACGCGGACCCACGGCTGACCGAGACACGGACTGAGAGGACAGACTGAAGATCTCGGCCTTTGTCCAACACTGTTTCTCTCAGGTGCGACTACAGAAACTACGAATCTCCCAGTACAGATCCCGCAGCGCAAGTTCTCTGTCATGATCATCATCAGCCCTACCTGCCGAGTGGCAGAGTATCATCAAGATGGCCCGAGCGGCATTTGCGTAGATGAACCCTTCCCAAGTGCAACCATTCACTAAAGTAGCGTTCGTCGGCACTCAATTGCCTGATAATGGTGAGAGCCCGCCATGTGTGCCGTGCGTGCCCAGGGCAACTCGACATCACAGCATTTGAGAGATGTACTGTTAGGGCGTGATCCCACCTTGGAGTCTAGACCACCCTCACGATTCCCCGAATCCTTTAGGAGACACTGCATTTCCGCTCTGCTCTGGATGATGCAGGCTGTTGCAGCGGTGCGTCCGTGATTTCAGCTTTCGCTAAGCGATATCGATGGAGCTAGACGAGCCAGATAGATGTTCTCACCGTGATTGCGGAGGATCCTCAGACTCCCGCTCCACGAGGTACATGCAAAGTACCTCCGGGCTAGGTCCAGGGCATGGGAAGATAAGGTAAGCCACTGGTTCCCTAGCCCCAGCTGCCACGTGGATCTAGCTGTGACAAACACTCCCCTGGCAGCCACTACGAAATGGCTTGCGCAAGTTGCGTCCCTCATCTCGGGGCCGGAGTGGCTGTAGCCAAGGCTCGGCCGCTACCCACCCGGACACGGATACACCAGTTCTTCATCAGACTGGTTCTGCTTTCATGGGATGTCGTCGTCTGGCCTCGGGCACGCGTTTCGATGATTCATTACGAGTGCTGCACGGGACTCTGCTTCCAGCCCGGCTCGAGTATGAACCGCCTGATATTGAGGAATATTCAACATATCACCGAGTCGGTTCGTGGATATTCGATATTCGCCCACGTCTTCCAAATACGCAAGCTTCGCTTCAGCCGAAGGTCTATGAAACTTCACGGCTGGGATCTGCTCAGCTGCATATTGGGAGGTAGTCAGACGCTTCGACCGGTCACAATCTTCCAGTGTCCTCACGACATCACAGGGACCGTTGGAAGCTCCCAATGCCGGTTGTTGGAATCAAAAAGACGATCTGTGGTAGGACGAGCTCCCAACCTGATGACAGCTGTGGATGTCCACTTGACGGCGGCATAGGTAATAAATGTCTCACACTGCGCCCTGATTCAACGGACGAGATGCCGGCGAAGCGTTTGGCCTATGAGCAGGATCCAGACTCGGACAACGTCTTCTACCTGTCCCGGCTGGCTTGCTCGTAGCGTGGCGACGGCGCTCGGAAGCCTCGCTACGAAAGTTAGCATGTGTCCATCGGAAATGACGACGGCTTCACTTTTGCAAGATTTGACGACCTGAATTGATATAGCTTCCAACTAAGCACCCGCTCATTCGCCTTCGGAGAAAAAGCTTCGACTCTTGCAAGTTCAGGCTTTAACCCCCTATCTCCTATCCACTTTCCTTACAACCAGATTCATTCTGCCACGTCTTGCTCTTTAATCTCTTGTTCCTGCAGTAGGGCGACGACGAGTGTCACGGTGGGGGTCTCTGGTAGTGTCGGGGACCTGCTTTGGCCCGTTGCTTTTGCTGCACGCTACTGACATATGCTGCTTCATTCCAACACCGGCTGACCGGATGACCACACAAGTGTCGTTCCCAGCTTGGTGATTATCCTGTCGCAAATCATGCTGACCCCTGCTCGACACTTCAGACCCCAGGAACACGGTGCACGATCGTCTCGTCATCTCACTAAGAGACTGCGTAACTTGCCCTGATGATCTACACGATAGTACTGTACAGGGTTTCTGACAGCCGCCCAGATGCTGATGATGTGTTCTCTGCGACCGCGCCGGATTCTGGCAAGTCAGCAGCGATAAAACCTTGTTTTGACAGCAGATCGTTGCTGCTGGAAGCCGAAGAGAGACCTGAATGGGTCGGTCACGCAAAGGCCCGCGAGCTGCATCGGGCTCCTGACAGTAGGCGTGGTTGCTCAGGTCGCCGACCAGATACCTTGACACCCGGGAAGATCCTTTCTTGGCGGGCTCACAGGCGTCTTTGCGCAACCAACGACTGCATGTCTTAGGATACGGCTGTCCTATCCGAGGAGGCTGCTGCACGCAGCCGCCACCAGTTCGAGCCACTCTGGGATATTACATACGGCAGAGTGACTATGTTTACAGTAAGTGACCGGACCTGGCAGTACAGCACTCTCGTAGGCAACTGCCACGATTGGCTAGTGGTGAGTACCATACATTCATCTGGCCGTATACACATGGTCCTGTAGTCATCACCACTCCCGCCCAAGAGGTGGCACTACCGGGCAGATAGAGGCTTGTACACAAGCTTCGCAAAGTTTAACCACATCCACGGCCCGGGATGAACGAGACTGAGCTTGCTGCCTGCACAATGAGTCCCTATGCAGGTAATTTTACGATACGACACAAGCTCGTGACCGCTCCCGTCGGCGTACAAGCGGTTGTTTATCTCACTTGTTCATCTCCGTTGCCGAGCCCAAACGAAACCTTCTGCGCACCACCACCGAGATAACTGGCGACAGGCTGTTTATCGCCCAAGGTACCTACGTATTCGCTATATTGTGCGACTGGGTGATGGCCGACTGACGTGGACGACGGGCTCTCTAATTTCAGGTCGGCGAACGCGACCAAAGGAGGTACGGACTCGTTTCTTGGGACGTCGCACAGTTCGTCCTTGTCTCTCGTAAACACTCACAAGCTACAATAAATTTGTAAGGGTACCGGTGGTCAAGGAGGCATGGCACGCACCGCCCGTCCCGGCCGAACGGCGCAAAGGGAGCTCCCGCCGTCTCTACCTAGTGCTATCTAATCCCTATCTACCTAGGCTTGCCGCATTCCTGGGCTCGCAGTCTCATCCTTGCCAGCGGCGGAACGCCATTGACGATCCCTTTCACGCTGACCGGCATCTTCCTGGCTTGTCGACGCTGCGTAGGGTTCTGTTGTCGTTGGTGCGCGTGTGCCACGCCGGTCAGTGCGTCTCTTATGTATGGGTGCGTCCAATCCTGGTGAGTATGCTGCTGTGTAGAACGCAAATCAACAGTCGGTTGAAATACTCCGTACTTGCTTGCTGCTGTGCCTTGACACAACATGGCTGAAGGTGAAAACAATCCCCCCTTTTCTCTCTCTGTCTGCTGATGAGCACGGGGCGGAAAGCGATCGATGGTCATGACGGACCGAATGGACATGGACATTGTCTAGAAAAACATACGTACCTAGTCAAGTACACGTACCCTATCCAGCCGTTGCCTATCACGTATCCAACCGTCACCTATCAGATCTCAACATGTACGTTGATGTTGCCCTTGGAAGTGCAAGCCTTATTCAGGTTCCTAGCCCATACCGTGTCTGTATGCTTTGACAGCGGCTCGTTGCTTGGACTGATATACACGGGTCGGGACTTGTTACACTAACACCACCTCGGCAAGGCAGGCACGCAGGCACGCTGCTACTTAAGTCTAAAGTTTACATTCGGACGGGCACATCGTCCACCGCCAGCGAGAGAGAGAGAGGGCTGGGTTCGGGATATACGGGAGATTCGATAAAGTTGGCTGGCAGCTTGCAGATGTTGCGTGCTCCTGTTGAGGGCTCGTTTTAGTAGGGAGGATGGGGGATGGAGGATGGAGGGATGGGGGGATGGGGGTTTGTTCTACTGGGTTTCTCTCCTCATCGTTGGATTTTGTACTACAGAGAGCTTCTCACCGGTGTCCATTGAGCTCGAGTGAGTTGAGCTGACAATAACTGCAGTTTCCCTTCGGTGGGTGGCGTGGCCTTGGAACTGCAAGGGGAAGGAGAAGATGCTGCCAGGTACCCATAGTGATGGTGGTGGCAACCCTGCCCACGTCCTCTGCTCACTGCTTACTGCCGGGGCCGGGCGTGGAGTTTGTATGTCGACATGCCTTGAGTTTATCTATCTATATCAGCCGAGTCACATCGCTACCTAGGCAGGTAGGGTCGAAAGCGCAGGGCTGTTCTACCCGGCTCGCTGTGCGCTTGTGGACAGTCTTCTTTCGGGCATGTTATAAAGTCAAAACTGTACAATGGATATAATTTCCGGGCATTGCCTATCTGGGAGCCAGGACCCAGCAACTTGACTGGAGGGTATGTCTATTTTGGATATATTTGGTCGTCTATCGAGTCTATCCGCAACGCCGTGAATCCGGAGACCGAGCATCGCCACCCCTGTGGTTCCTCTGTCAGGGTCCAATTCCTGTCTATAGGTCGAGATCTACAATGTTGTATTGGGGGCCGCAGATAGTTGACCGTGCGGGTTGCGCTTTCGTATTTCTGTCATGAATCCACGTGGGGGCTGCTAGTCTTCACTTCAATGGTAATCTGGGGCGTGTCATCGAGGGGGAGCCACCACAAGTTCTTGAGTTGAGGGTGGGGGTGGATGGTCGATCACCATGGTCTCTGAAGACTATCGATCGCTGACCGAGCAGCGCCCCCAACCCCTTTCCATCCTTCAGATTGCTCCCTACGCCGACGAGGTCACCAGGGCGTCCGAAATCTGCAGCGTCACGCGGCCGTCCCCGGGGTTGTACTCGACCATCTTGACCGAGATCAGGTCCCGCACCACCCAGTCCGGCTCGGCCGCCATGACTTGCTCGACCGTATGGCTCGTCACGAGACCCAGCACCTTGCAGCCGGCAGCCTTGCCGGCCCTGATGCCCGCGGGACTGTCCTCGAAGACCAGCACCTCCGCCTTGGCGTCGAGTCCGAGCTTTGAGAGGCCCAGTTCGTAGCAGGAGGGGTCCGGCTTGCCGTTGGCTACGGACTCGGCCGTGACGAGGTGGTCGGGATGCGGGAGCTTGAGCACGTCCAGCCAGCCGCTCACCAGGGGCACTGTGCCAGACGTCACGATGGCCCACGGGGCGTGTGCTGCTATCAGGCTGTCCAGGAGGGCTCTCGCCCCTGGGATCTCGACGGCGTCATCGCCGTGGAGTTTGGGGAGTAGCCCTTCCATGTGTCTTACATCTGAGTTGAGGGGTCGTCAGTCAGCTAGCTGATGATGATGAGACAGAGGGATGAGGGGAGGCTTGAAGTCAGGGGCTATAACTAGTCTGGGGCTTCGGAGGGACTGCACCCTGCCCTCGCCGAATCCCTGGACTATATAGTGTGACTTACATTCCCAGTTTGCCTTGTCAGGGGCGAGCACCTTGAGCATGTCGATGCTCCGGCGGCCGTGCGAGGTCTGCAGGATGACTTCCGGGTCGACGCCGATCTCCTTTCCGATTCTGTGGACACGCTTCAGAGGGATGGGACGAGCAGATGTCAGGGATGGCTCTTACGAGTGCCAATGCTTCTCGACGGCGGCAGTTGAGTCGATGATGGTACCGTCCATGTCGAATAGGAGACCACGGAAGGTCACGTTCTCGGGGGGTGCCGCAAAGTCCATCTTCAGTGTGTTCGTTCAACACTGCTTTGCAACAACTGTTCAAGCTGATCACTATCACTCTGAACAAATTTCTCACTGCGTTTGGGCATGAATGACTTATAGTAGGAGAACCTCACACAGAGAACACTTTGACTGGTAGTCCGAATGAGGAAACTCCGCCTGGAATACGCCAGACGAAGCGGCCCCAGCACACAGGCGCCGAACTTCGCTGAAGCTGTCGGCATTGTAAGACCCCTCAGTGGGTAACATTGGTAACAAATACTGAAGGTGGGGTGGCCGCGATAGCGTTAACCTTTTGGTGGGCTTGGTGGGGGTTATCGCTGGCGGTGGAAGACGGCAGTAATCACTTTTTCCTACCGACTCTAGAAATTTTAATGCTGAAGTGAATTTCGAGATTCGATCCACAACTGGAGTCCTTTAACTTTTCGCCTACCAATTGCCCCGATACCACGAGCAGAAATGGGAGGCATAAACAAGCCCGGAAGTGTGTTCAATCATCCCACCAGTAACGAAAAGGCGGTATCACTAACAAGAGCACTCGCAGAGCCGAAGTCTAAGCGGACGCCCGTCCGTTTGCGGCACAAGATTGAGAAGGCATCCGCGGCGAAGCAGCGCAAGGCTAGAAAGGAGGCCAAGAAGAACCCGCAATGGAAGTCGAAGCTGAAGAAGGACCCCGGTATCCCGAACCTGTTCCCTTACAAAGAGAAGATTCTCCATGAAATCGAGGAGGCGCGGGTGAGGAAGCAAGAGGAACGGCAACGGCGCATCGAGATGACCAAAGCGGCCAAGACTGGTGCTACAGACGAGGCAGACAATGGAGAGATGGCCATGGAAGGCGCAGAAGAGGAGGAGACCTTCGACGATAGCGACTTGATGGACGAGGACGACGCAGACGACTCCAACCCGATGGCAGCGCTCATCGCCAGCGCAAGAGCTGCCGCCGCGAAATACGACCGCGATCTAGGCAGCGAAGGCGAAATGGACGAGGACGACGATGACGAAGATGATGACGATGAAGGCGTTGCTCAGGACTCATCGAGGAAAGCGCACGACAAGGTTTTCAAGCAGGTTGTGGACCAGGCCGACGTTGTACTCTACGTTCTGGACGCTCGTGACCCCGAGGGCACAAGATCAAGAGAGGTCGAACGGATGGTCATGGCTGCAGCAAGTGGCGGAAAGAGATTAATACTTGTGCTCAACAAGATCGATCTGATCCCGCCGAAAGTCCTCAAGGACTGGCTTGTCTACCTTCGACGATACTTCCCAACGCTGCCTTTACGAGCTTCCGGTTCTGCTCCGAACGCGCAGACATTCAACCACCGAGAGCTCACCGTTCAGAGCACATCTTCGACATTATTCAAGTCCCTGAAATCCTTTGCCGCCTCGAAACAACTGAAGCGCGCCGTGTCCGTCGGCGTCATTGGATATCCCAACGTCGGAAAGTCGTCTGTTATCAACGCACTCCTTGCTCGACTGGGTGGCCGTGGAAGAGCAGCCTGCCCTGCCGGTGCCGAAGCAGGTGTCACGACAAGCATTCGCTCCGTCAAGATCGACAGCAAGCTGACCTTACTCGACTCGCCTGGTATTGTCTTCCCTTCGGTGGTCGATGGCGAGTCGACGTTGAAGAAGAACGCCATCGAGGAGCACGCACACCTTATCCTGCTGAACGCAGTCCCGCCGAAGCAGATTGACGACCCGATACCCGCGGTCCAGTTGCTGCTTAAGAGACTGTCTGCCTCCCCGGAGCTGCTGCAGAAGTTGATGGATGTCTATGATCTTCCGCCGCTAATGACGACCGATGGCGATGTCACAACAGATTTCCTGGTACAGGTGGCTCGCAAGCGTGGAAGACTCGGACGCGGCGGCATTCCGAACTTGCCCTCTGCTGCCATGACAGTTGTGACTGACTGGCGGGACGGACGTATCCAGGGATGGGTGGACGCACCAGTGCTACCAGTTGCAGTAGGCGATATTGCAAGCAAGAAGACCAGCGGAAAGCAGGGCGGATCAGCGGAACCGACCGCTATGCCCGACCAGAAGCAGATAGTGACGGAATGGGCCAAAGAGTTCAGTCTTGAGGGTCTGTGGGGTGATGATGGTGTTGATACGAAGGCAGTGGGTGATGCTATGGAGCAATAACGAGCTTACGTTCACCTACGTCGCGGCACTGGCTCTCAGTTAGTCTCATGAGATACCTCTTTGTGATGATTTGGCGTCTGGCGAAGGGAAAATGGTACCGACTTCTTCCATCATATTCGTCGGTCTCGCTAGTGCTCGCTACTTATTGCGAATTGTGTGCTGTGAGATAACCTGGCTATGACGGTTATGGACATTGATTACATATGACACCCTCGCCGTGGAATATGCTACTGTATGTACCGGAAGGCTGATCACGTCTCACCGGGTTACTGTCCACGAATAGAAGTACCGACAGCTGCTTAGTTACCAAGGTAAGGCAGCGGGAACCGAAGGCTCTAGTTTCCCTTTGGACGTGACGTACTTGCTGGAAGCAGGTTTCAGTCAGGGCTACATAGGGGAGCACCTGGAAAGGGGTCACGACAAAGTCGAACTCAGATTTGCTTGGCCGCCAGGGATTCAGATTAACCAGGAGCGTATGGTAGATTCATGAACGGCGAGACTAGGGATTACGCTCCTGCGTGGGACTTTCGTGCCTGTGTACGAAAGCCCCTTACTTCCAGTAAGGCTGAGGCCATATCTACCGTACCTAGCGAGACTCCAGAGTCGTGGATCTTCCATGCAACTGACCACTGGTCACACTGATATCCTAGGTCACGTCGCAAGGTACCAACCTCAGATCAACCATGGCTCTGGAGGTGATGGGGTGGTTTTGGCCATGTATTGCTCGCTCCTGGTTTGGTGACCTTAACTTCCAAGCTGCGAAGGTGGGTTGGTTGGTTGCTTGGTTGGTTGGTCGGTCTCCTACCTACTCTCCCACGGTGTATGACCGGACCCGACGACATAGTAGGTTGCCCTACTTTATATACATCTTTACAGATGTAGAGCAGCTTCTGGCTTCTACACAGGTAGTGACGGGTATCGGTTAACTCTCTGCGTCATTACTCGGCGATTTCAATAAAGAGCGACACCCTCTGTTTATCTGCTGGGTAAGTGACTTGGTCTATGTTGGGGTAGGCCGGCTCGGTGGGCCATCTGGATCTTGCAGCAACCTTCGGGAGATTCTGTCGGGTTGTCGGGTTGTCAAGTTGTCAAGTTGTCAAGTTGTCAAGGTTCCCAGCCAAGACGTTGGGGATAGGTGTTCCTCGGTTGCAGTCCGAACTGTCGCACTCTATGCGTTTGGCTGCATCTGAATGTCGTGAACATTCGCACGATGCTTCTGAGCCTGGTACGACGCATGGCGATGCCAAGGGTTATTTACGTAGTCGTTGAAGGCAGGAAGGCCGTCCAGTTTCCATCTCCATCAGCTTTTCAAGGCTGCACCACGTCCACCAAGCCGAGCATCGAGCTTGTAGCACGGTCCCGGAGATGGACTATCGTCGTGCGATGAGACGTGACGATGAAGACCCATTAGGTGCGCCATGCTGATTGCTGTCCCGAGCAATGCCTGCAGACTTCCCATGTACTGCATTGACACCCAGTGCCCGTAGAAGCTATACCCTCCAGTATGGCCGGATGATCAACAACCGGAAATAGGGGTCCAACGAGCGCGAAGAACGTCTCGACGCATTGCTCCAAAGAAATCCTCAGGTGGCAAATCCGGCTTTTCCCAGCCACTCTTCAACCTGCTTCCTCTAACAAGCCACACCATCCGCTAAACAGAGCAAAAGGGGTAACTCACATGCCGTATCCCAAGCTTGAACTGCGTGCTCGCCGGCGCCAAGCCCTTGCGACTTAGGGACAGATCAACGGATACGCACAAACACCACAAGAACAATGTAGACGTTTCTCTTCGTAGTTATTAGCATGCTTACATCGTGGAATGTCCAGCGGAACTCATTCGATCGTAGCATCGACTTTTGTGATAAAGGCACGTTCTCCTATGGCGCATGCCGACCAAGCTAGGGGCTTCTGGGTTCCGGCAAAGCAGGATTGATAACTGACGCCGGGACTATTTGCCTCGACAGCCATGGTAGATACTCACCATATAGCAGCTGTTTAGAAGTACAGGTCTGGTTCGTACTGCATGAAGACATGGATAGAGAAGGCCTGGCATGACGTCATGCTCCGACGCCCAGCCGCTTGCATGCAATTGCGACACGGCCAGACCGTTTCAACTTTCCAGAGCTCCATTCATGTGCAGCAACAAGCAGGTTAGAGTTTACCTGCAGCTCCAACATCAGACAACTCTACACCATGAGGTTCTGGCGAGCTCTCGAGCTGTCCGGCCTGTTCATGGCGACCGGAACAGCAGCTGCACCGCAAGAGCAAAAACCTATGTCACTGCCACTGTCAGACCACAGCCATGTCGGCCACTTCAGTGAATGGAGTCGCCAGACCAAGAAAGAATTCCTGATAGACTGGCAGCGCGGCCGCGCCTCGGAATGGATCCTAGTCCAGGGCAACGAAGCCGGGGACCTGGACTCCATGGTCGCCGCCCTGGCCTGGGCATACCACCTCGACCACGCCACCGCCAACACGTCGAGCCCCTTGAAGGCGATCGCCCTCCTCCAGACCGACGCCGACGCGCTCGATCTACGGCCCGAGAACTCCCTCGTCCTCAAGCACGCGCGCATGCAAGGCGGCCACTCCGACATCCTCACCATCGACGAGCTCCCCGAGGACCCCGAGACCCTCAGCCGCACCATCCGGGGCGTCGTGCTCGTCGACCACCCGGAGCCGCTGCGCCGGTGGGACGACGCGGCCGTCCTCAGCATATTCGACCACCACAAGGACAGGGGTGCCGCGCCGGACGCCAAGCCGCGCGTTTTTGAAAATGTCGCGAGCTGCACGACCCTGGTCGCGCGCCAGATGCTGGACGAGCTCGAGGCGCTGCCGCGGGAGTACCACATGCCGCACGAGCTGCTGCAGATGATTCTCAGCGCAGTGGCGCTCGATTCCAGCGGCCTCAGGAAGAAAGACAGCTTCGCAGCCGACGTCCAGACGGCGGAGCGCGTGCTCGGGCGCAGCAGGTGGGCGCACCGCGATCTGGACGACGTCATGGACGACCTGGACGGCCAGCTCAGCAAGGCCAAGAAGGACATCGACGGCATGGGCCTGCGCGATCTGCTGCGGCGCGACTGGAAGGGCGACCTCGTCGACACGCCGTCGGCGCGCACGCCGACCGTCAGCCTCGGCTTCGCCTCGGTGCCCTTCTCCATGGACGAGCAGATCGAGAAGACCGAGTTCCGGGAGCTGTTCGACTGGTTCGCCATCGAGGCGGCGTGGACGGCCGAGAGCGGCGTCGACATCAGCGTCACGCTGAGCAAGCGCAAGGTCCGCGACGCCAAGGGTAAAAAGAAGAAGATCAGGGAGATCACGCTGGTTGTGCGGAGCGATGTCCGCATCGACGAGGCCCAGGCTGATGATCTGTTCCGTACCGTGGTGAGGGCTATTGAGGGAGACGACAGTCTGACCAATTTGCGTCCTTGGCACGGGAAGGGCGTCGAGGAGTTGGGGGCTAGGAGGGCCATCTGGACGCACGAGAGGTCGGATGCGGGACGCAAGGTTATACGGCCGCTGGTCGAGGCGGCGGTCAGGGGGTGGGATTAGCTACTGTTAGTTGTAAAGGGTTATACTTGTAGATATTTTGTAAACTTTGTTGACACTGACGGTTGGCTGTACTGTATTGTATGATACTGTACCTAGATAGATAACCCTGACGAGTATAACAGCACCAACGAGCGGTCTCCTATATACAATGGCAGCGCTAAATACCCTAAACGCTTGAATCATAAGATATAAGTACCTCCAGGCCTCCAGCATTATGATCTCATATACTGTACCTATGCGACAAACGCCTCGTGGCTCTCACTCATTCAATTAGCTAGTCTTCGTGATTGATATTCTTTCGCCCCTAGTCAGTTCGGGCACCCTACTAGGTAAAGTACTCAGCCAGCTGCACTCTTGCGTCAATCAGCAAACTCCTTTAGGCTCCAAAGATTGTTAGCACATATCGTGTTGTTGGCTACAGCTTGAGCTACCTTAGTAAGGCATCGTCGAAGAGCAAGCCATCCCCATCCTGCCCGTTTCTGTCTGCAAGCTAGATAGAGAAACCTCACCTTTTATTCTGACACAACCCAACCCGCTAACCAATGCAAATGCAACACAGAGTTCAAGACAACACCCCCTTTCACACCGGTCCGTATACGCCACCCATGAAAGCACCACCAGTCTGCCACGTGCAACACCAGGTGCCATGAAAGTCCGAAGCTCACGAGCTAAGCAGATCCCGCACACTCATCCCCCTGCCCGACGACGCACTCCCGCCGGTAGTAATCGTCGTTTTCCCTCTGCGGTCCGCCGCACCCAGCATCAACAGCGCAGCCGAAGCCTCGTGGTCCGACTCCTGCTGGGGCCTCAGAGCCGGACTAGTGAGCGCCGACTGAGAAGCCACCCCAGCGGCGGCAGCAGTAGCAGCAGCAGTGCCAAGCGGATATGGATATGGATGTGCCTGGGGTCTAAAGGCGGGCGAAGTGGCTGCGCTGAAACTGTAATGGCGATAGTCGCCAGTCGACACCACCGACGAGTACGAGTGATGCCGGCCCCGCGCATCCTGCGCCACCAACGCCGGCGAGATGGAAGAGGAAGACTGGCTGGAGCGCGCGGCGTGGGACGACGTGAACGTCGGCGAGGCAGCCTCCTCGGACCCTGTCATTTCGACGTCTTCGGGCGCTTCTTCTTCTTCTTCTTCGGCCGCCTGCTGTTCGTCACCTTCGTCGCCGTATATATCGCCATCATCGTTCGTGCTGCGAGAGAGCGTGAACTCGGTTGGTGTTCGCATGCTGCCGGCCTCGCCGCCGCCGCCGTGTTGCGACTTCAGTTGGGAGATGCAGTCCTCGAGATATCGCACGTACTCGATCGATGCCTTCAACACGGCAGTTGTTCAGTAAAGCACACCTTACAGCGAAGAAAGGGTAAAGAAAGGGGAATAACCTACTTGTAATATCGCCAGCTTGTGCATCTCGCCCTCGCAGGCGGGTATCATTCCCTTCAGGACTGCAAACTCCTCGTTCATCTTGGACCGCCGCCGCCGTTCTATGAGGCTGTGGGCCGTCTTTCTCGCAATCTTCCTGCCGGCCGCGCTCGTCGACGAAGGCTGCTTCTTTTTGGAACCGCCGGCAGTACTCGTGTTCTTGGCCGCACCAACCGAAGCCGAAGCCGACTTGGAGGGCGAAGGCGAGGGCAGCGCCTCCTGCTGACCGCGAGGCTTCATCTGGATGATCTTGCGTGATCGTGTAGGCGGCGGTGGCAGGGCAAAGGCGTCCTTTGGCGCAGCAGCCGACGAACGCCTCCGCGACTTGACCGTCTCGCTGGCCTGGACAGGGAAGGGGGCTTTGGTAGATGGCGAGACAGGGGACGTCTTGGACCCTGCCAGGTCTGCTCCCATTGCCGAAGGAGGTAATTCGAATGTCATCTGTAATGTGGGAAGCTGTTTGGCATGGTCCTGGCCTTTGATTTCGGTGGACGAAGCTGGCGTTGGCGGCATCCTTGAGCGTGCCATGCTATAAAGCAGCTTTGTGAAGCTGAACCGTGTTTGGTTCGACGACGGCGTGTGGAATGTAGGCCTCAATGATAGCTCGACGATGTGTGAGTATGTCTCAGGACGTATGAATTGAGCTGGAGAAGGAATGTCAAAAGTGAGTCGGACCCCCCTGTAATCCGGGTGGCGTTGAAGTATCAGGTCACGCGAGCAATCAACTTGCAAGTTGTTGTTCAACACCCGAGAGGTAGCACTTGCCGATTTCAAGTGTAAGAGGATATCATGGAGAACATTGAAGCAAGGGGTCATGTTATAGAGGAAAGAAGAAGAGGACACACTTTCAACGGATCTTGCTGCTCGACGACGAAACGACCTCGGGAGCTACCATGAGCTACCATGGCTCCTCTCAGCACGCACGCAGGCACGCACGCGCACACCTGTGAACACTGAAAACCTACGCATGAGGGGTCAAGGGTCCGTCCTGCCATAGTGAGTTGTGTCGCTTTCCAAGACATGAAGTGAAGTTCGAGCACGCGACCATTCCGGGCGCTGACATTGGCTGGATGCCTCTCGCAACCAATCAACATCGGGCATATAGAAACGTGGTCGACAAGGTGGTCTGTGCGGCTCACATGCGACCGTCTCTTCCTTGTTTCGGCCTCGAGTCAGAGGTAGAGATGCCCTCATATCGACCTCATTACCTCTCCTATGTCAGATGCGGGAATCGAGGGAGTATCTAGGAACAGCAGGGGCGACTACGGATCAGGGGTTCATATAGGGTATATCAATCGGTGGCTATGCCGGACGCCTTATTAGGTTCTCTAGCGTATTGCGCAAGCAGATTGACCGACTTGTCATCTTATGGGAATCGGTTACCCGTGGCAGCTGTGAAAGCACCGTCTGAACGATATCACACTGTCGATGCCAACGTATGTTCAGTACACCGTAATATGGAGTCTTGGAATTGACCTCTTCTGGCGATTCGACAGATGGTAGACGTTGCCATGTAATAGGTCACGCCAGCCATTGGTCCCAAGCTACCAACGATGACGGCGTGATCGATCGGACTAGTAAGTAAGTAAGCAAGAGACAACAGCACACACAGCCACTGCATGCTCTGTGGTGAAGTAACAAGAAAGAGTATACCATCTCCTACATCTCCAACATCGAAAGCACCGCGCGAGTACCAATCACTCTGCCAGACCGTACATACACAATGTCTCACTCCCACTCACCCGACCTGAGTACCTTCGACGGCATCTACACCCATCTAACAACCACATACCACTACCCCGTCCTCCCCAGCCCATCTCTCTCACCCCACGAGAAAAGCTTAACACATTCCATCTCCTGTCTCTCCATCCACCCAACGCTGGAAGCCCTCCTGCACATCCTCAACGCCGACCTCACGAGCGCGCACTTCCTCTGCCGCCACATGCAGAACGAGCCGGCTTGGGAGGCCATGTACATACACGGCCTCCTGCACCGCGTCGAGGGCGACTATCGCAACGCGGAGGCGTGGTACGGGAATGTCGCGGACTCGGAGGTGTTCCGGAGCTGTTGGCCCGGGCCGGGAGGGTCGGAGGAGGCGAGGGGTTTCATTCGGAGGGTGGAGGCGTTGAGGAAGGAAAAGATTGGGGACGAGAAGAAGCTGGAGGAGGATAGTAAGAGGGAGATTGAGAGGTTGGTAGAGTGGTGTAGGGATAAGTTTGGGATTGGCAAGGTAGAGGATGCGAGGAGTGTGTGGGTTGAGCCTAGTGAGGAGCATCGACAGATGGCGGCCAAGATGGTTGTGGGTGGGGAGGGGTGGCGTCAGTTTTGAGTGCTGCTGAACGGTGTTCTACCCCACGGGACCTATATCAGATACGATCTGGGGATAGTCATAGTCGGAACAAAGTGAGGCGGTGAGGTTATGGCCCCAGCAGAGCGGACCAAATCCCCCGTGAGCGTGAGGATACAGCCAGGGGTATCGACAATATAGTCCATGTCCGCAATTCGACGGCCAGCATCTATGGCAAGAGCTGTCTGTCAACATACCGTCTTGAGAGGCATAGCCGAGTAGATAGGCGAGTTACTTGAAACAGCCCATTGCCACCTGCAGATCTTCCACGTGAGCCCCCCGAGCAGTGTTTCCAAGATCTCCTGGTGAGAACCAACCGCCTGGGCTCGTAAGACCCTGGGAATTCCGCAATATGTGCAGACGTTGTGCAGGAGGAAACGCTGGAGAACGTGGAGTAATCAAGGGGGAGCGCTCACAGTGGAAAATCACTCGGTCTCGTCAGCGAGATGAGTCGACAGCCTGGCATCGGTCTGACGAGGAAAGTTTCCTCCCGGGCCCAGTTAGCCCTTGGAGTATATGGCCATTCGTGTGGTCACGCAGATATCTCGTGGCGCTCTCCGAGTCCATGGATTTTTCCAGAGTCGAAATTCGACGTGTAGACGATTCAAGCGACTGGGATCGAGATACCCGGTCGACCTGAAAGGAAGAATGAACTCGTGAGGCATGGCCCAGGCAGAAGAAGCCTGGATGAAGATTCTCTCCTGTAAGCATTAGTACCTACTACCTATCGACAAGAGCATATCTCAGGCGAAACTGGTTAATACAGCATGGCTCCCAAGCTTAGTCGTCGATATTGTACATTATAGATAATTTTACTAGACTCGCACGTACGGGTCTTGACATAAGGTACGTCAGTGTCCCCTATCCAAGTATTACCTTATGACAGGCGACGAACAGTACCACTGCCCAAGCAGGACTCGCGATCGGGTAGGTACATTGTCGAAGAGATGTACCTACAAGCCAAGTCTCAACCTAAGAGCAAGTCCCCTTACACTCCGTCATCGACGGCTGAAGCAACAACGGCGCACTCCCATTTTTCAAGTCATAAGTACAAATACCACCCGCATTGCACCCGCCCTCCAGCGCCTCTCCATCCCCAGCCCTCAGGGTGACACTTGCACTGAAGCGCTTCCACTGCCAAGACTAGATGTCAGCATTCACCCCTGTCAGATAGCACCCCCAAAATATACTCAAGGGGTTCTGAGCTGATCTGGGGAGAACGACCCCAAGGACCGGACTCGCAAGATCAGCCTGAAAAGGAGAAAAAGGGGTAAACTCACCACCGGCGTCCCGTAGAAAGCCTCATTATACAGCAGTGCGAACGACAAGCTCATGTAATGGTCCAGGTCCTCATGCATCTCCAAGAGCGTCATCTCCCAGGCCGCAGACGCGTTGTCGTCCGCCGCGACGCAACTATTCGTAGCGTGGCCGTCTAGTACAGATTCCCGGGTCAGTCTCCCTGGTCTACATTACATCCCTAGAGACAATCTTAGGGGGGCATGTGAAGATACGTACTATCGAGATGTCAGTACAAGGCTCACAAAAACAAGAAAATACCACCGACGAAGAGGACGAAGAAGAAGAGAAAAAGAAGGAATAACAGAACACGCTCCTCCAACACCGAGTCCCTGCACTCCATAACCAGAACAAGAAAACCATCCCCAACATACCAAGGCGTCACATCATCCGTCTTAAACCGCAGCACACAAAGCGCCGCACTAGCCGCAAAGTCCACATAACCACCCCCAGAGGCATGCGGCGCCGGGGTCGCGGCGATCAGGCTCGGGTTTGCGATGCCGACCTCAAGAATAGTGGCGTTGGTGCCGTAGGGCGGGTTCTGCGGGTTGGACGTGTGCAGCGCCGTGAGCTGCCAGGGCTGCAGGGGGTACCATGGGGGCAGGGGCGGGTCGGCGGCTGCTGCTGAGGAGGATAGGAGGGCTGCGAGAGCAGCGAGGAGGCTTGCGAGACGCATTTTGGAGTTTGGCGTCCGAGAGAAGGCTGTCTTTTGGTGTGTGTCGATTAGTAGGTAGAAGAACGTGTGGTTCAATGGATCAGAAGTGAGAGCTGTCAAGTGATGGCTATGTACCTACTTATATATACGGTACTAGGCCTTCAGTGAGCTGACGAGAAAAGGACGCCCAGCCAGCTCGTCCCATACGAGCATAGCTGAAAAGCTGTGTAACGTCCGCCGTTTTCGTGTCCACGACTAACCTAGTGGCTAGGTAAGGTACCGCATTGTACCGCACCGCCCTCGGGGGACGACGAGTCACGAAAAGAGAGTACCTTACGTAACGTTGGCTCACAACGTAGCAGTGATGGACGGCTTAAAAGAAAAGAACATTTCTTTTTCCGAGCTCGGAAGTATGTCAGTTCTCCGATTGTAGATGTGTGGTTGTGGTGAAAACGCAAGCTGCCGGTTAAATGCAGCACCAGCTCTTCAATGAGTCAAGTCCCGTCTTCGGAAACGAGGTAGGTGGTCGTGAGGCGCAAAAGAAGCAATCTCCATGTCTCGTATCTTTAGGTCATCGGTATATGCAAGCCACGTGTGGCCGTTGAGAAGTGAGCGACGCGGTGAAGCTGCGTCCCATCCGAACTTTGCGAAAACACCGACACCACGAATTCGCAAGCTCAGGTCCGCTGTAAAATTGAGATAATAATTCCTTCGAGATGTGCTTCACTTTCGCATTCGATTGAAAGGTCGATATGTAAACAGATTCAAGTATTAATGACAACGCAAGGCTATATATATGCGGTGACTCTCGTCTCGAAAGAGTCATCCCTCTTCTAGAAATGTCCATGCGGTGTGGGAACACATCTTACTCCTTCGAATGTTCAGCTACTCATGACGAAGGCTTATTAGATCGAGGCTGAAACAGATGGTCGGCAAGAAGCCTGAGTATAGAAACCCTTGAGTAGAGAACAATGACTCCGTCGCTGATGCATGTCAGTCGTATCTTCCACCCCATGTACAGTGATCCCAAAAAAGACACCCTGTATGCGTTTACTCCCCCCCAAAACCCCCTCCCTCTCTCAGACCATATCCCACGGCCCAGTTCACCACGAAGTGGTAACATCACGGCTGACTGGTGGCAGACCTGAGACCGAAATCTGCTTCCATCACCTCTCCCTCTATACTTGCAGACACAGCAGATAGGGATTCTGCCCGTCTGATTCGACCAAGAAATTCTCTCTCCTCTGCTCGTTTGGCAGACTTGTGCGCCGCATGCATCTTTTCTAGAAGTGACAAGCTTTTATTCTCACCAGCTCCATCAAGCTGGTGGGTACTCGGACTGGACGAGTCATGCGCGTCTTCATGACCAACTGTTGACACGGAAGCTGGTGGTTCCCCAAGCTGCTCGGCCGCATCCTCGATTGCTTCGGTGACGAGAACAGAAGGCAAGCCCTTCGGCGGCAGGTACTCCTAATAAAACCCATCGTTCCCGGCACTTCCCCTGCTTCCGCCCGAGCTGGGATGCGGCGTACTCTGTACAGAGGAGCTGTCGCTTGGTGTTGGCGGCTCCACGACCTGACTACGGATGGCCATAATCCACTCGTGCTGAAGCAGCTCCACGGCGCTTGCTCGCTTCCTTGGGTCCCTGATAAAGCACCGCTCCAGGAAATCGATGCCCTGTGGGCTCAACTGATCTGTACCTGGAAGCTGCGGTGGGTTGCCTTGAGCGATGTTATACATGATCGCCCATTCGTTGTCCAGATTAGACCAGGGTCGCCGGCCTGTGACCATCTCGAGAATCACGCATCCCAGAGACCACACATCAACCGCTCCTGTATGGCCTGGGTTCTCACCCTTGATGACCTCAGGCGACATGTACATGGGCGTACCTGTCATCGATTTGTTGGGTTTTGTCGCAGCAGCACCGTGAACCAAGGTACGCCCTTGACGAGCAATGACTTTGGCGGCACCAAAATCGACGTATTTGATCACGCCGTGGTGATCGAGGAGGATATCTGGTGCAATAATTAGTATGTGGGATCGGAAAATAGCAGGACAAGACGCGACTCACTCTCTGGCTTGATGTCACGGTGGGCGATGTGGCTTTCATGCAGATAGGCTAGGCCTTCCAGAAGCTGCAGTGCGTACACCATGACGACTTGTTCGTCCTCGATACGACCATGTTCCAGCAGATTGGCCAAGGAACCACCCGAGCAAAATTCCATGAAGATGTAGACCCGGTCACGGTGTACTTCGATACCGTAGTATGAGACGACATTAGGATGATCGAGGACTTCTAGAACGCCCATTTCGTCCTTGATCTGCGTCGCGATCTGCGGTATCAACTTGGGATCCTGCAGTCTGATTTCCTTGACGGCCATCAGATGCCCGGTGTCCAGGTTCATAGCAGCATAAACGTTGCCAAAAGTACCACCGCCGACGAAGTGGCCCTGTTGCCATCTCAATGTAACATTGGTGGCTGACGAAGACAAGTAAGCGAGTGATCGATCGACTTCGTTAGAGACCTCCAACACCCGCCCGATGCCGTGCCTCTCTGCGACGACCTGGCTTTGAACCTCGTCAACCTCGGCAATCTTGAGCAATCGCTGTTCCTGGATATACGTATGAGCTTCATCGTCGTCCATCATCCTGTTCTTATCGAATCTTCGGAATTGCCCAACGAGAGCTTCGATGCGTTCTCGTTCGGACTGTGCCGCTTGGTTAGACTTGGCACCGAGAATGTCAAAGTGCGAGATGAGAAGTGACATGCAACCGGATACTTTGGCTCGCAACCTAGCATACTCATCATCGCCAAGTCCCAGGATATGCCGGCCAGTCGTCATATTCATCGCAAACTCGAGAGCGGGCACTGCCCATCGGAAAGATCGACGGTCCGTAACCTTGCAGTCGTCGCAGATGAAGCTGACCCAGTCGAGGCTGAGCTTCAGGAGCTTCATGTTATTCATTTGCCGCCGGTTGCTGTCCATATAGAGGAGAGACCGCCGGCCAAATTCTGTGGCGAACACAAAGCATGTCTGAATAAGGTCATGGCAATCTAGACCTTGGGTCTGATTTCGTATGATCTCAACGCTGTCCATGAATGTGGTGGATAGCTTGAAGCCAACCTTGCGGATTTCGAAGAGCCTGGTGTTCACCTTGTGCAAGTTTGAGCGTGCTTCCACGATGAGATCCAGGTGCATGTCAATCGTCTCCAGGAAGATGTTCCTTGCATTGGCCAGCCTGACTTGGGATCCGTCCGCAATAAGGCGCATCTGGCCGAGTTTCAGGTCAGTCGACTCGATGTTGAGAGTCTGAGTACTCCGGTTCCCAAACCAATGCAGCGGTGCTTCTGGGCGCAGGATCAGGATGTACGGGTCCGTTGGGTCTTCTGATATTTGTGACTGAAAGCAGCTTCTCAAGATTGATTGGACTTCTCCATCACGACCAATCAGCGAAGGCGAAGCAATGATCTGAATGCCATCGATCTCGTCAACCAAGAAGTGTCCCGTTATCGACAGACGTTCGTATAGGTTCCTAAGATCCTCGGCGTCTAAAGCGATGCTCATATCTGACGCATTTTCGTAATGTTGACTCAACAACCTAGAGAAGCGTTGCAGCATTCTCTGTCTCACCCGTACTGAGTCAAGCGTCTGCATGTATCTTTTGCTCATGTTGTCAGGACTCTCCTTCGGCTTCCTCTGAAGCTCGCGCTCGAAGGTTTGACTGAGCCGATTGAGAGCCTTGTAGGTCAGATTACTGAATTGCTCGGCCACTTCGACGTCACCTCCTTGAAGATGTCGCCCAATCTCGTTGGCGAAATTCCATTCCTGGTCCAGAATTTCTGCCTCTTTGAACGTGTTCTTGTTCCTGCTGAGCTTCCAATTCAGCATTTTGAAGTAGTACTTCAGCGCGTCTAGGACAACCTGGTCGAAAGATTCGTCAATACACGGTGGTAGTTGCCAGCCGGGTTGCGCTTGAGACACGGCAAGTGTCTCTTGCTTGATGCGAACAGCAAGCTTCAAGAGAAGCTCAAACTGGGAAATCATCTGGTCCTGGAGGATTGGTGTTTGCTGGGTAGTCTCCTTCATCTTCCTGGCGTAAGCCAGTCGTACTCTAATAATCTCTTCGATGAGACGAGAGGGAAAGCTAATAAGCGTGAGAATCTCTTCGATATAGGGGGGCAAGTGTCGCTTGTGGAAAGCCCCCGAGTTCATGATGAGTGTCTCCTTCGCCTTGGCTATCGTATTCGAGATGGGCGCCAACATGCTTCTTCGTATCAGGGTCTTCGTCTTGAGCGCGTTTTCTTGTTTCGCAGCTTCATCGTCGTCGTCGTGAAGTGACCTAAGGCCATCCTCTTTCAAGAGGCGGTCCAGGAAAGACGTCTCATCGCTAAGCTCATTAGTACCCGGCGATCTCTGTTCCGTCTTGTGGAAATCCAGCTCATCATTGCCAACCCATTTCTTCAGGATCGATAGCTCGGTGTTGATCATCTCGTTGGTATTGTACCACGACATGACAGCATCGTAGGCCTCATGGAACGCTTGAGATGTGGCCGTGCGGTGGGAGTCCCCTAAGACCTTCCAGGAGGAGTAACAGCTCTCGCATTTCTCGATCTTCTTCACAATATCTCCAATCTGCTCAACGGCGGGCTTTCCAGCTTCAGCCTCGCCCTGCACCTCGAATCGTATGATCTCGTCAATGATGCGGTCCAGGTTATCTCGCGCCTCGTCAACTATCCTTCGCTGTACAGCGAAAGAACGGCCAGTTGTTTTGGACCTTATTCCCAGCCACAAATCGGTCTGATGCGCCTTCTGAGCCCCCTCACTCTCCGACGTTCCCAGTAGTCGCCGCTTCTCTTGTTTTACCACGTCTCCAGTCAGCACTGCTGCTAGCATGCCATGCCACTCCAGTCGTTCGCGGTTGACGGGATCCTTGACATCATCTTCTGTCGGTTGGGTATCGTCGATCAGATTTTGGAACATGATGGTTTCATCGTTGAAACGATCGTCAAAGACGCCCTCGGAGGACGGGGTCTCGCCTTCGGACTCTTCGTCTGAATACACCTCACTGGGCGTATAGGGGTCGAAATAGCCAGGGGGAGGGCGGTCTTGGCGCATCATTCGCAGATAGGCAGGCTCTTGGTCACGAAACTTGTCGGCTGGGTCACGCCGACGGGAAGTCGATCTCGTGGACATGAAGCTCGGCTGTGATTGGGGGCCCCGCTGGGGAGCGTAGGTGCTGGATGGTGTGCGCATAGGGTGTGGTCTCTGCTGCGAACGCGTGCTGCTAGTGGCGGAAATGGGACTGGAATCGCCATTCGAGGTTCGCTGGCGACTGACAGTATGGGCCAGCGAGTTGGGGGCCAGAGAGGCCATGGATCCCGAGAGGTTCGCTTCGCCGTACGGGGCCAGGGACCCGAGGGCATCCTGGCGCTCGAGTTCGTGAGGATCGTGCCCGTAGTCCTCGGAGGAGGCAGAAGCGTCGGAGTCGGTGGTGATGGCGGCGGGCCGTGGGTGCTTAGGCTGGGGTATGTCATGGGCTATCTCGGCCTCGCCCTGAGAGAAGCGCACGGCGCGTGGGGAGATCTCACCAGGCATGGCGAACTGAACTGCTTGGAGTGGGAGTAGCTGGAGCTATGTCAACGGTCCGACGGTAAGCCAGAGCTGCCACGATAGGCGATGTACGCTGCAAGTCGAGGCGATGGAGCGAACGAGCGAGTTGACGGGCTATCTATCTACCAACTTATGTGAAAGGGATCTCGTTCTCGGTCGTTCTGTCGTACTGTTGACCTTGGCCAGATGCAGACGGCCCACGTGGATGTGTCACGATGCGCTGGAGTGGGAGCGTTCCATTGGAGAAAAAGCCGGTATCTGCAGGATTCCGCTGGGCCTGGTCGACGGCACGGCACGGCAAGGCACGGGGGAAGGGGATGGGAAAGCGAGAAAGGGGCAATGGCCAATTGCCATTTGGGACGATGAGGTTGAAGCCGGCTCTCTTTTCTTCGCATCCGACAGTCTAGAGGTCGACCGTGGTCCGTAGGGAGCAGGCTGAATGCTGAATGACTCTTGCAGGGGCTCCCGGGCAGGCTGAGAGGATGTGGGAGGAGCCCTGTAGGAGGTACCTAGCCTTAGCTCAAGCCTGCAGATTCTAATTCTGTCCAACCTTGATCGATCAGTGAAGGTTCCGTCCACTTCCTCTGAAGCCGGGCGGAGATGCAGCACCGACCGGGACAAGTCTTCCGGCGCAGGTGCGCAGATTGGTGCAGTATTTCCGATGCACAATTTCTCTTGGTCAAAGCAACCGTACGATTCACATTGTCGAAACCGTCGGACGGGAGCCAGGAATAAGAGATGCGACAAACTGGAATGGTCAGGTCAATGGTCATGGTATCCAAATGACAACAACTTTGACACATGATGATTGCCATGCAAAGATACCAGATACCTACAAGCAGTGGCCCGATCAGGACTGACAGGGCCGATCATGAAGTCATCCACTGATCCATGTAATCGCAAGCTCAATCCTGGCAGACAATGCCTCGTTGGAGATTGGGGAACCAAGTAATCCTGGCGATCCGACTGCGTCGCCTGCTTGGGCGCAAGCCACAGAATGATTACCTCCTGCGCGAATAGATTGCGGTGCACATGTGCTGAGTCGCCTGTCCTCCAGTGGCGTATTGGGGCGCATGTAGCGGCTTCCAGTGGGCGGCTAGCGGGCATCAGCGCTACGGCACAGGCGAAACCCCCCTACCAGCGCACCGGGTCCGGGCCCACGGGCGGACGGGTGGTTGCGCTTTGGGACCGCCCCTCGACGCGGTCGACGCGTGAAAGTCGGAAAGTCTGAAGTCATAGCTCCAGTCCATGTCCCGTCTTCTTCAACGCCCTGTCGCCCAGCCACCCGCCGATGTCCCCGGTATGGTAGACACATGGACAGTATCGCTACACTTGCAGGCCTGCGTTTTGTTTCTGCTGTAGATTACCATTGTTTTGTTCCTCTTTATACATGGAGCATCATTCTTCAATTTTCCTATGTCCTCCAGATCTCATGGTTCTGACGCGTCGCGTCGACCATCCAACATCCTCGCTGCTTCGCCCAACACCCGTCTGAACCAGGACAATATTCCCACCATCACCAGTTCCCATCCTACGAAGCGCCGACACGATGAGTCCTACGCCATGGAAGACCTTCTCAAACCCTCCGTAGTCGTCAAAGTCAGTCGGATCTAGCTCATTCCCGCCCAGTTCTGCCATGGCGCATTACGTTGTCGTGCTGCTTCATAGAGAAACTGACCGACCACTATTCAGTCCCACCCTCCAAACATCTCGGTCAAACCACGCAGCCTCCAGCCCCTGATGCTCCTGCCCAGGGAGCATCTTCAACTGTCCTTTCTCAACTTCTCCTCACCGTATGGGAGCTTCGAATCATCATCACAGTCCTTCGAGTCGAACATCAAAATCCTACACCTCGAAGGCCGCATGGGCGCCCGCTCCGTAGTTCTCATTGCCCGACTCGAAACCGACAAGACTGTCTATGCAATTGAACGCCAGACCAATGGACTATATACCTTGTGTCAATTGGGCTTCTGGGTAGACCTCGAGAGCCTTTGCGCCCTGGCCACTGTCTCATGCCTCCACCTAATCAAGAAACGACCCGACGCTCCAACCGATTCGAACACGCCGCTGCCATCGGTGACGCCCCTAGTACACCACGAGCATAAGAGGAGACTCGCCATTGAAGCTATACAGTCTTTAGTGAATAAGCCTAGGTCTCGTTCCATCTCCACATCGACACAGCCTCCAACAGCTGCTCAAGGGCATGGCGAGTCACAGTCTGAGAGCAGATCATTCACTCAAGATGCGTATTTTCTACGTGAACCCGGGTCCCAAGCCGATGCGGAAAGCCAGGTCACCCTCGCCGCCGAGCCAGGCAAGTCACTGGCCGTCCCTACCTCGGACAGCATACTTGAAAATATACGAAATCAATATTTCACAGCTCTTTATCATTCAATGGTAGGTTCCTACAACTCCCGCCATTTCTTGCCTGTCTAACAGAGACAAGGGATCTCTCGCATATTTCGCAAAGGGTCCCCTTTCTCGAGCACGTGCTGCCTTCCATCTCGACTGCGATTCGACATTAGAAATGAACGATCTAATCGACTTCTTGAGGAGCCTAGTAATGACAACTGTACAAATTGACAAGAAGTATCGCGAGACGGTCCCTGAAATCGTTTCCAAGATGAAGACAACTTTTCAAGATTCCGACGTTGAACAGGATGCTAAGGCTAGAAAGCGGAAAGCCAAGAAGATGAAATTGGGAAGAGACGGACTGTATCCAACCGAGGACGAACATGTTCGCAAATGGTGGACTATTAATAAGCCACTGCCGAAAGACGACGGAACGAATACTGCCGAACCGCAGGAGACTAAGCTGCAGATATCCTGCTTGCGATCGAGAGAAACACAGCTCCAGATGATTATCATCCTTGAGATCCTAGCTTTGGAACCACTCAGAACCTCTGCGACTGGCAACGACTCCCAACTACCCGCCTTGCCCATCGCTGAGGAGACTTTGGAGACTTCGAAAGAGGTCCCCGCGAAGAAGCGAAACAAGCACAACTTCCCTCTCCTCCTAGATGTTCATGCAGATCGATTATGTATATGGCAGTCCACCGCGTTAGATGAGGTCAAGATGCTCGATTCCCAGGCCAACTCGGGTCCGGAGCCACAGAAGTCTCTGAGAGCCACATCAGATCCACTCAAGGACTTCTGTGTCGATATTATCGTGCCATTGTGAGTTCGTCAAAGCACATACCGAAGCCTTTGAAACTGACATCCCCCAAAGCTTTTCGGCTAGACTCCCTGAACAATGCGATTCTATCAACCGGAAGCTAGGTGGACCAGTCATAGCGCCGTCACCCAAGTCAAAATCAAAGAAAGCAGAGGGCACCACCAAACCGAAGACGAAGCCCGGCGCTGCTGCGAAGCGACCGGCCCAGCCGAAGTCTTCTAGGACCCTTGACAGAGTCCTTTCGAAGGAGTCGGAAAGGACTCGTCGAAGCATGTCGCGCGGTCCAGGTGGAATGATTGCGTTGATGAGGTCTGCATCGACTCCAACATGGCCCATGTTGAAGCGGGAGGCAAGTGAGCCCCTGTCTATGACAAGTATCCCGACGACGGACTCGGTTGCGTCCCAAGAGAAAATCCCACGTCCTTCGGGCCTGGGATCTACTAAGTGTAGATCTGACGAAGAAAAGGCGAAGCAAGATGCTCTTGTCAAGGCGGAGTTACAAGAGGCGATATCTTCCCTCAGGAGACCCAACAGAGATGTTGTCGGCAAGGCTATGGCGGAAGCAGCTGAGAGGCGAGCGACTACAAGCCTATCTCAGTTAAAGAGTAAGCATACAGGCCCTATTGCTGTGACTGCGAGCACCTCGTGCTAATCAACCCACAGAGTCTAGGAAGCCGACACATCATCCGCAGTTTCAAGACATTGTCAAAGCGACCCCAACGGGCAACCGTTTCCGGGACGCGATAGCAAAAAGCAAGGAGCAGCAGTCCGCACGTCGTTGGGGGATGGAGTCAATAGGCGAGGACCACCTTCCCTCTTCCTCGTCGATCATCCCCTCGTCCGGGCCTAGGAAGCGCAATCGAGACGCAGCCTTCGCTGACGATGATTCTCCGGCACTACCGAGCTTCCGAGCATCTAGGACTAACCACGTCGAGGCCACGCCGGCACGACCTTCGACGCTAAGTCGCGACTTCCTGTCCGTCCCTGGTCCGGACGAAGCCATCGTGCTCGCATCGTCACCCGTGTTCTCCCGCAAAATGTCGCAGTTGAGTTATCAGGCTCCGCCCAGGATCGCGCTCGACCACCGCGATAGTGGCATCGGCATGCCATCCTCACCTGTCGGCGGACTGGCCGAGACGCCCGTGAAGCCGCGATACGGGCCAGCTTCCGGGCCCTTGGAACGGTACATGACCGTCACGCCTGCTAAGAAGAGGATTGTCGACAACGGAAAAGCCGTTGCCATTGTTGACGCTGAGAGCGCACGAGGTGGAGAAGACGAAAATAGAAACGAGGAAGTGAAGGAGAACCCGAGCAATGGGACGAAACGGTCCTTTTTTGAACAGCTGGGCTGGGACGATTACGACGACCTTGGCTAGATCATGTATCACGGCAATTGGCTTAAAGCTAGCTCCATGAAGCAAACTGCAATTGGCTGGTTGCTTGGTTCGTGGTGTCGGTTGGAGGGAGACGCATCCATCACAAGTCGGCATGGGACGAAACGATTAATGAAAGCGAAACGAGACGAGGAAGCATTGGGACGGCGATTTTTGCTTTGGCTTTTAGCTGCTTGCTCATCCTACATTGATCAGAGTTCTGTAGGCATCATCTGCATCTGCATTTGCATATTGGAAGCAAGCGTACATGCATAGGGAGGGGAGGGAGGAATAGGGGCATATGATACACTCAAGAATTATTCAGGCATGTTACTGTGTTGACTGTTTTACTCGACTTCATGGCATTCTTCTCAACCAGGTAGAAGAAGTCTGATAGAAGTCACCGTGGTCTCCTCTGTGGCTATGGTCAAGTCTAGGATCTGCGACGTTATGAAGAATTACTAACCTAGGTCTTACCACTCGCGAAAGCGACACACGCAATTATCAACGCATTATGTAGCCATGTCAATCACAATTTCAGGATTTCCTCATCACCCTTGAATTCTGCAGGATACACTCAGTTCACTCCCCTATCCTATCCCAATCTACCCCCCCCCCCCCCATCGGAACCTCACCCAGCCCGCACAAGCTCCATCTTCGCGCCCCTCTTCCCGGTCGCCTCATCCTTGACATCCTGGATGCGCACGCGCACCTTCATGAACAGCTCCACACTAACATCACGACTCCCGCTCGTCGTGAGCTTATACCCATCCGCATCAAACACGCTCTCAGGCTCCGGGTCCGCAAGGTCGCGCAGGCGGATCAGGCCCTCAATGCCAAAACGCGGGACCAGGACCACAAAGCCGTTGGAGAAGATCTTCATGACGAAGCCGTCCTCCTCGGCGACGCGGCCGCGCAGCGACTGGCCGACGTAGTACGCGATGGAGGCGCGGCCCGCGAGCTGGGCGTTGCGGTGGCGCACGTTAATGTTCTTGCAGACGGCCTCGAGGCGGCCGCGCGACCGCACGTGCGGGTGCATGGGCTCGTAGTCGATGGCGGCGGCGAGCTGCCGGTGCGCGACCAGGTCGGCGTACCGCCGGATCGGGGACGTGAAGTGCGTGTAGATCTCGGACGCGAGGCCGTAGTGCCGGAACTCCGGGTACGCCTGCGTGCCCGCGCAGAAGTACTCGGCGCTCATCATGCAGCGCGTCGCCATGACGCGGATCAGCGTGTTGAAGAAGGGCTCGGCCGGGTCCGCGCACTCGTCGAGCGAGTCGGCGAGCGCCTTGGACGAGTCGAAGCGCAGCTCGAGGCCGCGCTTGACCTTGAGCTGGTTGGCCAGCTCGTCGAAGTTGGTCTTTGGGGGAGCCGCGTGGCGCCGTAGGATGGCCGTCTGCGGGAAGGCTTCGTAGATCTTGCCTGCCACGCTGATGTTGGCGAGCAACATGAACTCCTCAACCAACGAGTTGGTGTCCAGCAGCTCTTTGGTCTTGACGTCGATCGGGTCTGAGGTCTCGGATTCCATCTGGACCTTGACCTCGGGTGACGACAAGCTGAGAGCACCAGCGTCCATGCGCTTCTGTTTCAGCTTCTTCGAGAGCATCAAGAGCGTCCGCATGCCTTTTGTTAGATCGTCCTGCTGCGAATTTTCGTCGATTCGTAGTTGGGCCTGTTCGTAGCTGAATGCTTCGCGAGATTTGATGACGGACTTGGTGAACCGCACGTTGACAATGTCCGCAGATGTGTTCAGCTCCCACAGGACAGAGAAAGCGTAGCGCTCCACGTAGGGCTTCAAGGAGCAGAGATCGGTACCGAGCAGCATTGGAAGCATGTCAATACGCTTGTCCACTAGATAGACTGTTGTTCCTCGAATACTGGCTTCGGCGTCCATGGCGTTATTTGGTTTGACGAAATGCGACACATCAGCAATATGGACACCAATTTCATAGTTTCCATTGGGCAGTGGCCTGGCGTGTAGGGCGTCATCAATATCCTGACAGCCAACGGGATCGATACTGCAGATTAGGAGTCCTCGAAGGTCTTCTCTGTCTTTCCATCCCGGATCCTCGGTACTGGTAGGGACCCTCCAGTCGTGACCCTCCTTGGGCAGACAGTCCAGTACCGTCTTGGGGAATGGTCGATATTGGACGTCATACTCAAGAAGAAGCGCCTCAGTTTCGGCAGCTTTGGTTTCCACCTCACCCAGGGAACGCACGAAGTGGCCGACAGGATGTCGTGATTCGCGATCCCAGGAGTCGATTGTGACCAGAATCCGCTTTCCAAGGAGCTCGCCGGCTTGCCTCGTTCGTATGCGGATCTTGGGCACTTTCTTGTCCATGGGTATCAGGAAGACACTTTCCTGCTTCCGACCTTGTCTCGCCGACTGGCTAACAGACGACTGATCGACGTGGCCAACATACTGACGCCAATTCCGTTTGATTACACCGACAACCTTTGCTGTCGGCTGCGGTCGTCCTTCGGTGCTCAAGCCCTGGGTCTTCTTGACCTGTTCCTGGAGAGCCTTCTTCTCCTGCTCAGTAACAATATCTCCGCCCTCATCGCCATCGGCATTCTCGTTCTTTGTGATTGCTTCTTCCTCGATAATCTTCGTAGACGGTTCCTTCCACTGGTCTTGTGGGAGGACTTCGACGATCACGACATCTCCGTCCACGGCACGGTTGATGTTATCTCGTCCAAGCACTAAAAGCGACTTCGGGAATGCAGGCACTTTGATGGAACCCTCCAGATAGTTGTAAGGCGAAAGGTTGAATATGCCCTGGTGAAGCATACCGTTTTTGACGCCAGTCATCATCTTGGACATGCTGTAGTATTCGGGGTAGAGGAAGTCGGCAGATTTCTTATCTCTGGAAAGACCTCTCTCCTGTGACTCGGCAATCATGTCAAGCAGGCGATCTGCCTCCTGCAGGCCCGCAACGTAGTCGCGTAATGTCGTGGCCGGAACTTTCTCCTTCTTTGCCTTCTCCAGGTTACCTCTGTCATCCGTAAGCATGACCGTGACAGGCAGCTTCTTCGCCTTGGTCTGCGCCAGATGCTCATTGTACCACTTGACAGCCCGTCGCACGGCTCTGTCGTTCCGGTCATTGATGCTCTCGTCATGTTCCCGGTTAACGTACGTCTCGAGCCTGAACTCGTTGAAGAAGACGTAAAACCTCTTCTCCTCGCTCTTGGTAAGCCCGATGAGACGATTGTAGAGCGGTAGAGATCTGTTGCGTAGCTCCTCGAGTACGGTCTGCAGAATGATGACGTCGAAAAAAGCAGAGCTCTGCTCGAACAGATCCATAGCGTTCAGCAGAGCGTTTGTGTCTGGTACAAGGTAATGCCCTTGCGGGTATGCCTTGCTGCCTGCCGGCTTATCTGAGAGCACGAACGGGCTCACTACGATAAAGTTAGCTGATATGTGCATGTGTTTGTCGGGATTCGGGCATAAAACTCACCTGTCCCGGCTGCACTCCGCGGTGCGCCAGCAAGACATTTCGAGCATATCTTGGACGAACATGGTATGTCTTGTCGGAGGTAGACCTCGCGCACAATCTTCTGGACTTTCCCGCTCTTTGTCGATCTCACATACGTCTTGCTGGAGATATTGGACGAGAAAGGACCCGCCTCAGAAGCTCGCTTCAGACTCGTCATCCTCGCTTCTTTTCCTATTATTCTTCCTTTGGTGTCGCCTCAGTTTCGGAGGTGCAAGCATCTGCAGTTCAGAGGTAGGAATTCGTCGATATTTCACCCAAGTCCTTGGTCGTTTGCACGATGACGATGACTCGCGATGCAGCAGCACTGCAGTGTTGAAATGTCAAATCAACATCGTCACAGCGCGCCTATTCGCCTGTTTGCCTGCTCGCCGTCCCTTATCGTTATCAGCAGCCGCGCGCCCGCCACACCTGCTACCCCGCCAGCCGCCGTCGGCCCGCTCATTATGTGCACCACCTGGCCTGTGCTCTCGGGCTCCCAGTGCGAAATAGAACCCAATCGCTGGACGGGATCCCCTCGCGGTGCATCTTTGAATGCTTCCCGTCTCTCGTTGGCCTGCTGCTATCCCGTACCCCAGCCCTGGGATTGCTGCTTGATCCAATGATAGTATCTGTTTACTTAAAACTCTAGATACGTAGTTCGGTATAAGTTTCATCTTTCATCTTCTCTATTACGCTACAGCTATCTACCTATAGGTACGCCCCATGGCACGCATGTGCCTCCATGTCCAACGTAAGGCGTCTATGTACTTAGGTATGATATTTGACTGCTCAATGTCCCCAATACCCCATCTCAGAAGCGCTGGGGTGAGGATCACAAGCCATTCCAAACCTCGTACCAGCGAGCGACGATCATTTCCGTGTCAGAAGCCAGCTTACGATGTTCGCAACTCCACGCGACCTCACGCGACTTCCTCGTGCATATGAGAGTGCTGCAGCACCACTTTCATGTAAGCCGTGGTAAGTAGTATCGGACATGTGCGAGTCTCTTTTTATACCCAGTATACCTGCAGTCAGGTAGTCTCCCCCCACTCATTTTCCTGCAGAGTCCTTCGCACTTGAGTCGCAGATACCACCCCCATCACCGAGGCGAGAGCGGGAGGAGAGTATAGGAGGTGTGAATGTGAGAGCGAGAGCGACAGAGCGAAGTGGGTTACCTATCAGCATCTCGATGGATCTATATTAATCTGAGTTGTATGATCGACGGCATTCAGCCGGCCACTTCTGCCATATTGCAGCGTGCAGTTCGTTGCGCGCCTCTGGGTCCACCGTGACATTATGGCTGCTGTCTGCTGCATGTCAAGAGCGGACGAGACGACACGAGCCATGGCAAGTCGGTAAAATTAGCAGCGAGGAGGCCACTGTGCCATTCGAGACCCTTCCCGATATCGTCTAGAAGACTGGAACCCCAAACGGCGGCAGCGGCGTGTATGGACTATGGAGCTTGGGGGTATACCTGTCCATGGGGGTGGTTTGCTAGTAAGAACCTAGATGCTGCAATACCGCCTATGCCTTGATTAGGACGTGATACATCAGATGAGATGAGATCCGCGGTGGTCCGTGAGAGCCACCCCAGAAGGGCCCGTAGAGCTTATTCCGACTTCCAGTGAAGGAGGCCAAACAAGGCCAGGGCAGATAGAGTCCATGTCGAGGAACGTTGCACCTCCGCCTCGTGCGATCGCGCACAAGGCACATCTCATGGCTAGCTTCGCGACTCGTTCCGACCTTGGTTGGTCTGGTACGATCTGGGCTGGTCCGGTTTGGTCTGGTCCGCGATTTGAGATGGGACGCGAGGATCACGAGTCATCATGTTGACGTTTCTACATATCAAGATTCAAGGCAGCAGCGGTGTTGCGTACGACACCACCACCACCGTCAGAGGTTGGTCAACAAGACATGGACACCGGTCTAGAATCTAAGCCCCTACCAGGCAGCCGAATAGAGTCCTGGGCGGCCGATCGCGACGTTGATCTTGTCAGAAGTGCTATGGAGTGCGCAGACCGAACCCCGTTCTCGCCCGACCCTGTTTTCCTGTTTCCAAGCCCAGCCAGACGGGGCGAATTGAGGCAGTCGAAGGACCAGGGGCCGGGCAACGCGTTGGCGAGAGCCCATTTTCCTGTCTATCTGTCAGCATACACACCGAGCGATACCGGATGAAGTCAACCTTGGAAGTTGAAGAGGGGGTTCTGTCTTTGCCCATGGCACGAGGTCGCTAGGCCAAGTCAAGTCGAGCCGAGCCGCTCGGTGTTGAAGACCAAGGACGTCTGTGGGTACTGCGTGTGTCTAGGTTGTGTGGATGTGTGTAAGTAGAGTATGCGTGGCCTCCCGGATCGTCTCCCTGTAGGCTGTAATTACCTATAAACCCGGCACGGACTATGGACCACTCGGCAGACATGTCCTGGAGTCCCCCCTTCGACATCAACCTGAAACAACCATACTTGCCCATCATCGTCGAAGATGTGGCGTGGCCAAGCCTCTGGGAAGCCTTCCGCATGTTGTGCCACCGTGTTGCCCATGTCGGATACAGCCATGAATCTCGTGTCACCCATCGACGACAGGTTCGGGGAACTGCTGATGATCTCTCGTGATGTAATCGGCAGTGGGGAGTCTCCAGAAGAAGATTGGGTTTAGCTCCCGAGATGCAGAATTCAAGTCTCTAGATACTGCATAGTCTAGTCTGGCCGGCGCCTCTCAGCTGAGCAGGGACGCGTGAGGGTCTGCTCCGGCCAAGCCCAGCAATGCTCTGGGCACTCCTCACTAGAGCGCATCTCCTACGCCCCGGTAGCAATATTGGACATGGCGTTGCGTCATCGTCGCAAAGCCCCCTACCCCAGAGCTGAACATGTAAGCGATAGTCGCCCTTCGGAGACTTGAATTCTAAATTACGACAGAAGAGGTACCGTACATACAGGTAGATAGTGGGCTAGAAGTCCAGGACTTGCTAGCTAGCACCGGGGCAATGTCTGTCAAAGTTCGATCGAACTTGGTGGGAGCCTGCAAGAGCGGGTAGCAGGGATCTCCCGTGCGGCCGAGCTGTCGTGATATGCACAGACGACGGGCGAACAGGTAGCCTGAGCGTCTGTCATTGCGGGGGGTGGGTGGGTCGTCGCGTCGATGCACACGCCTATCCATGACCATTACAAAGATCGTGGAGTGCCACTCCCTGTGGCTATCATACCGTCTCTGTGTGTGTGGGTATGGGTATAGGTGGTGTGGGTGTCTGTAGGGAGGTAGACGCGACTAGGAAGAGATGACTGACTGCCGACGGAAGGCAGCAAGTCAAGTTCAAGTTCAAAGAAAATTGGGCTGTCGAAGCTATGGGTGGTGGCATTGCCGCGCAAGATCTCTGCAATCCTGCCGTTTGTGTGTGTCTCCCCTCGTCCTCTTCCTGCTCTGAATCATGGCTGTGCCCATACCTCGACGTCTGGGGAAGAGGCTGGGGTGCTTGTGGTTGCTCGTCGACAGACAGGCTCGGTTGGGTTCGGAAGACGGGGTGGAGTCGGCGAAAGCCACATTATCACGAGAAGATAAGGTCAAGGACGAGGACGAGGGAATGTGCAAGGAGAGACAGCACGATGCGACGCGATGTAATGCCGACTCTCCTGCAGGCCTGAGGCAAGGCAAGGCAAGGCCACAGTCCGCGTCCCCCATGTTCGTGCTGCCTGATGCAAGCCACCACGGCAGCACGGCCAGGATGGATCATGGAGCAAGAGATGTGGCGGCTTGGGCGGTTGCAGTTGAGCAAGAGGTGGGCACAGCCGATTGCCAAGATGGCCCATGATTTGCAGCTTGGGTCTGTGGGTTTGAGCCAGGTTCTCAACATCCTGAGCTTGCGAAGGGGTGTCAGCTGGTTGGACGACGAGCACCTCAGTCGACGGCCTGGGCCAATGGGGCTGCGCGAGGCCATCGTCAGGGTCAGAAGGGTGTGCCTCACCCCGGTCTGCGTCTGCCTCCTCGTGGGCCTCCACCCCCTTGATGCTGCCCTCCTCGAACGGCCGCGCTGCACTCTGCACACCCTCTTTCTCGCTATCGCCCGTCGTTCCCCAGATGTTCTGGGCCCCTTCAGGATAGGCTGCTGCTGCTGCTGCTGATACACCAGAGACCCACTGAGTCACATGAGAATTCTAGGAGCGATGGTGCTATCCCAACGTCTTGTCGTGCTCGTCTCCATCGACCGCCGGCGATCTGGGAATTTGGGAACAACGGGAATACGATGTCTCGAGGAAAGAGGAAAGTCACAGACGGAAGCCGTCGGCGACGCAAAAGTGAGGGGTCAGCCAGATTGCGGAACTTGATTTCCCGGCCGCCATCGGGCTTCTGAGTCTGATGAGTCCTGAGAAGGCGCATGGGTTCTTGAGAGGCGCGTTTTATGCCATGCGTAGAGTGCCCCTCTCATCAACAAGCACTGGAAGCTTGCACATGGCCGACTGCGTCTCATTGCGCGTCGACTATCGCGGCAGACGGTTCTGCTGCTAAGAGATATGCGCAGCCCGGAAGTTAATCCCTAGTTGGAGTTGGATATGCCTACTCTGACCGGTTGAACTGGTATCTCACATCATCGATTGAAGAACAGTGAGACCTGCGCTCCCGCAACGCCACCATCTAGGTTGATATGGGGTAACGCCCATGCCCGGAGTAGTACTGTTCATAGTCATATGCCTCGATTTATATTATACCGGTAGTTATCCCAGATAGGCCTGTTTCACTAGTATGTTGTAGTCCCTTGGCTGTTCTAGCTGTCCAGTTACTGGGCTTGCTATTCAGCTGTGGCGTGTCTTCATTCATACCTGAAGGTAAGGATTGGCTTCGGGAGGCCAATCATGTCAAAGGTCAACAAACACCGACCATGAATCCGGTCTGCGTCTCGAGGCCAGATCGCCTGATCATTGGCCTCGACGCTCAATGACGCCGCCCGGCTCCAGCGTCGCGTCGGTCGTGAGTCGAAATGGGCCGGGATTGTGAAACATACCTACGGATGATCTATTTCTTCACAAAGTCCCACTGCAGCAGCTGCTGCAGAGGAGATGCAGAGCCGGGGGTGGCCCATGTGAGCCTGTGTGATATCCGCGAGCCCATTAATGCTGAGTCATTAATGCTCCGGATCACGGCAGGCTCCCCACACCCCAATACGTCGACTTTGACTCAAATATGTGTGCACGGAGCCATTCGGCAATCGTATACGCATATGTGACTTGCCATGGCTAGATCTGTGACACCTGTGGGCGCGGGCACGAAGCCGGGCCTCCCCTGTGACGAGCAGGTGATCTGCCCTTTGACAGCTGAAACGCCCTCGGCGCCCAGGAGAAGGCAGAGAGAAAGGAGACGGGAATTTGTACCGTGCCATCGGCTGCGGCGAGGTCTTGGGACTTTTCTGCAGCTAGATGAATGCGCGAGAGCTAACTAGAGCTTGGCTGCAGCATCGTACAGGAAGGGAATGGACGGCATAAGGCGTTGTGCTACCTAACCGTTTGGGCCGGTGATACTCAGCGCCCCTGATTAGTAGCAACATATCACGAAACTTTGTGTTCAGCGAGAATGCATGCGGATGACTCTCTGGTGAGCTGAGCTAGTTTCTGTTGTCCATGAAATCAGATCAAAGTCGAGCACTAGTCGTTTGGGGTATACAAAGCCACGAGCTTCAGGAGACCGTTACCGTTGCTCGGGCTAACTTACGCCGCTATTCAGTAGGCAAAACGGCGTGGTACTTGACGACGGGTCCCGCCATCTTGGTTCTGGAGCAGTCCGGTATTCACTCTGTCTATGGCGTTGATGGAACGGCCTGTTCGGGCAATACGACTCCAGGCTGACCTCGTTGAGCGGGGCGAAGTAGACACGCTTGTGCTGTGATACCTGACTTCTTCGCGCGCATGCTTGGGGTACACATTCGAGCTCCGCATGAGGTAAGTCTGGTATCCCATAGTGTAGACTGTAGTCAGGCGAGCAGCCGGACTGGAGATATGTTTGATTGGGATTGAAAGCATACCTATCCTCAGCACCCAGTGGCCTATAATTGTCGAAGCCGCCGCCCAACACACGATATAGTCCGGTCCGCACGTGTCCGTAAGGTATTAATCAAGCAACCGAGCTGTCCACTTTGACGGCACAGTACGAATGAGTTTCAGCAAGGGGTGGCGGAAGTGATTAATGCTATTCTCAGCGCAACGTCGCACTCGCATGCACGCGGCTTAGGGATGCTTAGATCCATCGGTCTGCGTCGAAAGGCGGACAGCGAGACATGAACAGACCTGTCATCTTGCCCGGCATGTCTCCTCACACATTGTCGACGCGTAGGTAGACAGACAGGTTGCCGGACGGATGACTCACAAATCGTCAAGAAATAAGGTCAGCAAGGCCGTTTGTCTCCTACCCGTCTTGGCATGCCGATAGCGACAAGACGAGCCGTTCATGATAGGCTCACAGCAGTCGGCCGACGGCTTGACCCCGCGAACTGCAGGTTGGGCAGATTCGACCGCGGTGGCGCATCTGTCGCCGTGCATGGTGATTGGCCTGGCGCAGCTGCGTCTCAGGACCCAGCGGTCGACTAGAGAGGACGGCGTTGATGTAAGCGTACCCTGGTATCTCTAGTTAGCTGATGGTGGACTTCGGTGGCAGTCTAAACAGGTTATGTTGATGATACTCTTATCTCGGGCGCAAACCGCAGACTTGAGATGCTGATGTGATGGTCAGGTGAAACATCTGAGCATCAGGGTCTCTTCAAGCGGGGCGACCTTCACGAGCGAGCACCATGCAAGGCTGGACACGGGCCGACGGGTGGAATTGTACACAGTAGATCATCCTCTTGGGGAGTGGTCTCGGATGAGGTGGAAAGGAATGATCTGGAGGAAGACAAGAAGGAATGGCTGGAATCATGGATGCTAGCTATGACTCAATTTACCGGGGGGCAGGTAGCAAAGTACTACCATTAACGCCGGGGGGCGTGTGGCTAGTCGGGGTTAAGAATTGACCAAAAACCCTGAGAGCAGTCGACAATATTTCAGAGGACGGCTTTGTGCCGAAAACGATACTGAACAATTGCTGACGAAACACTACGCGTTATAGAAGCTGCTGGGGGCGTTTTAGAGGGGATGATGAGCTCGTTGCCGTTTTGGTCCTCAGGCCGTGCGTGCGTGCTTATGTGCTACGAGTGGCGAACACAGAGATCTTTCAATGTTGGGCAAGTCGAGCTAAGGTAAACTTGAACCACAAGATGATGCAGGTAAGCCAAGATAGACACGGACTAATCGAGGCAGCAAAGATAGCCTTGCAGGTTGCTCATCGGGAGAGGGCTGCTTCTTGCGCTGCTGATATAAGTCTGGATGCCATATGAGGTGCATACTGTGTATTCCTCCAATGGGACGCGTGCAGGTCGGTGGCTGCAGGTCTGTTCCTCACCGGTCAGGTGCCCGGGCTTCACTATCGCGCAATATTGCTGACATGGAAGCTTGCAGCGCCGTAAGCCGCAGAGTTGTTGGTTGGGTTCGGGACCGCTCAGCGCATCCCCAAAGGATCAGGATCAGGAGCACCGTCTAGTCATATCCGAAGCCGAAGTTGATAATCCAAGGTAGGCAGCGAGCGCGTCTAACCGTGTTACGTCGGCGCATTCGGGCACACAGGAGCTGTGTCTCGTGGTGATGATATGTTCGTTCAATGTTGCCTCTTAATAACAGAGACTCGTCAGAGTCAGCGAATATCGTAAAGGCGGAACAAGCAACATTGAACCCCACTACATATTAGGCTGTTGGTTCGTATATCTCTCTGAAGAGACCTCGGGTATAACTACCCAAAGCACCAAAGGCAGTCGCTTGTGAATCGCTCACCTCACTTACTCACATCACACGAGCTATCAGTTGTCCCTGATGTTCCAAATCACCTCATATATCATTTTGCATCCCGCGTCCGCGCTCGCCGCCCACATAGCTAGCTCCTTGCGGCCTTTCTCGGACAGCGATCCATGGATAACCGCTGACCGGTGGTCACGAGCGCTGCATTGGTCCGTAGCGCGTGGTCGAGTTTCGAGACTCTTTTATGATCGAAGTGAGAACCGAGGTGCGTCCATCGGCAAACCCAACTATCTGATGAAACTTCCGTACATGGCAACTTATACAGACAACCTTGAAGCTGACGAGATGCGCCCGGGTATGGGGTGCATGTCACGGCAGACGGTAACACGGCTCTTCAGGCTTCAATCATATAGTGTACCGCGGAACAGGCGCCCAAAGCTAGATAGAGTCTTATCATTGCTTTTACTGTCAAGATGTTGGATTTGATATCACCGTCCGGGTCTAACGATCTTGATTCCTTGATCTTCCCGCTACTCCACTCATGAAACTAGGAATGGAGTTCCTGGAAAGGTTATCTTATCTTCAAAGTCGTGGGCAGTCTGTTCTGGAATGCGTTGTTCGTATGCAGGGACGTTACAGTCGACTCAGGCCGGTCACACAGACAAAGACAATACGGGGTGTCTCGTCAGGTCTCACTTTATAATACGGCTGGTTCTAGACTGCCTGAAGGATACCCGTCGATATCATGATGCTTTGTGATGCTCTCACTTACATGTGCCTAGCCAAAGCTTGAGGGCCACGGCGCTTCGGTGAATCCCTCTAGTCTGACTGGATGCCTTCTCTGACTCAAAGTGTCAGTCAATCTGACTGCCTCCTGCTGTATGACTGCGCCACGGACCACGGGCTCTCAACGCGCTCTCAACGCGCTCTATCGTAGTACATATTGCGTGTAGGGCGAAGAAGAAGTCATTTTGACGATTTGACAATGTGAGAGGGAGCTAATAGTAGCCGAGGCTTACCCTCTTTGAGTAATGGGCGTGGTGATCCCTACAAGCCTACCTTAGGCATTCCAATCGTCTGTCGTCAGCCCCTCGCCCAATCACGCCCTACCACCACTGGAACCTTGTTGCGCATCGCATCGTCGGCTCCAAGTTTGAAGTCGTTCTCCGGACGCGCGAGAGATCTGATGACTCTTGCGGTCTGTCTGTGATGGTGATATGAAGTAAACGGAATGCAAAAGACATTGATCAAGACAAGAAGAAAGTCGCACGTACTGAACACTAGCACCAATCATTCGCTACACGGGGCTTCTTCGACGAGGCCGCGAGAAAGCCTGATTGATGCATAGTCGCGGTACCCTACTGTAATGGGTTGATGAATCATGGCCAACCCCGGCTCCCCTGCCTCCCCCGGCCCCATGCAACGCTCCGGGTCGCGTTCCTTTTAAGTTTTATTAACTCCATGTTCCTCATCCATCGTCGAATTCAGTGAGTCTAGGGTTGTGCACCCCCAATCCTGTGCCCTGTCGTGCCCGTCGTGTCACCCCAGGACCCCTGTCGAATACCCGTTCCAGGTGGCCCTGCTCGAACTTCGGCCTCTCTCCTCGGCGCCGCGGGTTGTTGATGATCACTTACTGTTAAACTCATCATCATTGGTAGGGAAGCCTGCGCCGGCTGTGTCTATTCTTGTCTTTTCAGGTCGCATAGTACTGCCCTTATTGATGTGGCTACTGACTGTCCGCATCTACGTCGATTGTTGGTCTTGCCTAGATAGTAAAACAAGTAAGTCCATATACAAGACCTACAGACACACATATTGGGATCTATGAATGTGAAGACAGATATAAACGTGGTTGACGATCATATCAAGTTATCCCGGCCGCCGAGCTCTGGGCTGTCGTCCTGACCGACACTTGCATACCCGCGCCTGCGTTCGACCTAAATCCGCGGTGCATACATGTACATGTACATGTACATGTACTTACCTACCCTACACACACGCCCGTCACACGTCTGGCTGCTATACTCACCTCGTACCAGAAACGACTTCACATTGAACGTCCAGTCAACATTGTCATCTTTTCTTCGACATAGACGAAGCGCGCAACTTATTACTTGCCGACCTTGGCTTCAACACACCCAGGTTTCTTTCCCGAATAACCGAAATCAGAAGCAAAAAGCCAACGTCAGCAGCATCGGAACCCTACGGTATCATAACAAACCTACTTTAAAGGTAATCGATGGGGGAAGCCCGTAGCGGCAGGCTTCTTTGAGTGGCCCACCACACCTTGCTGGGGGCTACCCGTCTATACACACCCTCTTCTATTCCTTCCTTCCCTCCCTCCCTCGCTGCCAACCCAGGTCTCCTCCATCGCCGTCCATCCCACATCCACGTTCATCCAGTCATCGTCGACTCCCATGTTTGTACCATACATTACCATGCCCTGACCTCTGTTCTGGATCCGCTTTGATGCGAGTATCCTGGTACTGCTACTGCTGCTACTGCTTCCTGCTGTGCCCGCCTGTCACACACCACACCACACACCACATACCGCGGCACCCACCACCCCAGATTCTAACTTGCAGCTTGCCCTGTCTATTATTGTTGCGCCTGACAATAGTCGACAGTCGAGGCAAACTAGCAAATTCGAAACACAATCTCGATATCTTGCCGTCCTCTCTATTGCAACGACCACTGAACCGAACCATTGACTCATCCGGTGATAGGAAGAGACTAAAAACATCCACCTTCAGCTGAGCCTGACGACTAGCAGTCAAATTCCAGCCCAAGGCCTATGATATTGGATTTACAACACGGTTAGCAAATAGCAAATTGCAAATTATATTCAGTTCAATCACTTATTGTTCAGTCGTTCATTTTCCATCGCCATCGCCATCCACCACACGCGCCTGGACTTCGCTGGGACTTTCCAATACCTGTCATTGACAAGGACATACCTCCCCGACAGCGCCGCATGTACCCACATTGCATTGGCACGTACATACGTACACAATTCCCGTCTCACAGGAAGAGGAGCCTTTCCTGTGTTGCGGACGAACTCGTCAGGAATAAAGACAGTCACGGACGAGGCCGAGAACGAGAACAACACGAACAGAAATTGAAAATATTCGTACTCAACGAAGAGAAAGAGGGTGACCCCACCAGGGACGAGGAAGAGGAACGCGTAAAGTGGAATCGCCAAAACTGGACTTGTCGTGTGTCTTATGGGAATTGCCTGACAAGCAAGCTCGAGGCACCTCCAGCCGCGCTTGCGCTTGAGAAAGAGGAAGAGAGGAGGCTCCATCCTCATCCTCCACTTTATTTCTTACGTATTGGCATTGCCTTGCCGAGTTGCCTCCTGCCTGCTTTTGGTCCTATCATGATCTCTCTTCCCCTTCCATAAACTACCTCCCTTTATTGCTCTTCTGGTCTTCACGCGGACTCGTCAATCCGCGTACATACTTCACAGACCAGGTACTCGGCTATCATTCGACGACCATCCGCCTATCCCTCGACTCGTCCTCCTCCCACACCCCGTACATACATCCATCCATTTGCATCCGCCCATCCGTCCATCGATCATACATCATACATACTAGTAGTGCATAGGTGGGATCCATACAATACATCCCTCGCCCGCCCAGTCCGTCCCTCCGATACGAAGACTCGGGCTTGGATTGCGACCAATCTGCCAACCACATGCGCGAGTAATAATCCTGCATCCCCCCCCCCCAGGCTTTCCCCCAGGCCCCAGCAGCGAGGTTCCAGCGGTCCCAGCAGTCCCAGCACTGTCGCCCCCCCCCCCTCCTCGAGCCGAACGCAAGCAGGCGCATCGCATCGCATCACATCCATCACTCGCCCATCCTCCCCCAGATCTGCCCTGTCTGCGACCTTTCGCCTCGTCGCGCGCGTCATTCAACCATCGCCTGTGTGCTGTCTAGTCCAACTATATCAAGACACGTCGCTCTGCAGGCACAGCGTTCTCCACGTCGTTCCCTTCCGCCGCCGCCGCCGCCGCCGCCTGCCTGACTTGACGTGCAACATCGCATCGTCGAGTCGCCCTGGTGCCCGCCTGAATGTATTCCACCCAGCCTAACGGCGCAGAGGGTGCGACCATCAATCCCGCGACAATCAACCCTGCTGCTCTGAACTCTGGTAAGTCGCTGCTGTTCGCTGTTCGCTGTCCCGGCTTCAATATATCAATTCTTCAACCCGATGCGATTGTTGTTTCTTTTCCCGTCGCACTCGTGCTTGCGATTCATTCCTTGCGCCGCCACTGTATGCGCGCGCGGAACTTTCCTCGTGGCTAAATGAAGCTTCGGGCTTGCATCGCTGGCTCTGGTGCATCTGCTGCCCGCAGCCAGTGATCGTCGGCGTCATCACCCGTCACCCGTCACCCATCACCCATCACCCATTACCCCCTCCGTCTGCGCCCGTTTCCCGCCCGCCAGACCTAGCAGCCGTACATACTCCCCCACTTGTCGCGACTCAAGTTCGGATTGAATAGTCGTTGTCGCGATGCTCTCTGCTTGTTGTTATCCATCTTGACATTGTCGTCGCGTCCGGCATTGGGTCACACCATGTCGTTGGATTGTGTGTGCTGGTTGCTGATCTCGCGCCTGTGATCGCACAGAACTATTGAATTCGAACTCCCGCGGCCTGAAGCGCAGTCGTTCGCCAGAATCTTACCAGGACGCGCAGTCAACTGGAACCCCCGGAGACGATGGTAAGTCGTGCGCGCTTGGCTTGTGTACCCGCGCCGTCGCCCTCGTGCACTCGACAGTTGTGTGTCTTCGTGTTCGTGTTCGCGTTACATGGTGTCATCGTGCGACGGCGCCGCACCGCCAGTGCCAGCACCAGCACCGAGAATGCATGTATCGTACCTGCTTTGCTAACCTGCCTGTCACGTCGCAGGTGATTCGAGACAGGCCAAGAAGCGCGGCCGGCCGATGAAGCCAACACGAACGTCTGGCAGCTTTTCCGAACACTCTCATCAGCAGACCCCAATACCTCCTCCCCAAATGTCGCAATCCATACCGCCGCACACCCCGCAGTCGCAGAATGCCTCACTACCTGGGCAGCCTGGGAACTATACCCCGGCCCAGGCGTCGCCTCCTCCGCCCAAGTCCACGCCAACGAAGACCACATTGAAAGCCCTCCCGACCGTCCGCGATCATACGACCGACCAGCTCGGCCCCGGCGGAGACGAGTACCTGCCGCGCGAATCTGACGAGGCTGGTGAGAAGAAGGTTATGCCGAATGGCCAACTGCTTGGTGGGCGCGAATATCGATGTCGGGTCTTCCTCGTCCCACACCGCGGCGACAAATTATTCATGCTTGCTACGGAATGCGCAAGAGTGCTGGGATATAGGGACTCATACCTGTTGTTTAACAAGAACAGGTCGCTTTTCAAGATCATCGCCAATCAGACGGAGAAGGATGACCTCGTCCAGCAGGAGATCTTGCCATTCTCGTACCGGTCTCGGCAAATTGCCATCGTCACGGCGCGGTCGATGTTCCGTCAATTCGGTAGCAGGGTTATCGTCAACGGGCGCAGAGTGCGAGACGACTATTGGGAGGGCAAGGCAAGAAAACAAGGATTCACCGAGGCTGACTTGGCCGGCGAGAAGAGACCAGGCGCGGCCAAAGCCAGAGAAGCAGCCGAGGCCAGCAACAACGTGGCACCACTTCCAGGAGGTCCTCATGGCGAAATAGTCTATGCCAATACCTCGCAGTTTGGCAATGGTCCGCAGCCCCCACTCGTTCAACCAGGTATGATGGGACCGCCAGGAAGCTCGACCAGAATGCCCATGATAACAGTAGGACCAGATCTAAATGACACGAGGACGCGCGACTACAGCAACTTCATCAAGGGAGGCCCTCGCCAGGAGATCACCGGCCAGGCTTACCAGGACAGAACACAGTCTAGTCCCATCAACGAAATCCACCAGCAAGCACACCATGCCGCCGAGTTCAACCGCACCGTCAACGCGCAGCGCGATATCAGGAATGACTACATGCAAGGCATATGGCGTAGGCCTCACGAGCAGCCGGTCTCTACTCAGGCCGTCGGCCCCGAAACTACATTACCTACGACGAGACCAGGTCAGTCACCTCACACTGCCTCCGCAGTTATGCAGCCCTCTGGTATGGTCCCGAACCAAAGCCCGCAAATGATGATGACTGCTGCGCCGTACTCGCAGCCAATCCACTCTCAGCAGTCGATGAGCCAGGCGCCCATGCGAGGCATGCCCCAGCCATCTGCGCAGAAGCCATCCAGGCCAGCAAACATCCAGCCTGGCAACAGCAGCATGCCACAGGGCAATCCGACGTACAACTATGGCTCTACCAACCAAATGTGGGGTCCCCCTCAGACACCGCAGACGCCTCAACATTACCAGGGATATACTGCCCAGGCTCAGGCGTCACCTCACCCGCAGCAGCAGCAGCAGCAGCAGCAGCAGTCACCCGTGCCTCAGCTTCGGCATCCGGGCGGGACGCCCCAGATGCAGCCCGGTACTATGCAGTATCCCGGTATGGCGAGTATGGCCCAGGGCTACCCCAACCCGGGCCAAGGGATGTATCATCCAGAACAAACCCCGAGGCAGTTCATGCCTTCGAATCCAGGTGCTCTGCCGGCCGTGTCGTCGGCGTGGAGCAACCCCCAGACTTCTGCTGGTGGCAACTGGTGGGCAAATCAACCTCAATGAGTTCCATGATGTGATACATGTGCTGGAAGCAGGACGTGGTGTTCTCTGATACTGAGTAGCCAAAGCTCAGTCGGCCCCGCGCTTGACGCATTTCCCGTCCGTGTTGCACCCACGCTTGGAGACAATGAATCATTCATCTCACATACGGGTGGTCAGCGTCCTTCCCCAGGATGGCTTTCGTTTTGCTTGCACGTCTGGCCCTGGACTGGTAATAGAGGAGTCAAAGAGGGTCTTCCAGGCATATTTACTGTTTTCGACAGCATTCACATTCGTTACGGCGACATCGCAACCTTCTTCGACTTGGGCTTGAACGACATTTACATATACATGTGATACCACCAAGGCCTCTGTCGACGATTGGATGTTGCTTGCACATGCTGCCCTTCACTCGTTTGCAGCATTCATTCAGTTCTCTTCCATCCGATATCATCTGAGCTGCAGCATCATTCGCTATGTTAGCGGCCACCAGACTGGCGATCACCATTGTTTACATTCCCCATCGTTCGAACACCTTGAACAGGCCTGTGCGGGTGCGTCGCTGCCACTGCATAGCGTTTCTCCAATGCCAAAGAGCACGTCAATGCAGCCAGGGCTACTATCATGTCCTCATTTCCCAATATCCAACCGAGGGCTGGCGCCCAGCCGAATGGTTGGCCAGATATCTCAGACCACTCTGCATATTTGGCTTTCACCTACGCTCGACAAGTTGCGAAGTATTTCGCCGGCATCCAGGTCTGCCAATGCTGCGCGGCTACACGATGTATAACGGGAGGATCCATTTCTGTTGCTTCCAGTTTTGTAGGGACGGCTGTCTGCTTCTTGAGGCTTCGCAGCCCTCGCCTCCTGGCCATGGAGCCTTGGCTATGGCCCTGTATTTGGTTCCGGGGGGAGGGTCGAAGCCGACGCACACACCTTGGTAGCATTGGAGGAGTTCTTTGTGATTTCTTGTTATTCGATTCCCCCTTTCCATCATTCCGGTTCTTGGGTACATCGGTCTTTCACAGTTAGGCTCGACTTGCATTTTGATACACATCGGCGGTAGTAGGTGGCATACTCTGCTTATTGACTGAGCGGGGTGCGGCACCTATCTTTCAGCGCTGCGAGCTTCGGTTCAGTCAGCACTCTGTTGGGGTTGCGGGTTTCTTTCGGACTCGAGGAACAATTTGCATATTAAGGCAAGGGATACCGGGCCTTGTCGGTGTGGTGGGACGGACATCTGCGTTTTCTCCTTTCTCAGGGTGTGAGGCCCACTCGCTCGATCAACAATGTTGTCTACGTTTACTAGTCCTTGGATATTCTCGAGACGGAGTTGCGCATATCGCTGATGGATTGATGCGCAACACGGTAATACAATTTGGTTCCTGTCTACTTCTGCTTCTACCTTGGCATCGTTCCATGAGGGGCGTCGTGCGTGACTGCGACTGCCTGTCTTGGCTATGAGAGACTCGAGGAACTCGATACTGATCATGTAGGTTTCAGCGATCGGCGTCCGACTTCGGGCGGTTTTGCATCACATCTTCTACAGCAAGCCAGTGCACGGCGAGTCCAACACAGGGGCCTAGTACGAACCGCACGAACCTGCCCGAGATTATTAAGGGTCTTGCGATTCGAATATGATGTGCTGTCGTCAACACATCACGGAGAGGACTGGCTCGTGGTTACAAGAACAGGCGTCTGCCTCGCTCCCTCCCTCTCTTTCCCCGGCATAGTGAGTGGAAAGGGCCGGTCTAGTTGATGTAATATCTATGCTGACCATGGACATTTATCTCCATGTATCGGAAGGACCGACGATGCCCACTCACGGACAAGTCCACGCCTCGACTTGCTTTGGTCGCTCTCTACGCACGATGAATAATAGAAAGGGGCTTAAGCTAGCTAGCACGCAAACTCAGAAGAATGTCTGTACCCGATGGCAGCGCCACTGGCTGCCGAAGCGCCCGCCCTTCCGTCCGTTCCGTCTCCTCGCCGAATCGGAGGGGTTGGGATAGGCAAGCCAACTGCTTAGGCAGGAGGGTATAGGTACTAACTAACTAAGCCGTTACTCACTCTCAGAAGGGCTGGCTGGCTGGCATCGTCAAAGATAGGTATATAATCTGACTGCTCTTTGTCTCATTCGTACCGACACTGCCGAGTTAGTAAGAGCCAGTCAGAATGATATCTACCGGTTGCTAGGAGCGCATAGTTATCATCAGACAAGTAAGTACCTATCACCAACAGCAGGTCAGGTCAGTTATAGGTCAGGGATTCCGTCCCCTCCCCGTCAGCTTCTATGCCTAGACCAACCAGCCAGCCGCTCTACCGAGGAAGGTTCGGATTTCTTTCCTGATGTGGACGCGGACGTGAGGGACCCACTGCGTCGCCTCGTAGGGCTGATGTGAGATCTGACTTCTGAGGGTGTAGGGGGTAGGGGGTTGAGGACGGGATTGGCATGAGCATGGGCAAGGGCAGCTGGCAACTCAAGGGGTGTCGGTATTGAGGATAAGTCATTGGGTTGGGATTCACATAGTCAGTGTGTTGTTGGCATTTCAATAATCTTCCGGTGTTTGTGGGAGTGGCCATTGGCTGTCTGCGTTGCTGTTATGGAGTTGATGTGTATGTTGGTTGGTTGGTTGGTTGGTTCGTCCGCGTGTTCCGGTGGAATGGTAGCGAGTTCATGTGCTCCCATTTCGTGCAGGCCGTACATGCCTTGCCATGCTATGTCCATGGTAGGGGGCTGCGCATGAAGCCGGTCTAGAACGTGGGTGGAAGGAACCGAGGCCTCGGGACCACTGGGATCCTATCCTGCGGGACTTTTGTCCTTTTAGAAAGGACAGGGCGAAGCAAGGCAATACGGTGACGGAGATAGAGGTGCGATGGGTGCGAGGTCGTTGCCTCGCTGGACCATGGTCACGCATCATATAACTGTTGGGTCCGGGAATGATATGCAATGTCTTGACAAGTGAAGGCATTTAGACATCCGGGACGTCGCCGACATGGTCTATGTTGCATACCCATTGTGATAGCGCCTTAATGATTGGTACGCTTTGCTCATTACACGGGCTCGGCCTTCCTTCTATGGGTGATAGCAACACTGTCTCCTGCTCATGAGAGTAACAACGCCGCCGGAAAGATTATTTCTTGTCTCACTGATATCTGGCTTCTCGTCGGTCGTAGTGAGAGTCCCATCGATCTTTCAGCAGCCCTGAGTACTAAGCGTTTTTGGAGGGACTGTCTGTCTGTCTGCCCCTGCAGGTTCCCAGTCCTCGGGCAGTGCCGCGAACATACACCACAGCGGTGACAATTCCGCACACTTGCAGCGGCTGTTCATGGACAGTGATCGCGGTTACGTTCATTCGTGTGGATGGCTGCTCTCTTGCATCCCGGATCACGCAGCGTGTGGGAGGATGCTTACCAGAGTGCTGGGTCGGACCGCGAGAGGAGGTGGTGGTCAGCAAGTCGAAGGCCGGGTAATTTACTGGGACAAGGGCTCGTTTCCTGCCGGTTCGAAAGGTTGGCATGCCTCGGCGACTTCAATGAGATGGAGTACATACTTGGAATAGTAACCTGAACACACACCTGAAGGGAGTATTTGCGCGCCTGGATTTTTGATGGATTTTCTCGGATTATGATCGAAACGTGACCTTTCTAACGGCGAGAGTGTGTGAGATTTAGGAATGGTCTGTATTGGAAGAGGAATAAGGGTAGCTGATGGGGGTACCTTCCTACTCAAACAAATAGGAAAGGGACCTCTGACAGCTATCACATGTGATCCCACATGATGACACATGTACTGCTCACAACATCACAACAAGGCTAGATACGCTACTGAGCACGTATTCTGACAGAGTGTCTGTTTCAAGAAGTCGCAATGCCGAGGATAATGAAGAAATTGAGAAGGTCTCGGGCTTGACACGTGAGTGGCCGGTGAGTACTACGCCCATCTTATCGGGCACTCGACGGTTGATTCACTCTTCTGGTCTTCCACTCAAAGTATCGCGTCTGAATCTGCTGTGCATGCTCGTCGGAAAGGAGTCTCGGTTCACCTTCACCAGTGTTGCTTATAGACTCACGACTGTGTCGTGGTGGCACACTCTGAAGCACAACCGCAATGCAGGTTCCATGTATGTACAATAGTTACACTCTCCATTTACACAGGTTTTTTATCCATCACGCTCTTCTAATTGAAGATGTATGTGGATATCGCAGAGGCTGGAGCTGTGTTGTGACTTGCAAGCCGGCAACGGTAGCGGACGGCGGCCCTAAGGGACCACCAGGCCGTCACATGTGCGTACTTTGTTCTTTCTTTCTCATTGTTGGAGTTCCGACACATGTAATTGAAATGAGTTTAACATAAGGTTTCGCCATACCCGGGTTTCGTTGGGGTGAGGGGATCTCGACATCTAGATCAGCCACAAGTTTTTAACAAAAGGACAACGGAGACTTTAAGGGCACTTGAGGGCACTTGACTTCTTGACCTGGGCTCCTTGATCTCCAGTCCTTGCGGTTATCTTTCTTCAAGCACACTCCCATGCATCGAGAAAGCCTCAACAAGCTTCGCATTCCTGAGACGCTTCACCCCCCGAAATGGCGCCTCACTTTCCGTGCGAGGTCTGGGCAATGGTCCTAGAAAGCCTCTCGTCGCGCAGAGACTTGATCGCTTTCATTGGAGCGTCTAAGGTCTTCCAGCAAGCCTACTCCGAGCGACGCGAAAAAGCAAACGCCGCCATTATCCAGAATACCTTCGGCGATGAATGCGCTCTATCCCATGCCCTGGCCATCGTGCGTTGGTCGGATATCGACCAGTGCGAGGTCGATGCCTCCCTCTTGGACAAGATCGAGTGCCACCTGATCAGCTATATCCGTGGCAACGAGGCAATTGAGCTCCGTCCAGTTGAGTTCGTCGCGTTGGACAAGTTGCACGAAACCTATTCGAAGTTCATCGACCATTTTGCACGCACACCCATTTCGATACACTCCGCAGAGGGGCAACAACACATGGTATACTGCGCACTAAGCGACGTGACCCAGCCGCCCTACTTGGAGCATCCGCCCATGAGCACCTCAGTCGAGAGAGCACGATCCATTAGCGCCTTCTGCCGGTACGAGCTCTTCAGCCGAGGCTCTCGAGCGTACATTGAACATCCAGGGGACGACCTCCGCGACCCACAGGGTCCGGATTTCTATCGATCTTTGAAGATGCTTTGCCTCCAGGAAAGATGTGTGCCCGGAACCTTCAGACCTACTCGACAATGGCGGGATCATCTTGACAAATCGGTCTTCATTTCTAGACGACGACTTGGATTGCGACGTTGGCACGACCTGTGGCGGACCCCTTAAAGGGACTCGCAGCCCACGACACGTGCTTTTTCTCGGAAGCCATCAAGTTTTCTCTGGATGAGCGTGCTCATAGACGAAGATACAACAACACGCTCAAGTTCGGACAATTTCATATTGTTAGACACCTAGGGGAAGGGAGGGGGGTTCTGCACATCCTGCGCATTATCCGGATTTCATCCCTGGTTGGCATAATCTGGCGGTAACTTTGAGGCCCGTTTCGGCTTTGGGGCTGGGCGCATCTCGCTCGCAAAATATAGGCAGACAGAAAAAGAGCATTGACCTGACCTGCTGTGTTCGTCTTTCTCTTGTCATGCTACTCAAGGTTCCGAACAACTTAACGGATATTAACTAGTTGGTTGAGTTGACGTTAATATCCATACTAACCCAATCCACGAGGACTCTTGTAGCCTTGGCAATTAACTTAACAATAAGGCTATTATGGGTTGATATTAACGTGAATATTGTAGATATTTACTTTACTGTTAATGGTTAGATGGGGTGGTAGTAGCGGCGCTATTAAGTGGTTAGTAGTGGCGTGTGGCTAGTAGGCGGGGGTTACCTTAGAAAAAATAAAGATTTATTAATAAAAAAGTTACTTTTCATACTACGACGCTATAAAGAATATAGTAAAATTCGTTATTTTTTTCTGGTTATTTTAATATTAAAGTGTGTTTAAGTTTCTTATAAATATATTATTAGATATCATTATTTAAAAATAAATAAAGTTTTAGGTTTCTTTTCGTACAGGGTTTAAAAACTATTTTTATCGTAATATTAAAACTATAATAAGATTAAAAAATCCTACGAGCTCGAAACTTGAACATTATTTAAAATGAATTATTTTAACATTTACCATATAAAGACCTAAGCTTGAACATTTTTATCTCATTTTAATATTATTACCCGGAAAAAATATCCCTCATATATATTGTTGGATTCTGGGCTATGTTAGCCCATCCATAGTCATCCTTCAGGATCACCATCCCCATTCGTGACTCTGTCGCATACATGGCCAATATAAGTCCACGTATCCTTTCCTTTAGTATCTTGGATATATATAGGGCCACTCTGGCCGCTCCAGAGTAGCTGGAATTCCTCTCCTTAATAGAACACTTTGAAATCTCACATATATTAACCCACGAAAATGTTAATTTCCGGAACCAAGACCCCTTGTTAATATACGCATATTAATTGGGCGACGACGAGGTCGTAGATAGTGTCAATTTAACTCTACGAAGGGGTCTTGTTGATGTGGATTGAGTTGGTCGGGACCTTGATGCTACTGTTTATCATTGAATGGGCCTCTCTATACGAGATCAAACAGTAGGTCATTCACTACGTTCACCAACCAGGGCTTCTTAGAGTCTGGTCTCATTATCCGGATATATCTGTTAGATGATCTTCCAACCTTCATTCACCTAGGCCGCACGCCATCAAATATGCGAGAAACTGGCATCAGGGTGAGTTCAGGCTTCATGAACATCTGTGACTACCTTTCATTCGATGACGAAGGGTGTATCGCTCAATGACTTCCCCATATAACACCGTTTCTGCTCAACAGAAATGCGGGCACCCCTGAACCAAAAGAGTGATTCAGGAACCGCATTGACATCCTTGAGGTTACCCTGAAGTTAAAGAAGAAGATCACCGACAATTTTACAGAGTACACTTGATTTTCATAGATATATTTGCTCAAGGGCGTGTACGACTTCGGTCAGTACAATATGGGACATATCAAGCTTCCCCTGTGCAACAGCAATATTCGAGACACCCGGCCAGCGATCATGATAGAACGTCGACCAGGGAAAACCGGGGCAAGTTTCTAGCAAAACGACTCCGTCCAGCATGACGGGCTACCGGTCTTGTCTGTGTAATTCTCTTCTTTAGGGGCCATAGTGGTTGTTGCACCACTGCTGCTCCTGGCCCTGCTGGGAGCAGAAGACGACATGGCCGCTTCCCTCGCGGCACTGGTCCTTGTTCTGGTCTACCACACCACCAGTCAGCACCACCACAATAAAAAGGACATCACACCTCTCATTCTTCATGAACGAGACTTACCATAGCCGCACCAGCTGTTCTTGCTGCTGGCGCAGTACGGCTGCTGCTTCTGCTGGCACTGCGGCTTCGGCATCGGATTGTACTGGGACTGGGACTGGGACTGCGACTGGGATTGAGACTGCGACTGCGACTGAGAGTCGGCCTGGCCCTGACCGCATTGGCAGGACTGGCCGCCGCCGCTGCCGTAATCGCCGCCGCCACCGCGGGCTGCGAGGTCGTTGGCCGGGTAAGGGCTGGCAAGGGCCAGGCTTGCGCCGAGGATGGTGAGAACGATGGACTTGGTGAAGTACATGGTGGAATGTATCAGTGTTTGGTTCTTGAATAGTTGTCTTTGGGCTTGGTGTAGGCGTAGAAGAGTGTGTTGATGGTTAGGAGACAGAAGACAGCGCACTCTGAGGAGATGAAGCCCCTTTATATTGGCAAAGGGCCCGGGTTGGCTAAGCTTGATGGGTTGTTATGCTCTCGCGGTCTCGTACGTCACGAATATTCATCAGCACCGCGATCCTGTTTTCGCTCAACGATCTTCACCTGGATTACACACAGTGTTGTCTAAGCTCAGTCTAAACTCTACTTGATACGGGACTCTTCTGCTGATCCGAGGGGTTGGGAGAGTTCGCTAGACACGTTACATCCACAAGCATGGAGATGGTCAATATGCACGTCAAGCGTTGAACTCACGCCACTTCCTGGGAAGATTCCAAACTCAATCGTCTTGCAGACCCAGGATCTAGGTTAGGCTCGACGAAGGTGGCCGCAGGGCCAGATGGTCGATGCGGCCGACGCTGCCATAATCCGTTCGCGAAGTAGGCGGGGAATCTCGGATGACGACAAGAGATGAGGATACCACCCGGGGCACAATCGGCCCTGCCTGAAGCTTGCTGGTTATCAGGATAATCGACGGCATCTAGACCCAGATGTGGCATGTTCCCATCTGCCGGGACCAACTCACGGAAGCATTCTTGGCAGGGCTGCCGTCATGCATCGTCCTCCGCACCGTAACTATATCGGCCAAACTCAGATGTGATGCGGGCGAGGGCACCATCATCACGAGAGGCCGTTCTAGAAACCCGGCTTGGCCACAATGACGGGACGATAAATCTGGGGCTCCGAACTCAAATGTGCCGCATCGATCAGACGACGTCCGTGATGGGAGACTAAACTGTATTTCGCCGGGTGTATGCGGACCCGATGCCGTGGTCCTGGTTCTGAGCTGACATGCCCAAAGGTTAACAGCAGGTATGAAAGGGCTGCTCGTCTTCATTACCCAACTGATTAATCATCATCCCACTCAGGGGAAACTGGCATCACCCCTGATTGCTGTCAGATGCGCTTCGAGTTCCATCGCGGATATGGCGGATGCCTTGGGTGAGGTCGAACTCTGCTATGATAGGGCTAGAAATGACTTCACATCCATACTGATGAAGTACTAGAAGTCGAAAAATGACGATTCAAATGATACTTCGCCTCCCATAAGGGCAGCTCGCCGAACCAAGAACTGCTTCATGGGTGGCCTGTCAGTGTTTTGTCCTACTCCCTGTACGGGAAGGGATGCCGAGCGACCTTGAGAATGCACACCCAGACGGTCGGGACCCTAGATTCAGCTAGGATCTCTCGGAGCGCATACTGCCTGGCTGAGAATGGGAAGTTGACCATCGCTGTTTAACCGTGACTATGGTTCCGTGTCCGAACGGTGAGCCGGGCGATGACGAGGCGTCGTACCAAATGTCGGTTCTTCGACTATCCCAGGCTTCCCGCACTCATCAACAGCGATGTATTGGCCAGCTCGTTGGCATGCGACTCCCTCTCCTTCCGATGTGCCAATACTATCGGCGGAGCCTCGGTCATCGGCTGCGTCTCCTCTTTGCCAGAGGTCTACTGTTTCCGGATAAATTGCACGCCCAGACCACGCCGTATTTCCACTACAGGCAAGTTCACTGCATGGGGGTTGCAGTGGGTGATGTGATCCATCGAAGGCCGACGATATATGGGCCTCTGGCGCAAGGGGTTGCCATTCTTTCCTAGCCACGTTCTCCTCGGCTACCGGGTCATCGCTGTGAGAAGGTGACAATTTGAATAGGAGTTGTCCCCCGTAGATAAACCACAGCGACGACGAATGATCGTCCGATGGCTCCTTCTGCGTAACTCGGCTCGCAGGCTGTCACTGCCTCGGGAAGGCCGTCCAATTTTTCGAAGCTCCACGCCTTGATCGTTCGCTCAGTGTGAATTAGACTACAGCTTGCGTAAAGGGTGATTGGGCACGAAGCGAAACACCGCTGACGGGGCATTGATGTAGACATAATCCTGAGATCCCAATCATATCAAGTTGCGGTTGAGGGCGTCGGCGTGGAATCCTTGCTCCACGTCCTGTCCAACACTCCCAAGGTCGTTTTCAGTGGAAATCAATCAGCGAAGACCAAGCGAGTGACCAAAGCTCAGCTTCTTGTCATACAGGACTGGACAGCCAGGCGAAAGGCGAAGGCTCGGTGAGGAGGCAGGGAGGATGGAAGGTCTCCGCACGTTGCAGGGGTAGCCAAGAGCTCCACAATCCCAGCCTCCTGACTTTGAGAGCTGTGGGTTTCCGTTGACTACCACGCAACGACTACATGTGCGCCGTAGTTATCTGGCCACCTGATCCAGAACCAACCCATTGTTTGAGATCATACAATCTGGGTCATATGTCTTCCCGATCTTCACCCGTATCGTGCCTGGATGATGAGCCCGGTGATGATCGCGTGCCGGCGACTGAGGCAACATGGCCTCTCTCGTTCAGCCTCGAGCCTCCGAATCCCAGAAAGGGTTCCAATAAGAAGCACTGGTGGAGCTATGAGCTTTACCACGGGCCCGAGGGCCAACAGCCCACCGTCCTGTATGCTTCATCAACAGCGGACAGGAGAAGCTTGCCAGGAAGTTCCTAGAGCAGAAAGTCCTAGGCTTCGATATGGAATGGGTCAGCTGGGACAGGTCTTCGCCATCGAATGAACGGCTCCAGGAGAAACTTAGCTTGATACAGCTCGCTTGCGAAGATGAGATCGCTCTCTTCCATCTCGGCGTTCACCCCGGCGACAAGCCCGCTCGCCCCGTCGTTGCGAAGAATCATCGAGTCCCCCTCCGTCATCAAGGCCGGATCCAGTGTCATAGGGGATTTCAGGAGGCTGCGGGAGTTCCTCGAGCTCAAGCCGCAAGGCGCCATTGAGCTGAGCCATCTGCACAACCTCGTTACGTATGGTGGTGGCGACTCGGAGGATCAATGGCGGAAATGTACTACCGGGTCTTGCGCCCTGGCTGAGCAAGTAAAGATCCATCTTGGACTGCCCCTGAAGAAGGCCCCTGTGGCGCGTAGCGACTGGAGCCGAAAGCGTCTGATCAAGGAGCAAAGACTTTACGCTGCTTCTGATGCGTACGCTGGCTTCATGCTCTACCACCGTCTCGAGTCGAAAAGGGCCGCAATGGACCCCAGACCAGGGCCCCTTCTGTTTGCTGAGCGCTATACTTGGTTCAACGGTGTCCAGGGACTGGGCACCCAGCTCTTGCTAGTACGGCACATGTCCACCGGGAGTGATCGTGACACCATTGAGGTAATCGCAGCCAAAGATTTCCTGTAAGGACATCACGACCAGACCCATCGGCACGAGTTAGAACACTCTGAACAGTCGCTGGAAGTCGACGCCGAGGAGCAGGAAGCATTGGTGGAGTGGATCGCTCCAAGCAACACCGCTGCCGCCCGCGGTAACCCATACCAAAGGGTAGCGAAAAGCTGGAAGCCAAAAACAACAGGCGCCCAGAGTTCTGGCAGAGCCACAAGCGCGAGGAACCCACTTCTCGAGGCCCTCAAAGCTCACAGGGAGAGGGTTGCCAGGCAGAAGAGCCTCGAGCTCTACGCCGTTGCGAGTAACGAGGCGCTGAAGGGTATGGCGCGCGATCGGCCGCGGAACACGATGCAGGTCAAGGGCGTGGGCAAGAAGCTGTGTGATAAATGGGGTGATGCGTGGTTAAATATGGTTGAGAAGCAGATACAGGACAAGGAGGATACGGAGAACGGTGCTGCAGAGCAGCAGGGGGCATCACAGGCTTCATCGCCACAAACGACTGCATCATCACAGCCGGAACCAGCACCAACAACACCTTCGCGCGCACCGCCACCCCTCAGGCTCACAGGCTTGTCCACGACGATGGAGAGAACGAGACTCGGCGGCTACGGGATCCAGTCTGATCCGCTGGTGCTCGATGACTCCAGCGACGAAGCACCGGAAGTCGAGAGAACAGAGTCGGCAGCAGCACCGGGACGCAGTGACCAGAGCACACCGTCAAGACCGCCGAAACGAAAAAGGACAGAGCAGCAGCCTGCAGGGCCTCGCCATGGTCTGTATAAGTTCTTCTCGGTTCAGAAGACTGGTAATTCTACAGCTGGCCGTGGGAAGTCTTGATGGGAGATTGAAATCAGCAGTAATCATTACATGGATGGGGGATTACTCCACTGATGTCTAATGGGTATTTTATGTGCCCTATAAGTGCACGATTTGATATACTGAACCCTCGAAAGTCTCTATATGCCCCTCGTCGAGTAATGAACGTGTGTTTGTCGTGGCCGAGATAAACACTCTGGAATGAGTGTTAAAAGGACCTTATTAGATGAATGCTATATATGTCCGGGCGTTTACTCATAGTAACCTGAATATATCAGCGATATTAAAGAGTTATTGGAGGTATGCGAGACAGAGACTCATGAGTGGTGACTGTATCAACCATGTGGCGCCATAGCGCAGTTTGTCCCAACACTGGAAGCGTTCTATGATACAGCCGAGGAAACCTTGCCCGGGGTGACCTATATCCATGATCTGAGAAACGTTCTGGGTGGAATTTCGGATGGATTGACAGCCCACGCCGTCCTACTGTAGGTGACTTATCTCGAGGTTCCAGCTCCCGTCGAGAAGCGTGACGACGGCCTCCCACAGATCGCATCAGACTCACTGTTCGATAGGGGGTTCACGGAAAGGCTTCGCTCCGAGTCAAGCACAAGTACGAGACTCTGTGCGTTCCCCTAGCTACCTCCGATGCATGTAATTGTTGGATAGCACAAGACCTCGCCAGTCCCGAGCTTAGCGCAAACCCGACGGCGTGAAGTCTGGGACCTAGTACATATCGGCCCCCATTCCCTGCGGAGCAGAACATAAACCACATGGATAAGGCAGGGCCGTGGCCTCTGGCCCCTTACCAATTGAGCAACGAAGTGGTTGGTTGGCCATTGGCGAGCCACGAGATGTCTTCGCATTCCAGAACAGGAAATCGCCTCCCGAATAGGAATACACTCCGCACCAATGACACGAAGAGCCGCTGCCACGAGTAGACCGCCTTCGATGCATTAGAACCCAGAACGGAACCCAGAACTACCGAATAGACTTCTTTTCCCAAGGTAGGTACCCGTACCAGAGCCACCTCGACGGGTCTCCGGCGGCCGCAAAGGTGGTGTGCATATGCGCCCTTATACACCGCCTGACCGCCTATCACCTGGCAACTCTGACAATCCTGATAAGAAAGCGACGAGTACCTACCAACGCGAATCCGGTTTTTCGGTGCCTCGATGTTCACGGAGTCATCGGTTTGCGTGCTGGTTGGTTGTTGCGGAAATGACCAAGACTTGGATAGTCCGCTTCTGCTCTAGTCTGGCTGCCAGGAGGGAGGTCGTTGTCAATATCCCCGGACGGGGTAGAGGTTTGGGGTTGGGCTCGGGCTGTGCTGCGCGGGCTGGGCCGGAGGTTTAATGACTCTCGGATCGCTGATCATTCCTCTGATCATTCGAAACATGGGACACGAACGCGGCCGCGGCGAGCTCTCGGCCGAGAAGTTGGAATAGAGGGAGAGAAATTAGGCAATACCCAAAATCCCAGCATGTTGAACCTGTTAGACAGTCAGGTAGATTACGACTCACGAGGCCCTGTGTGGCGAAATTCGTCCAATGTTACAGGCCACGAAATCTGACAGCTATATCAGAGTCCGTAGCTCATAGCAGAGCAGCCGATCGAGGTCCGTGTGCCGTCTCCAAGCGAATACCAAAACAACGCGGATGCCCGAAACGGAAACACGAGGGTCACAGGCACCGCAAGACGTTACGTCGAGTGCGCGTCGGGATGTTTCGTGAACCAAGAAAAATCTCCGGATTTCGATTTCTCCGGGTTATATAGGACAGGGCCCTTGGCCCCTTGCGTCGTTTCCTGGCTGCTGAGATTACGGTGTTTCGAGAGAACCAAGTTCGAGAGACCTATAGGAGTGCCACGAGGCCTCTTTCTGGTGAGTACCAAGACCTGCCAATGTGATTATGCTGCGCTGCCGGCATCCCCCTGATGAGGCGGTACCTGGCTGCTTCTTGCTTCCTGGGCACGGCAGTCGACGGCCTGGCAGCAAGCAGGGCTGCAGTTGCAGCCGGGAAGCGGCAGTATGGTATTAAATATCCGTCCAGCGTCGCTATGACTCGACCAGACGATCGGCGTTCGCTACCTTAGTCCAGATTCCAGAAACCTTCGAGAGAGCCTGGCTCACGACCATAATATTACTTCTTGACATATGAGATGTACCATAGCCCCAAGGGACCACCCGGCCAATACCGGGCGTACTACGGTCGTCACAGGAAGGGGGATGAGGCAGTCCAGGGATCATACCTGTTTTATACGTATATCGAAGTCGACATAGCGATAACCAGCCACTATCGAACGAATCCGGGCATTCGGTTACATGGGACTTACCTACCGGTGAAGTGATCATAATCTCATATTCCGATGTCTCTCATGTGTTTCCTCACTTGCGCATCTTGCGGCCCATACCACATATAAGACACATATAAGAGAAGCCGCGCTCATTTACTTGTGATGAGAATTTCGATTCATCCATGGTTGGCGAAAGTCATGGCGTGGGGGTCTATCTGCCGGGGATTCCAAGCGATAGAGCGATAGCCGTGGTGACGATGGCATGATTGAGTAGTGGTCGACTGCTCAGCGAATTTGGCTGTGCCTAGCTTACCACTGGGGAATGGTGACAATGTGCTTTGCTGAAATTTACCGAGCCATTTCGAAGCCTCATTGAAAACCAAGGCTGTTGTGTTGTGGTGTGATGGCCATGACCGTGAACCCCTGAGCAGTCAGAACAACGTGTCCTCGCTGCCAGGGACCAGCAAGCTGGAGTTGGCCAGTGTAATCCTTGCTTGTAGAACCTGTGATCATTGGGATTTCCGTGACCTGGCCCTTGATTCAGCTGTTGCGGTGGTGCCCTACATCCCGAGCAGAACGGAGCACCGGATTTCAATGTGAAGCCAGCGTGGAGGTGGCGGTGATGACCAGACGCGATAGGAGGGGATCTCAACGGGTAGTAGGTTGCGAAGTGGCTGAGCCATGCGTCTTTTATCATGCCAACATCCAGATCAGGGGCAGCAGAACGACACTAATGCAGCCTCATGTTCCATCGAGGTTCTTGAAGATCAATGCCTCAACCATGCCAGCTGAATGTTGTTCACGTGACCTGTAATTGGTGTCAGCCCTGCAGAAAGGAGTGCTTGTTTGCGAGTATATGGTCGCACAGCATTGTGTTCCAGAGCTGATGGTGTCTGGCGTAGATATCTCACTGGAGATGTTGCGCCTCGTCCAGTGGTTCTATCCGGCTCAATGGGCCATGCGATGATGCCGTGGAGCTGATAGGCTGCCGGGTACATGACCCAAATTCAGCTGATGTTGGCCGTTTTCCCCCAGGCGATGCCGGAGGCGGTGTTAGAAAACTTTGAGCCTCACTATGCCGGTTGGAGACAAGAGGGATGCATTTTGCGGTGCCGAGCAGCTGGCTTCGAGGAGTCTTATATCGGAGGCGGCGTGTTGATTGACTTGTGACTGCTGCGCTCTTCATGCTCCCTCTCAATGTCGTCCGCCATGACCTATGATCCATGCGCTGAGAATGCAAGGTGTCGGCAGAGCGGCGGACGGCCGACTCGTGGTCGTATGCAGTGCTGCATGCAAGTCATAACCCAACGTCTCAAGCACGATGGACTCCACGGAAGAGCTTATAGCCGTCAAATCCCAATCCGAGCGATGCTGATGCGCAGTCGCAGGTGCGGGCAGATTCCGCTCTCAGCTGAGTATTACCCCGTCGGGGGCTGGTTCGGTTCTGTAGTCGGCAGCCTCCGGCTTCCACATCGTCCCGTGTAAGCCGCGGAGGAGTGGAGGGGTTGTGCATCACGCGGGCGGGTTTCGATGGGCCAGCGCTTAGAGCCTCGGCCGTCGTTCGTGATATATTACGTGCATATGCCAGGCACTGCCAGGCTAGCGATTTCGTTTGAAAGAGCCAGGCACGCAGGGAAACCCTCAGTAACGGTGATCCAGACGAGATGCAGGGCATGACAGACGGCCTTGCAGGTTGCGATGCATTCTGCGAGGTTGGTGAGACTGGCGGTGTGCAAGATGGCCGGATGGAACGATGAATTGGATGGCGCACCCACCATGTTACTATACCCCGCTGTCTAACTGTAAAACCGCAAGTTCTCATATAGGGGGGCTGAAGCCTGAAGCTTCAAGCTCCATCGGGCGATAGTCTTCCCGTTCTATGCCAGGTCCAGGTACACAGAGCCACGATATCTTAGGTCTACCCGTTGATCGTCCGCCGGTCGATCTACTAGTCGGCCTCGAAGGATCATGGTTATCCAGCGTGATAGGAGGCTTTGCTGCTTTCTTGCAGCATCGCCATAGTGGCCTGAGAGCTGGACTCGCGCTACCCAATCCTAATGAGGGCGAGTATCGTCAGAGTTCATGCCCAAGTGGTCAAGCTAGAGTTTCGGTAGTGAGAGGCTGATCGCATGGATCTCTCGTGACCTGCTTGCTGTCTCACATTGACAGGTCGAGACCGCCACATCAGCGGCAGCTTACTGGGGGATGTGGGATGCGGTATGTAAGCCTATGCATTTCGAAATCCGTTCTTGACTACGGTAGATCTACGATGCTATATCTGTACAACACACATCGTCACAGGTTCGAAATTCGATATCTAAACGCTGGGATCCTCAACCCCGCAGGTTGTGGCTGCAACGCGCAGCATCTGTGCGTGCATGCTCGCAGGGCCAGGCGGCATACGATATTTATTACTACCTGCTGAAGCGAGGGCGTCGGCGGCTCTCAGAGACAGCTGGATGGCCGCTATTTTTGGCTCGACGCCGTCCCTGGCTGTTCGCGGCCGGAAACGACTTGCACCGAGAAATGTGCATGATAGACCAGAGATCTGTAGAATCGCAGTCGTGATTGATAACAATTACGATGTTTGAGATGTGCAGCTACCTACATGTGAGATAGTCTGTACCGAGCGCATGCACTGTGCGCCGTTGGGTCGCGAGTTTATCTATGTAAGGTACGGTAGGTAAGGTGAGATGGAGGCCGATAGCCAAGGTGAGTATCGTGGTGCAATCTTGGACGCCTCTCAATATCGCTATGCCACGGGCGTGCATTCGCTAAGCTTCGGTACCTAATTTGCGAGGTCATGTGGCAGCCTTTATGTCAGCATCCTAATCTAGCGGATATAAGTTTACCGTTGGGCTTCCAGTGATGGTATCGCAACGATGCCGGATTTGTAATTCCGTCGCTGATTACTTGTATGAAAGGTCAACTGGCTCCCGTAGTACGTATGTAATGTGGTGGGTAAGGAGAAAGTCACGGCGTCCGGGGATTTCGCATCGTCTACCCACGGCTCCACGGCTCTGGAAACCACGTGCGGTGGTAGCGAGACCCTTATCGTCGCGGAGGTATAGGCCTTTAGAAGGCTTAGACTCGTCGATGATGTCCACGTCTTGTGGTTCACGACCTCGTGGGAGAAGCTAGGAAGGGAGCAATCCACGATGCTCCGATGAACGTTGATAGACCACTTTATCTCGAGGTGTGACATCCCCGGGAATAAGCGAAGATAAGAGGTGAATTCTGATAGTCCAGGACACCGGTCTGCCGGTCTGACGGCTGATGATGAGCCTCAGCGCGGTGAGGCAAAAGTCCATCTCGGAATTCATTGATCATGTGTTCCAACCTCGCAAGCCAATGCTGGCTTCCAGATGGTGGTGAACATGAAGCCAACAACCATGCGGTCTGACAAGACACCCCTGATCTTATCGCCGTCCGCCGAGCAAGTGCTGGGAAGAACCTGGCATTGGACCAGCCAGTCAAATGCTGCAAGCTGACGCAGAAATCCTCCGATACGGTAGTGGTGTGTTTCAAGATTGTGAGACCCAATTGTCGTTGATTGAGTGATTGCTGATCACTGATCAGCTTATTATCGACTTCGGCTCCGGGTTGAAATGGCCTCGTCGTCAACACCAAGGTCAGCTTCGAGGAAATTAGACACAACGGTGACAGAACCAAGGACGGGCAAAGTCTGCTTCACTTTCCAGAATTATGGCAGCTCGGGACATTGCAACATCGACTTCAATAGTCCCATGTTCCTCGCCCGTTTGAGTTGCATCCTACCCGAAAACGGCGGCTTATTTGAATGGTTGGCGCCCGTGGGAACCTCAACCAAAGCCAGAACGTGCCTCGTGCACCGACTCATCGATTGCTAATTTAGAGCACCCGTTCTTTGCCGTTGCAAGTCGACGGGAGCTTGGAAGATCAAGGAAGATCAGTCGAGGCTGCCGCCGTCGTGGAGCGGCGCTATCTTAGCTGGATCTGAGGATGACTATTTTGTCACTAACACCTTAACCTGGTCACACCGCCACTACTATCAAAGACGCTCGCCAGGTAATTGCATCGTGGCATCCGTCCAGACATTCTGATACCGGCCGTATTGCATGTAGCCATGGTTAGTCGACTTTTCATTATTAATGAGCTGACGATGGAATCGAATCATTCCAGAGCCTCCTTCAAACGCCATGACTCAAACCAGCCGGCGTTGGTCGTGGTTGGATTTGCTTCACCGCCTCGTTCCACGCAGGAGCCAAAGTGCTGGTTCCTCGGAACGAACAGCCGCAAGTCAGATTCGACAGGTAGGCACCAAGACAGATCTGACAGCTAGCAATCTAGAAGGACTGCGACAGGCGGCCCAATGGAGGTTGCACACGATAGCTGCCATTGTTTCATATCATCAACATGCCGAAACATAAGCGTCTGGGAAGCACCTTGCTGATGAGGCAATTCTACCCTTGCAGAATTTGATGCCCGAAGAACAGGAGGGATCGTGGCCGGCTGAGAGCAACTCAAGCCAACAACTGAAATAACATCCGCTGCCGTATGTGGCTTCCATCCTTTTCAGACTTCTGAGCCGGTGGCCGGTTGCCTTGCCCATCTTGGCAGCTTGGCCGATATCTCGGTGGACCAACCTGCATACAAACTGCATACTGCTGCGTGTCATCGATTCGACAGAGTGGTTGCATGCCACTAGGCACGATGCGTTCTTCACCAGAGTGACAAGACCTACAGTACATACGAAAGCCCGCCCCCACACAAAGACTCTCCGTGTAAAAGGTGCACTTTCTCTTGCAGGTCACCCTCCGACGAGGTCTTTTTAACACGACGCCAGACCGGGCCTTGTGATGTTTCGGCCGAGAGACTTCATGTTGATGGAGATGAGAGTGCATGGACGATATGGAGGACATGGAGGACATGGAGGACATGGAGGACATTGCTGCCGTGATTCGCCACAACCCCTCATGTCCAAAGTCTAAACCCTCAGCTAGCCCCTAGACCGTCTTGATGTTCCCAGTTTAACCCCCTACCTTGATACACCTTCACCCCGCCACGAGAATCGAAAGTGGGAGTGAAGCCGAGAAAGCTGACTTCACGGCTCTCATTCGCCGGGCCTCGCCCATTGGGCGTCGCGTACCTGGTTCTAGTCTGCTGCCCTACTGTACCTTACTGCTTACCAGGCACGCTAGGACTCAGGAGAGGTCTCACGTGGGCCGCGCGAACGCGAACACATGGCACCGCACAGCCGGGCCTGTTCCTGGAGACCACGGCCGTGCCAAGCTCGAGCTGTCGTTGCAACTTGCTATGATTGCTGGCCATAGCGATATCATCACAAGAATACAACCTGCCAACCTATGCACGCATTCAAGCGAATTTGACGGAAATACTGTACGATTCGACTGGGGCCGACACAGTGCAGCCTTTCTTGTGTACCTCAACCGCTGATTCTCTCCAGTCAACCCCTGTCTCTACATAACCAAGGTTGGTCTAGGTACGGTGGTTCGTCCCCACGAGGAAACGGGGGGACATGGGCCTCGGCCTGGATGCAACCCTGCCGGGGATCTCCATTTTATCGAGGGGCACCACCTTCGCCCGTGAACCCCTGGCCCTGGCCCTGGCTACCAGGACTGCCAGGCCAGGTCCATGTTCCATCACACCGCAGCGATCGCTCGCAACCAAGAAGAAGACCGGCACGGCAGAGCTTTTTATCTGTCTGTGTACCCATAGGTATCGGCGCCGAAATCGAAGTCTTGACGAATGCCATTAGACAGTTTCGAAACAAGTCATCCCGCCCTCCTTGCGCCCACCCCACATCAGAATCAGACCGTCTTGTCGCGGCTCCGTCGTTGATATCTCGCGCCGGCACACACGCATTCGTACTTATTATCTCAGTCGGTCCACCCATACCAGCAGGCTTGCTCAAGCTGGAATAGATATATACATAGACCTACCTGCGTCCTGCAGGTCCTCGCCAACTCGACCACACCGCGCATGCATCACGTACATACATCTGCTGCTCGTTAACCAGCCCAGCCTGCAGCAGGGTAGTAGCCAACCTGGTCGATGTCTTCTTCATGAAGCGAGCGGGAACCTCAAGCTCCCGCCCCCGTTCCCCTCCACGCGCCCCATCCGGTCCAGCACGTTTATATATCTATCTGCCAACCCTGTCCTAAACCTACCTACTCGACTGCCGCCTCTCTTGTCTCGTCACGACGTGCATCCTTATAGAGCATCTGCTCTTATATGGATGCGGGGCTAGGAGTCAGATGCGCAGCATACACAGTCGCTCGTTTCAGTCTGTCTTCACTCCTGGGCTACTCGGTAAAGCCCTTGTATACCTCTCATCGTCATCGACGGCCCGGAGGTACTCCACGACAATACCAAGCCGGCAGCTCCCACCCCCCTGGCTAGGTAGCTCAGATTCTCAAAATGTCAGTCACCCAAGTGTTCACATCACTTACCGTTCATTGTTATGTTGTGCTTTGAGTTGAGTTTCTTTGTAATGCAATCTTGGCTGGCCACGGATGGAGTGACGGAACCGTTTTCCATGGTGTCGACTTGAGTTGAAAGCGGAAGAACAAAGGATTGACCATCAAATTTCCGATGGCCATGGCCCGAGTCGCATGCCTAGATGTGATGAAAGCTTCACATTTGCCACTTCGGCATGGTCCTCCAGATGGGGATATACTTGGGAACCAACATGTGCGAAGCTGGAGATGCCCACGCGGCGAGGACAGCTCGAAGGGAAGACTGGAATTCGATAACAGACGAGTGAATATGCAGACCTCGAAAACTAACCCTCGCTATACAGACCCGTTGGCATACCCACAACCACCTGGACCTTCAGATCTACCGAATGTCTTGAAGCGAGAGGAGCTTGAACGACCAGATCCCGCGAGTAGTGCCCTGGACGGACCAGCAGCAAAAGAGACAGAGACTCCTCTCGTGTCTCCAGCAGGTATAGGCACACCGGGCCTGGCGAAATCCCCTACGCTGTCGAGTCACCCGGAAGATACTGCCTCAATATCAACTTCTACGGCTGGCATGATCTCGATGATCTCCACGACGACACCAGGGACGACTCCCCTACCACCATCTGAGACAACGACTTTCGTTCATTCTACTACTTCCACGACGATAACGAATAGTGCTTCATTAGCCACGACTGAGCCTCTTGCCGTTGCCTTTACGACTAGCCCCACGACTTCTTCCGTTATGATACCCGAGACTCTTATGAGCACGACGAGTCTCCTTACTACCCCAACAGCGACTTCCGCTGATAGGAGCTCAGAAATGGTCTCTACGCTTACTAGTAGCACATTATCTTCCTCCTCACCCACCATGTCCACAACAGATAACAACAGCAGCTCAAAGGCAAGTCCCATGAGCGATACCCTAGTGATTGTTCTCAGCACCGTATTCAGCGTAATCGGCGTCGTCCTCATCGTCGTGGCGGCCTACCTCTGCGTGCGGCGCCGGCATCGCCGCATTTCGCTTTTCAATCGAGGCATAACACCCATTGGCGACGAGGAAATCGAAACATGGAAGAGGCCCAACCGGCGCACATCAACCAAGGAGAAGAGACAGTCAGGCCTAGACCCGGCAGATATTTTTACGAGGCGGCCAATGCACACGCCGAACATCTCGACTTTGTCTTTGAAGCGAGCTCCCAGCGTGATCCAGTACCAGCACAATGGAGCCGGTCGGATATCGCTAGAAGCGGCCTTGGCGACGTCGCCACGGTCGTTTATCAACAGCAGCGGAAGAAAGTACAGCATGGACCTCCCCCGTCCCGAGCCGGCCGTGCTGGCGCTCGCCCCTAACGCGCGGTCCGGACTCACCGACGAGACGGTACCCGGCGACGACCCCTTCGTAGTGCAGCCGTCCCCAAAACGGCACCCATCGCGCCTTTACAAATCGCCACCGAACTCGTCGCCGAACGCGCGCACCCACAGTCGGACGTGGGGCTCGAGGAGCAGTAGCATGCGCAGCTACACTGAGGCGTGGCAGCAACAGGGCGGCGGCGTCGAGGCGTCGCCTACGGGCTCGTGTCCCCACTCAAACGGCCACTCGCGCATCTATTCGTCGTCTTCGATACCGCCGCGGCTGTCTTCCGGCGACGACGAGGCGTTGATGGGCCTGTCGCCGCCGCCGTCGCGGCGGAACAACGAAGTTATTGGCCAGGCTCTCGGTTGACCTGATGGAGTCGTGCTCGGTTTCACCTTCTTCACCTGGGTGCCTGTTTTGGGCATTCCTAGCATTCGAATCCGGGGGTGGCGGCAATCGCGCACCCCTATCTGTTTCATCCGATACGGGGTACGAGGAGATCAAGGAGCCGTTCGAGCCATGTCAGCGACGGCTCCCGGGCTAGAGGTCATGACCCCAGATGCCGGGCTTCACGACGGCGCTTGTTATACGGTTCTGTCTGGGATGTAACACATCCCAGCAAGCCGTTCCGATCTGATATAGGCCGCGGTGGCCTTCTATCCCATGCGTAAATCTTCTTTCTCACCACTCCTCCTTCATTGACCCACCTTACACTGGGTTCACGACACAACCGCATACCGAACGACCGGACCTTTTCTTTTGGATGTTTTCTGCCTTTCCGGAGTTTTTGTTGGACGAGAGAATGGAATGCGAGATGTGAGGATATACCCAAGAGTGGCTTTTTGTCGTTCCTTTTCTTGTGTGGCGTTTGGATACACATTTATGGGCTGGGAAACCATTCCTTGGACCATTCTCCCTGTCTGGGTTTTCTTGGTATATATTCATACCTGATGTTCTGCATAAGCGGATGGATGGCAGTGATGGTCGCGGGGCAGGCTCACTTGGACCTGGACATCGTGTGAGTGGTCCGGTTCAGAGGATCGGGCGAAGCCATGCCCGTGGAAGATACCAGCGGGGGGTTGAGGAGGCGGAAAGGAACGGCAGGAGGAATGAACGATAGAAGACCTATCTTGGGACGTTTACGCCGCTCACAACCATAACACATCACACGCAACCTTTCGATATAGACTCTGCTTGCAGCTAGTCGCTTGTAGCATACCGCGAATGGAAATCAGTCAAAGAGATCACCATTCATTTACCTCGGTTTCCTCCAGCCGGACTTGATCGACTTCATCCTCCATGGTCGAGACTAGCGTGCTGAAGCAATGCCTTGACATGACACGCTCTTTGCAGATGGGCGAGTAGTCTTCACCCGATGTTCGCGCGTCCCCATCACGACCCCTGAAATTGTGTCGGTCTCACACCTCGCTCGCCTGTCTGCAAGACCTGAGCAGGACCCGAGCTTGACCTCGCACATGCAAGAATTGAAAATGGGTGTAGGTTGCACCTGCGTCCTGCCAAGCCGGTCAGCTCGTCAGCCAGCCTCTTATAATGGTAATAACATATTTTATCGAGTTGCGTGTTGCTGTTGTTGCTGTCGATGTAAGCGGTAAAAGGAAGCTTCTATGTTGTCTTTCAGTCTCTTCTCAACGCTTGATTAAATACTAGGCTTAGTGGTAATGCTTTGATTATTAATACTGTAAAGAAATAATCAGACGAAGCCGGTCAGGAGCGACTGTTTTGATGGTACGAATTATAAGGTAGGTGAGAGAGTGACCAAGGTTATGAGGAAGAAAAGGAAGGAGAGCTGGAGCTCTTTACGCGTCTCCAGCGCGTCGTGCAACCAAGATAGAACGTGGGGCCCTACTCAGGCGCTGAACTTCAATTGGTAGAGCCCACCTGCACACCCGACTTTTTGCGACGCCCGACTTCACAACATCCATGCAAACATAGGTACCCAGCAACGAATACTACATACCTTTACCACGACTACAGCCACAACGCGTGCCGGCGAACCAATCGACACCAATCATTGCCCGGTCAATTTTCTTGCTCTTGGGGTGAAGCAGCGACCGTTCCAGAACCAATAAGACCTCGAGCTCTGTCAGGGACCTCATCGGCGGTCCACCTCCCTCCAGACTCGTATCCTCCGATTGGGACGCCCAACCTTCCTCCCGTTCTCCCCCACCATGCCGCCGAAGAAGGCCGACTCGACAAAACATAGCAACGTATCAATGGCCCAGTTCGTCTACGACGGTGACGAGAGCGAGGTGTCAGGTCTTGCTCCCCCGGTTCCCGCTTCAGCTTCGGCTTCAGCTTCAGCCACCGTCGCCGCAGCGCCTTCGAACCCGTCGCAACCGATCGAGATGGATACAGATGGACAAGGCGATGGCGGCGGCGACACTGACAGGGACCGGGAGCGGAAGGAGGGCTTCAAGGAAAGAGAGCATGTCACCATCGAGGTATGTTTACTCCGTGGTGCTACGTTGCGCGCAGCACTGACAGCGACAGGACCTCACGCTTCCGAAGTCGATAATTACGAGGCTCGCGAAGGGAGTGCTGCCTCCTAATACGCAGATCCAGGCCAACGCCATACTCGCCATGAGTAAGAGCGCCACCGTCTTCATCAATCACCTCGCCGCTGCGTACGTATAGTCTCTATAACCGGACCTCGTCCTCCCGCGATGCGCATCTCTCCTGGTACTATGAAACTAACTGCCGTATTGGTCTGAATAGGGCGAACGAGAAAACCATGACGTCGAACAAGAAGACCATAATGCCGGCCGACGTCTTCGCCGCACTCGAGGACGTCGAGTTCCCCCATATGCGCGAACGCCTGGAGGCTGAATTCAAGAGTACATCTACCTGCTAGCTACTTTCCGAACCAAGACTGCGGTGCGCTGTGCTAACACTGATATCACTGTCAGAATTCAACGAAACTCAGACCACGAAACGAAACACGTATCGCCGTAGAGTGGCGGCGCAAAAGAAGGCTGAGCGAACAGGTGGTAGCGCGTCAGGGGCAGGCAACGACCCGAACGCCTCGATGATGTCCATGGCATCGACCGACGCGGGTGGCGCCGAATCATCGATGGCAGCGCCGCGCTCCTCGAAGAAGCAGAAGCCGAACGCGCACGACGACTCGACCATGGACGTGGACGGGGACGAGACGCAGGAACCCCAGGACGCTAGTGACGCTGAGACCGAAGCGGAGCCGGAACGCGAGGACGAGGACGAGGACGAGGATGAGAATGCTGAGGAGGAGCAAGAGGACGATGATGAAGACAACGAAGACGAGATGCACGATGCGCTGGAGGAGCGGGAGGCTCGTGTAGATGACGACGATGCGCTCGATAATGGAGGAGAGAGTGACTAGGTAGAGAAGACAAGTCTCTCTAACTTGGTATAACTAGGAGAGAGAAGACACAGCACGACGACTCAACTGGTTGACAATACATATACCGGAACAGGCCCAAGATCTGTCAGCGCTTGCTTTTGCTCGAGACCCGTTTGTCCATCTCTTCTGGTATCTGATGAAAACCTCTCTTCCTATGTCTATCTTTTCCCGAGCAAACGTATGCGTAGATTTTCCCGGATGTCGAGGTTAGTTCCTCTCCTAGAGAGAAGACGAGTAATGCGGTTTTGTACAACATCTTGATGAATCCCGTACCTACGGTGTCCCAGTCGGACGGCTGAAATGATGATTTGCGGTGGAATAGGTAGGTAGGTAAGCAGCGGCTTGGTGGTCGATTAGGCCAATTGCCCCTGGCATAAAAGGGCTTATGCTGAATAGGTGCTTATGCAAACAAATTATTATTATTCGACTGCTTGAGACCTAGTTACACCAGTCTCGTTCAGTCGGGCCCTGAGGCGCTCGTGTCAACTTCTCCATTGGACCATTGCCACGACGAGGCGCGCCGGACCAGATCTGCGAGCTCCGTAGTCTGCAGCTGCTCGTCCCCGGGGTCGCGCCCATCGTTATCGTGTCGATTACTATCGCTTTGAAGATCCTCCATTCACGGAGAGCAGCAAACACCGGTACCGCAGCAGTTCTGGCTTGGTCGCGAGATTTGTCGCAAAGTAGTGGTTCAGGGCTCCCTTGGTGCCATTTCTCTCAAGAGAGGCCATTCCTCCCTTCAGACACAGGACCGCTCCTCATAAGTATATGAGGGGATCACAGCCGGTCATCTGGCCAGATCACACTTAGACAATTATCACTTTTCGTCCCTTGAGCTCACACAGCGGTATTCAGGTTAATGGATGCGACACTAGGCTGTGGGATGATTATAGGTAGATGAGTTTCGACGTTGTTGTCGTTCTTGACCCCTCAGCTTGTAGGTATGTATGCCCTGGTGTTTTGGACAGAATGCATGTCGAAGCTGAGATTAGGTCTGGGAGATAATTAACGAGTAAGACGGACTTACGATTTGAGTACTTGGCTATTTATTGTCTGTCTATATCGAAGGGGTCTCACGACGGATTGGGCTGTTGACATCGGCTCATCAAGTAGATATCTCACAGTTGGAAACCACGCCAGTCCGCCTCTCCTATATTCAACTTGCAAACTACCAGGTCAAAGTGAAGAATGATACGTAAGTCAGAATAAGCAAAGTATCTCCGGGCCCATTTCTAGGGAAATGAGTGGTATAACCCTATTCATTGCTGCATGGCTTCGAGAAGGATTTGCGACGGTGACCTCGAGGTTTATTCCCTTTCAATAACATCACCTTCTTATTTATCGAGGGCTGTAGCTAGTAGCTACAAAGATCATCATCAAGACACCGTCGTATGCAACGTGTAGTCCTGTCGAGTCTTTGTCAACAGTGTGTTGGGTTAGGTGGTTAGCAAGTCTTTGTTTCAAAGCCGCAATCGGACTGTCAGGTGTTCACTCCACCCATTTCGTAGCTCGAAGCTGTTTGCAGTAATAAGCATACAAAGAGACATTGTATAATGACTCGAGTACCATATACAAGAGGGTCCAGGAGAATCGGTGGGAAAGGAGCGAAGTTGATCTGGATAGCTGTGGCACAGAATTGTACGCAAAACCATAAGACCAAACGATCTTATTTTATTTTGTTGAGCTCCTCGACCACAAGGGAAGAGCCAAACCCGAACACTCTAAAACACAACAAAAAGCAGAGCCCCCGTGCTGTACGCTAAGTTGAAGAGAATAAAACGCCGCAAATCGTTTTAATCCATCAAGACCTTAACCATGGCGTCCACAGGCCTGGGCCAATGGAAAGGGTTCGCTAAAAACCCAAAAGAACCCCCCACGCCGCCTCGAACACAAATACGACGGCGGTGGGGTGACTGGCAACGTGAGGATATAGATATTGTCGGCCAGCAGCTAGAGCGCAGGTATCCAGGCCAGCGGATAGAGGAGTATGTCCACGCCGAGGTACCAGTAGATACACGACCAGACGATCCGAAATTTCCAGCAGTGTTTGGTGACGAAAGCGATGACACAATGAAAGTAGGAATAACTGTGGATTTAGCGGTAGCCGTGTGCTCCCGACTTCCTGGCGATCCTCACCCGCACGAGACGCGCTGGATCTCGGATAAAATGCGCGCATTCGGCCCCGCGGGGGTGGGAGATACCCGTCGATGGTTGGCAACACGGAACAGGATGTTGGCCTTTATGAGGCAGTACGGGCTTTGGACCAACGATTCCCCTGACGACGTCAAGCCCAATGGGGAGATGATGTACGAACCGAGCTATGAGGACGAAGTGTCGGAGCCCTATGTTTGGCCTGATGTCAACGACACAGTATTTACAGATACGACTGAATCGTTCCGTTAGTAATTTCAATGTTTTGTCTGATACTAAGCACTTGAAATTCGAGACAGCTAAGTCCAAATGTTGCAGAGACGGATCTGTCGATGGCAGAAGAAATGAAGGCGAACACCGATGCAATCAAGAGAGGGTTTATGCAACCGTCGTACGGACATTGCGACTGGGACGCCTCCATTACCAGGGAAGCAAACGCGGACAATGCCGTGAATATACTTTTGAAACGCTTCGAAGAGTTCCACAACGAATGGAACCTACTCATGTGTTATACCAACCCTCACCCGGCGGGGCTACACTGGTCCAACCCTGAGTGCACGGCAATGGACTACATAATAACAGCCATCCCAGACCCTCGGTTTGGGTTCCTGAGAGGGGACTGGCCTGCTGGCCCGAGGCCTGTCAATATGATTGACATGATCAGATTTCGGTTCCTAAAGGGCGTGGAATATCGGGTTTCGACATACCAGAAATACGATACCCATCAAAAAAAAGACGATCCCTGTGCTTTGTTTCCGGCAGATAGCCCGCAGGAGGCGTACAGAGCGTGGAGGATTGTGAGGTCTCGCCGCGCTCGTCTGGATCAGATGTCCTCAGCACGCTATACTCTGAAAGACACGACCGGCAATCCCATCGATCCCCAGACGCTTACTGGTAGGTCGCCGGGGAAGTCATATCACTGGGCAGCCATGAAGGTCCGCAGCCCTATTTATAGGATAAACTCAGATCCTCTTATGGAGGGCATCGATCGACTGTGTGCGAGTCTTCGAGACAACTTCAGAATTCACAAGCCGTGCTCGGTACGTAACTATGAGACCTCCCAAGGGCCCCTTTCATGTGATACTAACTTCTCGATAGTAAGCAAACCTGCTCAATAGTATCCGTAATGTCATATGCCAGCCTTTATGGAAGACTAACCTGAGATTTTCCCATGGACTAGACATGTGGGTGGAGGAGTTCAAATTCACCTGGGCGGACTTCATGGATGGAATTTGCTTCAGCTGAAGAAATTTCTCACTGTATGGTATGTCTTGGAACCTATTCTGGGCTGCCTTCATCGAGGGGACCGAGCAAAAGACAGAATTTGTAAGTAACACCCTGATATAACATCCTCGTATGTGAGACTTGTACCGCGGCAGCTCGTGGCTAAATGGTACACCTGCAGTTGCCAAGGCTAGTAAGGTCGCGCCATACGTAGAGCGGTCGAGACAAATGGAAAATGCAGGGGCGGATCCAAGGGACTACCTATCAAGTCCTCTTGAATTTTACATTCCACGCAACCATTCAGCCGACAAGGGAAGGGAGGCGATATACATTCAACACGTGGCGTATCAGAACATCCTGGACAGGGATAACGGAGACGACCTGGAGAGATTCCTGAGAATCCACTGGTTCTATACCAGCATCAACGCCTTGCGAGCGGCCGTGTCGGAGGGCGATCGGTCACAGGATATTGTCCTCAGGCTGGACATGAATGGTTATAAGCAGACAAACGACACGCCGTGGATGGAGCGCGACGACAAAGGGACAGAAAACGAGATCATAGCAACACAGACTATAACCATCGCGTTTCAACAAGCAACACTTCAAAGCCAGCACATAAAATGGTACGCGTCCAAGCCGGTTCTGATCTTGTATGCTTACTCAAGAAGCTGACATGTGTTTAGTAAGAACCACGAAACCCCGATCGGAGGTCCCGAGGGCCATCGACCCAGAAAATCCTGCCTTTCCCTCATTGCTCGCAATGCTAACATCCCGTAGGCTGGACCCAACTCGTGTCACATTTGGGCTACTTCGCACGCGTCTCCTCACATGAAGAGTTCTATTCCGTCCTTGATCAACTCACATCGTGTAATTACGGCTGGGGCGAAATTGGGCAGATTCTCACACGCATTGGGGTTACACGGCGGGTATGGAGCTATCTCGCCAGCTCTGCAAGGGCCGAAGGACAAGCAGATAGTCAGTTCCGCTACCCGGACAGCGATCGTGTCGACTGGAATTTTCCATTCATGTCAAGTGGAAACGCTCAGATGTATGACGAGGTCCGGACCCCTCCTATGTGGCCGGAACCTTGGTGAGGGAATGTCACATGTATTGGTTTGGATACGAGAGTACAAGGGAGCTCGTGAGTCGTTGTGTGTGCACTCGTAGGGTAGAAGGAGCGGTATCATGGACACATAGTTGTCTGCACATGAATGCTCGGTACGAGGCGCGTTTCGTTATTAGACTGACAACCTAGAGCTTGGATATATGATTGAGTTTTTCGTTCGAGATTTCCGGGGCGGGCACTTCGTAGACCATAGTGGTAGTATCCATCAATCGACACAACTGCGTCTTCCTCTCCTAGTCCGAAGGCTGACCTATTCAGCCTGCCAGCGTCGTCGCCTGGAGGCATATTATCCCATACTCCTTCCAGGCCCCTTACCTGACATAAGTACCTACTACTACTCGACGGCACGGACAACCAACCTCCTTCTTCAACGTCGATTGGCCACAGACCGTCACACGGACTCACACCAGGGGCATGGGCGCGGCGGCGCGGCGCCACTAAGTGCATCGAGACAAGGCGGCTCCGCAGCAAGGATGCCAAGAACGGTCATTTCGCCAGAAATATACAGAGATCGTCCAACAATGACGTCGCGGATCTGACTCGCTTGCTTGACACATGGACCCGGCCGGCTCACTCGCTTGATGAGGTCTGCCGAGAAGAGACGGTGGACATGTTCGGCACCTTGTAGCCGACGAGGTAGTTACCCGAGGGCTTGAATATCTCGTGGAAGCGCTTCAATCCTTGGGATCATACAGTACAGGTCGAACATGAAGAGGGCACTACTCAGGCCAATATCAGCAGGGTCAAGCTCCACGACAGCGGTCAAGATTGACTTCAGTGTCAGATTCATTCCCGATGTTGTCCAGAGAACAGTCACGGCTCTGTTGATTTCTGACATCGGAATTTCACGGCATTCCTAGGGCCCGAGTATCCCCAGCCAAGACCGCCAAAAGCCTGCCCTGGTCCCTGATCGGGCATTCATAACCTGGGCTGTGGGGGATGTCGGGGTGCGAAAGCCCACTATAAAATCATTTCCCCATGGGGTCCTCCAGGTGGCAGGAATTCGCAACGGGCCCAGATCGTCGGGATGCATACAGCCAAGTCATTGTTGCTCCAGTCTCACCTGACCTGTAAACGGCGGTTGCAGGGCGTGAGATTCTGGGGAGTAGGGCTCCTGATCTTGGCCCAAAGTCCACATTTAAGATCATGGATCATTGCGACGCGAATCCGCATGATTGTAGATCTGTGGTTCGACGATGGATTCCCCAGGTTCCCCAGAGGGCCAGAGGCGCGTTATGCGGGTGTCCTGTGGATACGACATGGGCAGTCTGGGGTTATAAACAGGGCGATGGGCCCTCATATCCGTGGCCGCAGCATTGCACGTGGCGCCCTGGACTCTCTTCTACAAACACGTTTCCATCTCCGCTCCCAAGTCGGTAGATCAGACAGCGGCAAGTATGGCCGTGGCAAAGTCCAGCCAGCCCTACTTCGGGCTCAAGGGCAAATGGCTCACCTTCTGGATTACGGTACGTCTCGTCCACTGTTCAAATACCTCTTGTTACCGTGTCGCGCTGACAGGTTGGTCAGGTTGCTTGCGCAACTGACATGAGCTTATTTGGATTCGATCAAGGCGTCTTCAGTGAGTCGTGAGCGCGTATGGATCAGCCAGTCTGCACTTGCTGATCATGAACTCAGGTGGCGTCGTCATCACGCAAGACTATCTTGACGTTCACAATCTCAACGGGTCGGGAAAGACGAGTGTCCTCTCGATCGTCACATCTATCTACACCGTCGGATGCTTTCTAGGCGCCGTCATCGCATTTGGGATCGGCGAGAAGTACGGGCGAAAGAAGACCATCATAGTTGGAACAGTCATCATGACCATTGGGGCCATCCTGCAGACGAGTTCCTTCAGCGTGCCTCATATGATCGTTGCCCGTATCGTTACAGGGTGAGTTGTCGCGAGTTCTCTGTCCACTCACCCCGATGCCTCCAATTGGTCGCCCAGCACAGCTGAACATGCCACCGTAGTATAGGTAATGGCATCAATACAGCAACAGCACCCGTGTGGCAAACCGAGACATCGAAAGTCCACAACAGGGGCAAGTTGGTCGTGTTCGAGATGAGCATGAATATCTTTGGGTTCATGCTCAGTAATTGGGTCAACTATGGGATGTCGTTCGTCGGAGGCTCTGTCGGGTGGCGATTCCCCCTGTCCGTCCAGCTGCTGTTCTGCCTCGTGCTCTTCTGCACCGTGCCATGGCTTCCCGAGTCCCCCAGGTAAGCGCATTGCACACCGTAGGAGGGTCTTGGACCACCGTTGACCTCCTGGCAGATGGCTTATAGCTCATGGACGAGACGACGAGGCCAGCCTCATTCTTGCGGACCTCGAGGACAAGTCAGTAAACGATCCCTACGTCATGGCCGAGCGCCAGGAGATTCTGTACAGTGTCGATTACGAACGCAAAAATGCAATCAGATGGCGAGACATCCTGCGCGGTCGAACCAAGGCAGGGACGAAGTCAGTGCGACGCCTGATTCTGGGCTCTGGAACGCAGGCCATGCAGCAACTGGGCGGCATCAATATCATGTCATACTACCTGCCGACGCTTCTCATCGAGTCGGTCAAGCTCGAGCCTAGCATGGCACGCCTCATTGCCGCTTGCGCGTCAGTCGCATACTTGTTTGCTTCACTTGCCGCCGCACCTCTTGTGGAAAGATTCGGTCGCCGCATCATGATGATAATCTCGACCGCGATCCAGTTTTTCTGCTTCTTGCTGATGACAGTACTTCTGTACTACACCGAGAAGCCTGGATACCCTTACCAGGATGAAGTTGCCAAAGCTTCTGTGGTCTGGTTCTTCATCTACTATATGGGTTTCGGGCTTGGAATGTTAGGCATACCGTGGTTGTATCCGACTGAGATTAACAGGTACGTACCCTGCAACTTGTCGAGCCCTCGTATCCAGTATGGGCCGCTAACCTTGCCATAGTCTGCCGATGAGAACTAAGGCTACCGCTGTGGCAACCATGACGGACTGGTGTAAGTACCTTCTCGCTTTCCTCCCCCAAGTCCTCTGCCACTGCGAGTCCAACTTGTCTCTTCGGCTCTCAGCACTTCGCGAATACACTCTCCCGTGCTCTCTCGAAGACCTTAGCTCTCAACAACCAGATTTACTGACACCATTCGTGACAGTAACCAACTTCGTCGTCGTGGAAGTGGCCCCCATCGGTCTTCAGACCCTGGGCTGGAAGTTCTACATCGTCTGGACCGTCACTAACGCGGCCTTCTTACCAATTCTCTGGTTATTCTACCCAGAGACCAGCGGTCGCACACTCGGTAAGTCACACCCTCTTCAATCTCATTCTAGAACCAGGTCCCTTGGCTCTAAGGACAACTGGCTAACATACACACAGAGGATCTCGATGCGTACTACCGCGACAACCCGCCCCTAATCGTGATCAACGACCCGGACTCGACTTCGAGGCGCCGTCCGGCAAAGTTCGCTGCAGCCCAGGGTCGCGATATCGAGGAGGCTACTGCGGACCTCAGGAGGCGATCCGTCCTCGAACATGACGAGCCCAAGGTCTCACAATCGGGCATACGAGTCTGATATCATTCATCGCTATGGTTTCAGTATGGCCGTGGAGCTGGAACTCGCTCGGCTGTAAGCGAGAGTTCCGTCAGGTTTTTCTCATTCATTCAATTAGGGCGCATGGCCACAGGAAACGAGGGTCATGCTAGACAGCAACACATATACCCATATAGAAATGCACTTTTGAAGATTTCGACGCAGCATTGACTGGACCTGCTGAGATCATTCATGGGCGTGTCACTCGCCTTCTCATCGATGACCTAACGTACACGATCTTAGTCGTTATATCCGCAGTGTTTGACAGGCACGATGCTCAAATCGGCGGTTCCGCGGCCTTCAGTGCAGTGTAACGCTCTGGTTTCCGTCCACGGTTGTCCGACTTGTCAAACAGCAGGTTGGTCCCACGTACCGCATGACACGTGTTTCGCTGCCGCCTGATTCTACGCAATGGTCCGGTGAAACCGAACACCACGTCGACTGGCCCCAAGGGGCTACCTGCATGCGTGACATCGACAAGCTGCCCCTGATGTCATCAGCATGTATTTACATGCTCGACTACTGACTTGGGGTGAGAGTGAACCCGAATACTCTAGAAGTAGCTGTGGAAGATGCCCAACCCTGAGAAGGGAAGGGGAAGGGCTAGCTAAATCGGCACGAATGCGAGGGCGTCAGAGAATGATGTACAACATCAAGTGATTCTACTGCTTCGTAGCATGCGTTTATGCAATCTCATGAAACAACATGCGGTACGATTGACCCAAGAGAGAGTCCACCACGAGCAATACCCACGACCCTGTGCGTGCTCCAAGATACATGCCTACATACATCAACCGCTCAACGGCCCAAGTTAGATCACGCAGTTCAAGCCCCTGCACCAAAATGCACAATAGGCAACTCCGACATATGCACCTTCAGCGCCCCATACGGCTTCAACACAAACGTCCTCCTCTCCGACGTGCACTTCGGGCTCTCCGGCACCTCACCTGGGGTCAGTCCTGCCAGCAGCGGCCACTCGATCTCGCAGCCCTGCACCTCGATGCTCGTCACGGCGCCATAGTACGAAAACACGAGGTCGTCGAGGACGAGGTCGGGTGGGTCGAGGCCGCGGTACACCAGCGTGGCCGGGTCGATGGCCACGTTCCACGCCATCGTGTTGGCGTAGTAGAAGTCGCGCGCCTGTGGGAAGGGCAGGTAGTTCATGCCGGGGCCGCCGGCGGTGCCGTATGGGTGCGGCTGCGTGGTACTGTTAGTCGACCCGACGTCGAGGGCGTAGAGCAGGTTGCCGATGTATACCGAGACGGCGGTGGGCTTGCGCCATTCCACGCGCGGCTCGGCGCCGATGGTGATGTTGATCTGGGTGCGGCCGGGCTGGATGGGGATTTGGTGCATTCCGGTAAAGGGGTCGGAGTGCAGGGGATTCGGGGCGCCGTCGTTGATGCGCACGGTCGAGTCCGCCTGGATGTGCCATTGGGGGATTCGTACGTGGAGGACGAACCCGACATCCGCTTGGATGTCGTAGTTTAGCGTGTGGTGAAATGGGTAGTTTGTCACGGAGTGAATCGTCACCGCTTTGCCGTCGATGTTCGTGGTCACTCGAGATGGGCCAAGTAGCATGTGGGCAATGCCATCGCTGCCCGCGGTGGCCCAGCTGCGGGTGAGGGATTTGGGGAGGCCTTGGGGGAAGTTAACCGTGCAGCAGGGGTACACTGGCTCGAGACCGTCTAGTGTACAAGGAGATGTTCTGTCAGTACCTGTATCCTAAGATCCGGGAAAACACCAAGCAATGAAAACCAGGTGGGCTAAGCAGGCTTTACTTACTGCCGAAATGTTAGCTGGGGATATCAAGAAACAAGGACAGAGGATTCTAAGGTAACTTGTTCTTATACGTACCAGACGGTCGCCATCCCCGAGTTCGCTGTCGTGAAGAGCTTGGCATCTGCCCACCGGTGGTCATAGGTCGCGAACGGTTGGTTTGGTTGGTCCATGTACTTGCGCGCATGTTAACGTCCGTCTTTTAACCCAGATGATCCCAAAGCATAACAGCGGAAGAGGCATAAGGACTCGGCGCATTAATCTCGAGAAAAAGGAGTTGCTATACACACCTGGTGCCCCCACGAATCGCCGGACGTCTGAACCGGCAAGGCGTTGAAGTAAGTTCGCTCAGCCATGTCGGCATATAAGTTTTCACCAGTAGCTTGGTAGAGGTACGACAGGGAGAAACCTGTCTCTACTGCGGTGCACAGCTCACTTCCCATCCAGGGCTTGTTGTCGCGCATGATCTCGTCTGCCAAGACCGAGCCTGACGGTGATCCATAATACTTGAAGGTCCCTTCGACGGCATTTTTGGCGCTCTGGAGCAAGGTGTCATTGTGCATAAACCGGTGCAGGACTGCGGATGATTTGAGTCTTGTAATGTCCGTTAGCCGTAGGTTCGCCGATTGTGGTGCCTGTAACGTGATTATAGGTAACGCCTACCTTGTCCGACATTGACACCATGTAGGAACGGAAACATTGGGTTATCGGGCGATGGTTCCGTAACAATCTTCTGGTAGACGCCATCCTCGTACCACTCCTCCCATTTGAATTGGCTCAGATCTTGTAGCATCGCCATGCTGGCCCAGAGTATCTGATCTTCGTCGGATGGGTGGTTCTCCAACATCCACTGCATAGTGATCATGAAATCGGCAACCCGAACTTGACCCCAGCTACATTCCTGCGCATTGTTGCAGCCAGTGTATCCATGGCCATTGTTGTGTAGCATCTCATTGGCAAGACGCATAAACTTCCGGAGACTGTCTACGACCTTTGTCGTCCACGTAGCATCGGCCTCGGCAAGCTGTATGAGGCCAAGAAAAAAGGGACAGCGACCCCAAAAGTCCCTGGGTGTCGAAGGTGATCCTCGGGGCCGATCCAGCCGTCGTCTGTTTGCAGGTCGAGCGCGGTCTGGGCCGCCACGTGGACTTGGGCCTTCAGAGTAGAGTCATTGATCGTATACCATCCCCCACCCCCTAACGGGACACACCCCCCACCGGGACAGCCAAACCCCACAACCACCACCAAAAGTCCCCTACCTCACTTACACGGATTACAGCCCCCTTTGAGGCTATCTATACGCTCTTTAGATGGTTAGATAGCCCTTTTCTTGGTATTTAGCCGGATGTAGATTAGTGAAATTTCAGCCATCAGCATCAGTGATTAGGAGCCTCTGTGCCCCGCCCCTAAATGCAAATTTGCTGTAGAATTCTCTCTCTGAGCCCCTGACCCTTATGCCACCACAGCATCGTGAAGCCAGCCACGATGCCTCCGCCCACGTACACTGAAGATAATATGGCGGATGCCTGGCTAGATGTGACAGATAACGGCATGTCTGTGAGAAAAGCCGCCCAAAAACACGGCATCCCTAAGCAAACGCTGTCAGCACGCATCAATGGCAGAGTCACCCGAGCCGAGGCCCAGGTTAGCAAGCAAAGACTCTCCCCTCAACAAGAGAGTAAGGTGGCTCAATGGATATTGCGCCAGGAGTCCCTAGGGCTTGCCCCTTCTCACACAGCCGTGCGGGAGATTATTGTACAACTACTGAAAAAGGGGGGGGGATTTCGTACCACTAGGCCCGAATTATATGGAGGGCTATAAACGCCGTAACCTTACCATCCAGACTAAAATCGGTAAGCGGATAGAATCCGCTCGGTTTAAGTGGTTCATCCCTAAGTCTGTCAACTGGTTCTTTGACATATTGGGGGATTATCAATGGGTGAAGCCAGAAAATACGTACAATGTCGATAAGGGCGGCATCATGTCGGGTTTTGGTTAGTCTTTTAACCCCCTATTTACCCCTATCCTGTCAGTTAATTAGCTAACCCCTATAGGCATCGATTCCCTAGTCTTAGGAAGTTCTGAGACTATGAAAGCCTTCCTAAAGAGTCCCTAGGGGCGTGGCTGGACCTCCTTTATCGAAGCCATCTCAGCCACGGGAAAAGTTCTCAAACCAGGCATAATTTTCAAAGGAAAAGATCTCCAGGCCCAATGGTTCATCGAAGAATTCTGCAAAATCGCGGGTTGGTACTACATAACGTCAGATAACGGCTGGACCAGTAACGAGATTGCGTGCCTATGGTTAGACCACGTTTTCCTACCCCAGGTGGATGCTGTACGAGGGGAAGACCAGGCAGAGCCGATCCTTTTGATACTAGATGGCCATGGTAGCCATACTTCCGTACGTTATTTATTTTTCAGGGGTTGTTTAATCAGTTAACTAACTGTATAACTAACAGGACGAGTTCATGTTGCGGTGTTATTTTGCCAACATCTTGCTTTGTTTTTTCCCAGCCCATACTAGCCACGGCATGCAACCACTAGATAACGGACCATATAACGCGCTCAAAGCCTACTACCAGAGATTTCTTTCGCAGTTAAATTCTCTCATAGATGCCTCGCCCGTGGATAAGATCAACTTTATCCGCTGTTATTCTCAGGCTAGGGACAAGGCTTTTTCTAAGCTAAATATCCTCTTGGGCTTCCGAGTGACGGGGTGCTACCCAGTTAGCCGCAAGAAGTGTTTGAAACACCCGGAAATCCAGGAGGATAAAAGAAAGACCCCGGAGCCAGAGGAAGTTGAAGACTCGGAGCCAGAAGACCAGCGGACCCCTATCACAAGCCGACAGATCATAGATTTCGCAAAGAACCGCTCCCCAGCCACTCGGCTGAAATTCAGGAAGATCTCCCACGCCTTCGAGAACCAGGAAACGGAGCTGGCCCTAAAAGATCATAAGATCAAGGCCCTGGAGGCTGAACTAGAGTGGCTACGGCCCAAGAAGAGGAAGAAGGTCCCAAATCCGAACCGGAAGTTCATGAATATGACCAAGATATTGGCCCAGAGGGGTGACCCGTTAAGGGCCGTGGTTATAGAGTCTTCAGAGTCAGAAGCAGAGCCAGAGGTTATTGAAGATAAGGGTGAGGAGGAGGAAGAGGTTGAGGAGGCTGAGGAGGGTGAAGAAGCCCCTGTTGCAGAGCCCCAGGTGACGAGAAGCGGTCGGTCAATTAGGGCGCCAGCTAGATACGTGGATTGAGGAGCCTCAACACCACAGAATGATAATTTTGTTGATTTCTTTGGGCATCTACAGCCTCAATTTCGTGTAAGTGAGTAAGGGGGTATTTTGGTGGTGATGGTGGGGTTTGGCTGTCCCGGTGGGGGGTGTGTCCCGTTAGGGGGTGGGGCATGGTAAGCCAGAGGGACCAGGCCGTTGAACCAGTACGGAAACGCCTCGTTCAGGGCACTGTATTCCGAATGTTGGGGTTCCTGCATCCATGTTGATTCTCTCACGTAGTTGTAGAATTTGTGCCCATCGCCACCTGTTTTGTCGCTGAATAGGTGCCCGGGTAGGCCGCGCGCAAGCGAGTGCATTGCTGAACGAAGCCATCCGTAGGGAATGACCGACCCCACCGGTAGCGGAGTGTATTTGAAGGAGGTGACTTCCGCAGAGTGTCAGTATCAGAACCAAAGGATAGCGAACTGAAACCCGAGCGACACGAGAATAACTGACGGGTCTGGCCTTCAGCCGCAACCAGGCCTGAGGCTAGGGCAATAGTAAACAGGATGGCGGCCTTCCAGGGCATACACTGGAAGAGCATCGTGTAATATAGAAACCCCTAAGCTGCTGCATAGGTAGGGATCGGGGGTGGCTAGAAGTGCTCAGGGAGGTGATGTGGATACGAAGGTCAAAGGGTATTTCAGGATACGGGGGACTTAAGTAGTATTCAAGTTACTTTGACTACCCATGCACCGAGGATCCCTACAGTGGAGGTTTCCCAAAGTCCGTGAGTTTGTACATCGTAGCACAATACAATCATGTTTGCTATCGAGCTTGGCGAAGCTGTGGCCCGTCTCATCACATGCGCGATCCGCGGCCATCCGGTTGAACAGACAACGTGGCCCGTAACTTAGTCGGCTGTAAGTGACGTGGGGATATTTGTATGGCATCTCCATACAAAAATAGAGCATGGTGGTCATCGAGCCTGGGAGTCCTGCGACACCACACAGGGGTCTGCGGCTGACAGGCAGGAGCATAGGGATTCTGTCAAGGTGCAAGTCGAGGCTGCGCCCGCGGCCCTACACAGGCTACGGGGCAGTGCAGCCAGGAGGGGGAAGATAAGTTCCCGACGCAAGATGGGAGATGCGAGACTGAAAGGCCCTACCTGGCTGTCAAGGTGCAAATAACGTGACTCTACATGTATGTATATAACGTGACTCTAAATTTACACTGGATACCAAGTCGCGATGAATCAACGGAATTTTGAGATTACAGACATTCAATCACCATTGAACTCAAAATCCCCTCGAGGTGTTAGTAGGGCAAGCTACGCGAAATTCAAATCAGGAAAAACGGCCCAATGCTCTCAATCACGCTGCATTGAATTTTGAGTCCTTTGACTAGAGTTCCAACTAGAGGGGCGCCGTCTGTCGAAGGGGCACAAGCTTCAAGTATCAAACAATGTCCGCGTGTGCCATCGTCTGCCTAAGGACTATGATGAAACTTCGGCCGGTCGGCGGATAGCTTGTCGTTGTTTTGCTCTACCCAGCGGGAAACGACAGGATAGGGAAGCGGTGGTGACAGTAATCGCAATGTGCTCCGGGGGTAACATGAGATGTACATTGCCAGGCAGCTTGATCCCATGTCACTGTATATACATTAGTCCGAAAATAGGGGGCTCCGTGACTCAGAGCAGAAGTGCTGCAAGGCCGGCACCTTGTTGTGAGTGCCGTCAAACGGTTTAGTAATTGCTCCCTACACAGCACCAGTGAGTGTCAGCAAAGCTTCACCTTCTGATTCACGATATTGAGGGATACCTGTTGATGCGCCGGACTCGAGACTTGTTGACACATTCACCGAATGGGTAGTCACGTGAGTATAAACAGCATGCGTCTGATTTGACACGCACCTTGGCTATTGTCGACATATAGGGGTGCAGCGTTTGCAATCAGAGCCTGTCGCACACGAAAGTTATCAACCATGAAGAACTGGTGCGTCTGATGGAGCACGCCCATCAGCGACTTCGTCCCTCCGTCCCCCTACTGTGAGCAGTCTCAGGGAGATACTGACATGAAGTATCCCTAGACTGGCGTCGGCGAGTATATCAGCCGCCAAGGCTCGTGACACGCTCCGGTCCTGGGATATGCCACACTGCCACCGGCACTCTGCCTGCGAGAAGAAGGACAAAGGAAGACATCACAGTGCATCCTGCAAAATTGAAGTAGAACGTGTAGGAGAACCCCCTTTCAACAACCATGTATACACAATCGCGCAGCTTGTCCAGTTGCGTCTTGCTCTGCGCGATGCCCCTGATTCCATATTGAACAGTTGCACCAACACGAAACTGTCAGATCGCCCAGATCAACTCCGATCCCAAGAAAAGCTAAATCTTCCGATCCTCTGCTGTGATGACACTGTCGCTGAAGATCACCATCGTGCCCACCGGTGGCGGACAGCCCGTATTGGGGATGATAGGATGGTATGCTTGATGTAACTGATCAGGCTCCGCCATCTGTGCCAACCTTCGCTCCACGGTATTATAGAAAAGGGCAAGCACATCGGACCACGGTTTGCCGTCAAGCTCCTTGGACCACGATTGACGCATGGCCGGGAAATTGAAGCCCGAGTACCGGTCGTTGGTCAGGTCGCCCTGTCAAGCACGAGCCTGACGTTCTTGGGGTTGAGGGTGGCTCTTTTCGCTGCGCCAAACGCCATTTCGACGGCGCCGAGCTGGGCCTCCCAGTCCTGTTGTGGGTCGATATTTGCCATGATATGCCACATCTTGTCGGATCCCCGAGGCTCCATGGTCATCACCACTCCCATGCACGTATTCAGACGTACAGTCCAGTACAGCTTTGCTTCGCCGGCTTTGACGTCGCCCGTGTTGACAAAGTGCGTCCGATCACCGCCCTGAAAAACTTGACGGAAACCAGTCCACATGGCTTTGCCGTCACTGTAAGGCCCATAGTATTGGTCACCCGCTCTCTCGGATAGTACTGGGTTCCTTCGATGCTGTACAGTCTTGGGGTATTCATCATCGTGCTGACGACCGCCAGGAACTCTGATGTTGAAGTTCAGCTTTCAGATCCAACAGGACAGATACCCCGGTCATCACTAGCAAAACCTGCATGGAGAGGTTGTGGGTGGAACATACGTGGTAGAATTCGCAGTATCCCTTGAACCGACATCAGGAGCTGAAGCGGGAAGAGCGAGGGCGGTCAATGCTAGAGAGCCTGACAATACCCATGCGAGGATGATATTGTGGATACACATCCTTCGGAAGTGGTCGCCTGTCTGCGCTTTTCGATTGGACTTTGGATCGAGCCACGAGGATCTTAGGACCTGAAGGAGCTGCTGTGTTTGAAGAATGATGGGACTTCTCGGCCAGAACAACAGAGGAACAGTCTCTCTTTAGATATGGAGAGAGGGAGGCCATCTTGGACGGAAACACCGAAGATGGTCCCCAAAAACGGGATATTTGACATCGCTGTGGCAAAAGGTATGGCCGTAGGCTTCTCGATGAGGACAAATGTGTCTGCCTATATCACTCGGAAAGCCGTAGGATTTCCTCTCCGTCTGTTGCCTAATACCATCCTGATCCGATCCTTCAGGTCGCCCCTTTCTTGGCTTGGTTCGAGACTCTCCTTACGGGGTCACGATGATGACAAAACAGATTGTTTTCAAACCAGGCTCGGCTTGATAGCCAGTATGTCTGTAGATACACATACGCGCCATATAGTCTTCGTGCGCCGTGTTGAATATATACCAGGCTGGGGGCTACAAACCCGGGGCCCTTGTAGGCCGTTTACATCTTACATCCCTGAGGACAGTAAACCTGGTCTCCGAGCGTAGCCCTGCTTGGTATATAATCTTGGGATACGTCCGTCTTATGTTCATATTCGAGGGGAGGTGTACATGATTCACACCGGGTCGGGCCAATCGAGAACAACCTAGGTCCTCATCCCCTTGGGCGAACAGAGGCACCGATGCTGCATGGACTGAATATCGATACCGGGCGACCTTCCGCTATCAGTAGCGATCCCGATCTCGTGTCCAGCAATGCGTTTTCCCATAGCATCTGCTCTCTGAAAATGTCCAGCCCGGTCGATGGCGAAGCAATTCCTATCCTCTTCAGCATAGATCTTCGACAGCAACGCATACTATCCCTCAAGGAAGCATGATGAATCCTGTTCGGTGTCGTGAGGCTTCAGAAGGGGTTGTATCTCTTATTCCTTGAGCTCTGGAAAGAGGACGCTGATTGTCGAGCGGGAACAGGTTCTCTTATTTGACATCGAGTATTTGGTCGGACCAGAGTTCCGTTCCAACAGCCCAGCCCGTCTAAACATTTGCCATCCACGGGCAAGGGCCTGGTCGCTGGCTTTCATCCGAGCACACACTGCATGAAACACGTGAAACATCCACTTGGTGTTGCCGCCCCGCGATCTACTGGTTGACGGGATGTGGAGTATTGGACGGTGAAGAATCGTGGACCCGGCCCGGACCCACGATCTACAAAAGGCTAGGCAAGCATCAAGGGAGTTGACGATCGACAAGATCCATTTTGAAATTTGTGCAATCTCTCCGTCCTTATCAGGTGATGACGTGTAGGTTCCTCACGTCAAACGTCAACCCCACGTTTCTGGCGTTGGAAATGCAAACCCCTTTGTCGGAGTATGCAAGACAGATCGTGCACCAGATACCGCAGTCCCCAGCTGCGAGATATGCACCACATTCATCTCATGATATTGTTTGAACGCACCTCGAGTACGGACTGGGCTGTTTCGGCCCTCGGCCACTCCGTTGGTCGCACCGACACGTATCAGAGGAAGCACCAGGCAGTGACCGAACATCTCAAGCGTTGTCCTTTGGGAGCCAGTAGGCATCGGCACTTGTTTATGGCAATGCATCACCTCATAGGAACCCTTCTCCTCCATAGCCTGTTGGCGACAACTCTGTAGCGGTAGGGTGATGGCAATCGCGAGAGGTTGGGATTAACAACCGGGTAGGTAAGCACTGAAAAATATATAACGTGCAGCCGCGTGGATGTCTCGTGATACGAAAAACAGACGGCGGCCCTCTTCTCTAAAAGATCGCATAAACCATACTGAGAGTTCGGATGGATGAACGAACCTTATCAGGTCAGTTGCTCCGCGACTCCCGCTGAGATGGTGAATCCCATGGTCTATCGCCGGATATTTGCGACTTCTCAACGTATAACTTGTTACGGAAAAAAGGTATCAAACAGAAGCACACGTTGTCCGGCGATAGGTTATAAGAAGCATCATAGCGCGAGTCATGTCATTCTTTATCACCGACGACATGACATGGATACGTGGTTATTAGGTCATCAATGCTGACTTTTGACATCAACCCGCTTTCGGAGTTTCGGAGTTTCGGAGTTTCGGAGTGCAAGGGGCTCGGTGTCGCAACGTTGATACACGGCAGTCTGAAGAAAAATAGATAGCGTCCTGTCAAGCTTGATAAGCATGTTTTGACTTTCGAGTGCGACAGGTGAGACAGGAGGCGAGACAAGCCTTGCCGAGGCTCGAAAGCCCATGGCCGACGTGCCAGCTTCTCAATCATGGACTCCCGGACTTGTCGCCGCCTCGGGACTGTGAGGCCCCCGAACACGTCCAACGCAGTGCAGACCGCAGACTGATGGCATCTTCTGGATTACAAAATTGATGAAGATGGACTTCTTCAGATGGGTTTCGGTGCGGGCTAGTCCCGCACTACAGGCTCCTCACAGCTCGCGTCATAGACGGAGCTAAGGACTAAGGAGGGACCAAGTGGAACTCAGGTCCGGCCCTGGTCCCCTTGGTGACGCAGGTAGGCTAGGAAAATTTGAGGTTTGACATGTATAAGTACCGTAGCAACATGTACCCCCTTCCAAGGCAGGAACCCGGTCAAACCAGTTCAACTCCAGCAACACACATTGCCTCTTTTCCCTTTAACCTCACCTCGTCTTGTACTCTCTTCTCACCCAGCCAAGCAAGATGCCTTCTTTCACCGTCTTCAAGGGCACCGAGTCCGGCGCGCCCAAGAAGTCCACTACCACGAAGCCCGACCAGCTAACCGGAGACAATGTTCTCATCAAGGTCACCGCCTCCGGTCTCTGCGGTACTGGTGGGTTCTGACCACTGCATTCTGACTACCGAGCGACAGCTAATCATGTGATCATAGATCTGCACTACAAGAACGCAGACATGGTTCTTGGACACGAAGGTGTTGGCGTCGTCGAGAGCACCGGCCCTGACTGCAAGGTCCTGAAGAAGGGTGACCGCGTGGGCTGGGGCTACAACCACAACACGTGCGGCCACTGCCAGCAATGCCTGTCAGGCAGCGACATCCACTGCCCCGAGCGCAAAATGTACGGCGAGGCAGACCTTGACCAGGGCAGCTTTGCATCACACGCCGTATGGCGTGAAGCCTTCGTCTTCAAGACACCCGACGAGCTGTCGGACGAAGACGCCGCTCCCCTGCAGTGCGGTGGTGCCACCGTCTTCTCCGCCCTGCACGACTTCCCTCTCAACCCCACCGACAACGTCGGTATCATGGGTGTCGGCGGCCTGGGTCACCTCGCCATCCAATTCGCCGCCAAGATGGGCTGCCGCGTCACCGTACTGTCCGGCAGCGACTCCAAGAAGGACGAGGCGATGCGCCTCGGCGCCCACGAGTTCATCGCCACCAAGGGCAAGAAGGAGCTCAAGATCTCGCGGCCCCTGAACCGCCTGTTGGTGACGACCTCGGCCCAGCCCAACTGGGAGCAGATTGTGCCCATCATGGCCCCGGGCTCCAAGATCTTCCCGCTCTCCGTCGCGTTTGGCAACTTCGAAATGCCCTACTTCCCGATTGTTGTCCAGGGCCTGACCATCCAGGGCTCCGTCGTCGCCTCGCGGCACGTCCACCAGAAGATGCTGCAGTTCGCCGCCCTCCACCAGATCAAGCCGGTCATCCAGACCTTCCCCATGACGGAGGAGGGCATCCAGGACGCCATGACGAAGCTGGAGAATGGCGAGGTCCACTTCCGCGCTGTTCTCAAGGCGCAGTGATTTTATCGCTACGAGTTATGAAAGCTTATGACATTGGAGGATAGAGGATAGAAGATACACATAGAAAGCGACTGTTGCATTTGCTAGAAGAGTACGGAACTCACGGGTACTAGATGGCTCAATCGTCGAGTGTCCGGTACGGGACTTGATGGAGACCCCTAGATAGAATATAGAAAAATTCTAAAATCTCCCAATCAATGATACCCTCCAGTGACTACCGTACCAACCGCCTTTCCGAGGCCCGCTTGGTCACACCGACCACGAAGACCCTTCGACTGTCAAACTGCATATACCCGAAGAGCGGAAGGGGTATCGTGACTGTCAGTTCGGCGAGCGGAGGAGTGGCCTTGGCTTGGAATTCAATGCCAACAACACACTTCGTGTCATCAACACTCAAGCGGCACTCCCGCCGCGTCCCGAGATCCGGATGACTGGCATACACAGCTCCCATGGCGAGTACAAGACCGACTTTGATGATGCCCGCGTCAATATAGTACGCTATTTGACTCGCAAGCCGACAGATGGTCCGCTTAACTAAGGTTACATGAAGATGGTCGAGCCAAGGGAGCCGGCCTTCCGGGGAGACGCCGCGAAGAGCATCTTGCCGAATGTTAATGGGCGGTCTGAGTGACTGGGCGCCAATGTTCTGCCGCGATACGTCCCCAGACAAAATCGTGAGTTGCGCTGAAGCCGCTACAGTAACCTATGGCCTTGCTAGGTCAAATCCGCATGCTTGAATACTCGGACAGTCCTGGCGATGGGCATGACCCCGTCCCTCGAGCGTGAAGTCCCAAACTGGAACACGCCGCTCCCCGAGGGACGCGTTTCAAAACTCGTTCGCGTTTCTGAAATACCGCGGGAAAATCGCTGTTTTGTTTCCATGTCTCACGCCACCGTCGCTGTGATACCAGGCGATCTGGATTCTATGGTATCAAAGGCCAGGAGAGAATTCAGCGTTATTCGTGCCGTATGGACAGACATTTGCGAGCATGGCGTCCTCGTCACCAACAGCCGCGATAGGAGGGCAGGGAGGTTCACGAAGGGTGTGTGCAGTCGTCCAAACGAGGAGGGGTGGTGGTATGTGTGGCAGCTCTGCCTTGGCCGAGGCCATCTCGGAGAAGAGAAAAGGATGGATTAACTGTAGACGACTTGCTCGAAGAAGCCATGGTTGGCAAGTAACTGGCGAAGGCAACTAAAGAGTGCCCGGGTGTGAACTCTTAGCAGGTGCCTTTGGGCTGTCGTCCTGATTCAAAGCACTCCCCATTCCTTCACTACATCCCACGCAAGAAAACTATCCTGCGCGCAACCACGCATATTACACTTGCCAAATACACTCAAGGATAGCCAGATAAGAGCCAGGAGGCTGTTTCACCCCTTGAAACGCAAACCTGGAGTCAGCCTGCAGAAACAGGCTCTTCCATTCTTCCAGATCTTGTTCCCTAGCATTTTCTATCTCCAACATAGTCAGATCTACGGCCCTGCGAAAGCAAGCCAGCACCAGATCACCCCGGAATAATGCAAAAGCATGTACGCACCTCATGTTCTTATCCATGTCGTCCGGAAGCACAGACGGAGGCGGCATGACAGAGTCCATGACAACCACACGAGCCCCTCGCTCGAGGGCCGAGATGAGCGCCCTGAGGATCTGCACGCAGTACTTATCCGGCCAGTTGTGGAAGGTCCAGCGGTACATATAGACGTCGGCCCCCCTGACGGGCTGCTCCCGGAAGAAGTCGTGAGCCATGAACTTGACGTCCACACCCTCTTCTTCCTTGGAGTTTGCGACGACCTCGGGCAGCTCCTGGACAATCAGGTGCAGGTCGGGGAACTTCCACGCGACGGCGAACGCGGTCTCGCCGTACGATCCCCCCAGGTCGACGACGGTGCTGCCGGAGCCGAGCGCGCCCAAGGGGTAGCCGTCCGTGAGGTGGCGCAGCGAGTACTCGTCGCCCTGCGTGAACCAACTCATGGCGCCCCCGAAACGACGCGCTCGCTCGGGATCCTCGCCTAGAGCGGCGTAGAAAGACTCGTCGGTGTCGAACGCGAGCGAGAAGCCCTGCACGGCGACAATTAGCTAGCCATCGGCACAACCCTGGGAGCCGAGAGTGCTATCTATCTACGCACAGTCTGGTTCGGCTCGGAAGCCTGCGGCCATTTGACCGGCGCGTCAACGGTGTTCTGCGCCGCCGGCCACATGTCGTACACGCAGGAGCCCACCTAGTCTGCTATGTGCCCGTCCTCGGCGAGTAGCCGCGACGCCGCGCTGTGGGCGACGACGCCGGGGCGGGGGTCGCGGAAGATGCGATAGGCAATGGCGAGGCGGACGATACGACGGACCGCACCGGGGTCGACGCCGATGGTGTCCGCTAGCTCGGTATACGTGATCTCGCCGTCCAGCGGCACTTTGTTGCCAAGGTCGAAGCGCGAGATGAACTTCAGATAGAGTAGTTGGTTGTGCTGTAGGACTGTAAGATACCACTGGGGAGGGCGCGGAGCTACCAGACGACACGGACATGGTGGTTGAAAATGAGATCCCTCGGTCCCTGGAGGAGATCATCGAGTTCCTGACTGGCCCGGAGCGCTGCGCTTCGAGATTCTTCCAGCTCTCGGGGTAGACCCAGGGAGATCGGGCCATCGCTTTCGAAGGATGGGAACGGCAGACTGTGCTCGGCTAGATAGCTGTCGATTCGAGCGGTGTGGGTAGCAACGGTGGCCGCTAATTCGGTGATGCGGCTTTGAGGTGAAGCCATTGGGGGAAAGACGATGTTATCGACACTTGGTACGAGGAGATGATGGGATTGCTTGATCAACGACAAGATGATACCCAAAAGGCTTCTTTATATATCTTGGGCACCGATCCCATGCCGAGATTATCGCGCGCCTCGTCCCGGGACCGAGGAATCTGGCTGCCTGGATGATGAATCGCCCTAAGCCTACTCAGCCCGTGTGATAACAGCGCGATCTAGGCGGCTACTACCGCGCGCTAGAACGAATCCTTCAGATCTCCCACTCGAGATGGCTAGGAAGAGGTCCGCGGCGACATCCCAAATCCCTTCCTCTTCCTTGGTGTGTCTAATGTCTGCGTCGAACATAGGTGAGTCGGCTACTTTGGTTTCACTTGAAATCCATTGTGTCGGACAAGATATCCGTGGGTGCAGGACGGTTATTCAGCTGCACGCCGACGCGGGACGCAGTCTCATGAAGTATGGAAATGGTACCTATCCTTGTTGAAACATTCCATATAAATACCGGAGGCAAAGGGCCGGTATCATCTTCTGTTGATCTCGGCGTGTAGGGCGGAGCGCAATGATGATGATACAAAGCTTGCGGGTATGAAACGCTCGCCGAAGTCAGCCTATCGATTCTTGGCGACAATTTGACGTTCGAACTATCTGTGATGCTCAACCGCAGTGGGCTTGGAGTATTTTCTGCTGACAGCCACCAACGTCCGATCTTAAAGCACGTCAGCCATCTAGCGAATGAAGAGCCGTCTCAAGACCGAAACAGGCAGTGACACTTCTCATACCATCACGCATTATCATCGTCTCCTGCAAACAGCTTGGACGGCCTCAAAAAGGGAAATCAATTAAGCATAGTAAGACACCTCGGCCACTTCAAGCTTGACGCCGTGCTTCTTTGCGAGCTCTTTAGCCTCCTCCTCCATCTCTGACCAGTACTCATGGCTCTGCCCGTCCTGGGTCCCCCACGTCTCATACCCTCCCATACGGCCCTCCGTTCGCACCCGCTTGCTGATGAGCCGGAGATGGGTGCCAGGCTGCAGCTTACCCTTGCGCAGCCGGAAGAGGCTTTTCAGATCGATCATTCTCATGTCGCCGACGCCCATCTCGATGACAGGACAAGGCTGCAGCTGGGAGAGCCCGTGGAAAATTGCTGCTCGACACTTGTTGTCTTCGCCGTAGATGTACATGGTATGCAGCCCCTGCCATGCGGCCAAAGGTTTTCGTACGATGTCATCGAAGTTCTTGACTCCGCGAGAGTCACTGACGGCGAAAGTCAGATGGTGGACTTCCGGTAGCAGACCATCCGCGCGAAGCTTAGAGATATCTGCGAAGGTGTCCCATTCTCTCTGCATGTACCGAACACTGAGATGTTTCAGGCTATCGGCAGAGCTGGAAAGCAGCCACCGCAACGGTTCTTTTTGGATGCAAGAGCGAAAGATTTCGAGTCTCTTTAGGGAGAACTAACATTGTCGATATAAGTGTCAGCGGGTCTCCCAGGCAACTCCCAGGGATTCTACCCATCGATATACGTACGGGAGCGGGCTCTGATGGGAGGTACAAGGGACTATTCGCGTATTCGCTGTGTCCTGTCCAGCCTGCGCCGTGGAAAGTGAGATCACGGAGCTTAGTGGTCCTCAGCAGAAAGGGCGTCCAGCTCGAGCCACCGTTGATGTTGCAGAGTAAAGCCTCGCGAACACTTGAAAGATCGTGATCTAGAGGAGGCGGAGAATAACGGACCTGGCCAATCAAAGATCTGTCCAGGGGATCATGCGAATGATACCCACCGAAAGTAGCTCTATCAAAGCAGATGAACGAGCGCAGATTCTGGAGCGGCAGTGCGCGCAGGACCTGCCCCAGGTCGAGATGGAAGTGCGCATCAGGGTGGGACTGTTGGAGAACAATCTCCCGTACACCCTTCAAGTCTTCGGGTGATCGATTCAACAGTCGTCGTTGCAGATGGTCCTCGCTGTCGATGATGAGCACTTGGTTCAGGATTGGCTGGACGAGTCGCTGCCATGCTTCGCTGACCAAGCAGCAGGCTAACAATGTCTTCACGCAGCTCTGGTCTCTTCTTCTGTCTTTCGACGTGCCGACAGCCTCGAAGATGAGGAGAAGTATGTCATCGTTCAAAGTCGGCATTGCTTCGGGCCAGATCCAACTTTCGTACCACGTGAATGCAGCGCTGCATCCGAAACCCGGCGACAGCACCTCAAGCTCTCAAGCGTGACTCTTTCGTGTCGGGGAAGGACGTTCCGCCTTTACACCCCGTTATCCTGCGCAATTTGTAAAGCGTTGGTGTCGACGGTACAGGCGCCTGCTCAAACCTCACCAGGGGAGAGGGTGAATAGGAGTCGTAGGGAGATTGCGGTCTGCGGCAACGCGTCCACCCCACCAGGTCACGTGAACCAGGTCACGTGATAGTGAGGTGCACCATATGATGGATGGCTTAGGGTTAGGGATAGGGTTCTAGTGCTCTACGTAAACACCAACCCTCTAAAGATGCATAGTCCGTGCATCCGTGTGCTTAACCAAGACTTTCCGGTCGCGGTCGCGGTCGGACTAGGGTAGTTGTATTGATTGTAAAGAAGATATTCCAAGAGGTGAAGCTAGTTTGAGGGCAACGATCGATTTAATCGTTGATTTCATCGTCTGTCCTGAAGCCGTGCAACCTCGCCGCCGACTTGACAGCATACAAGACTCCCGGCAATCCCGTATCTCTCTGTCGACAGGCTCCACAGTACCTAGCTTCCACGGCCTCCTTTTCCGGCTTCTTCCCCCAGTTTTCTCCAGACCACTCAGGGCTTAATCTGTCATTCCCACAATTCCCGCTTCCTCTGGCTCAGATCCCACGCATCGCGTGCTCCTATGATGCGCCGCGCATGCCGCATGTCGACCACATCATAGACCAGGTTGACTGCAAACAACAAGCCCAGCAGACCCCCGCGGCTCGTGAGGTTTCGCATGTTGACCTTGAACCCGAACTTCAGACCCGCGTAAGATAGACCGAAGGACACCGCCGTGTTGATCAGCGACCCCAAGACCAGCTCCGGTCTCGTTTTGGTAGCTATGCGCCGCTGCCTGACGCTGGGCATTGGCGGAGGCTGTGCGAGGGACATCTGGTCGCGTTGTGGTGGGATGCTTGCCGTCCGTTTGGTGGGATCTGCTTCCACTCCAAGTCAGACAGGGCTACGGATGATGGCTGACGGCGCACGAGAGAGACACGAGATGCTTACTTCCAGGAGCTAAGGCGCAGCTCAAGTTGGCGATTGTGGTACTGTGGTGTTGCTGAACGTTCCCCTTGAGCAGAGAAGTATCCATGAATATCCTGGAGGTTGAAGCTAATGTTTCGAGTCAGCCACTTGAAAAACAAAAGTAAGGGGAAAAAAATCATTGTCTCACATAGGTAGGTGAGACATCATGTGCGATAAGCCCATGGATTCTTGCATCCATTGAGCTCAGAACCGATATTTCCCAGCTTAGAGGAGAATTACTGGTACTTGAGGCGGAGCCGTCGAAGCTGAGAGCAAAACGAGCCGATGGTGGCGGTGTCGGTAGACATCAAGGAAGACTGGCACTCTGTATCCAACCGAGAAGCTATGATGTCGATCTCGTCGCCGTATCCGCTTAAGCTTAGCGGTATCAGCGCAGTATTATCCATGAAGTAATGTTAAATAGCGTCCGAGCTAATATATGACAGGCATCTTAAACGTCGCACCTAGGCTCATATAATTTTTAATCTACACCTACCTTTTTATGATTATACCTTCTTTCATATATAAATCTAGTCGAACGTAGCTGTGTGAATACTGGTTGTTTCCTTAGAGTAAGTGCTCCATGTCGACTTGTATGGTGTGGCTATGTTGGATTAAAGGTACGCCTAGAAGGTATCTTAACAGGTAGACTACGGAACCTAGTTGTTCCGTCCCGATCTAGCCCCCTCTGACACAAAACTGCCACGGTCGCACAAGGACACTCAAGACAGAGAGAAGACACACACACACTTCACTCTGACAATTGGCTCAAATCTGACAATTAAGAGTCTCATCGCTGATCCCTTTGACAAACCCTATCTATCCTGTATATCTAGAATGTCTGTTCTTTTAACCCTTTAAGAGTCTAAGAAAGCAGACTTCTTAGCATCACTATTAGAAGCAAGAGAATAGCCTGAATAGGACCATAAGTTCTAATTGAAGGCAGACGTCCTAGGTCTTATTGACCTCCTTATTCAGAAAAAGGGTATTATATAATAACCAGAGATTCTGAATATTACACGAAAGAAATACAAGAAGAAACGGACCAAGACAACTCTACAAGACAGCACTCCAACCCCTCAGAAATCCTAAGAACACAGCGATAGATTGCCTCTTAGGAGATCGCCTTTACAAAGGCCCATCAGAAGGAAGTTCCCGAGACGCTCAATGTGAGCTCATGGGCCAGAGACTTCCTGGACGCGGTATCCGAAGCATTTGCCATGTGGTCAAGCACTTATGTGGTTATCAAGGATAAACAAATCCGGCATGGGATTCTCAAACATTGAGATCTTGTCAACGACTTCACAAGAGCTATTTTGCGGACCATTAACAAAGCTGGACAAGCCTCCAAAGGTGCATTTGGGTCAACCTATAATGGCAAGGGCTCCGGCAAAGAAGAACAGAAAGCCTGAAAGAAAACAGACTAAACGCCAACCAAGGAACGAGAGAAGTAGGGATAAGAACCATTCTAAATGTCTAGCATGTGGAATAGAACATGCATTGGCGAATTGTTTCTATATCTTCCCAGAGAAGGCATAGAAGGGCTTCCGACCTAGGGACTATCTCATTAAAAAGACAGCTCAAGCCTTGGAAGATCCAGAACTACAAGCTCAAGTCCGTGCCTTGAAGCGGAACAAATCAAAATCAAGTATCAGGACTTCTCAACCTAAAAGAGAAGAGCATGAAGAGATTCAAGATTGACTCTATGACAGAACGATGGGCAAGGTGCGGTCAGCCTTCACAGCGGTCAAATCAGACAATTATCCACTGGCATACTCAGTCATTTTAGACAGTGGAAGCACCATCACAATCACAAACTAAGCATGGTGTCTAACCAGCTAGAGGACTGCGCCACCAGGGGATTTTGTATGATCAGGAGATTACCCTCTACCCATCCAAGGGTACAGTGAGATGCAAGTACGTATCGGAAGCACGATTATCAACTTTCCAAATACGGCCTACTGCCCCTCACTCCTCACCACTCTCATATCCCTACGAGAACTCAGACGGAGAGGATATTGGTGGGACAACAAGGAAAGGCAGACCAGTCTCAAAAGAAGAGACAATACCTTGGTCGGCCATATCAAGGACATGTATGGCCAATATATCATTAACTACCAACCAAACGACCTCAACGCTATGTTTCATACTGCACAACCAAGCAAGAAGCATCTACACAACTCATGGTCCAGAAAACCTCCCCTCACTGGGAACGCGTGGCTATGGCATCAACGACTAGGACATCCTGGTCAAGAAGCTTTGGAACACCTAATGCGCGCATCTCAGGAGGTGAACTGTCACGGCGAGCATACTGGGGAGCTGGGACATGGCCTGCAGCAAGCAGCTATTACTCTATTGACGAGAATATCAAGACTAGAGAGGAAAGGAAGAGAGAGAGAGATAGGTACAGTGGGAGGTTGCCCCTTTAAGGGGATCCTCTGGTCAGATCCTTCCCCTATTAGGAAGTATCCACTTGTCATGTGGGAAGGTCTGTGCAGGCCGTCACAAATAAGGTGATCAGTACGAGAGATATCGCTTTCAATAAGAACGAGGTATTTAATGGAAATAAAGAGTGATTCTGAGATAACTTGAAAACAGTGACTATTAAAGAGATATAGGTCATGGTCAACAAGTACGCTCTATCCAAGTCCGACGCCTATTTCCAGGACGAGGAAGAAAATCCTGATGAACTGCAAGACCAATATCCTCCCCCGACGAGGGTAGAGGATGGAAGTGCGGGAAGCCCGGTAGTCCCGACGGGGATACAAGTCCAAGAGGACGAAGAGGAAATAGATGTGGGTATTGGGAATAAGCACCCGTACACCACGGCAAAATTTGCCCTATTACTTTCACCACTGCTTATGTTTGTTTGTTTGTTTGTTTGTTTGTTTTGTATTTAACGTGGGGGGTAGCTCCTCAGTAGTGCAAACCACGCCTCCCAGAGCCTCTGTATCGCAGGGTTGTGGAGGTCTCAAGATAATAAGTACAGTCAGTCCCGCTCACAGGCCCATCCCCGTTGTTGCGGCGGTATGACCTTTGGGTCATCTATCTGGTCCTTCAAGAAAAGCTATCTATGGGGGCAGATTGTTAAAAAGAACTTGCTCTTCTTCACAAATTTTGCTCATTCTGTGCTCCTCTCCTCTAAGTATTGTAAACAAGCTGTCCTAAGCGAGTACCTAGGCAGTAGCCAATTTTTCTCCAGCCTCTTATAAAAGAAAATGTATTGTGGTGTTTTCTTTTCACCATAGCTGCAGTGATCGTTCGAGTCTGTATGCCCAAAGCGTTCATGGTATCTGGCAAAGTCGCCATGTCCAGATCTGGCCGCTAAAAGTCTATATAAAATACTCCTCTTAAAAGATATAAGGTCTCTTTCAGTTATTGTATATAAGTATATTTCTTGATATCTAGGTTCTGATTGGTCTTTCCACCATTGGTTGAACTCTTTCCTGCCCTTTCTTTTGAGATCTCTCTTAACCCAAGAGATTATAGGAAGGTTTGTTGTGTCTGTTTCTAGCATGGCACCCTCTTTTGTTAGTATATCAGTAGCTTCGTTGCCATTAATATCTCTGTGTCCAGGAATCCACTTGACGGTCACTCCAGGAGTGTGTGCTGTGGCAAGTTCTTGAAATCGTAGAAAAATGTTCTGTGATGTCTCGGGTGGAGTCCCATTGAGCCTATCTACCACTGACGTGTTGTCCAGGCAGACATATAGCTGTTTTCCGTGTCTAATTGCCCTGGCTGCTGCAAGACCTTAGAGAGCACCATGGACTTCAGCATCTACTACTTCTGTTTAGAGAAGTCTGCCCTTTTCCCGGTATACTTCTTGTGTAGTGCCGCCTTTCCTGATGGTATAACCCCATCCAGTGCGGGTTGTGCTTTAGTCGTCCAACTGTGATCCATCTGAATAGATGATAAGGTCAGTGTTCATGTTTCTCTCCTGTAGCCATTGCTTAAAGAGCTCTGTTTCTTTGTTTTTGTCTTTACGGATTGGGGGCTTCTTTCATGATGGCCTGGTAAGTAATGGTCTCTGGAAGTCAGGGACTAGCTGGAAGCTCCTTTGTAGCCTTGTTGGATTCTTGCGAGCTTGTATTTGGAGCCTGCGAACAAGAGGGTGTCTCTGGTCTATTCGTCCTAGTCGGAGGCCGTGACGTCGTCTTATTGACTCTGCAAGAACTCCTGCTGGGGGAATCTGCGTTCACCACTGCTTAGTCCTCTGTCCGTCCTGCTATGCTATAGTATTCAGAAGGGGAATGAGGAACCTAAAAATCCTCTCCAAGACCCAGGACGAAAAGAGCTCGAGCCTTGGAAAGCGGCGTTTCTAACAGGCCTTAAGGCTTCGCCCATATAACAATCAGATAAAAACACCCTAGATCGGGCAAGCATAGAGAGAGCCTTGCGAAATGGATTCAAGCTCCATAGACGACTCCTGTAAGAAGCGCCACAGTGGCGCGACAAACTAGCAACCCATTCAATAGGACACTTGTTCAAAATGGCCGAAAAGGATCACCTAAAAAGTCATGACGCCATGAGGTCATGGACTGAGATCCGAAAGAAAGACCCATCTATACGAGGGCATCAAATCTTGGACTGCATATAGGTGTATGTCTATAAGTTTGATAAGCATGGGAGGTTCATCAAGTGCAAGGCACGTCTTGTGGTCAGAGAAGATTAACAGAAGGGGCTGCATTCAGAGCAAATATTGGAAGATCATTCAGAACCTTGATAGCCCTAGTGGCCAAGTTTGACCTCGAGATGATCCAGTACGACGTTGTCAACGCCTTTTTGCATGCCCCCATCAATGAGAAGATCTTTATACGGATGCCACATGGCTATCGCAAGAAAGGTATAATTCTTTAGTTGAACAAGGCACTCTATGGGCTGGGGGTTTCTCCATTGCTATGGCAGAAGGAGTTCTCAAAGACTCTGGCCAGCTTGGGATTCAACCCGGTTCTATATGAGCCGTGCTGTTATACAAGAAAAGGAATCATGATATTCTTCTACGTGGACGACCATATAGAAAACACGCACAAGAAGATGTTCAAGACGTGGTTCAGCAGCTTCAACAAAGATACGAGATCACTGGAGGCGAGCACGTTCAATGCTTCCTTGGAATGGAAATCATTCGGGACCGGCCTCAGCAAAAGATTTGGCTATCCAAGACCTCCTACATTAAGAAAGTAACCAAGCTAATCAACCTGACCGACAGACTCTCTGAGGTCCCAATGGGTACAGAAGAACTACTGCCCTGGCAAGATCACGCCGCCTCTCACAAGATCCAGAAATACCAACAAAAGATTAGTTCTATTCTATTTGCCTCCATTTCCACACAACCAGACATAGCCTTCGCAACATCACGCCTCATAAGATTCCTTACAAACCCAAGTCAGATCCACTAGAATGCAGCCAACCGAGTCATCCAATACCTATACAGAACAAGACACCATTCTCTCTAGTTTGAAGGAGGAGATAATTTAGTGGTGGCTAGTGATGCTTTTTTTATAAATAATTCTTTCGACAGAAAGAGCTCTTAGGCCTTTGTTATGACTCTTTTTGAAGGATTGATTGACTGGAGGCCTAACAAGCAAGACACGGTCACTACATCTACTACATAAGCAGAACTATTTGCACTGGCTCAGGTAATCAAAAAGACTCTATACATCAGCTGGCTGATTATGGAACTTGGTGTTCAACTTGAACGCGAGAAGATCAAAATAGAATACGACAATACACAGACAATCAAGCTAGTAATCACTGAAATCGCTCTTTTAAAAACCAAGTTACGGCATATGGATATACATAACCATTGGCTTCGACAAGAAATGGAATAAGGAACTGTCAGCATTAAGTATACGCCATCAGCACAGATAAAAGTGGATGGGTTGACCAAAGCCTTGCCTGCTCAACAGTGGACAGGATTTCTGGATCAACTGGGATTGATAGACACTTAGGCGAGACAGATTGATTGAAGATCACAAGAGGGAGCCATTGAGAAGAGAAAAGAGATTCTGAGTCAAGACCCTGAAGTAATTTATTCTATAGACTAGTTCAGTCAGAGCCGTTGCCTGCCTGGCTGAGGGGGTGTGTTGGATTAAAGGTACGCCTAGAAGTCACCTTGACAGGTAGATCACGGAACCTAGTTGTTCCGTCCCGATCTAGCCCCTCTGGCACAAAACTGCCACGGTCGCACAAGGACATTCGAGATAGAGAGAAGACACACACACACTTCACTTTGACAATTGGCTCAAATCTGACAGCTTGCTGGTGGCAATGAGCCCTAGTCGACGGTCGCGGCCCGCTGATGGCTGTCTTGGACTCTTGACAGCTTGTTATCCTAATAATAAGTTGCTCCGAGAAGAGCCGGTGAGTCGCGTTTCTCCAGGTGTTGGTCGAGACCAAGTACTTGATATGTCTCTGTGCGATGTCGAAGATAATGGGATCGAAGCCGTTGTGGATGTCGCCAGCAGTGCTGGATCCTCTCCGCCATTTGCCCTAGCTCAATCCTCCCTGTTTGGGACATATGTTCCTCACTCCCGCTTTTATGTGCCCAAGCCAACCCGTCGGCTTGGAATGGATCGACGTGGGATGGGTTCGGCTTGGATGGGTTCGGCTTGGTCCATGCACGCATCGCCGCATATCTGAGCTGCCTTTCGAATTTGGTTTCAAGAGGCTTCGGGTCCCTGAAGGAAAGATAGATGGGGTAATGGAGTCCCGGGGGCTAACGAAGTACGTGTATATCGCCAGCGCGTCGCTGATCCTTGTACAAAGTCGTGCGCTACAACGCCTTCCACCACGAAGCACATCGGGTCAGGAAGGCCATATTCTCCCCTAAGAAGTCCCTGAAAGCTGAAAAGTCCTGCGTTCGCCCATCTCCTCGTATCGGAATTCCACGAATACTCCCTTCCCGGAACCTCACACGGTACTACACTAGGGGACAGACTCAGTCAGAGTGGCTGACTGCAATGCCCTTTCCCACTTGACGTTGGAGTCGCAACCCCTTTCATGCATTATTAGACGCCGCACGACCTGGGAGCAAGGAATGAAAATGCCGAAAATCATGAGCGAGATGTCTATCCTATGTCTCGTCAGTCAATTGAAGAGATCCTGCCTTGAGATCTTTGTAAACCACAATCGACTTGGAGCGAAGTATTCATTGACCGGTGTTGTCAATATGTAACTTATGCCGTAAGCTGAAGTCACCGCGTGATTCAGTCCCTTGACACCCCACCCTCTGCTTTGATTACTCACGATTTAGTTTATTGGCGTCAAGTGTATTGGTGCAAACCGCCTGAGATGAATCCTCTGGCTCAAACTCTCAATCTCATCAAGCAGAGGGCAACGGGATCACGTCAGATCCCTTGCATGTCACGAACGGAATGACTCACTAATCAGATAATCCAAATTGTGAGTGCGGGAATCCGAATACGCTCCGACCCGTAGGTTTATTTATCTGCTTACGACATCGGAGCTTATCAACCAGAGCCGAAGGTGGATCAAAACAAATTCCGACATATCGTGCGCCGGCTCGGACCAGACCTTCATTAACCGCGGCTGCATCAACATAAAGCCACCATTCTACCCCCTTTCCCTATTCACCTGATTCAATACGCTTCATATTCCTAGCGCACTGTCTGAGTTCTGTCCTTCCATTAGAGGCTGGTCGATATACGACCATGGACGAGACGGAGCCACTGCTGCAAGATGCCCGTCTGGTTAACATCGAGCAGAGGGACGACCTCTTGGGCAAAGACATCGTCGACTTCGCCCCTGATGGCGACCAGGACAACCCCCTGGAATGGCCAACAGCCTACAAATGGGGGATCGTCTCTCTGCTCGCCTTCATGGCGTTCACCGTGTGAGTTGTCGCACCAAAACTTATTATCAATCACGCGCTGATCCCCGTCAGCACTTTCACATGCATATCAGTCGTGCCGGTCGCAAACCGCATTGTCCACGACCTCGACCACGGCCAGTCGAGCAAATCAGCAAGCGTGCTTCTCGTCACCATCTGGGAGCTCGGCGAAGCCGCCGGGCCGCTGCTCATCGCACCGCTCAGCGAGGTATTCGGGCGCTACCCCGTCATGAACGCCGCCAACACGCTTTTCGTTGCCGCGACGGTGCTGGCTGCACTCTGCCAGAGCACGTCCCTGTTCATCGCTGCCCGGGCGCTGACCGGCCTTGCCGTCGCGTCGAATGTGCTGAACCCTGCTATCATTGGCGACATGTTCGTCTCGGAGGAGCGCGGCTCGGCCATGAGCATCGTGGCGCTGGCTCCGCTGATCGGCGGCGCTGTCGGACCCGCCATCAGCGGTGCGATAGCGGAGAGTCTGGGCTGGCGCGAGGTGCTCTGGGGCAGCGCGGTCCTGGCCGCCGCCTGCGAGATAGCCTTCCTCACGTGCTTTCGGGAGACGTACAAGGTGGCCATCTTGCGACGGAAGGCGGCGAAGCTGCGTGCCGAGACCGGCAATGTCGCCCTGAGGACTATCTATGACACCGACGACGATGTATCGAATGCTAGGAAGCTGTGGGGCGCCATAATGCGGCCGGCGAGCGTCTTTGCTGGCTCGGGCGTCTTGCAGATCCTGTCGCTGTTCGGCGCCCTCGTGTTCGCGCACTTCTATGTCATCTCGACCACGTTGCCGGATATACTGCAAGAGACCTACGGGCTGTCGGCGGCAGCCACTGGGTCTGCCTTCCTCACCTTTAGTAAGTGTTATTCGCTGCACCATCTGCTACTCCCATATTCCACAGCAAGCTGATGCGATCCATAGGCATCGGTTCTACGGTGACTGTCCTTCTCTGCAACACATATCTTGACAAGATTTACGTGAAATTGCGAGAGCACCACAAGGGGGTCGGGAAGCCCGAGTACCGCCTCCCTCTCGTCATCGTCGGGGGCTTCTTGCTACCGTTCAACATCGCCTTCTACGGCTGGTCTGCCCAGCTGCAATTGCCCCTGCCGGTAATCCTACTGTCGGTCGGCCTGCTCGGTGCGACCATACTGTTGGGGTTTATGCCGCTGTCCGCGTACGTCGTGGACGCCTTCGGCCTACACGCTGCCTCGGGAATGACGGCCGTTATAGTGACGAGATGTCTGATGGGCACGTTCCTGCCTCTAGCCGCGGAGCCGCTGATAGACAGGTTCGGGTATGGATTGGGTTGCACCGTATTGGGCGGCGCCGGTCTGCTGCTTGCGCCGATTCCTGTCTTCGTGTTTCGGTACGGAGACAAGTGGCGGCAGCGATCTAAATACTCCAGAGAATCATGATGTGTCTCCGATAGTTCTGGACACAATCATATATCACACAATAATGCATCGCCTTGCCGGTCCCTCAAAAGACTGTTGAAGAGCCTGAAGTCGCCAATACGATATTGCGTTGGATGCATGTCTATCATCATTATTCCCTTTCAAGCCTGAACAGGTCTCTGTGCACAAGCGAAGAACCTACACGACAACATGCCCAGTCAGCACTGGACACATCTCACACATCAACGCGAAACAAAGGATGGGATGGGCACAACTCACATCTCCACCCACATATGTTTCTCCCCTGCATCAATCTCCTCCGCAATCCTCGCAGCAAACACCTCAAACTCCTCCGCGCTCCACCCAAGCACCCTCGTAAACATAGCCGCCGTGTTACGGGTAACATGCTTCATGTCCTCCGCCCACAAGCGACCTATACGCTTATTCTTCGCCCCCCTAGCCCAAGGTTCCACGGGCCAGTTCTGCCACTGCACGGTAATGTTAGTGTACCCGGTTTCCCGAAGCAGAGCTTCAAGCCTCTTGGGGGCGGAGAGATCAAGACCGGTCTTCAGCCCGCCATCGCGAAGACCTTCAGTCAGACCATTGGACGAAGTACGGTTTCGAGGGGGAGAGCGAGCTCTCGGTGCAGCCGGCTGGGACGTGGATCTCGTGCAGTTCTACCCACTCCCCGGGTGTGAGGTGGTCCTTGGCTTGGTGCAGGGAGCGAGACCAGTCTTTGATTCCCGGGGTGAGGGCGCGGGTGTGGATGAGGTCGAACGGACGTTCGGCGAAGCCCCATTCGGCGTTGCAGTCGTCTATTAGGAAGCGGGCGTTGGGGGGTACCATATCTGGTTGCAGGTGGACGGGGGAGAGGTCGAAGCCGAAGACTTGGGCTTGGGGGTTTGAGTCTGCTACGCCCATCGCCCACCTGCCCCGTACCAGTGTCATGAGCAGTGGTCTTGAGCAAGAGATGACAGTTAGCTAAGTTATTGGGACTTACAGCCCAGTACCGCAGCCAACGTCCAGGACATTGCGCAGCTGATCCTTCGGTATTGGAGCGAGGAAGAGACGATCGTCGAGAGCGTAGCGGTAGATGGCGTGCTGCATGTCTAGGCGATCTTGCTCGTTCTCGTCGTTGGGGAGGTGGTACTCTCCTTCCCGGAAGACATGGTAACGTCGGCCTTTCTCGTACTTGTGGTCCACGGCGGAGCTGGTCAGGCTTTGGGTTCGTCTACACTGACGTATGGCAAGTTATGTGAGCTATGTCTAGTGAGGAACGCATGCAAAGGAATGCCGTGGACGTACGTAGACCGCCAGCTGCCAATGGCGGAGTCATTGTCGTCGACGCTGTCACCACGCTCGCTAGACTGAGCCGCAAGTCAGTCTGGAGAACGCATATTGAGGCACCACGTGCCAGGTATGTAACATACATCTACCTCGAGTGAGGGAGCCGCGACGCTGCGTGATGTGGTGGCAACGCCGGCATCACCGGCCGACGGGAGGACCTTTGCCTCCGGCTGGGCTTCGCCTGCGGGTAGCGGCTCGGAGGTCGTCGACATGGTAAATCTCACCAGCCACAGAAAGTAAGACGGGACGGAAAGCTTGTGTTACAGTCAAAGTCAATGTGAGAGGTACTACCCGACTTTGCCGTAAGCTGGTTGGAACCGGTCGGGTATATGGAGGTATAGGACCGGGCCGGTGGAGGGTGACCTTATCGCTCCGACTCCACCACATGCATGCAGACCGCCGTGATAGCACCTGCATAGAGCAGGAAAGGGGGGAAAAGCATGGGTCTCGTCTTGCCTGTTGGTCTCGTTCAAGTAATTGCAGATGGCGATCTGGTTCGTTCCATTGGCTGCCTTTGCTATGTAGTTGAGAGTACCGTACAGAGTGCGCAAGCAAGTGGCCACTTGCCGTCGTCCTTCACCGGTCCTCAAGATTTGATCTCCGGTGTTGGGAAGAAGCTTGTTGCATGTAATAGACTGTAGGCAACGAGGCCAAGTTTGGAATGTCAAAGTCTCCAGTTGCGTCTAAGTCCTTCCCAAGACTGCAGGATTATGGAGGATAGATAGTGTTGATGAATATGCTTTGCCAGGCTCATGTTGCATCCCATAACTAGTAGCCATCAAGTTAGGCCCCCTCAAGAGATAGCGTCACGATGCTCGTCTCGCGACCGTATCGTGAATCCGTCCCTGTCGGCCGCCCTTCGTCTCCACAGTGCCTTTCTCCCCGCGCCTGCGACCCTCCATCACACGGGTGAACAGGTCCCGCCGCAGTAGCAAGTCGTCCTCTACAGCATGGTCTATCTCGAAAGCGCTCTGCCATCTAGCGGGACCGGCTCTATAGGAGATCCAACGCCCGCACGCGATACTAGATCGACTCCTTCCCAGGGCTGCGCCCCTGTGTTCTCGAAGTAGGCAGTTATGGGGCACATGGTCGTGCCCTGGTGCAGCTTCCGCTTCACTCCGTCTTCTTCTCTCTGTACGGGTGGTGGGTGTGCCATGTCCATGATGTCCATGTGAGCAGACGACCATTGGGTTATGCCGACCGCAAGCGCCGTGTCCTTGTGGAGGGGCCGAAGAGTACCCGTGGAGGGTGCTGCATGCTGCATGCTGTAGGTGCAGGGCACAACTCCCTAATCGATGCCGTCGCGGACCTCTCTCGAGTAAGAGTCTGGAGTGATCGCATTCACCAAACCGATACGTGAAGACAAGGTGGCTCGGCTCGGCACGTCTGCGCCTAAATCGTGTCAAAGAGGTGCACCAAGCCATGAGAGACGGGTCGTCAGAAGCAATGCCCCCATTCCCGTAGCTCCCGGCCCATACCGTAGCTTAGAGTAGGGAAGCCATATAGTGATGCGATCAGTATCGGCCGCCAGTGTTCGAACGGACCATCTCCTCTTGACTTGAGTTGGCACCATCCAACCGGTTCCACCTGCCATGTTCCCCAGACCTCAGAGTCGAAGACTTCAGCCTGCTTGAGCTCATCGACTTCAACTGGATAGAAGTATGATGCTTGGTTAAAGGGGTCCCTCCGATAGTCTCAACCGCCCCTGCCCTCTCCACCGGTTGTGATTCTTCGCGGCTGCTCGTCGCGTAGATGCCGAACAGCTTGCGAATCATGGGTAGGGAGGCGGCAATGATCCCGATCGCGTTCTCGACTGTCGACCAGAGCACAATGTTGGCGAAATAGTCTGCAAAGGGTGCCAAAGTGTCAGCCAGCCGGTATGATATGCCCGTAATTCGAGAGGAGCATGTGGGTGGCTTACACAGCTGGTCCTTTTCGATAAGGTAGTACTTCAAGTACGGCAACCGAATAATAGCACAAACGCCCGCAAGGCCGCCGAACATCAGCACAGCAAGAAGAGTTATCTTGACCGCCTTCCTCATCTCCAGATCCCGTAAGAGTAGGTACGGAATCACGGCACAAGCCCAGTCCAAGAGGACCGTGAATACAGTAAAGAGGTAGCTCAGCTGCGCCATCACGTCGTGGGCGGCACACCTAGCCAAAGCAAGATCCCACTGAGCCCCGAGGGGGTAGCATGTCGTGACCAGCACAATGACCACTCCGACAGTGAAGAGCGCTGGCGAAATCATGATGCCCAGGATAGGGTACCGATATCGTCGTTGCGCCGTGAGACGCAGCAGGGTCATGGCAATGCCGGCTTTGACCAGGTTGGTAGACGTCGCGTAGAACATCTGCCAGTATCCCAAGTAGAGCGCAGCCCTAGCCCTCAGCAGTGGGGTGATGTCGGCATCTCTCCTACCAAGCCCATAGTGAGCGGCGAGGATGATGAACACGCATGACGGTATAAAGGTTACCTAAAAGGGTGGGAAACCGTCGTGAGTAGATGACTTAGGCTGGGGAGTGGTCTGAGGACATACCAAGCTCAGTACTGCGAGTGTGTCATCCCATCCCCAGATTTGACGGTCCAGAAAGAACGACGTACGAACCCATACGCGTAACCCCACAGCCAGGGCACTGAGGACAAGCACTACGATAGTAGCGGTCGTCACGCCAGCGGCGAAGTCGCTTGCTGCGATAGGTTGCTGCTGCCAGGCCAGGTCGATGAGCTCTTGACCAGAGATAGTTACTGGAGGCATGGTGGCATCAGGAGCTAGTTCTCCAGCAAAAGGCAGTACATAGAGCAAGGGCAAAGGCACAAAAGGCCGTATGTGGTTGGCTTTAGCTAGAGTTTGGGAGGAGCGGGAGGTGGACAGTCGAGCGCCTTTACGTTCAAACAATTGAAGTTTTGACGCGCGGGTTGCTCCCGCCGACTACCCCTGTAACCAAGGCTGAGTGTTTCTGCAACGGCCTGGAAAAAGTAAGCGGCCAGGGTCGGTCGCGTTGCATGTAGACCCTTGGATAATGCGCGCGACCTGTCGGATCGAATACGGAGGTCCGATCACCAGCAATTCCAAGGGTCTACATGCCGAGGCCAGTACCAGTATGTTGATGAGGAAGGTACATCCTCGCGGCGTCAGTGTTTCTTTATGGTAAGACGGGCAGTCCAGACGGCATTCGTTTTGTCCAGACTTTACTAGGTTGATCTTTGGAGTCGGGTTGCCAGATCTCAAGGGGGCGGGACGGGACGGAACCATGGTCGAGAACTCTCTATCCCGGCAAAACTGACGAGTCACTAGGAAGAATCAAAGCCGTGGAGCCAAAGTAACCCAATACGAAGCGTGCTCCTGACGGCGGGGCCGTAACCATATGATCAAAAGCGACAGGTCCAACAACTTTGTCGTCTCAGGAGTCGTCGATGAAAAGATGACTCTCGTGAATGTGAAGTTGCACTGACTTCCATCTGGCATCTGCCCTGATCTTGGCACGTCGGGGTGGTACCAAAAATTCGGGCAGAGTGGTAGCCGAGGAGTTGGTATGATCTCGTTGGTGTGATCTCGTTGGTGTGACAGTCCCATGTCCATGAAGCCAGGGTGACATCGTGAACCGAGCAGGGTCTGGAGGGCAGGGGGGCCGCCGGGGATCGGCTTCCGTGCTCACAGACCCTTCCACCGTGGAGATTGCGGTAAAGCTGCCAATCGGGCAGCATCCAGGATTCGATATGTCTGGAACGGCCCGACAGATACGTGATTTCAATTTCCCCGCCTCTCTTGCCCTTTTGTCACGTCTCAGTGCCTGACTCCTTTCTTTTTCCTGTGCCTCCTGCCGGACTCGTATGATGTGACCAGTGACCACGCAGGATTCCGACCGACTCCAACTTCGCACGTACCAGCCTACCAAGGAACCGTTGAGCTGTATCTCTGACAAAACTGCCGTGCGTGATGGATTTCGTCATCTGCGCTGGCGTTGCTTTTGCCGAGTCCCTGCTGCTGAAGAGAGCTCCGGCAAGCCTATTCGGCGAAGTGAGGGGATCAACGACGTCTCAGACTGCCTTGACTCTTTTCTTTCTTCAGTATCTAGTCGTCAAGTATTACCGGATAGTTGCCTACCCGAAGTACGTTTCGCCGCTGCGCCATGTGCCCGGCCCGACGGTAAGTAGTGGTATGAGTAAATTGTGGACCGGGTATCTAACAGATTCTCGCAGGACAATCATCCGCTCATCGGTCAAGCGTTGAACCTCATCATAGCCAAGACCCCGACGGAGTTGTACATCAAGTGGATGAGGCAGTACCCTGATGCGCCCTTCATTCGATACCTGACCTGGGCCAATACGGAAGTCCTGGTGCCCAACAATCTCAATGCCCACCGAGAAGTCTTGCAGACACAATGCTACTCTTTTACGAAACCCAACTGGTTCCTGCGCCTGGTAAAGGAGGTCGCGGGTCATGGCCTCATCTTGATGGAAGGTGATGAGCACCGGGCGCATCGCAGGATGCTGGCCGGCCCCTTTTCGCTCAAGAACATTCGCAAGTTGGAGCCCATTTTCCAAGAAAAGGCCAAGGACATCTGCCGTTACTTCGATCAGAGCATCGCCGAGGGGGATGGGAAGCGTGGCGCAATCGACTGCACCACGACATTCTCGAAGGCTATCCTTGACATCATGGGATCCGCCATTCTCGGACTCGACCTCAACTACGTCAAACCCGGTGAGACCAGCGATGACGTCTCGACGCAGGCGAACAACAGCAACTTGAAGCCGGGTTGCACCTTTCACGAAGCTTACGACGTGTTCTTTGCTCCGGATACGATGGGGAAAATCCTGTTAGTGGTCAATGGGATCATGCCAGTTCGTTGGCTGCCCCTGCAAGCCAATCGTGAGTTTCTACACGCGATGGGTTGGCTTAACGACGTTCTCCGGACGCTCATCCGAGACCGGTACAAGCAAGTATCAGAGTCAAAGGCGAAGAACGAATACGAGAGCAAGGACTCCCGGGATTTGGTCACCTTCATTGTCGAGGAGAACCTGACAGGTGGCGTGACTGAAGGCATGGGCGAAGAGGAGTTTCTCGGTCATGTAAGTTGATGAAAAGCCAGCTACTCGCCTGCCAAGCCTGATAGGCTCCCGCGACTCCCAAATCTTCTCAATCTTCTGGTTCAAGATATTTGTGCTGACTGGTAGTAGCTCCTGGAATTCATGGCTGCCGGCCACGACACCTCGGCCAATATGCTTTCGTGGAGTCTGTATGTGTTAGCTACAAATCAGGATATCCAAGAGAAGTTGCGGAACGAAGTGAAGACACTTCCAGACAGCCCATCTTACACGGAGCTGGATAAGCTTTCGTATCTGGAGAACTTCTGCAAGGAGATCTTGCGGCTCTACTCCCCCTGTAAGTCTTTGCCATTATCCGGCATTCTCCAATATCACGCACTGACTTTAAGGCAGCTACCACTTATCAGCGCGGTGCAGAGCATGACGTCGTAGTTGAGGGGGTGCACATACCCAAGGGGACGCTTCTGGACCTGTGCCCCTCAGTTACTCTACTGAATCCCCTGATATGGGGGGAAAGCGTGGACGAGGTCAGTATCTCACCTAGTTCCAACCAGGCGTGGAAAGCCACCGAGTCCGCCTCATGGCGGACCCAATTTGAAATCGCAGCAGTGAACTGACTAAGGCATTGGACAGGTTGACCCTGACCGCTGGGACTCACTGGAAGGCGACCAAACATCCCTCTACACCTTCTCGGCGTTCTCAAACGGGCCGAAGATCTGCATTGGTAAATTGTTCGCGATGTTTGAGATCAAGACCATTCTGGCGGAAATGGTGCGCAACTTCAAGTTTGTCGAGGTGGCGAAGCCTTTCGCGATCGAAAACCCTGGCTTTACGTTGCGCCCTGCTGGCTTGGAGGTTCGCCTCGAGCGGCTGAAGGGTAGGGACGTTTGAAGGTCTTCTAGCTGCGAGGATCAGAGGGTGGTTGTGTAATGGATGACCGAGTGAAGTGAGCGGAGATTCAGGTTACTGGCTTCATAGGGAATATGGTGCAGTGTCGCAAGCTGTAATGTAACAGTGCTGATAGCTCTGACCTAGGTTATACCAGTGCGTTTCATTCCTAGTCAATTCACCAGAGCATGTGTATGACCTAGCAATACCTGTCCGATGCAGTGACTCCTGTATTGGTATCAGAAGCCCACTGGAAGATATGATTTGAGGCGTAGGGAATGGTATTTACATGATGCCGCTCCAGATACGTCTGGCTCCCCCGCGCGCGGCGCTGCTCATTTCATTACCTTGTAATAAACATCGCTCTAGAAAGTAGTGAACGTTGACCTTGAATGACCAGTCCGTACATTACCTACGCCAGCAAGACAATCATCATGTGAACTGTCACCAGTGGTGAGCCATGCGACTCGATGCCGAAGTGCATAAAGACTGGCGAATATGGCCTCCGTTGAGAACAGCTCTCGTGGCAGATCACCGAACATCGCAACCAAAACCAATCAGTTCACCACAGCGTTCTCTACCAAGATACACCACTCTGACATCACTTGCGACAACGTACCACGCACAAATCCACATACACCAAACGTCTGCCCACCTGCGCCGACATATTGCACCCATCTACAGCCGATAGCACAATGTCCAGCAACCAGAACAACGACACTCCACTCGGTCTCAGTGCCCACATCGATGATGTCAACGCGCTACATACAAAGATGTACGAAGCCACGGAGCCGAACCGGAAGTGGTTGCGCAAGGAAGTCGACGATTCAAAGAAGATGGCCGAGAACATCAAGGAAGGGCTCGACGAACAAAAGGAAGCCATCGACAAGCTCAAGGAGATGGACGACTTCAAGAAGTCATCACTTCTGGTCAAGGATCTTCGTCATGAGCAACATGGGCGCACCGGAACGGAAAGGCTGGGCGAGAGGCGGAAATGGGTGGAGGCAAGGATACGGTTGATGCGATGGTCTGAGGGCGGAGGAATTTTTTGGGGGGTATAACGGGGGAGGAAATTGTGTAATTGGTTTTTGTTGTCGGCCACACACTTGGTAGACTTATTCCACATTTTGGACAAATCCCTTCTGCTTTGAGTTGATTCTACATGACTTCGTGACTTGGGGATACTCTGCTGCGAGATCGGTGGGAATACCACCCCCTACACACGTCTCACATAGTAGCGAACTCTCCCAGAGTAAATGTGCCTTGGATCAATTGGGCGGCCTTCTGCAGGAGCAAGAAAAGAGTATAATTTACTAAGTACAGGCTGAATAGTTCTCAACAACTTGTTGGTATCGTCTAGCGATGACCGAATGGGTGGGGAGTGCGACTACGACGCGATCCCCGCACCGACCCCTTTACCCCTGAATACCCACAAGCCCCCCCTTTTAAAAGCAGACTTGATGTGGCCTCTCTTTGCCGAACAAACTCAGCATGGCCGACCTTCGGATATTTTAATGTGCTTCTATCTCTTCCACGTGTCCGATTCCCTGACTTCTGCCCCTGCAGCAACGGGCCTCGCCAGGCCAATATGGAAGCGTACCCCACCCCTATAGGGCAGAGAAAACACATTGGTCAACGACCCTGATTTACGTTCAATGGTCGGAGTGCCAATGGACTAGACCGAAGATTACTGATGACGTGCTCATCGGATGACGTGCTCATCGGATGACGTGCTCATCGGATGACGAACAGACACACATGAGTTCACTCCAGTCTTCGAGCACGCGCTATAAGACTCGTCGGTGCGTTAGGCAAAGTGAGGAGCTGTTGGCTATGATCTGCTGGCTATGATCTGAACCATACACATACCCGTCCACCAGATCTCCCAATTCTCAAATTCCACCTGTCTAGTGTTAAAATCCAAATGCGCATAATCATCGCCGAACTTCTGTTGGGTCTTCACTTTTGGGAATTTTATATGCGAGCGGTTGGATCCAGTCACGAACCTACGAATGAATAAAACTAGAATGTTGGCAGCGAGAACCTAATCTTAACTCCAGTATCTAGGTTAGGACTTATCTATATATACCTTATTATCTTCAGGCTGACTTGAAGGTCGCGCAATCTTCCATATCAATACTACATCATACCATGATTCTTCTCTCATTACTAAGTTCTTCGACTGCGAGCCAAGAGCCCAACCCAGATGCCCCGAAATACGACAAAAACCAGAGCCCCCATGCTACACGCAAGCATAAAATATTGACTCATCGCGGGCCAAGTCATCCACACAGTATTTGAGCCGCTCACTCGTCTAGGATTTCGTCCCTTCCTCCCGTCCCTCTTCCATAGATTCTACAAAGAACAAGAACCCTCACAGCTAAAGTGGGCGCAACCAGGCAACACGACCATGCAGGAGTGCGAGGAGCATGGACGATTTATTTCATTATTAAGCTCTTTGACCGCAAGTGAAAAGCCCAACCCAAATAGCCAAAAATACAACAAAAAGCTGAGCCCCCGTGCTGTATACTTAGTCTAACAGAATAAAACACAGCAAATGATCTCAATCCACCAAAACCCCCACGACCATAATCAGCGTGACCAGGCAACACGGCCATGAGGAGGCGTGAGGTGCAGGCACGCCCCCAGACCATGAGGAGGCGGAGGTGCACCCCCAAGACCATGGGGAGGCGGAGGTGCACCCCCCCAGATAGTGAGGAGGCGGAGATGTTTCCTAAGCGACCATCCGACTCTTTTTCCTTGTTTGGGTAGAATCGAGTGTGGTGGCGCCGACCTGACTTAGTCTGTAAGGTCCATTTCGACCCGGCCGTTTTCATCGCGGCTCTTTGAGCACGCCTTTTTTCTTCCTATGCGTGATCGGGGAGAATACTTAGAAAGCGGGATCGGGGGCGTATGTAACGCGCGAAAAGCCACCGGCATCGTGGCGGCGGGATCAGGTGTCAAGAATGTTGTGACGGAGGTGTGCGTGATGGTGCGGTGCGGCGAAGGGGCACGAAAAAGTGCACCCGCCCCCCCCAGATAGTGAGGAGGCGGAGGTGCACCCCCCACGACCCTGAGGAATTCCAGGGTCTGGGCTATGTCACGCAGTACCTCTGCGAGCTTCGGCAAATTTGTATACTAGGTTTGTCCTAAGGGTTCAGTAAATGACTGCATGTGGTCACGGTGGCCTGCGATCTCGAGCAGAACATTGGGCTTTGTTCGTGAGGCGGAGGTGCACCCCCTATTCCAATCTGCAAATCTCCCCTAAGAGCTGTACAAGGTCCAAAACCATGTGGTTACTGACATTGTTGCTCTCGGCTTCCTCCGAGTCCGTGTAGGTACTAATGTTTGTAGGTTGGTACAATTCGTCGAGGTGTAGCAGGTAAGAGTTGATTCGTCTTGTCGTTCTTCTTTTCGTTTCTTTGCACTGTTATCCCCCCCACGACCATGGTCGCCGCAACCAGGCAACCCATCCGGAGGTCTTATGCCAACTCGTCGCAAAGAGGGAAGCTCTTCCAGTTGTCCCACTAGTTTTCGATCGTCTCCGGCCATCACTGTTCCAAGGTCGTTGTGTAGACGCTCGGTTCGGCTCTTTCGAGCTCGCCCTCCATATTATCCCTTAGGCATAACGGATCTCACGGCCATAGGGAGGCGTAAGGTACAAGATCGGACCCCACGACCGAGGGCACCGAAACCAAGCAGCGACCCAAGATTCGCTTCTACAACATATCAACTACCCCTTCAGCTTAGCAGCTTACCATTCCGCTGTCTCCTGCAGGAAGTCTTCCGACGCAGTCTCGTATCCGTCACCAAGAATGTCGGCTGTGCCCGAATCCAGAGTATCGCCCCCGGTATGGCGTCTTTGACCTCGAAATGATCCAAAGTGCCACTCGAGGGATCGCTCAGTGGGGCTCAAGCGACCCCATGGGGAGGCGTGAGGTGCAGGCCCCCGGTCGCCACCAGGACAGTGCTAACTGGAGAACCTGGCTGCTTTACGTCTTGGCTGCCTCTTTAGCAGCAATATTCGCATCCTTCTTTTCGGAATTCGTCTGCTTGCCTGAAGCTTTGTTCAGGTCTACTTGTCGTTGGGCAACTTCCCGGGGAGCGATGGCCCCAACACCATAGTCAGCACAACCAGGCAGCACGGCCATGGGGAGGCGTGAGGTGCAGGCCCTCCGCGACCATGGGAAGGGAGCCACTGCTGATATTACCAAACCCAGGCCATGTTCTGACGATTTTAGTCGTGATCTCGTATGTCCCTGGCGGAGTAGGATTCTTCTTCCTGACCTTCACTGCCTTGCCGTCTTGCGGGGGCTATATGAACTCGCAAACTGGTAGACTGTCCAACTCCCCGCATTGCGAGCGAAGGACCCAGTACATACGAGGGTCCTCATCAAGACGAGTCCGAGATCGCCCGAGACGTGAGCTTGGCACGAGACGCGGACGACCACATAGTCACCGCAACCAGACAACGACCCCATGGGGAGGCGCGAGGTGCAGGGCCCCGGCCTTCAACTTCATGTTCGAGGTCGCCAACGAAGATCGAGTACTCGGGGCTACGATCGTCTCGGCGATCAACGAAACCACCGCCGGACGCCGAGGTCAATCGGAAGACGCTCGGTGTCGGGTGTTCACCACAGCGAAACAGTGGTGGCTGAGGACGAGTGACTGGGATCGGAGAAGCCAGGGTGTCGATGGATGACAGAAGAGCGGCGAGCGCGACTGTGAGATGATAAAGCAAAAGAGTACACAGGCGATAGAAAGGTACTGAGCGTGGTTTCATGTTAGTCCGCGCCTAATATCTCCTTAACATCAGCGTCCGCGGCTCTCGTTCAAATCTGGTGAGTCGGTCGGTACCGACAAAAGCTGGTTGCTTCAAGAGTTTTGCCTCTGGACAGGAGTTCCGTTGAGCTGCAAAGCTCTTTGCACTGCGTCGGCGTTGCCAAATTCAACGAAGCAGTGGCCGGCAAATCGACCCCGGAATCGTCCGCGACGACGAAATCGACAAGGTGATATCCGTGACCGCCGCCGGGTCGTTGCTTAGGAGGGGAATCCGACCGTCCGCGTCGCCCGGTTGCCGTCTCTTGAATTGCCGCTCGAGTTCTGTCCAAACGCCGTAGAATCAGTGAAGGATCGAAACATCTCGGAAGAAACCTCTCCGCATTGATAATAGGTGTCGTTGACACCCTCGAAGCGGGCAGGCCTGAACTTTGACGTCCTGTCTACACTTGTCGTCTCTGGAGATTGCCCCTTATTTTGCGGCGCTACTATCGTATTTGCATTAGTCAGGCCTTAAACAAACATGAAGCAGGATCAGGATTGGAGTTGGTGTAAAGAGATTGGATGCGCGAAGCTTCTTACCCAGAATGACCTCACAGAGTACGGCTTGAGTAATTAAAGCCCTGACCTCACTTCGGTACTTGCATCGCAGTCCGCAATGGAGCAGTCACTTTATGAGTGATCCGAACGCTGGCACCATGCGTACGACAACACCTGGCTGTGGCGCTCCCGTCTCGAATGATCTTGACCTGGGCATTCTCAGACGTGGCCACGAGGGAACGCAACTATGGGGCGGGGCGAAATGCAGGCACCCTACCGGTCATAGTGCAGCGACGATTCACCACTGACGCGAAACGGGAGACCCGACCAGGGCTTAGAGGACCACCAGAAACACTTCCGAGATCCAGATCGCGATCCAGATTCCTTGCAGGAAGTTGGCCCGCTCCCACATCATATATCATTCTTCTGCAGACCCCTCATCTTTCGGACCGGCGCCTCGTTCTCTTGGTTTCGGTTCCTAGAGACTGACATCAGTTTGTGTTACTGATAGGTGGACAGGATAGAAGGGGTAAAATCTTACTGCTCCGGGTCAGATCATTGCCAGTATCGGTAATCGAGGTCGAGGTGTCCGTGGTAGCCACGTTGCCCCACATCACCAATTGAGCTTCAAGCTTGCCCGCGCGACTCGGGTTCATAAGTGCTCTAAGCCCCCCTCCCTACTTGTTCTCAACAGTCTCATCCAGGTACTGCGAGGCTCCTGCTCTACCGAATTTCCAATGGCCATCACCCTTGGAGTCGCGTTGGGTGGTGACCAGACCGCCAGGTATCTTAGCCGCCAGTTCGCACTCGGAATCACTATTGTCATTGCCTCTGTCCTTCACCGTGACTGGCACGGCCATCTACAGCGCGTACCGCAGACGGTCGAGATCATGTCCCCATATGGGGTGTGCGAGGATAGTCCTGGTGGTGGTCCAGTACTTGCCCCGGATGCCCTTCGGAAACGAGTGAGGCCCCGGGATGCCACAGACAGTAATCGAGGTGCGGCTTCTTCTGGACTCGGTGTACCAACCCTCTTCGGCTGTGCACCGTTGCGCCACCTGGTCGTCTCTGAAATCGTTCATGTACGAATCGTAGACGTCTAGCCGAATCTTCTGGTCGCCACGAAGATCTGAGGCTCACCAAAGACAATCGGCTATCACCGTAGGTTTTGTGACTACAGTCGTGGCTAAAGACAAAGCTGCCATCGTCAGATCTGCCAAAGAGATATGGCGTCAAGCTCTGCGCCACCACTGCGAACGATCCAGCACAAACCCTTCCTATCATGCATTGTCCGATCGTTGCGGCGTCAACCAGCTAAGATCCGTCTGCTTCTACACTTCGAGGCAGAGGATGACACTCGATTCTTTGGCCTGAAGGTTCTCCTCGTGAAGTAGGCAAAGAGTCCAGAAAGAAGCAGAGCCCATACAGACAGCTTGAAGCAGTCCCGCACTCGGACAGTTCTAACTCTCCTGTCAGATAGATAGCTTTTCTTGAAGGACCAGATGGATGACCCCAAGGTCATACCGCCGCAACAACGGGGATGGGCCCGTGAGCGGGACTGACTGTACTTATTATCTTGAGACCTCCACAACCCTGCGATACAGAGGCTCTGGGAGGCGTGGTTTGCACTACTGAGGAGCTACCCCCCACGTTAAATACAATCAATCAATCAATAACTCTCCTGTCAAAGCTTTGCATTCGCTGATTTGACTCTGAATCTGTAGTGTCGTTGGAACAGTTTCATCTTTGAAGTCCAATAGACTGAGATGGCTTCTCTAGGAGCTGGATCGAGAACCGGCACCACTGATTCGGATTTGGTGCAGTCTGGGTTTCTCTGGCGGCCGTTTTGTCCGAGAAGCTACAAACGCCCGAGATTGGTATGTCTTCATAACGAGGTACCAACCAGATACAGCTGATTGCTTGGTGGAAAGCATCCATTAGTCCGGGCAGCCAGGTGTCGTCCCACTGCTGGTTTTTGCTGTATGGCAAGGGACCACAGGCTCCAGCATCTCGGGAGCCGGTGCTGGTGTTGCTGATGATACAACTGTCGCAGTGGCCTGTCGCTGGTGACCGCAAGCAGCAGCAGCCGCGAGAAATGCGCAACAAGGAAGGGCAGGCGGCCCACTGTCAAACTCGCCGCGGTTCTCGACTGCCGGCACGGTGAGTTGTTTACCAGCATACGACGCGTACCTGAAGAGCGAGGGCAGCTGTGTCAAGAAGTGCATCTGTGTACTCTTCCTGGTGGACTTGTTGGTTGTTCTGAAGCAGGACACGGCAGAGCCTGAATTGATTCCACAACATTGATACCATCTATCAATCTGCTGGGTTGGGAACATGAAGTCTGAAGCAGGACATCTGGCGGAAACTCTTCGAATCCACTCTGAAGTAGAGCAATAGTCGTGACTGTTTTTCCGGAAGACGGCAGATCTGCAAGCACGCCCTCACGCACGGCCGATGGCCTGAAACTCATCGGGAGGGCAAGCCACCATGCAGCGGTCAAGTTGTTGCCCGCGAGCGAGCGTTTCGTCCATTCATGATGGCACTGCTCTGGTGAGCAGCCCGCACCATGGGTTATCCGTCATGAGGATGTGTCGCTCACGGGTCTGATCAAGGGACCCGAACTCTCAGGTGGGCAGATTTGGGAGTGCTCTGGTGCCGCGTGCGTAGCTGTAGTTAATCGCGAAATTTACGACCAGCCCTGGCAGGCACGGTCCATTGCGATGACTGCCATCGAACAAGCCGGTATCCTCTGTCGTATTTGCCAGCTTCTGATGACTTCATACTCAGACCGCTGTGACCACCTTCTCTAGCCTCTTCTTTCATCCGATGTTGACTGTCACGGTGACTTACCGCTTACCGTCCAGACGGTTTCATCTGATTTATCGCCATTCCGACGTGGTCAGCGGGAGGAAGCTACTGATAAGCATCGCTTTTTGACCGCACACCACCCATGCAAAGCATTGGGATCGTCACGACGACGACGTCTGAAGCAGGCACGTCCGCCCAAGAGTGGCGACTTGTGCGGTTCTGGTCTTGGTAGGTGCAGAGTAGTGCTTGCCATTGCGTTCGTGTACCACAGCGCGGCAATGATCACGGCTGGGGCATTCCTCTATGACCTGAAGACGGCGACCATGGTCTCCGAGTCACGGGTGGTGATCTGGTTGGTACCCTCGTTGGTAGGTGCCATCTTGAGTGGGAGGAAAGGCAAGGTAAAGGCTGGTTCTCATCTCTCGTATGTTGAACAGCAAGTCGCTGGATTGAGATACCTCGAGTCATAATGGGATGACGATATCGGCGATCATGAAGGTGATCATGTGAGCAATCATGTCGGTGATTATGTCGGGGCTCTTCTTGACGAATGCAGTGGTTTCATAGCGGTCGATTCAACCGATGGGGGATGATGTCTAAGCCTTGCGCCTTGTTCTGTGTAGAGATGGTTCAGCTTGCGATCGCCATTCTCAAGTTGCCGATTGACTGCGATGGTGGTTGCACTTACTGGTTCATGTTCTCGGTCATATTACCAATCGTGATGGTAGAGCTGGTGACCGCGATGGCAGTGCCCGTGGCTACCTTCATTGTTGCGTTCAACGAGTGTTGAGCGTAATGTGGCCAAGGCCAAGGGCGTCGGAGCCGCGTTAGCAACGCGGCCAAGGGTGACCAGCGGCTGCTGATGTGGCGACTTAGCCGATCACGGTGTTTGCAGACCGTGATGCCGGAAAGTAGATTGCGCGTTGGGAAGTGTGATTATTGAACAGCACCAAATTTGGTTGAAGCAAGGTAACATGATGCCCGTATGTTCTTTCGTCTGATGATAAAGATGTCAGTGACCTGATCCACGTGAAGATGTTCATAGAAGAACTGGCTGGGATGACTGACTAAGTTGGGTGAAAGAGAGGAACAAGGTAAGGGAGGCAAGCGTGATGGGACGATTGGTTCGTGGAACATTCCAGGTGTGAAAAATTCCTTCAGTTTTCGTACTGAAAGTAAGCCTGGCTGTGTGCATAGCCAGGCAAGTCTGCTTTGCGCCAGGCAACGAGTATTGTTGGCCCGTGCGGGGTTGCTATAGAGCAAAAGGGGGTAGGCCAATGGGGCTATTACGACAGGAGCTGAGACAACTCTCCAATTTTGATTAATTCTAGTGCACAATAAAATCTCGTGTGGTGTACTCACTTGATCTCATGTGTCAACTGTAGATATTTTCTAGGTGAGCTTGGCACATTCAGGCACTCTTGAAGCATTGTCAGCGCTCCTTCTCGTTGTCGGAAGTACTTCACCCATCCCATTTATTTTTGTACCGAACCCACATAAAGGCAAGGTGATTACGTCCCTTCTGTGTGTGCTCGAGCTTCGGTTTGTGACTCTAGACAACGATGGCCCCTGCTAATCTGTCGGGTAATCATCATCCAACTAAAGACGTAGCGATAATGTCGAATGGTGATCTTTGTCAACAAGCAAAACGGATGAAGGACGAGTGAAAGGAAGTGCTGAGTTTGCCTGGGGCGGCCTGGGCGGGAGGATAATGGAAAGACCAAGGCGTTCACCACGGCAGCAAAGCAGCAGGGCAAAGTGAAACAAGGACGAAATGCCCAGAGGTTTGGCTAAACAAAAACAGTTTTGTCTTGCAATGATGGTATGGGGAAGGTGCTTGAGAGGATGTGTGAGCTTGTGAACTTGCCTGACTCTGGATATGGCCAGGTGGCCACTGGCAAACTTATGTGGGAGTCCACCTGCTTCTGAATTAAAGGGATTGCTTCTCGTCCCATCTGGCTCTCCCTAAGGAGCCAAGGAAGGGTGGCTCGTTGCTTCCTAATATACAACGCGCCTTCCAAACGGGCACATGTTGTTAAACAGTGTGTATTATGGTTGATCTGGTTGATAACGTGTATTCTGGTGATTCTGGTTAGAGTGTTGTGTCTCTGTGAAAATCCTTCTGTGGGCTAGGTGGCCTAAAAATTCCCTATTGGCCTTGTTGGTGCACTGCCACCTCCCTAAACGCCACGGTGGCTTGTGCGCCATTCAACACATGTTCCAGTACTCATAGAAGGGCATGTAGTCCACTCCTTCCAGCTAGACTTACGTCATCTATATAGAGCGCACGGACTCTCTCGCCAACCAATGAAATGTCTCGGGACAAAACGCTTGGACCAGTATGGGAGGACCGTACTGTGCGACCTGGTCTCAAGCCACCAGAACCAGCCCTTTCCGCACAGTGAAAGGCCACCACCTCCTCCATTGTTCAATCCCATTGTGACTCGTCAACTTACACAGCAGCTGCCTCAGACCAGCCTGCCTCAGATATTGATATTATATATACTGCGAAGTCTTCATTCCAAACTGTCATACGATCCTCAATTCGCCATCACCTGCTCGTGTCATTCCTTCGGCCAGTCGCAGTCACCAGCCCAGGTAAGTATCACATGGTTTAAGCGACGAGGTAAGGAACGAGGCAACTAACTGAATCTATATCCAGGTCATAGCATATTTCACCTCCACCAACTCTATTCTGAGCAATGGGTGGTCTCGCTTTTGCTTCGGGCCCTGCCCCTTTACACACACCTCGTATGACTCCCGAGGTGTACCGAGTCGTCCGAGAACAGTGCTGTGACAAACTCAGACAGTTTTTCGATATCGTTGCAACGCCCATTGAAGGACCCGAGAAGAAAGACTTTGGAGACCTTGACTTCTTCGTCGCTCTTTCCAATCTGAATGAATACCCTCCCGAGAAGCCGGCCCAGGTTGCCATTGAACTTCTGGGCGCGGTTCGGCACAAGATGGAGCAGGCCAAAGTCGTCGCCATGGCCATCCCCTACCCCGAAGAACTTCATACGGGCTCCGAGACTCCCCAGTACATTCAAGTCGACGTACACATCTACCAGGATCACCGCGACGTCGAGTGGATGCTTTTCAAGCACGCCCACGGAGACCTCTGGAACCTCCTCGGCTCGTCCATCCGCCACCTGGGTCTCACGGTGGACGAGCAGGGCCTCTGGGTGCGCATTCAAGAGGTCGAGCACCAGAACAAGAAATTGGCCAGAGTTCTACTGACCCGGAAGCCATCCGAGATTCTGGAGTTCCTCGGCCTTGCAGCCGACGGCGGCCAGTGGACGACGCCTTTCAAGAGCAAGGAAGACCTCTTCGAGTACGCGGCCAGCTGCCGCTTCTTCTGGGTCCGGCCGGCGAGATCGGACGAAGACGCCACCGGAGGTAGCGAGACGGACAAGGCCAAGCTGAAGGCCAACGACCGACGACGCATGAAGCAGCGCCCCCTGTTCCGGCAGTGGACCGAAGAGTTCATGCCCAAGTGCCGGGAGGAAGGCCGCTTTTCCGAACCTAGAGCTACACGAGAACAAGTACGAGAAGAAGCATTCGAGCGATTTATTGGCTCAAGAGAAGCGTACGACGCGCGCCTACTGGCTTGGCAGATCCAACGACAACGAGAGACACTCTGGAACGGCATAATCAAGCCCTCCCTGCCTGACTGTCTCGAACAGCAATACCGAAGCCTGGTTGCCTCCGCCCTGAAGAAGATCATCCTGAACGGCGACACGTCGTTCATCATCCAAGCACCGGCCGACCTCAAGGACGCCGACGGTCTATTCAATGAGGACAAGGTCAGGGACTGGGTCTTAAACCACTGGAAGGCAGTTGGAGACGCAGCCGCCGCCATTCACGCCCAGAGATTTGCCGCATCCAAAGCCAAGAAAGAGAGCACTGATACCAAGCGAACGGTCTCAGGCTCGAAGAAGGTAGCGGATGAGACCGTTTCAGACGAGAAGGTCTCAGACGAGAAGGCCACAGACGAGCAGGCTACAGACGAGAAGGCTAAAGACGAGAAGGCCTCAGACGAGAATGAAAGAATACATGCGTGTCGGCTCAAGGGCTACGCGAGGTCTTGTTAATGATTGAGCGAGCAATGTTCATGTTGGAGATACGCAAATGACAGTTTCCGTTCCACGAATGCTTTTTGTCTTCTGTGGCGCTCAAATTACACTGCTAGATGAACGTCACGAAGGCTCCCCAGGACAACCTGTGGCCAATTCGTCTTCCGCTAACTTACACTTCCGTCTTCTCATTACCCGTTGCCTTACTCACTGCATCCAATCTACCTGTGACTCGTCCGGGATGAAGTGGAGGTCCCCTCGCTTCTAGAGCTTGAAGTCCCCATTCGTCTTCTCCCAGCCCTGCGCCGACGGCTGCATGTCCGCCACGCGCTCCGCCAGCTTGACCTTCAGACCCTTGGCCCTCTCCGTGCAGAGCTCGTACATAGTCGTCAAATTAAAGAGCAAGGTATGAGACGTCAGGCCCGCCTCGGCTAGACCCTCCAAGATATCGCGACCCTGCGAATCCAAGCGTCAGTAACTTGCTCGTGATCGATCTCAGGTAAAGGTATGGGAGGGGAGAACTCACTTCAGGCATCTGTCCAGTGTAGAGCAAGCAGACGGCAAGGTTGACCCCAACCATCTCATCCCGAACCCCATTCTGCTCCATCTCGGCCTGCAGAGCCTGCCACTTGCCCAGCGCGGCTACGTACTCGCCATCCGCCATATCAGCCAGCGCACCCACGACCCTTGCGCCCGTCTCGCCCGCCTGTCCATCCCGCACACACCGCGTGGCCGCCTCCACATCGCCCAGGTGCAGCCACAGCAGCGCGCGACTCGTCGCCAAGCGGCCCCCACCCTTCTCTGGCAGCGACGCCAGGTGCTCCGCCGCGGACGCCAGGTCGTCCATCTCGACCAGGGCGCCGGTGACCTTCACGCCGAGCTCCGCGAGCCTGCGTTTCCAGACCTCGGCCGCGCTGTGGTCGTGCGCCCTGCCAGCTTTCGCAATCTCGGCGCGCGCCTCCCGCGCCAGCTCATAGTAGCTCATCACCGCGCCGCGCGGGTCGCCGAACCCGATCGTCTGCAGCCGGACCGCCAGGGTACGCAGCTCCCAGGGGACCAGGTGCGCGCCGCTGAGCGGGTCGAGGTAGAAGGCCGAATTCAGATCCTCGAGCGCCTTGGCCTCCTGCGCGGCGAGCGGGACCGCGTCGATGAGGCAGAGGCAGGCTAGGCGCGTGTACAGGAGCTCGAAAATGCGGGCGTGGTCCGTCGGGTCTGCGGGTGGGTGTGCCGCGGCTGTTGTTGCTGATACGGGACTGCTGGTTAGAGCCTGCACTGCGGCGATGGCAGCCGCGCGAAAGTGCCCGCTGGACAGGAGGTCTGGGATAGGGGTTTCCGGGGCGGGTTGCCGCGAGGGTGTGCGGAAGGGGGCTGGGATGGAGAGGGGGGAGATTTGGTGGTAGATCTCGGGCTTTAGGAGGAACGAGAAGTCCTTGGATGTCAGGGGCGCGTCTGATGATGACGAGGGCGGTGCTGCTGCTGTGGGCCGCGAGGGCGAGCGGGCCTGTGGTGTGCTGATTCGGGGGCTTGCATGCTGGCTTGCGCTGAGGCGGTTGGTTTGTGGTGATAATGGGGAGGCCAGAGGAGCACTAGGTCATGGGGATCAGTGCTGTAATCAGGGCAATCGAGCTGGCACTGGATATCATAGCTTACTCGTCCACATCAAGTGGTCCCTTCGTCGACGACCGAGGCCGCGAGGCTAGAGATCGGAAGATATCAGTGAACTGCATGTTGAGTTGGAGGTGTGTCCGGTCTTCGGGAGGGTGTCGAGAACAGCGTCGAAGTCGCGGGGAAGTAAGGGAGCGAACATAGAGGGAGGGGCATCTAATGTTTCATTTTCATGGCCTATCAGTAGAAAGGAGCCTTCCTGGTGCTTCAATCCGACTCCTTCCTTCATTCATATGGCTGTGCAGTGTCCGGTTCAATGTTGGGTTGTTCCAGGCCTCGGGCCTGCAGCGAGCACCCAGGCTCATCTTCAATCGGGGACAACATTGAATCAACAGGCAATATCACTCACGTCTTGCGCCCGACTTATTCCTCGAATGGCCCCTCGAAAGCCCTGCCTGCTGCGATTGATCCATTATTAGTCGGATGACCTATGTAGTCTAGTTCGAACATTGAGATGGCAAGAAGAAGGAGGCATCTCATGAGACGAAATGACGCTTATTGCATTGACCGGCAAAACCTCGGCAAATCTGCCCGTCCCAACTTCACCCGCATTTTGGCCGCACGACTCCTGATGACTCCTGATGACTCCTGATGACTCCCGCAGACCTCGACACAGTCACCAGCCGGCTCAACCCTTCCCGCTGGTGAACTTGCCAAGGTAAAACGTGCGACCATCTGAGCCATTTTGACATGCACTCCTGGCCTTTGATCCACCCAGCCCCACAATCAAAATCCGCCGTCGTCGACCGACCACAACACATATCAGTGACCCAAGAGTAGAACTACAGCTGGTCCCTATCTCTCTAGGATCACGCGGCGAGTTATGCCACTGTTCGGCTTCATAAAGTTCTAGTTTCACCACAAGTACTCGTAAATATGGCACGTAGCATCATTGAGGCATTAATTGGGCCTTAGTGATTTAGCTGCAACATCACCCATAGTTAAAGCGAAAGGGTCGACCACGGCGGCCGCGGAAGACATGAAACCAGACACCTCTTTCCACGTGCCATTGCGTCCCTTCCCCTCTCCCGAACTCCGCCACTGGCACTCAGTCTGCGATGAACTGCTGCACCTTCGCGACTGGGCCTTCAGCATAAGGCAGTACTCTTCGTCCACCGAACACTCGTTGCTAGGGAATTGCACGGAATTTTCTGGGATTGACGGTACCATCCAGCTAGGGCGGGTTCCATGGTATTCGTAAGTCAGTCTTCTATGGCTCTTCGCGAAGGCCTTCATGGCGCGGGTATTAGCTTCCAAGGCCGTGGTTATAATGACCATCACCTTCTTGAATGGTTACTAGGCGGCTGGGGCTGTAACCTAGTTCGAAACTCCGGTGGTGTGCCAGAACCGAGTCATCATGGTCACAGATGACGCTCGCTGCCATGGTGTTGAGTTGAGCTTTGGCTGTGTCCTCGTGTGGGTCCTGGATGTCAGATGACGGCGACCAACAGTACCCGATCATTGGGCACCTTGTTCATATCCTCGAATGGTTTGGGCGATACTAGTCTGGAGACGAATATCGACCGGGCCGATGTTGCCCCATGTCCTTCTTCCAGTTGGGATGCTTGAGTCACCGACCTGGTTATTATTATTGATGTTCGAGGGCTCGAACTTCTCGTTATCATCGGACTCTTCATCTTTTTCTATGGGATCATCATCGTGCTATGTAGGTTTATCGCTTCTTTCATACCCGGACTCAATATCCACAAACGGGTCGGGACTCGACTTTCATCATCTGTATGGTCGTAACCCTCATCATCGCTGCCGCCTTAATCCTCGTCGCCAGTATGCTCGTCGCCACCATTGCCGGGGCCTCGACCTTCATTTTATGTTCGCCGTCTTGGCCGTCGGTGCGGTCTGGGTCTGGGTAGTTGATGTTCCCTGATGGTCGGGCTCGCTTTTTCCTATGTTGCTTCAACTACCGCCTGGAAATTCATGGTCTGCCGGCTCTGGTAGTACTGGGTTAGTTTGATAAACGTAAATAAAACATGATGATTGGAAACTAACCATTTGCAGTCGCTTCTGTAGTCGCACCTTGCCCGTCTGCTTCCCTCGGTGTATCGTTGGGGTTTTTTCCGGAGATCATCGTGTTCTCGGGTGGGAGTCGATGTCTAGGTCTCTACGATTGGCCTGCTCCTGTCGTTCGGGGTGAGAAAAGTCGCCGTCACTGTTGCTATGTTTAGCAATGTCTTCTTGGCTGGACTCCTCGCTCGACTCCTCGCCTGGATAGCCTGTGTTTTCTGCATAGCGGTATGCCTGGGAGGTTGAGGTGTGCTCTGCTGATGACTCCGGGCTCGCGGCGTGATATTCGCCTGGGCAGCCTGTGTTTCCTGCATGGCGACAGGCCTGGGCGCTTGCCATGTGTGCTGTGACAGGGGAACCTGCAGGGATTGCGGTGCCTTCCGCTTCCGGGTAGGTCTCGGAGGTTGAAGGGCCTCCATGGCGCGAGTATTGGCCTCCACGGCCGTGGTGAAACCTGCGCGGCGGGTATGTCAATCATCGCGTAGGATTCCGGGTGGTTCTCGCTGAGTATTGATCGATCTGATCCTTGTCCTTGGTAATACCAAGATCCGAATATAGTCTCCTTCGTGGCCGGTCCGTCCAGGATCTCCTCGACATGCCTTTTTCGGTGTCTCGCATGTTGCCATCAGCACCAACGCAGAGCAGGGGGTAGAAAAAGATACGTTTTGGAAACGTCGGCCGGGTGTTGTCTCTTGAGATTCCGGCTCATCTTGCAGTAAAAGGGGAACCCGTGACGATGGATCAGCAGTGCCGAGATGCTCACTGTGATGAGACAGTGGTTGTAGAGGGGACGAGTGACTGTGGAAATGGAAGGTGTGGATGGATGACAGAAGAGCGCCGAGCATGATAGTGAGATGAGAAAGCAAAGGATTACACAGAGGACAGAGAGGTGTTGAGTGCGGTTGCATGCTAATCCGCGGCTATATCTCCGAAGAGTGCGACTATTGTACAAATTAAAAAGGTAATCCGAATATGAGTCGTTCGTGATGACGGTCTTCCTTGGAGGCCCTGGTTCAAGGCTATTCCGGAATGAAGCGAATATTAGCGTCCGCGGCGGCGCTGGTTGGGGTAATCGTCACCCGTCTTCTTGTACTGAGCAAGATGGTCCTCAAACTGGGCAAGCTAAGCCTCGAGCTGCGGCTTCTAAAAGCGTTAGGTCCGCTGGTTAACGTATGACATTCACGTCGACGAGCTCGTCTAAGGGTTTGACCCTGTACTGATCCACAATGGAAGTGTTCCTTGATCTTTGTGGTTGAAGGAGTACGGGGCAATGGGCTTGTGGTGCGCGAATTTGTCCTGTTCAGAGGTTGCGCTAGCTACATGGGTGCTGATGACGAGGACACAGGCCATGGGGATAGACTGCGAACTGGTCATGATGATTCCGTTCTCATCTACGCGCTGTTCGGCCTTTTCGGTTCTTGTAGCGCCGATTCCCACCGGGAGTCCGAGAGCGGATGAGTAAGGCGCAATAGGTTTCTCTTCGGCCTTGGGTTCAGCTTAGAGGCGCTGGTGTGCAGGTGACTGATTAGCAACGAAGTGTAGAGGTAGAAAAGCGGGTAAAATTGAGGTTGTCTTCGAATATATAAGACTTGGTGGCTGGCAGTCCGAGTAATTAATGATGGGAAGAAAGGAGAAAAGTCTGGACTGAGGGAGATCGACCCAATATATAGACTTCGCAACCCAGGATTTCCTGCAGCTTTCAGATAATTCCGCATTCAAAAAATCTCGGCGTGCCAGTCTGAGCTCTGTTTGCAAGTAGATGACCTAGGCTGACGGCTTGCAAGCCAAGTGTCACGATCAGATGGATCAAAGTCGGACACCTTCTCATCTGTCTACTGTCTGGTTGCTTTGTTACACTATGTAAATCTAACCAACTTTGCTACCCCTATCTTCTATTACAAACTCACCACAGGGGTGGTTTGCACCCTGACAATGCGATTGCATTGTGGCAAGCATGGAAAACAGCATCTTACAACACTCTCGTCAAAGCTCGATGCTTCTGTTTGTCTGTTCCCATGTTTGCCATTGACGTCCAGGGTCAGCGTGTTTGGAAAAGGAGGAACATGTTTGAATTCGATCGATCGTAATGACGAGGGAGAAGCAGATCTAGCTCTGCATCCTAAGAGGTTTCTACTCACCGTAGAGGAAAGTCCCCCCGGGTTCAGGGACGTATCGCCTATGGTGTAATCTAAGTGGTCCACTCGAGTTCGGATGTACCAGGAAACATCTCCTGCCATGAGGCTACTAGTTTCTCGAAGGATATGCTTAGCCTAACCCACGAGAATTACACGTCCAAACGGACGGTATATTCCAGCCCCATATTGCGCCGAGGTTCTACGGACACCAGCAGGCCATGGAATGGAGCGCCCATTCAAGCAGCTGGGTATAGCACGCGTAAACTGGTATCCTCAGAAGACATCCCCCGAGCTTGCCATAGTATTCTGGCCTTGCCGCATTCCGGATTCTTACTTGGATTTTGGCATGCTCTGGGATCACGTCGAGTGGCATAGGCCGCCGCGTGCAACGCATGGACACCAGCGTATTCTCCCAAACAGCTCTTGGGCTTCAGCTCATTTACAGCTGGCCTGGCAGAATGGTACTCCGAGCAATGAATAGGTTCCTATGCCAGGTGCCACGAGGGGTCGCTCGGCCAGTGACGAGGAGGGAGGCTTCGACGTACAGGTAGCACAGTACGTTGGTTTGGTGGTGGAGACGAGTAACTTATAGTCGGGGAGTGGTGGTCACTGGTGGTCACCTGTCATGGCTAGATTGGCCTAGGGCCCTTGCTTTCGGGCTGTTATATTCGGAAACCACGCTCATCGCTCACGACACTGAAGTCACCATCACACTGCCGATTTCCAGGCAAGCGCCCCTAGCACGTAGTATAACTCAAGGGTTGGGTTTTGGCGTCGAGACTACTAGAAATGGGTTCAGGGCTTCAAACCCAGCAGACGAATCGCTCAATCCGTACTTCGGCATGTTTTCGAACTCAAACGTCGAACTTGCAGCCAAGTGCAAGTCAAGTCCTCGTTTCCACACAGATTACCCGAGCTGTGTTGCTCATCACAAGACGTTGATACATAGGTAACGGTGCTGGTTTCGGATCCATAGTATGACTAACGAAGCGTTCGGCTACCGTATAGGTCTCTCACGTCTTGTCACGCCGCTGAGCATTCGCCGGATCCTCCGGACAGCCAGGGACAGCATTCCTCAGTGACTGTCAGGGTTTACCAACAGCCCACCTCCCGAGTCAGCCTACCGAAGGCAATGACGGGCCAACCAAGCTCCGTGGAATGATGTGGTGGAGGATGTGTTGGTTGCTGACGTTGTCCCATGACTTCGGTTGGAAGGGAACGCATCTATCTCCCCGCTCGCAGGCTTGGACTGGCGCAATAGTCTCTTAAGCTCCGCATCCGCGCTGAGCCTGCGATTATAATCGATATCAGAGTGAGCAAGAGACCTCCATCGTGGGCGCAAGGAGCGCATTGCAGCTGTGGCGCCGCCACACACAACGAGAGTCGGTGCTGGGACTTCACCGATACCTCACCGGTGAAGTGGCCAGCAGGGGCTACGACGCCGGTTATGATGAGCGGCGCATGCGCTGGTACACTTCCCGAGCTTGTTTGGCAGAAGTTCACAGCACACGAAAGTAGCCCGTGAGTCCTGGCTAGATCGTGGTCGATGCCGTATTGCCTGAATGTGATCAATCGTAACGAGGGCTAGGATTTAGTGTTGGTAACGTACCATCGAAAGACATACCCAAAAAGAGACAGAAAAGGGGGGGTGGGACACCTACAAGTGAGGCTACTTGCACACGAATGGATAGCGTGCAGTAGTTCAATCAGTAGCACTCCAACGCACGGCAAAGAAGGGATGGAATTGGCGAATTGTAACGACTGAAGCCATCTCGGTGGGTTCGATGCTGCGCGGGCCGTGAAAGGGCAGCCCGGGAAGGATTCCTGTAACAAAAACGGGGACCCTCGTTATCGCCTTACGAGGTTATGTTGGGTCTAATTGTGGATGCAAGAATTCCAGACTGCAATCGGCCGGCCACCGGCAGTCCTCGGTGTGGATATATTACTTAATATACCCTGCCGATACCAGCGACATAAACCACCCGGCCATTTGCAGAATTGGTATGTACCGAGACAGTGTCTCGGTAGATACCAAATACCTCATCGCACGCGCAGTGACGTCGAACATGCCTTTCGGCAATCGCATCGAACGCTGACAGCGGTGAAGAGATCCCGAAACTACGGTTGCCAAGAAGGGAAATGCAAAGCAGGAATCCCTTGTTTGGGTGGGACTAAGCCTGCGGGACTGGAGGCTAATAAGCTCGTATCCAACACTGCAGGCAGGTGTTGGTATCGGTGTTGTCACTGTTGTACTCCAATACGACGAACATCCCGCTTTCGCATTTCTGCCAGATTGGACAATGGGGTGAAGTGCCTCTAGGCAGTAAGCAGCGGCGTGGAGTCCTCCGTGGCGGCGATGACACCTCAGAAGTAATCAGTGATTGGACCTTCGGGAACCGGCCACGGTCAGGGCATAGATCTACAATCGTTAGCCGCCAGCCGCCTGTTCCTGTCAACTTCTCTCAGACTGGGATAACCATGCCTCGATCGCGATTTAAGGCTTCGTTCGTGGCGCTGGCCAGGATGCCACGCCTCACCTGCCTGCTGCATTCCGTGGAGGCTGCAGTGCTATGCGCCCACGAGGAACCTGCCTCTTGGCGGCATTCGTTTCATCGCTGTGGTTCTCTCAGCTCGTGGGCCCGCTCTACTCAGCTGACTGTGTCCCCATGCAGCGTGCCAGTCGGCCTTCTGGATACGAGCCTGCCCGCAGTATGCATATACCCAGAGGAGCGGACCCCTGTCCCATCGGGCCATTCAGCTCGCCCGATGGCACCCTAATCTGTCCCGTTTCTCGTCCAGCACCAACCATTCCCGCAGTACTGCCATTGCCGGCGTCCAACAGGGGGTGGGCGGCGAGGCGACGACGCTCAGCTCGCGGTGGGATAAAGTTGATCTCGGGTGCCCCTCGGGTTCGTCATGATGTCCTCGCAGGTTCATGTCGGTTCATGTCTGTTTCCGTTGACTTGAGCCCTACCGGTATTTCCCACTGTTGCCATCTGCGAGCATGGTGTCCGTTCGCTACTTCGCCGTTTCGGCGGCCCTGGCCGTGCTGGTATGAACACCCTTATCCATCAGCATCTGCATGTACTGATGAGGCGCAGGTAGACGCACAGTCGAGCATCGAGCAGCGTGCGGTAGAACTCCCAGATACGTGGAAGTACTATGGGTGCTACACCGAGGGAAGCAGTGGACGTAGCCTTTCGAACCAGCAGCCAGACAATGCGAACCTGACCGTAGAATCGTGCGTCGCGATATGTATCGACTCGGGCTACTCGGTGGCCGGTATGGAATATGGTGCCCAGTGCTTCTGCGACGACTTCGTTCGCGACGGAGCCAATCTCACCGCCGATGCCGATTGCAATATGGACTGTAGCGGCGACGCGTCTGAGTTCTGCGGCGCGGGGAATCGCCTATCAGTCTATTCCAACGATACCCTCGTGGTATTCCAGCCTCCCACTGCGCAGACGGCGGACCTCCCTGGCTCATGGGAGTACTATGGATGTGTCGTGTAGGTGTTTCTTGTGAAACCATACCCTCAGTATGCCGGGATTTTGACTGACTGGTGCGCAGCGACAACATCGACGGCAACATATTGCCTTATATGAGTGAAGATATCGATAACGCGACCATCTCGGCCTGTATCGAGGGCTGCAGCAGGTTCGGCTACAACGCCGGCGGTATCGAATATGGCTACCAGTGCTGTAAGCAGTCAAATCCGTGAAACCTCATCTGCCCGGATCTCGGAGAAACTGACCTCGTCCAATCCAGTCTGTGGTGACCACGGTAACGTGACTCTCGCGCCTGAATCCGACTGCAACGAAGCCTGCCCGGGCGATGCGCACCATCTCTGCGGTATGCCGACCTCAACTGTCGCCGTTTCCACGATCTGTGACTGACTTCCGATCAAGGCAGCGGCAACAGGATCTCATACTACACATGGACCGGAGCTCCATTGACAACATGGCAGACCGCCACGGGCGCAGCAGCAGGGCTGTATGAGTTCCTCATGTCCGCGCCCCTGGTCCCCCTGATCAGCACCGTGAGCATCAACGACAAGGTGGTGTTCGTAGAGAAGCACGGCACGCAGGTAAACAACAACAGCTCCGGCTCGTTCGAGTTCGACCCCACGCTGGCGCCACAATACGGGACCGCCTTCCGCGAGCTGCAGCTCAAGACCGACGTCTTCTGCTCCGCCTCGCTCGTCCTGCCCGACAAGGCCGGACGCCAGATCAACGTCGGCGGGTGGTCTGGCGACTCGCTCATCGGCGTGCGGCTCTTCACGCCCCAGATGGGCCTGGGCGTCAACGGGACCAATAGCTGGGAGGAGGACTTCACGGAGCTCGCGCTGATGGACGCTCGCTGGTATCCCACCGCGGTCATGTTGAGCAACGGCTCCGTGCTCGTCGTCCAGGGCGAAAACGGCTCGGACGGACCTATCGTGCCGACTGTCGAGGTTGTCCCACGACCTGCGGGGGTGACCAACTCGACCCATCTGGACTACCTGGAACTGACGGTTGCTGGAAAGATCCAGTCGTACCCCATGATCGCCATCCTGCCATCAGGCAACATGTTTTTCTCGCAATATAATAACGCCCGCATCATCTCGCAGACTGATTTCAGCCAGATCAGAATGCTCCCCCAGATGCCCGGTGCCGTGAATAACCCAGAAGCCGGGCGTAACTACCCCTTGCAGGGCACCATGGGTCTCATGCCCCAGTCCGCGCCGTACACGGATCCTCTGACAATCATCATCTGCGGTGGCACAACCGACGGCGCCAACTTCGGCCTCGACAACTGCATCTCGACGCAGCCGGACGTCCAAGGGTCCGAATGGACGATTGAGAGGATGGTGAGTTCTCCCTGGCCGTGCCAATTGACATCGCAAGGGCAAAATGCTAACGATGTCATCAGCCCACAAGACGCGTCGTCTCCTGCATGGTCAACCTCCCCGACGGGCGCCTAATAATCCTCAACGGCGCCTACAACGGACGCGCGGGCTTCGGCCTCGCCACGGACCCCAACCTGGGCGCCGTGCTCTACGACCCCTCGCAACCCGTCGGCGCGCGCATGACTTCGCTCAGCAGCTCGACCATCGCGCGCCTGTACCACTCAGAAGCCGTCCTCATGCCCGACGGCCGCATCTTGGTATCAGGCTCTGACCCGCAGGACCCCATCAACCCGGAGGAGTACCGGCTCGAGTACTTCTCGCCCGACTACATCCTGTCGGGCGCGGCGAAACCCACCTTCACCATCGCGGACACGGACTGGGCCTACGGCGCGACGGTGCCGTTCACGCTGACGTCGGCGTTTAGCGGTGAGGTCAAGGTGTCGCTGATAGCGGCCGTCGGGTCGACGCACGGGTACAACATGGGCCAGCGCACGCTGTTCCCGGCCGTCAGCTGCAGCGGCACGGCGTGCACGGTGACGGCGCCGCCCGATGCCCACGTCAGTCCCCCGGCCTGGTACCAGATGTTTGTGCTCGACGGGCCGACGCCGAGCCATTCTGTCTGGGTCCGCATCGGCGGCGATCCGGCCGAGCTGGGGAACTGGCCCGATCTGCCGGGGTTCACTCGTCCTGGGGTCTGAATACGATATGGTATAGTTGATAGGCCAGGGGTGGCGATACGATTTGAATGACGGATGGGAGGGAGGAAGCGCTGTTTTTCAGCTATTTATCATTAATGTTAATCTCTAACTATTGCCGTGAGGGGAGGATTGGACCTACCTATATACCTGGAAGTTGTAATAAGAAGTAATGCCCTCGCATTGCTTCTCTCCTTTGCACGCGACCCCCTGTCCATGTCTACAGGAGAGGAAAAGCAAAAACTATGCAAGATATGGCCACGATAGGCGGCCGTCTCCAATCGCCAACAAGGTTTAGGGCAACGGTGTTTAAAAAAAATCGTCACGAGGACCCTTAGGTGAGTACGAGGTTGGGAGCACGGGTCACTACCAGGACAGCGGATCATGTAAGTATGACGCGTTCCCACGTCGACTCAGGTGCACAGAGTTTTTTTTTAGAGATTTCTCGCATCGCACACGTGTGTGCTGGGTCTACAACCGTTCTCCGAAAATGCTTCTTTTTCTTTGCATCGTCCGCTTCGATCCGGATTTCGTCAGAGACGACAGCTGTCACGAAGAGGTCTCATGGATCAATACAGTGTATTGAAGGACATGAATTCATGTCTCCCTTGCGTCAGACCCGGATCGCGACGAGAATGACCGGAATCCCGGCAGCGGTCCATCGCTTGCTGGGAGCTCCTCAGCCTTCGCCCACCCCTTTGACCCACGTGTCGTGATGTGGGAACGGACAAGACAAGGACGAAGAGAAGGACTCTGGCCGGATAGACTGCGGATCCAGTCCTATGAGTTGCCTCAGTTGTGGCGCAACACCGATTTCAGTGTGAAACATCGTTGGAGGTGGCCGTCGCAAGCGCTCCATGTTTGAGAGCTCTGTAAGTCCACCGTGAACACACACTGGACACTACTCCCATACAAGCTCAACACTGATGGGTAATGTCCACTGTACAGTAACCTCTCTTCACGCCTCCCCAGCACAAAGAGTGGTAGTTGAAGGATATAGGTTTCATCGATCTCGACTGCGCGTGTCATGGTCATGTCGTGACAGGCTTTCGCCCAGAGGAAGGTCATCGCCGCGCACGCGGCCGAGGTATCGAATGTGTGTTCAATACACACGCCCAGCAGCTTTCTGCCCGACCGGAGGCTGCCTGTCAAGATTATGTCGAGCGTCCACAGACCACGTCAGGTCTATGGCAAGCAAGTACAGCAATGCCCGGGAACCCTGGCGGCAATTCGATTCTGCCTCGACTGCTGTGTTAGTCAGTGTTAGTCAGCGGACCCACTTCCGGCCACGACATTCTCTCAACAGCTCCATCACGTTGCGCTTCATTGCGACTGCCACCACACTTGCCGAGTTGGACAGCGCAGCAGCTTTATGAAGGAGCTCGACTCTAGTAAGTTTGGTCACTGTTGACTTTGGCAGGATGAGAGTTTGGCTCATCTAAGCGTCCCATGAAGATGCCAAGAGTGGCAACGGAAGGTGCTGCTTCACAGGAAGGGACCACATGCGCCACGGCAGAAATGCAGAGTGCATCGATTGTTGGACAGGACCTGCACACGACTCATGTGGCCTCAACAAGACCTGGTCCTGAGTCAAGTGGGCTCATCCCACCGATTGTCAGCCTGCTGCAGCAACGACACGCCAGCGGTGGCGTACGGTATTGTTCTCGTCCTGAACGACGGCGCCACTCTGCACGTGTCTATGAGGAAGTATATGGAATCAGAATGTGCTCACTTTGGTCTTATCTGGGTGTTCTGGCCCATTTGATCATAGCTGTGGCGTCCCGCAAAGCTTCAAGGTTTGTCCCATCAGGATGACGCCATATCATCGGCCGGCTTCTGCGGTTTGAGGGTATCGTGGGATCCATGATTGAACATGTCTGCACCCCCGCATCGAGTCCTCTGATGGTATTGTATTTGCCAGTTCTTCTGTAGTATATTCTGCATGGTATGTATTTGCTGCCGAGCTTCACTGTCGACGATCAACGCGACTCTCCTTTCACGTTTCATTCTTTGTCATCTCAGCACCGTTCGTGTTCCCACAGTCACCAGTGGTGTCTTCGACTATGACATATTCTCCCAAGGCAACAAGGACTGAACTTGGGTGAGAAGATCTAGACAGCGGCTCCTCTTTCACTCCCTTCCCGCGGCCGTGCATGTCGCCGGTAGAGCCTTGTTGGTTGAGCCTTCTGGCCAACGGCGTACCCGTATCGGCCCTCACGCCACCCTCTCACATATCTGATCCGCTCACCCCTCTGCAAGCCTGCCAGCTCCCTGGCACCCGAGTATTACGTATCTTCCAAGAGGTAGGTTTCTATGTCGGCTCGTGGGGTCGGCGGGAGGGCGGGCGGTGGTTGTTGTCGTTGTGGCTTGGAAGTCGGATTCGGGGTCGGTCTCGGTGTCTGTGGAGGTCGTGTCATCGTGGGACCGTGAGTTCGAGTTCGAGTTCGAGTTCGAGTTCGAGTTCGAGTTCGAGTTCGCGTTCGCGTTCGCGTTCGCATTGCCGTTGCCGTCGTCGTCATCGTCGTCGTCGTCGTCGTCGTCGTTCGTGTCTGCTGCGTAGGCGTCTGGGCGTCGTGGAGGCTTAGTGGCCTGTGATCGTCCTTGTTCACGGATTCTCTCAGCCTACGACAACGATAGAGTAAGTTGAACACCTTTAGGATGCCAGGTCAGTACATGTACGGCAGGTCCAAGATCCTTCAGCGCTTGCTCTTGCACCGAGCTTCCGTTCATGTCTCCGTTCGTCCCTTCTGGTGATCTCACTCGGACCGGTTGACCAACGGTGCTCCTCCGCGGTTGCTACTGTACGAGGGACTGTCGAAGCCGAAGGGGCCGTTGGCCTTGGGTTGGAGTCACAGGCTACGCAGTACGTACCTTCTTCCACGCGCGTGGGTGGCGCTTGGTTATTCCCCCCGGAGTAGGTACGGCATGACAGACGCATAGGTACGTATACGGAAACAGGTCCAACACCTGTCAGCGCTTGCTTTTGTACCGAGCTCCTGTTCGTTGTCTCCGCTCGTCCATTTCTTGCACATAGATTGTCTTCTTAGTCCATAAATATGCTTTCTCTGTCACCATGGCTGCGCCCCACTTCTGCCTTGTTGCCGAAGTCATTCTTCATGCACGAAACTCTAATACATTCTGAAGGTTTCAACGCCACGGGGTTCTCCCACAGCCCCCCAAGAGGGAGAGAAGGAGAAATTTCTCTCGAGGTGTTCTTGAAGTCGACGACCGGAACAAGCCGGCCCAGGACAACACACCTGATAAGGGGCCTTACGGTTCATCGTGAGTCGGCAAGAAAACTACCGCGACATCCACGTACTTTTAGATGTGTTTCCTATCACAAAAGCACATAATGTACCACCAGCTAGTATGTATTGGTATGAACGTGGCTTCTAACACGCACAGCAAATATGAGGCCCCACTCACCAAATTCCGAGCAAGTTATGGGCGGTTGACGATGATAGCCGGCGTTCCATCACACTCCAGTTACGAGCTTCGCGATGCCGTCAAGTCGGAGGCCACGCATGAACATGTTGATCCGCCACACAATAGATGTTTATTTATAGCAATGAACCCACCTTGCTCCCATTGTCAGGAGTTCAGGTACCAAACCTAAAAGGGCTCGTATTTATAAAACACATTTAGCTCGAAAGCAGATGCGGTTCGCGCACCACCTCAACATCAATGGCTTCAAGGTACCAGTACAGGCGGCATTGGAGGACCCTCGGATGACGCTGTGTAGGTTAGGTACAGATACCTGGCATACCTCCCGTCCTGTCACTGCCCATTGTACCGCGCTTATCACTTGTCCTTGCCTTTCCCCGTGGCCCAAGCTGCAAGTTGCCCAGCTATATCGAGGCAGCCGCGCCCTGCTCTGCTCAACTAGTCCCAATGGGGACGCACAGGCCTTCGGTAATTTCTCATCAGGGAGGAAGAACGACGGCGGGGTCTTTGTGATGATTTTGGTGCGCGAGGTTCGCGATCAAGGAGCAAGTCCTGCGCGCCCACCAGGATGGAAGTCAACTTAGGGGAAGCAAGTGCTCTCCTTGGCCGTCAGTCACTTCCACTGTACTCACACCCCCGTTGATTGTACGCTCTGGTTGTTCCCCAGGAAATTTTTAGCAAGCCACGATGCCTTCTTGGTCGTATCGTACTGGCTGGGTCACGTAACGGTCTACCATTGCACCAAAGAAGGTTTTGCTACCCACACTGTGCGTCTCAGCCCCATCGCGTGGTTCTGGGATTCAGAGCTCCCCTTCCCAATCCAGCTGCGCCCATGGTGTTTAAGTTACGTACTTGGGCATCCCAGTGCCGTGGCCGGTGGACCTGGGCTTCTACATGTAGATACTCGTGCCATAATGGAGGAAAACAACACAACGCATGCTGTCTGACCTACGGTCGGCAGGTGTCCAAGCTGCCAGCTGCCAGACTGAGCGAGACGAGAGAAACTCGCTCAAGCCACGTATTCTGGGGGATGGCGGGGGCCCTCGGCCAGTCTGAACTCCTCAGGATACTACCAGCGTAGTTGACCTTGGTGGACATCCGCAGCAGCGTCGCGCAACTACTGAGGCCTTACCGAGTGGCAGATCTGTGCCTCAGTTGTCAGCGTCCTGCCGCGTCTCCAGCAGTGGACTGACGACTTGGCCCACGAGAGGCCTCTACAGAACGGCAGTGCAGCCGTCAAGCCGCCGGGACAAGGGCACCTGCCCCGAGTGGACTGGGCATCACAGATACTTGACATATGGAGAGTTCGTCACCCCCAGGGGTACATCGAAGTACTCCCGTCAGTACTTATGGTAGTATGGACTGCGAGTAGAATCGTTCGCCTAACGCGTGTCCACGCCGCTACTGGGCACGTGTGTGGCACCCCTTTGCGCCCCTTTGCAGCGACGAGGCAGGAAAACAACATTGAAGCTTGGGTGTACTTTTGCGTCCCCCTTAGCCTCGCCAGCCGACCGGCACGGGACCTCAGTCTGGTACTTAAACTGATTGTTACCCCTGCGACTCATCCTTTCCTCCTTCACCAACACCCAACATCCAACATCCTTCGGTTGCTAACCTCTGTTACTCATCCACCCCATACCAGCGAAGTCGCAAACACTGCAACTTGACTATCTATCGCAGACAGAGGCCATCAAGAAGACCAGCGTCTTCGTTGCTGCACATAACCATCACTTCATTCATCGACACTGACCTGATGCGCACGTGAGCTGCTGCGATTCTGTCTAGACACCTCTCCTATTGGACTCGGCTATATCGTACCCTACCATAAGCCCTGCTTTATCTGCTCTTCCCAAATCAAACACAGGCACAAGTTGCCTGTGCCGGGACAGCCCGCTTGCCATTCCACCAACACGCTCACCACCACAACCACGTCCTGCCTCCTACCCCTCCTACCTCCCACGTCCGACCGGACCTACCCTCACCAGAGGACACCTCCTGCACATCGCACGCTGAGGTGTATTTCAGACGGTCCCGTACTCTCCCATCCCGCCACCCCCATCGAGCCCATGCTCGGGACGCAAGCCTCCTCCACTGCCCACCCTCCCCCTTCCGACCGAACCCACCCTCACCACGAGGACACTTCATGCACATCGCACGCTGAGGTCTATCTCAAAGACGGTCCCGTCTTCTCCGCTCCTACTCTCCCCAAGAGAGCCCATAATCTGGACGCAAGCCTCCTCCACTGCCCACCCTCCCCAAGCCGACGGCACCAGCATCCGTCAATCATCGTGGTGTCCCTACCACACACACCATACACCATCAACACTCATCTGACGATGGAAGCTTTCGTTATCACCGATGTTTGGGATGCTGATTTGCGCTTCCGTGCGCTGCCCGGTGCCCAACAGCAGCCTGTGTTGCCGCCCTGCGTCCCGACCGCCGCACATCGCGAGGATGTTAGGGGATGGCAGGAACATGTCGAGAAGGAGGGCCTCACCGATGCATTCCAGCCGCTCCGTTACACGGAAGGCAAACGTTACGAGGGAATAATCAAGGAGAGCAAGAAGAGAGAGAAAAGGGTAGACAAGGAGATTAGAAGGACCCGCAAGCTCGTCTCAGAGGCGATTGAGGCCCTCACGCAGACGCTCACGAGAAGGCCCCGAGGACGACCCCCAAAGAACTCCCGACCGAAAGACGCACAAGTAGCATCACAGCCATCACTGCGTCGACCCACACGGCAAGAGTCGAGGACCATGCAGGCCCTAGAGGAAGCCCTGAAGGAAGTAAAGTGGTACAAGGCCAAGAATGCCCCTAGGCACCAGAGGCAACGTCCCGAAATGTGCCGCCTCGACTTCCCGACACCGTGCGGCACAGTACAGGCCTGCACACGCGTCCATGACGGTTACTGGTATGGGGGCCATCGACCTGGCACTCCCATTTTCAGGTGCATTGAGATCCCTCAGCCGCGCGGGCCTGAGACAAAGATCGTGTTCAAGTACCCGAGCATTCTCGACGGGTACTCGAATTTCCTCGAAAAGCACCCAAACTTACTCGATAAGTACCCGGACTTATTCGAGAAGTATCCGAACTTTTTTTACGAGAAGGACGCTGACCTATTCGAGCGGTTCACGGATTATAAACTCCGGTTCGAAGGCATCGTGCCTTTCGACCGCGGGGAGATGAGCGTGCGGTTTTACGACCACGCCCTTCCGAATTTATTGGTGATGGTTGTCGCCATGCTCGGCTACGACTCCTGCCATCATAGTCAGGGGCTGGACCGAGTGCGTGAAGTGGTGGAGAAGACCAAGGCCATGCTGAAGCTGGATCTCATGGAACTCACGAACCCGGAGGTTGGACAATTGTGGGTTTGTCTCAAAGAATTGCAAGAATCGTGGGTGATGCTGTATTATCGCAGCGGCAACCAGTCGAGGCTCCCTCGGTATCTCAGGGATCAGATCAACGATTCGATCTCGCGTTTCTGGGAGATGGGTTGGCTGATAACCCAGCTGGGGCGAACCGGAACGAAAATACCGTTTTGCCGTTTTATGGTTCTGCATGCCTGCGCGGGGCTTCTGCAAGCGGTGACAGGCCGCAACGTCAAGACGCTTTGCGATGCATATTTCGCGAAGCTGTCTGAAGAGGGGTGCGAGCAGTATGCAGACGGAGAGCGCGACGACGTGCTCATCTACAAGAGCGACAAGCCCTTGACAAAGGTAAGTGGAGAGCATGTAATTGAGTTTTGTGATTTAGTTGCTAGTTATGTTTTACATACTTGTTACCTGGCAAGGACTGCGAGCTGTTTTCCTCAAGGGTTGTATGTCGTTGTCAATTTGAAGTTAGAGTTTGAAGTTGGTGCTTTGCATCTGATTTCGAGTTTTAAGCTCGGATATTCTCGGTACCCTTGTGCCTTGTGGTAGCGGTATCCAGAATAAGGACCAGGGTCACGAATGGTGGCTATTGGTCTGTATTCTGGAAGTTGCTTGATTGAAAGAAGGGATGGGTGGTGTCCCCATCCCAGAAGTAGCTATCATCCCAGATGGGTACAAATCAGGTACAAACGGGTACCTGTTGGGCTCCAAGGTACCTTGTACCCTGGTCCGTGACCCATCCGTCGTTGTGGCTGGAAATGGGGTTGAAGAGCCACACCCTACCCCTGGGTTAAGGCTAATCCTGTGGACACGCGCCTCGTGGCCCCTGCAACGACCTCGATGGTTCGGAACTTCGAACATTCTTCTAACGGGTCGGGATCCTTGGCACCCGAGACGCAATCAAATTCGTAAAGACCATTCACGTCGAATCTGAAGCTAACATTCTACCTTCACCTCCCAGCACGAAGCAGTTCTCGGCGACCTCTACCACCCCGACGGCCCGCCGCCTTTACCATCCTACCTACTAGAAAGGCTCAAGCACTCGCGGACACTTGCGAGATCCGTGTTGCCGGAGCAGCCTGCGAGAGCCGAGCCTGAGCCATCCTCCCCCGGGCCAACAGCTGCTGCCGACGCAGACACTATCGTCGTCGCATCCAGCTCCACGCCCGCAACGCCCGAGGCGACGAAGAACAGTCGGAAGAGACCTGCCGTCGACATCGAGGAGAGATTAGACGAATCGACCCACCAGCCGCAGCCGGAGCAGGCCAAGAAGCAAGCTGGAACCACTACCGGAAGCCAGACTGCTGGTCCTCCCCTTACTACGAAGAAGCTGAGAGCCACGAAGCAAACCACAAACAACCAGAACCCTGGGCCGTCTCACCCTCCAGCCCCGAACTGAGCTCTGCAGCTCGATTCTCCACGATTCTCAAGCTCCGACTGAGAAACCCACGAACACAACCTACGCGATGTTTACCCCGACTTTCCGCAGCCTCGCCGCGAGGCTCTCGCTTTCCTCCCCGAGCGCATACACCATAAAACCCGCGTCGACGACATGTCTTTCCTCTGCACCAGCTTTCCGAGTTCCCAACGCATCATCTGCTAGTGCTCGTTCTTCACCTGCTACGATGTCTGCTTTCCACACCACGCCCGCGGACCATGCCAAGGGTGGCAAGAGCAAGAAGAAGCGCAAGGGCAAGGGCGACGAGCCCGACCCCCGCATCATTAACCTCAAGTCGTCGATGCCGCGCGCCGTGCCGGCCCCCCTACGATTCGCCCGCAATCGCGCGCTGCGCCATTGGACTATTCACCGCGCGTGGCTGCTTTTCCAGCGTAAGGAGCGGGAGCGGGAGGCGCATGAGCTGGAGAGGTGAATTCCCCCTTTTCCCCCTACTTATTTCACTGCTGTCAGGATCTGAGAAGAGAGACATTGTATACTAACAAGAGGCCTATAACAGGATGTACCAATCCATGCACAACGCCGCCGAAGAGCTGCGCCAGACCAGCGGGCCCGGTACCCGCGAGGAGGGCTTCCTGTACCGCGTCGCCATGGAGAAGAAGGGCGTGTACGGCCACAACGCCGTGCCCATCGAGTACGCCAGGCCGCAGACCGAGACCCCGGCGCGGGAGCCGTGGAACCATGGCTGGACGCGCTGAAAAGTGTTTTTGTATATTGCGTTCAACCTGTGTTCAAGGACTGTCACGGATTTGGATTGGTGGTACGAGACTGCATTACAGAAGAAATCTGCTGTTTTGATCTGCATGGGCGAAACGTTGGTTCCGGACTGGTCTACAGGACACGGTCTGGAAGGCGTTGATGAGGTCCGGCATTTCTTTGCAGGTACTCTACAGTCTCGCGTCCCTTGCCGAAAATCCCCTTCCTTTCATGTATGCTAGTTGATCGGATAGTTATTCATCTGGAGTTCTTGATCTCTTCTCCCCCAAGGTTAGGAATTTGGTTCCTACCTACTCAGTACTGTAGTCAATGAAATGTCTAGTCTATCAAATTTGATAAGTGGCAATCCATGGTACAGCACGGCCTAGGAATGTGACACGAGATGCTTTCAAGAGAAGTTCAGTTGGTATTATCCTCGCTGTGTGATGTCTGTGCTGTCTGTCTGTCTCTCTGTCTGTCCGCCTATGTGATCCAAAATGGCATTCTCTGCATTCTGCTCTGCCTGCTTGCTTCCGCTTGCTCTGTCCATGATTGATCTATCCATGTGAGGAATCAAGCAATCCACTACCTCTTCTTATTCTTTTCCGCTTTCCAGATGGAAACCGAAAATCAAAATTCGATCCAGATACGCCGCCGGTGTCTGCTGCTTTCTCCAACTGAATGGTGGTATGTTTGGCGTGGTTGTTGTTGTTATTCCACCATGCCCCTGGTCTGTCTATGCGATGTGTGGCGTTGTGCTGTGCTGTGGTGTCGTCGTGATTGTCGAAGAAAATGATCGGTGATGGTCGTGGTTGTGGTTATTAATACGAATATGCCTCCCCGAGAATCGTCGTGATATCCAACCAGTCCGCGTGTCGTGCCAGATGGTTTCGTTAATCTGGCATTGAAGATTTCAGAAAAGATGGACGGTCTCGTCTGAGAACCGGAGTCGCCGCTGTATTATAATCCAACAAGATGAGCAGCTGTGTATGAATTGGCTCGGTGAAGTCGCTGGTTGGGGAGATTTGCGTCGTCTGGCATTCGAGTATTCGTTGGTTCGCGATGTATCCATTCTCCTTTCACCTTCTTCTCTTCTGCCCGCCCCTCGGTTCCCTCCACACCGTGTTGCGGGCGTAGTGGGCTTGCACCTCATAGTATGACACAGCAGCCGTTGCCCTCGCCTTTCTCGAATGTGAGGAGTGCGGCTCTCGTGGCGGCCTCGAACACGTCGTCGACGCCCTCGCCGCTCAGACTGGAACACTCAAGGTACTTGCGCGCCCCTATCTCGGCCGCCGCCGCCTCGCCCTGCCGCTCCGTCACGAATTTGAGGCTCTTCTTCCGCATCTCCTCGACGGCCACGGGGTCGTCTCGCAGATCCTTTTTCAGACCCACCAATATGATCGGGACGCTGGGACATCGTTCGGTTGCTTCTTCTATCCACTGTTGTCACCTGTCAGTATCTTGTCCCGTGTTGTTGTGACTGTGGTGGTACAGGGAAAGTGGTCGGGGTTCAGGGACGGTGTTGATTGACCTTGTGCTTGACGTTGTCAAGAGAATCTGGCGTGTCGATCGAGAAACCGATCAGCAGCACGTGTGCTTTCGAGTAGGCGAGCGGCCGTAGCCGTTCGTAATCTTCTTGTCCGGCCGTATCCCATAACGCGAGTTGTACGGACTTGCCGTCTACTCTGCAATCTGTGACATAGTTCTCGAAGACGGTTGGAATCTGTGGCAAGGAGCCGTCAGTACGCGCGCGCATTGGCCACCGAGGGCAGGTGTGTGTCGGCGTCGGACGCGTGGTTGCTTACATAGTGCTTGAGGCGGTCAGCTTGTGTGACTGGCAGGCTGTCAGACTGCAAAGGGGGGGGAACACTCACAGTTGGGAAGTACCCCAAAGTGAAGACACTCAGCAAAGAGGTCTTGCCACATGCTCCATCACCTATGATGACAAGTTTCCTGGGGGCTTAATTAGCATTGGCGCTTTGCATGAACAGCGAGTGTTGGCGCGGGGCAGGATCCTCGATGTATGAAGGGTCCAAGGGTTCAAGCGACGAGCGTCGCGCGTGCGGCTGGGTAGGAGACGGATGATCACGAGGCATCCAAGTAGATGACGTCGTGCATTGTGGTTGGAAGCATCCAATAGACAGAGGACAACCCCAATGGCAGATCGACGTTCAGACAAGACGCACCTGCGAATAACATTCTGCGGATTTGAACTCGCCATTGCTCTCGACACGAGAGCCAGATCAAAGCAAGAGAATCGTCGTCACGAGACCGAGTGATTGCTGAGAAGATGGGGCAGTAAGGGGTCGGTTCGAGCTGATGTGGTCGTGGTCGTGGTCGTGGCCCGGGACGTTCGTTGCGATTCTTGGGGCGATTAAAGTAACCGCGAGTCGCCGGGGATGGGAAGGTTAAACGTTCAGGTTTCGAGGAGCTCGAGGCCTCCGCGCCCGTGCTAAGGGTCAACGGCTTCTGGGATATTGCGTAATTGCGCGTCAGCTAATCGATGGATTAGGTCCAGAAGCTCGGCTTCTTCTTCCCTTTTCTCGCAATGCCTGGGGCTGGAAATTTATCGAATACGAGCGGCGAGCGCCTGTTGATGGGAAGCCGGGTTCCGCGGTAGAATTTAAAGGGACAGGGACGTCCACGCCGAACGGCCCAGCCCAGACAGCCCACAGACTACAGTCGGAGGGAGGGAGTCTGCAGTGGGTTGTCTGTGAGCGAAACCCCCTGGCCCTGGCACTGCCCACATTACACAGACCAGAGAACCAGAGAGGCTCAGCACTCCCAGCGACAAAGCCGAACCAGTGTCTGCAGCGAGTTCAGCTGCTTGAGGGGCTCGATGCAATTGGCCAGGTTCGACGTCAATGTGTCGCCAATGTGACAGAAAGGACCCCTAAAAGCCCGAGTTCGCATACGGCATATGAAGTTGACGGCATTGACGGCACTGGCTGTCTGGTGAATAGCTATGCGTACAGCTCCAAAAGTGTACTTCTATTACGCCGCTTCGGTGATTGCTGTCTCCCTTCCTGTGGCTCTTACTTTCTTACTGCCACAGCTCAACCGTGTTGCCCAGCGCCGGTTGCGAAATGCGGCACCGTACATCATAGCCGTAGCACACGCGGGCTTCGAGAGCTGCTACGTTACAGAGGGTTCAGGACAGCGTATCGGAGGCGGTGTTGGAGTGTCGCGGTGTCGCCGCCTGTAGGAATTGAGCGCAAACGTCAAACAAGCTGAATTGCAATTGGTCTGAATCCCGACTTGAGGTCACCGAGAAGTGGGATGACCAACGGGGCGAAGGGGAGCTAGCCAGCCCTGGCGGGCCCAGGACAGACGGTGGAGGCTGACCGACTGAATGGTGAGGCTGGTCGGTAACTTTTCTCAGCTCGCTGTCACCTGGGGATTCCATGGAGCCGTGGAGGTGCTCTTTGCCCTGAAAATACGACAGGTAGATCAGCCGTCTTACGGCCCAAACAATGACAGCCGTGAGACGTATGATCCGTCGTCGACAACCACAGCCAAAGCAGACCGCTTCAACTCGAATGTCGACAAAGCTTATTGAGATCACCCAACGGCTGCATGTCTCAAAAACAGAGATCTGATGCAACCATGTTTATATTGCTCAGTCGGCCACTTGAACCGATCGAGATATGGACCATTGCCTATGTCCTACCACACTCTTTTGGTGGGAAACGCTGTAAGCTGACAGAGATCTTTTGATCGGCCTACCGCCGGACTGATACGCTGTAAGAGACTCCCACTGCCGATGATGGATTGTTGGCCAGTCGAGCTTGGCTGGTATAGTCGTTGACTGTTCAATAAGCACGTATCAAACTACCGCCGAGGACTGGTTTCACCTGGGATTTGAGCTAGAGGAAGGGTGGTGCTTTGAGGACAGAGATGGCAGACAACGCTTTTGTGTCGTAAATGTGGTCCATGTTGAACAGGTAAGGAACATTGAAGCTATCCGTGGACCTCGTCGCAGGTGGAGGTGGACGCGTAAAACAGTCTAGAACTGGACCAGTTTGACCAGACTGATCTTCTCGCGTTGCGATACGAAATCTGGTACGAAAGAACCATGGGCAGAGTAGGTACGTATGAGCTCCCCTGATTGTGTTCCGTTGAACAATGAAGGAATTTGGGGCTGCTTCTCATCTCTTGAGTTGCTGAACTTCAAGAGACAGCACCATCAGAGTAAATACTGAGCCACAACGGAAGTATGAGATTGATAAGATAGAAATTCGGGTTCAAAGTTCAAACCCGAGGGATGATGAGCTGGTGGGGGCCAATTCACGTGAGCTTGCCCCGCCACACTGGACTGATCTGCTCTGGTCTGGTGGCCGGGTCAACTCAGCGTCCCAGTGCCACTGCTGGCTGCGGCCACTTGGGGCTGATGCATGAGGCTTTTGGGCCCCTGGGGCTTGGGGCTGGGGCGGTTCAGCATGACGGGCTGGACGGGGAAGCCACGGAAGACGAGACATGATACCTTCACAGAACCACACGACAAGTACCCCCACCACTCAGCTGTAGGCAGACTGTACCTGCCCAGTGTCCGTGGTCGCGTACCTAACCTACAGATTACCCAGGAGGAAGTCCCGCTACAGTTCAACCTCAGAGCAAGCTGCCAGAGCGAGATCGAGACGCCAACAGCAACAGCAAACCGGGACAACGATCCCAACGTCAACCGCCCGCAACAGCACACACAACACCAACCAGCAAGCAGCAGCCGGCCCAGCTTCCGACAAAGCAAACGACGTCTTGTCGTCCCTCTACCGTCGACCGTCCACCGTCCGTGTCTCCCGACCACCCGCCCACCCGCCAGCATCGTTCAAACTGAATGACACAGCCTGCGAAACCGCGACACATCGCCAATCTCCCGCCCAGATTGCTGCCAATTACCACATTCAAGAGGGGCAACTTTTCTTCTACCAACAAAGCATCATCGCCCCTTCGCTCTGCCGTATCTGAATCCGCCGCTGCATTCACTGCCTAGTGACCACGGGGTTCGAGCTGTTGCCCTTGCTGGTTGCGCCCCGCTACTCATACGTCGATCGCATTCTACCACCGTGTCCCTCACTCTATATGACTTCCACCGGCTGTCTATCATAATTGTCGCTCGGAATGCCCGCCAACCACCGACACGCGGCGCCGCCGCCGACAGCTGCGTCGTCGCCGGCTCCAAAGACTACCGCGAAATACACGAACAAGGATGGAACAAAGTACATATCTGTGCCTAAGTCGTCCGCCTCCACCCCGCCTGCCCAGCCTTCGCCCGCCACCACCTCATCGTCCCGAGGTGGTGCCTCGATGGGTGGACCAAGTGCTCCCGAAGCTGCCCCAGCTCAGCCTGTAAACAGAAAGAAGCAGAAACGTCGAGCAAAAGCCGCTGCCAAGGCTGCCGCCGAGCAGGAACATGAGCAGGAGCATGCTGCTGCGAATGGCCTGCCGAGCCCGTCTTCCACTGCCAGCGCCAATGCTCCGCCTCTGCCCGAGAGCCATCGAAAGAATGCACTGCCGCACGGGTCGTTTCCATCACACGAGCATCGTTACAATGACGAAGAATGGGGAGGCGAGACCGAGAGCGATGACGGACACCATCATTCATTCCATCATGACCCGAGCTACTTACCAGCGAATGGTTCTGCGCCAAAGTCCAAGAAATCCAAGAAGAAGCTACCCGCAGACGAGCCGACCAGCACCAGTTCTTTGCACCTCCATTCCTCAGGCATATCTAAAGAGAAGATTTGGAACACGTCAGGCCCGGAAGAGCGCGAACGGATCAAACAGTTCTGGCTCGGGCTTGGTGAAGACGAACGGAAGTCTCTAGTCAAAGTCGAGAAGGACGCCGTCCTCAAGAAGATGAAGGAGCAACAAAAGCATACTTGCAGCTGCTCAGTCTGCGGGCGCAAACGCAATGCCATCGAAGAAGAGCTTGAAGGACTTTACGATGCATACTACCAGGAACTCGAATCGTTCGCGAACCAGCCCCATCACCTTCCGAACGTCCAGCCTATGTTTGCGCCGAAGAGGTTCGGACCCATGAGTGGCCTGCATCCTCCTGGACATCCCCCTGGAACTGTGCCCGCTAGATACTCGAACCACCACCCATCACACGGCCGCATAGTGGAACACGTGGATAACGAAGATGACGATGGGGAGGAGGAGGAGGAGGAGGAGGAGGACGACGACGAGGATCCGGAAGAGTATAGTGACGAGGAAGACTTGGAGGACGAGGAAGATGACGACGAGCCTGAAGAGATACCTCGCGATTCCTACCCTAATGACTTCTTCAATTTCGGCCAGAGTCTCACAGTCAAAGGTATGCAAAGCGGATCCGCCATCCTCCCACTCAAAGCATTGAATAACATGTCCAGGCGGCATTCTCACTGTAGCAGACGACCTACTCAAGAACGACGGCAAGAAGTTCATCGAGATGATGGAGCAATTGGCTGAGCGCAGGATGGCCCGTGAAGAAGATGCCAGAGACCACTACTCTGGGGGCTACGGTCATGCTGTCAACGGTGGCCCTCTGTCACATGCTCATAATCATCCCCCGCCCGTAGAGGACGACTATGACGAGGAAGAGGAAGAGGAAGAGGACTACGATAGTCAGGACGAGGATTATGAAGAGGAAGAGGTACATTTCGCGCATTTGACACTTGCTCTCAGCCACTGATCTTTTCCCCAGGCAGCCATGACAGAGGAGCAACGTATGGAAGAGGGTCGTCGAATGTTCCAGATCTTCGCTGCACGGATGTTCGAGCAGAGAGTTCTCACTGCCTATCGGGAGAAGGTCGCTAAGGAACGGCAAGACAAGCTACTTGAGGAACTCGAACAGGAGGAATCACAAGAATCTCATCGCAGGGCGAAGAAGGCAAAAGACGCCCAGAGGCGCAAGGAAAAGGCCGCCCAAAAGAAACAAGCGCAGCTCGAGGAGAAGGCCAAAAGGGACGCTACCAAGGCTGCCGAAGAGCAAGCACGCATAGCCGAAGAGAACAGACGAGTCGAGGCAGCTCGACTCAAGGCAGATGAGAGGCGTAGAAAGAAAGAGGCGCAGAAGAAGGCTGAAGAGGAAGATCGACAACGCAAGCAAGCCGAGAAATTACGCCTTGCCACTGAGCAGAAGGAGAAGCAGGTCGAGCAAGAACGGAGAGCCCGAGAAGCAAAAGAGCACGAGAAAAAGCTGAAGGAAGAGCAGCGGCGAAAGGAGCAAGAAGCGCGCGACCTCAAGGAACGTGAGACTCGAGAACGGCGAGAGAAGCACGAAAGGGACAAACGAGACAAGGAAGCACGAGCGGCTCAGGCCAAGGTGGAACGTGACGCCAAGGAGAAGATAAAGCAGGACGAGAAGGCGACTCTCAAAGCTGCGGCATCGGTGGTTCCCATCCCGACACAGCCAGCGAAGAAACACCCCGTATCGATACCCGCGTTGCCCCAGCATCACCCGATAAATCACGCTTCGCCGCAGATACCAGTGGCCATGCCTGCCTTGCCGAAAGCACCCACGCCGATGAAGCCTCGGTCCATCTCTCAGGAGGCGATGCGATCTGTTTCGCAAGCATCACACTCGGCTTCCGGCCCGAGCCAGACTGCTTCACCACATGCTCTCAGTCCACCACACGCAAATTCAGGCCCAGTTGGTCCCCCGAGCAATAGCTTGCCCGCTGGCACTCCCATGCAACCTACATCGCCGCTCCATGCGGACCTGAAGAGCCCGCCCGGATTGCTGCATGCGCATTTCGATATGGCCATGCCGCCGATGGGGATGCAGTTTCAACCTGGGATGCCGCCGATGGGACCCGGATTTGCGCGAATGCCGGAACCCGTATTCCCGTCCATGGGGGGACAGTTCCGTCCTGGTGCTATGCCGGTGCCCCCACCCGGTCTGGGTGGTCGACCATTCCCCATGCCCCACGCCCCCCCTGGGTTTCCTCAACCAGTGGACCAGCCCATGCCCGGCATACACCACGCTTTCTCATCTCCGGACAGTGTACCTGGCCAGCCGTCGATGCATTCACGTCAGGCCTCCGGCTCTTTCGAGAACGGATCATTCGATGCGAGAGGCTCCAATGCCCAGCCCATCGGGCGGCCCGCGCCTATTGGCAGGCCGTCGAGCGTGGTGCATGGCCAGCGGAACTACGACCTGGCAGCAGACATTGACGATGTGAGCAATCATTTGGGAAGTAGTGCTCTATTAGATGACTCGGATGAGCCTCTGGTAGGAAGCCTCGAATCTTCTCGTCGAGGCACTGCTGCTCCGGGGGCTCGACCAGCATTCCCTGGCCCGCCTTTTATGAATCCAGTATTTGGATCGCCATTGAGTGCGGGTTGGGGAGCTCCTAACGCTTTTGCGCCACCTGGTTTCAGCAATCCGGCTTGGCCGCCGAGTGCTGCACCGTTCGGTGCAACTCCGTCAATGAGACCAGCAAAGCCTCGTCCAGTAGCCATCCGGCAGATGTTAGTACGGTCTTGCAAAGATCTGGAACACCACGCAGCAGATGCGACAGGCTATATCGATATATCTGCAATCAAGGCTCATGTGGACTCGATCAATCTCTCCTCCGCCGAGCCCGTGTCCGAAGCGGAGCTTCTGGACATGTGCGAAACTGAGGGCAACTCGCAGAACGGTGGAGGTAGCTTCGATATTCGGAGCAATCACGGCAAGGTCGCTGTTCGGTTCCAGATGGATCAAGGGTTGGGCCTCTCACCATTCTCACGCAGTGTCGGGGCGCCCGGCGAAATCGGCAGTCCTATCGTTGGGGCTGGCACGATATTCAGCTCGCGCAACTAGTCGGAAGTAGTTGATCTGGACACTTTTACTGGGTGGTGAGACTCAGTATATATGTGCTAGATGTTGGGGTCTCTTGGGGGTCGGGCCTGTTGCTCTTTTCGTGGCATATCATGCCTTGCGGGGATGGCTCCTCGAATATTGCCTCTTCGAAGCGTTAACTTGGTAAAAAGCTCTGGGCCGCGCTGGGTGAGCAAGCACGGTCCCATTGTGAATTATTAGATGAGCGTATTGTTAAGCAACTATGCCGAGAGCATTCTTCACTTCAATTACGAGCCGCCAGTACCCCTTCGACTGATTGTGCTATGTTTTGTTACTGTTCAAAGGCGCAGAAACTTACCTCGATGGGTTCCTGTAGTACACACTGATTTCCCATTGGTTGTGACAATGTGAGTCCACTTCGATATCATGCCATAGTCATATTTATGTAAAACAGGTAGTCGGCTCAGTGATGATATTATGATTGCGGCATGACTACGAACTCCCACCTCCCATCCCAGATCACACGAAGTCCAGCAACTGTATGCTGTAGAGGCACTTCCTAGCATGTATGTGATCATGAAACAGTACCCTGGGAATGATGAGTTCTGCCTCGCTGTGAACAAAGCCCCTTGAATATATACGGAAATTGTGGTTCGGCGGCATTGCCCCTTTATCGAGAAGATTTGGGTTATTGTGTTTTGCTGAATGAGTCCCTTTCTATAGATTGACAGTTTTATTGACTCACCGCCATCCGGGGGTAAAGATCATGTCTGTTCTACAGTGGAATGACAGATAATTTGTATTCAGTTGCATGTTGTCTGTTATATAGCAGGAATGACAGATAATTTCCATTCAGTGGCCTCGGTATAATACTCCTGTAGATATCAGCATGCACCTGGAGTGCTATTCATCCGGTATTCGTCCATTGAAAGCAGCGGGCTCATCGAGAGCCTTCGTGTTCCCAACCCAGCAGATTGAGAGATGGTATCGACGTTGTGGAATCAATTCAGGCTCTGCCGTAACCGCTCATCAAAAGTACACATCAACTATTTCCAGTTACTTCGCTGATTGATTCCATTTTAGCCTTGATGAGTGGGAGAGGTGTTGATTAATTTTCATATTGTAGTCATACATGGGGGCTATGGAGCGAACGCATGTTGTTCGTGGCGCCGCTGAAAGGGTTTCTGTTGCCGGGGCTGCGGTGGCATTGTCTGTGGTGAATGTCGTCTCCCCGGAGGGGATGGGGTTGCCGAGTGATGATTTCCATGGGCCATTGTAAGGTAATGATCATGTCTATTGTCTTAGCATTCTGCACTTGACATTGAGCCAACGGATCGTCAGTACTGGCTCACGTCTTGGAGTTTACTACTTTACCCCTTCGAATGCACATATACCTCCCAGCATTTCTTCAACATCACCACGAAACTCTCACTGCGCCAACTGCATTCGACCACTTCCTCGCCTCGCGATTTCATCTCTTCTCACCTACGACATTTCGACACACTGCTACGCAAACCACACACATCATCCGCATCGCCATCCACACAGCTACCCTCCTCCACTCAGACTCTCTTGAGAGTATTCTACACCTCACCACTCGCCTCATCACACCACAATGCCTCGCGCCCTGAACAAACCCACCCTATCAACAGACCCCAGCATGAACAAGTCCACCAGGGACCGAGCCCCAGCCGCCTCCGGCGGCGGCGGCGTCGACCTGCCCCCCTTCGACTACAACATGCGCGCCGGCAAATCGACCATCGGCGGCAGCGGGATCAAGCTACCCAAGGTAGCCGCCAATTCCACCACCAATTCCACAACCAAGTCCAAGTTCCCGGGGGGCAACGGTCCGCGCCATGAGCCCCTGCAGCCGCCCTTCGCATCCACGGCGCAGCGCACGGGATCGATCCTGAGCGGTGACAAGACGGGCCCAAGGGATGTGAAGCCGATTTTGTCGAATACGGGATCTATGGAGGGGAAGCGGACGGCCTGGACTGGATAGGGCATTTTGGCAAGGAAAAGTGTGGCCCGGGTGGAGTGTGGACTGGTGGGATTGGTCGTTGTTCTCGCGGGCTTGCGAAGATTGGGTGTCACTGTAATGACAGAAGGTTCGTATGCCACATTGATGCATCTTGGGCTTGTCCGTGCTGGCTAGGTTGTTGACTTACGGTCTCGGATGATACTCGGCGGCGCCGTCGTACACCGATCAGGAAGAGATGGGGAATAGGGAATAAGTGAGGACTATATTTCTGACCACTACTGCTTCTCCGTATTTGGAGTTCTAATGACTTCCTGGAGCCCCGCGATTTTGACTGTCATATGCTGGCTTCCTATAGTCCCGTGTACTTGACAGAACCCGGTGATCTCAAATGCCGAACATGCCATCATTTTGGTCGACTGACTCAGTCATATCTCTCCCGCGCCTATCATCATAGCCGCAGATTGGCCGAGTAAGAACCTACACGGTTGATGTCCGGTGAAGCTTGTTGCATCTTATTCGTACTTGTCTGGACACTGGCCAGGCTGGTGGGTTCACCGTGCTCGCTTGATATATATTCGCCTGCTAAGTTAACTTGTAAAGTATGGTGACAACAGCCCTTCCCTTGACGTCGCCAACAGTCTCATGCTGGAAAATGCGCAACAGCTGAAGACACATAGCACAGGGGCGATTTCGCGACCTCATATGCGCGTTTCCTGCCGCGGAGAGCTACCTACTTATGCAAGTAAGTATGTTTTGATCGTTGGAGTGTCTGGGAGGGGCGGGTCACTTCCAACACACAAGAGTGAAGGCGCGGGCACTGCGTTTAGTGGACGGGCCTGCCAACTGGTGTACTTCATTTTGGGAACTAATTGAGAAGGAAAGCAGTTGATAATGACAGAGTCGACAGAAACCACGCACATGTATGCACATGTTGCATCTGTCGACATCACCCATGGGAACAGCGTCGGGAAGCCCGATTGCCATATGGCATTCGTAGGTTCCCTAGAGCACCATAAACACGAGATCGGTGCTTGGGGTGAAGTCGCGACTGGCCATGAGTTTCATCATTGAGGTGGCAATCGAGGTGTCGTTTCGACTTAGAGATCTGGGTGTGGATGGCAGGAGGGCTTTCTACCTCCTTAGGGTCGTTCCCACGCCGGTCACCGCAGAGAGAAGTCCGGGCCCGAATGAGCGCACCAGTCTTGTCAGGATCCCGAAGCCAGGGGAACAACGATCTGCAGGCATCTCCGCGATGCACTGGCCTGAACGTCGTCAAGTGAGGTAAGTACAGCCCCTGGGGTCGTTGCCCGTAGAAGCTTAAGTGTCTGAACCATGTATCTCTCCAGGATGGTCATCACTATGGCACAGAGAGACGCAGATGCTCCTGCTCGCCAGAAAGACCATGATGGAAAAGAAGGCAAGCACCTAGAGAGGTTCCAACATCATTCCATCCCGCAGACCCGGTCTACGCGCAAATGGTGCTCCCCCAGCTCCCTCACATTCGGCATCGTCAGTGCATTATAACAACATATAGTCGGAAACCACCCATTCATATCTGCATTCACCAATTACTATTCACTGGACCGTATTCTACACTTGAGAGTTCAATTATCGAGCTTGTGTTTCGACGAGTGCTTCACGATGGGCGACAATTTCTCCATAGTCCCCATCGATTGCTTCACGATGCGCTACAATTCCTCCGCGAAGCGAGTCACCATCAATAGAAATATAAGAGGGGGCAGATTGTACTGTCACTACGATGGAAAGAACATAGGCCTCGGGAACAAATGCGTCAGCCGCTGTCCTGTTGAGAACATCCAAGCTACACTCGATCACTTCTTTTTCAACCATCCGCAAGATAAACGTGCCTTTATGATCGCCCAACTCCGCTTCTACGACGTAGCAATGCCAGGATACAAATCGACTAAGAATTTGGAGCATGCCCTGGTTGATGCCCTAGAAGGCCAGGTAAAAACTTCACAGATAATCGCACTGGCGGTTCTAACCCGGTCACCCCATTCAGCTCAATCCATCGCCGCAAATTGTGGCCCTCGAGAAGCAATTGAAAGAGAAATGGACGAAGGAGTACGGGTCCCAGCCTACCGCAGGTCAAGGTTCGAACGAAGAACAGACTGCACATGGTCACGCCACTGCCGATCATCAAGAGACGGTTGACCCGAAAGGACCGTATCTCGTCCAGCAGAAAGAAATCGAGCACCCCAGTGGCGACAATACTGAGGATAAACATTTGGGTGACCTCGAGCGGCCGGATGACATCCGATAGGACGGAGATGACCACGGTACTGCCCAAAATGATGAGGCGGGTGATGTGGAGGGGTTGGCTCCCGTCCAAGAGGATGAAGACAAGCAAGACAGTGCCGAGCTTGAAGATTGGGGTAACTACAATGGGGGTAACTTCAATTGGGATGTTCCCATCGACTATGGTGACTTCGATTGGGAGGATCCCCTGAACTATGACGAATATGGCCACCGCACTGTGGAAAATAAAGAGGCGGGGATCGCCGAGCGGTTGGCTCTCGAAGAACACAACCAGGGAGTGTACGGTTCGTGACGCCCTCGAGACCTGCCAAGGTGCACCACTCGCTCAGCTATCTCGGACGCAGTCGAGAAACCACCAGGGCTTGTGACCTACAGCGCAGAACACGAAGAAGCATAGACCCGAAGAGGCGGCTGTCAGCGTATTGATTTCATTTCCTGCTGTAAGGCTGCCGAGAACGGGAACGCTGTCGAGGACGAGGTTGCTGTCGAGAACGGAAGGGCTGCCTTTGCCCAAGCGTGGGGATGGCTGTGAAAGTTTACCCAGTACCTTTAGTAGTCATTGATATATCGCAATGTCATTCACTGACTCATGCTTGTTTTCGTGTCCCGGCAGCTGAATGTGCGGACTGCGCTGGCATTGACCGCCGGGTGCAATCGACGCGTAGCCGAGGATGCGCAGGCACCGGCGTGCCGGCTGACTTTGCGTTTGGAGCCGCAACGCTGATCTTGGCATGACCGAAAACGCCAGAGTTGCATGTCTCACCGGACGGAGCCCCAACCGTCGTCCGACGTAGGCAGCCGTGGCCTTCCATAGCCGTCCAATCCACCAAACAGCTAGCCGTGTTTGACAGGCCCTTCTAGTGCACCATAGCGTTCCCCCTATCGAAAGTTGCGACATCCATTACGAGACCAGCGGCTCGCCGACGTTCCAATTAAATCAAACGCGGAACGTTGGACGTGCCATGGCGCGGTTGGTGAAGCAATTTAAAGCACGGATCTCCGCTACTGACGTACCTCTTCTGATAAAGGCATACGTGCGTATCCGGTCGGCGGAATTTGGTGATCGCTGACAAGTCAGCTATTCTATTGCTGCACACCACTGGGTAAGTGCATGACGCTCGTGTCGTCCTGATCACATGCAGGAACACCGACAGACGGAATTCTGCAGCACTGACACGTGGGGGAGGCAGTGGTGGTGGGAATAGGGGCTTATCAGCTTGGTTGACCCCCTGCAAACCCCCGCGAGGGCTTGCCGATAAGAGAAAAGGGCCCCGTCTAATCCGCCAATCCATTTCGGCTGCATTACAACGAGTGGCTGAGCTTCAAAGTTCAAGCAAAACCCCGGCCCCAATTAACCCCAAGCGAGCACGCCCGATGTTAATCAGCCCCGGTATATCCCCCTTAATCCCAGGCCAGTCGGGAGCCGGTGTATGCAGGTGCGGGTGGCGGATAATAAGTAGACGGCTAATTGATAGATCTGACAATCTGGCCAAGCCTCTCTTCTTCTCTCTTTTCTTTCTTCGTCTTCCCCCGTTCAACAACCACCAAACGGCCAGCCCGAGAGACATCTGCGCGCGCGCCCTTCCGTTCCTTTCCCGGTCTTCTCTACCAGGTACCACGCTCTTTTCACACGCACGACAGACAGCAATCAGCAACGCCTACTTCACCATGGGCGCAAATGAAAAACAGCAGGAGGAGCACAAGCTCGAGGCCGGCGGTGTTCCTGCACCGCCCACGCGCAGCCTGCACCCGGCCTTCTACATCGCGTACGGACACCGTCTGCCAAGCCAATTGACACCTGGACCGCGAAGTGCTGACCAGATGCCAGCCTGTGGATCACCTTGAGCTCCAGCGTCATTCTCTTCAACAAATGGGTTCTCGCGGCCGCGAAGTTCGATTACCGTGAGTTGGATTCGCATGCCTGAGGCGACGCGCGTCCACGTCCACCGTCCACCCGCTGACATGACATCAAACTCCAGCGCTGTTCCTGACGACCTGGCACATGGTCTTTGCGACTGCCATGACGCAGCTCATGGCGCGCTTCACCACCACCTTGGACTCGCGTCTGAAGGTGCCAATGGATGCGCCAACCTACATGTGAGCCGAACTCCTCCACGCTGCTCGTTAAAAGATCAGCGCTGACAATGCCACAGGAAAGCCATCGTCCCCATTGGTGTCATGTTCAGCTTGAGTCTGATCTGCGGAAACGTCGCATACCTCTACCTGAGCGTTTCGTTCATCCAGATGCTGAAGGTCAGTCTTCTCTGCGTCCGAACTTGAGATCAACGGCCAGGTGTCTAACCATGAACAGGCCACCAACGTCGTTGCCACCTTGATTGCCACCTGGGCTTTCGGTATGGTCGCACCGAACATGAAGACGCTGGCCAACGTCTCGGCCATCGTCATTGGTGTCGCCATCGCCTCTTTCGGAGAGCTCAAGTTTGATGGCTTCGGGTTCATCGGTACGTCAGACCCCGTCGCACACTATCCCGAGCCTCTATTGACGGGTTCCCACAGTCCAAGTTAGCGGTATCGTAGCCGAAGCCCTTCGGCTTGTCATGGTCCAGCGCCTGCTCAGTTCGGAGGAATTCAAGATGGACCCGCTTGTCTCTGTCTACTACTACGCCCCCGCATGCGCCCTCATCAACGGCTTCTTCACACTGTTCGTCGAGATCCCGCGTATGACCATGGCCGATATCTTCGCCGTGGGCGTCGCGACGCTGATCGCCAACGCCTTCGTCGCTTTCCTCCTGAACGTCTCGGTCGTGCTGCTGGTATGTCCATCGTTACCTGTCTGCCCGGCATTTCAGACTAACTCTTGAATAGATCGGCAAGACCAACGCGGTGGTCCTGACCATGTCCGGTGTGCTGAAGGACATCCTGCTCGTCGTCGCCTCCATGGCCATCTTCGGCGACCCCGTCACTGGCCAGCAGTACGTCGGCTACTCCATCGCCCTCGGCGGTCTCGTCTACTACAAGCTCGGCGCCGAGAAGATCCAGTCCATGGCCACCGACGCCAAGCTCGCACTCGGCGACGCTCGACGGAACCACCCGGCACGAGTCAAGCTCGTCCTCTTCTGCACCCTCCTCGGTGTTGCCACGCTTGCCATGCTCGGCTGGTCGCGGGGCATGCCAGCAACCTCCATGCCCACGCCTCCAGTATAAATAACGCTGCGTCGGGGGTTCGCATTCTGATATGATGACTCATGATACGCATAGTCTGTACTACTATATGCTCTGTTGCTTCGGTGTACATATTTACCGCTTGTATTTGATTAGACCACGGAGCTCGGCGATACTAGAATAGAAAAGCTGTCACATCTACACTAACGCCCACATCGATGCGCTGTCATGTCCTCCTGTATGCTAGCTTACTTGGCGTAGAATTGGTTGGCCCTGAAGATGCGATGCGATACAAACTCCGTCCTTGATGGCGGTGGTCAGAGGTTTGTGCCACTTCGAGAGACGGCGTCTCACGTAGGAATTCTAAGTCAAGAAATTCCAGCTGAGATTCGAAACACCCTCAGGGTGTCTGTTAGCAGGGCAAACCACTCGAAATCGAAGTCCGAGAAAACAGCTCTAACTCTCTTCATCAGGCAGCATGGGGTGTCCGCGCCGTTAGTCGGTGTGCTCAGTCAGGGATAGGGCGGGTCGGTACTCCCTGTTGCCGTGCTGCCTGACGCCGTGTGTGGGATTTCAAAATGGTCTATATTGGAAGAGAAGAATGATAGCCGACGGGCGTAGTTCCCTACCTCTGGAAGCTATCAGGTAATCAGAGGATCGATCCCACGGTACGACCAATATACGTGCTCAGGCTAGATACGCCGTTGAGCACATCTTCTGACACCGTGGGACTTGAGCCCTACTGTCATCAGGATCAGAGACTGCTGTCCTGTGGGCAGACGTAGGTGAGGTCGGAAAAACTAGTCTCGTCTGTCGGCTTCTGGCGGCTCGCGGGTATGACATTGATGTGCGTGCGTACATTGGGGACTCTCGCCTAGCCAGCACGTAGGCATGTGACGCATCAGTCATATCTACAATATAATTGTTGGCTGCAATGTCATGCAAGTTCCATAAAATGTGCATGTTGGTTCACTAATAGGTTCGCTCTGGGCAGGGCCACAAGATAATGACTACATTGGCAGCCTTGCATGCAGCTACTGTTGTGCGTGTAGAACTAGGGTACACCAAAAGGATTAATGGAAAACATGACTTGACGATTGTTTTATGTGAGCTGTTTATTTAGCGTACATGGGATGGAATGGAATAGCTGCTAGCCTACGGGGGTATGTAGAAGGTGGGAATAAGGTGTCGTGATGTTGGATGGGGACAGGTGAAGCGAGACCCGGGCTGCGAGCGGGTGGGCATTGGTTCGAGATGGTGTGCCACGGGTCGAAAACAAATCAAACGCCTTTTGCACATGTACCAATGAGAAGGTAGGATCAGGACTGGTATGGGATGAACAGTTCTGCGAGGTGCAGCAGGATCAGTGGAAGTCAGTTTGATATCGTCCTGATTAGGGAAAGCCCAAGAATTCGAGGCGAGCAAACTTGATCCTGCGTTTCGACTGGCTGGAATAATAATGGCAGGCAGTAGGATTGGACCAATCAGAAAAATAGGGGAGCAGGTGCCTGGGTTACCGGTCTCGAGAATCAGATGGGACTCTGCACACCTGCATGTTTACCACATGTACCTAGGTACCTGTTTACTGATTGTGATTCTTGTGCCAGACCCGTTCTCATATTTAAGCACTTATCTCTTCCCGCCCATCTTCCCTTTTTTCCCTTTCCTTCCCATACCATTCTCACCACACAAACATCTCCTTCTCCCTTCACCCTCTCACTTCCACTCCTCCACTGATCCACTTCCACTCCTTCACCTTCCCGTCCACACACAAGACGCACTGGAAACCCGGCGGCTGAGCCTTTCGGATCGATGTGACGTGCTTAGCTTGTGAAGCCTATAAAGGAAGCCCCTGCCTCCGCCTCAGTACCTCTCGACAAGCTCACCACCTGCGGGTGAATGGTTGTAAGTACTGAGATCACGGATAATGGGGCGACACCGGGGTGGTCAGCATTAAGGCACGACGTCGACGACTGGCGAGGCTTTCGGGGTCTGAAGGTGAGGTTCAACGCGGAGTTCGACGTCGCCTTCCGCCTCGTGGGTTCTGCAACCGCTGAGAACCCCAATCCCCCTCGAAGTGGAACTCCCCTTGACCGTCTCCTTGCTTCCCTCCGGCTTGGAATAACGCACTGTGGCCACTGAGTAAGTCCATCCTCATCTCCTCCCTTCCCCAGCGCTTGCTCACCGTTGCTAACTTGCTTTTTTTCCCCAACTAGGGGATACGCTACTTCTTTTGTTGGACGCTGTTCGACCCCGGGGCTGGGCGGTGGAGACGCGCGCGTCACGTGTTGGACACACTTTCCTTTCTCTACGCGTCTCGCTACACCTGACTTCACGACCGGGAATGCCACTCATGCATGGCTCCTGACTTCTGCCTTTTGGGCGGATTGAACTTTTGATCTCTAGACAAGCCTTCGGGCCATGTCAACACCTACTTTTTCATTGCTAGCTCCAGCTTGCTAGGGCTGTGAAGAAGAAATTCTCAAATTGCATCCGAGAGCATAACGGTCTTGATTCTGGCCCCGTTGGTTTGTTCTTCGGCTATCGTGATGTTTCCTGGTGTTTATACGTGTCTTGTTTGTTTCCATACTCGGTGCCCCAAGACCAGATTCCACGCCACTGGTTCCCTGTAAGTTTCCAGTTGCTACCGAAATGTAACATAGACGCTGACTAATGCACAACGGACAGACCTAAAGGCCCCATGTCTGCTGCATAGAACGCTCTTCGGCACCTTCCATCCTGGATGCCTTCCATGATGCGAACGATCTTCCCGCGCCTCCTGCTAGTCTACTACAGTATCGACACTCCCCAACCACTTCAGAAGGACATGTGCTCACCCCGAAGCCGTTTGTGCCAGACCCGGTCCATGAAACATGCCCGACAAGCATGCGGAAGCCGGGCTTGCAGCCCGTGTCCTTTGTGTAGTTGTAGGGCCCGCCGAACCTGAAGGCATGGTTTATTAACTATGTACGATTCCAACATCGTGCGGGTCCAACCAAATAGTAAAGGAGAAACACTCAAGATCTGCGAATATGAGAGCCGAAACGAGGACCCGGAAGTATGCCGCAGACGCAACCCCGCCGCCCATCTTGGCGTGATAGTGGCATGCCATGCGGTGGTTCGCACCAACAGAGGCTAACAACACATAATTGAAGTGCATGTACCTTCGGGCTCTGCGCAGAGCCCGAAGGTGGCCATGCGTGTGAAGGGATAACGTAGGTAGGTACATCCTGCAACATAGAACCAACAATGTGACAAGTTCGGCCCTTGCATACATGCACGTGGCAACCTAATGTTCTGATAGGTACCCACCTAAGGTATTTCTCAATGGAGTGGACTGGAGGCCCTGATAACATGGAAGGTACCCTCGCACCGGCGGAGGTTAGATATATCATAAGGTATGTACCTATATGGCTTCGGAAGCCTCGATGTATGTAAGGGGTAGGTACGGTAGCTACCTAGCACACACCTGCACCGTGGACCGCTTTCCACGTCCTATCGTCCCATCGTCCTTGACTTCTAATTAGTGGACTCGTTACCTCGCAGCTTCCCATAAACATCAAATACTGCAATCAACCACGTGACAATCTTGGGACAGTGTCATTTCGTCTGCATGGGAACCCTAGACCCAATCCTCCGTCCTTACAACATCACAGGTGCCGGCCCAGTTCAGAATCCCCATCTTCTTTTGTTAATCTCATTTGTCGCTTGCGACATACATTCAACTTCTCTAGGTTCAGCCACCGTATTGCCTTTTCGTACAGGCTATAATCATTCCCTCTCGATTTTGCTGCTCCCTCCAATGGCTGTAGCAAGGATCATTGTCGACTTGCAAAAGGCTCTGCCGCCCACCCACATCACTGTCACCCCGAGCGCAGTCGTAAATGGCATCCCGACTTCTGGATGTATCGTGTATCCCAGAACCAGCTACGATGTTTCGGTATTCTTGCAGGTCATGACGCCGTACGTGCTTGACGGTAAAGTTACATTCACCATACGTGACGGCGGAAGACCGTTGCATCCGGACCAAGAAGAGTTCAAAAATGATGTCATCGTCCTCGACTTATCTTACATCAGGGAAATTCACCTCATAACCCCAAGGATTGCCTCCATCGGCGCTGGCGAGCGCTGGGGTGCTGTCTACGAGAAGCTACGCCTGGCAGGCGTCAACGTGGTCGGTGCTCGGAATCCCGGGAGAGGAATTGGAAACCTTGCGTTACAGGGTGGTCTATCCTTCCTCTCGTCGAGCATAGGGTTCGTATCCGACAATGTGGTCAGCTACGACGTCGTCCTAGCCTCGGGGGACATCGTCAGAGCCAACGCCCAGGAAAACCCCCTCGAACTCATGCCTTTCACGACGGTCCAACCCCAGATAAAGGAGCTCACTTATCTCGGATATGTCCACCTAGGAGCCGCCGCGGCTGAACCTGGCGGCCTAGGAAGCACTTCAAGGTAGGCGTTGACGTCTTAGAATCGTCTCTCACTACTAATTCTACCCTCAGACGCGCCCACCTTGACACCACGGTCAAAGCCGACGCTGCAACGCTGACAGCTGCCACGGACATCTTCACCTCGGCCCTCGACCCTGTCAAGGCTCTCAACGATCTTAGTCTCATTGTGTCCATAGTCTTCGAGCCACTACCGATATCGCTCATCCAAGTCTCCATCACAAAAAGCTACAATCCCTTCGGCCTGGACTCTTCTGCCGGCCCCTTAGTATCGATCTCGCTCGTCCTAACTTAGTCTGACAAGAGCAACGACGAACTGATCCTCACCACCTTCGAGCGCGCTCGTCAGGCCGTCAAGTCTGATACTTCCAGGAGGAGCCAGGCTGTGGATTTTGTCAAACAGAGCGTGGGGGCTTTTAGATGGGTGAAAACATATACTCTGGTGTAATCCGTGTTCTTGTTGTATCTCTCTGAAAATCCTTATGTGGGCTAAGTGGCCCAAAAATGCCCTTGGCCTTGTTGGTGCACTGCCACCTCCCTGAACGCCACGGTGGCTTGCGCGCCATTCAACAGATTTCGAGTTGATGAGCACTGCTTTCCACTCCCAGGATCCGATTAGCTCATATGGGAGCGAGAACAAGCGGCGCATGCAAGAGGTCAGCAGGACCTATGACCCTAAAGGCTTCTTCCGAAAAGGCCTAGCAGGTGGATTCAAGTTGTTTCTTCCTGGAGAAGTTTCGACTCCGACAAGCGCGGCGGCCGATCTTAGGTTCCTGTTTGGGCCACATCTGAGTAGTTAGGTACACTGAATCCCATAACTCTGCGTATACCACTCACTATCGAATTGGGAAAAGCAGACCGCAATAAGCATTGAGAGTGGCGTATTAAATTATCACTGTTTATTCCCATATGTGCATTCCAATAATCTCCAGTTTTCCACTTGTGATCTGGAAGGCTCCCAATATGGGGCGCACAGCGACTTGTGAGGGCTAAGTGAAGCTTTGTTGGTCCAGTAAATGGGTATACTCCTGTATGTTAGAATTAGCGTATCAAACTTCAGTATAAAATCTAGTTCTCCTGACTTCGCTCCTCAAGAAAACGCTCGGAAAGTGCCGTACTCTGGGTATTCTGTCACATCCGAACTTCTACAGGCCACCCATCTCATCCATCGCCGTCGCCCCAGAAGTGAGCTGACGCCAGTGAGTAATTACCATTTGCCCTTTTGTTTTAGCTTTAGCCTGCCAGGATAGTCTATGATCAGACTCCAAACGATGATCTCGGGGACACTGGAACCTCGTCTATCAAAGTTGATAGGGACGCGTGATCCGGCCCCACCTCGACCCGTAGTGTAGGCGTCTGAACGGATCCGTAGGGATCCGTACGGAACCGATCGTAAAGTCAGGGATGGCCGGGGAACCGGGATCGCCAAAGTGGACCACCTTTCGCCCGGGCTTGGGTGGAAAGCTTCGGTCCCTAGACAAAACCTTTTCATCTTTCCCCTCAATTTGCCCAACCACCTGTCTGCCCATCCCCACGATCCCTTTCAGCATCGTCTTTCGATCACCACATCGACTTTGTCGTGAACATCGACTAGACCTAATGGCTTCAACTTCAGTGCCAGCTTCGACTTCCGGTTCGGCTCCAGCCGCAGCAGAACCCTGTCCTCTCCGTTGCACGATCTGCAATGCCGACTCCGCCAAAGCCTGCACCACGTGCAAACCCACCGCCTACTGCAGCAAAGCCTTCCAGAAGGTCGACTGGCCGTCGCACAAGCTGCTCCGCGCCCAGTACGCCGAGCTCACCAGCAGCAATAACACGGCATCCCAACCAGAAGGCCGTATCCTCGACTTCCTGTTCCCCGCCCTAGGAGCCAATCCCGAGCTCGTCTATGTGCCCGACATGCACCCCCACTCCGTGACGGACGAGGCCATCCCAGACACTATCAACACCATTTTCGACGCACACGACGACGCCTTCGTGCTCTCGCACGTCCGCGCGTCGGACCACCACCCCAACTTCCTGAACGAGGTCACGAACAAGGTCCGCGGCTACCGCAAGCAGGAAAGCTTGCTCGAGGTCTGGTACCGAAAGTACGGCGGCCACAGGCCGAACGAAGCCGTCCGCGCCGCTTTGACAGTGACCGGGGGAAGCTCGTTCCATGTCTGGAAGGGGAACGTGCTGGTGCTGGCCGCGACGAATACGCACGGGCGGGGGGTGTATAAGGATGTCACGATGAGGGACTTCCGAGACGCGGTGGATTTTTTGGCGGATTATCTGAATCCGCGGCGGAGGGAGGATGAGTTGACTGCGACTGCGTCGATGGAGTGGGGGGTGGAGTTGGTGCGGAGGGTGGGGACAGGGATGGTGGGCGGCACAGGGAAGATTGGGAGTATTGTGATGATTATGATACCTTGGAGGACTACCTTTGAGGACTGGTGTTCTGCTTTTCCCTACTTGACTTTACTGGGATGTTTGCGTTTTTATATGGACTATTGTCCTGTGTCTACATGTCTCGGATTCTCGCCTGCGATAGGATTTCGACCAAGCAAATTCTCTGCGGCTTTCTGACTGAGTATGTTTTTCCCCTGCCGGCTCTGAGGCAACACCGATGGCCTTGACGTCACTGTGCCAAGAAATTACCCCTTGATGTGCCCATGATGCTCAGTCTATTGGGCTCAATGAAAGGCCTTCGCCTTCCATTTCTAGCTTGTGCCCTAGGATGTAAGACAGAGATCATTGTACTGTCCACTGGAGGATGGGTAGTGCTTCGAATAGCCATTGGGAGATAGGGGAGCAAGGTGGGTCTCACGCCCCTTGTTCTCTACTTACTGGACATCACACGATATTGACGAACAGCAAAGAGACCAACCAACGACACACACACACACACACACATTGCTCCTCGAGGGACATAGGAGATCATCCAAAAACTGAGACCAGCATTGTCAGATTGATACTGCCTACCAGACAGCCGGCATCCACCCTCCTACGGCTAACGTTATAAGAAGTATGAGCAGACCTCCAGAGTACTGCTACAGGATAGACCGGGTATCCGTGGCAATGTCGGAAACAGACATGATCATGACTGCATTGAATCCCCAACTTTACCCAGAAAACACACATCGGCAACAGGCCGATGAATGAGTCGAGAGCGCGCTCAGCCTGGTAGCTGGTCAGGGACTGCGCGACATACGAGACCGGGCGCGTTCCACCGCGGTGCTAGCCCCTGGCCGCCCTCATCCCGGTCCTTCTCACGAAATATCATGTAACCAGGGACTTCACATGAATCCATGACGCAGTGACCCGTCACATGTCTTCGTCTGTACGTCTGGACACGGACATACTTCCAAGATGACTTAGTACTCATCAAGTCGGGAGTAATCAAGTCGGGAGTAAAGGCATAGGTGAAGGCTGCTTTGGACTAAAAGATCACCATTTATGCTCACTCTAGTCTGCGTATTCCAGACATTGTAAAAATTCTTGGGGGACACCAAGACTCTGGAAGCTTCAATGTGATGATAATTATAACAGAATGAGCAACACCCGCCCACTATCACCAAACCTCAACACCTCGCCATCCACGCCCCTAGTGCCGAGGGGCATCAGAAAACGGGTCCCCAGCCGAAATACTATGGCTCGGGGCGTCAAAGCCCATATCGAAATTAGGTCTCGCCCCCATAGCAGCCTGTGTCTTCGCGATCTCATCGGCCTCCTTGCGGACGCGGAGAGCCTTCTGGGCGCGCTTGTCGCGTATGCAGAAGATCATGAAAACGAGGACGCCCAGGGCGGCGACGGCCGCCAGGATGATGGTGACGACCAGCTGGCCCGCGTTCAGTTCGTCGTTTTTGAGCTTGCAGATGTTGACGCCAAAGTCGTTGACGCTGCAGTGGTTCGTGTGGGCGCACTTCAGGTACGAAATGTCGGTCGGGTAGCAGGGTAGCTCCTGGCCGGACGATGGGCCCGAATGGGCGATTGGGCACATCGAGGTATGGAGGGTAGTGGAGGTACTGCATTGCACCGTGGTGAGGGCGCCGCCTTTGACGGTGGTGGTTATCGCGGCGCCACTTTGGGGAGCCGGCATGGGGATTGGTGCTGCATCCCGTGTTAGTGATTGGGAATCCCACCGCGGATGCTGTGAAGACCGGGACACGTACCTGGGGTCGGGTCCGGTCCGCGACGGCGAATCTCGGCTACCGATTGGCCCTCGTCGCACACCTTGACGACGTACTGGGTTTCGATACGCGCCTCGTCCGGTCCGCATCCGGCATTCTGAAAACATTGCTCGACGTCGCTCTGCTCTAGATACGCCGGTACATTGGTGAAGCAATACCGCAGAGAACCCTTGTCCCCGCAGGCCACGGCTTCGGCGAGCTCGTTGGCATCTCGGCGGAGACAGGCGGACCGGCCCACCGTCGCACTGACGAGTGAAGACCCCGAGAGGAGGAGCAGAGAGAGGAGGGTGGAGGGCAAAGCTGCCATCAAGAAGGAACCCATATCGATGTCGGCCAAAGTATGCTTCATATACAGAGATCGATTCGTAGCAACGGAAGCTGACGGACCGTTGAGCCGCAGACCCAAGCTGGGGGCAACAGAACTTATAACTTATATCTGCTGCTGGTCACTCATATAAATGTCACCTGAGACGCGATGTCTTCATAATAGGGTAGTCGCTGGGATGTGGTGGGCGGGTCTTCGAAGAGCGGTGATGATCGAGACAAAGAGAGCAACAGGTCAGAAAGGCGAGACCAGACAGATGTGACGAGAAAAGTGACGACTATGTAGGAAGCAGTCCTACAAGCGCCAGCAGGAGCTTACCTGTCAGATTCTTATAAGTTGTGATAACTCCAGGGCTCTCATATGTGCCTGAACATACGATCCTAGCATGCACCCGCATGTAGGCCCCCAATTGAGTCTCACTAGACCTGCAGTTGCTCACGAAGCTTCAGCCTTCATCCTCCCTCAGCTTTCGGGGCCGTTTTCTGATAGCTCTGGACCAATGTTGAAAAAAGGCGCAGGAGGCGGAGCATGGGTCCGCAGCTGAACTCCCCAAAGTCCAATGAAAGTTGACCATGGATGCGAAATGAGCTGCGGCTTACATGCTTAAGCTAGAGTGCAGCCTGTCATTAGTCGAGAGCTGCATGTCCTGTTGGCCTTCTGCAGTGTGTGAGTACCAGGATGACTTATCAGTCATGATCCTGATTGGGCAGTGTTGCCAATAGGGGAGGCTTTGACAGTTCTTGGGCTGGAGTTTGGACCAGGAGAGATAAGGGCAGTCAGATCAGGATCAGCACCTCTTCAGACATTGATTAGTGCACATGACACATGTGAATCTTTTTGGAGAAGACGGTACCGATTGATCTTGCGACCGCCTTCGTATATGTCAGGGATCCCGGATGAGGATAGACGGGCAGGCAGGCCAGCAGAGTGGCTGTGTCTGCTGTGTAAGCCCAAACTGCACCTTTTACGGTGTCACCATCTGAATGTGTGATAGGTATGATTGAGAGTCCTGTGAATGTTACACAGTAGGTGTGCATAGCAAGGCTACCCGCTTGAGACAGGCAGGAAGAACTTGGGGTCCTAGCGAGGCGTATTCCTGCTGACACGGTGAGCAAACAAAAGCACAAACTCCTGATCTCGAGGTCATGATTGATGGGTAGAGTAGCAGTCTGCTATGGGACTCAAATGGCCAGCGAGTCGACATCCCATCTTGCCATTTGACTGCTTGTATTGGCGCTGCGGCTGTGTCACCAGGTTTGAGTTGGTGGTGAATGTCGCTCCACCTAGCGATGCAGGAGCAGTAAGCACTTGTACGGATTCTCTCAGCGCCCCAGTTTGTGCAGGCAGGCTGCAGTATGGATGCTGATGAGATTCGGAGATAGCCGATGAATTTTGACACGCCAATTGATCTGTCCCGTCCTTGGCTTGATCACTTCGCAGGCAGTTCCGAGCGCAACTGCGTGTGCCGAGCCGGCACCGTTGCGCGCAGCTTCGGGGCAAACCCGGTAGGATGCATGATCATTCATACGGGAGTGAGGTAGAGGCTGGTGATGGAAGACATTGAACACCCGGAGGTGGTCGATATTGAAATTTCGCTGAGTTGGACGCAGGCTCCGATTCGGTTGCGCAACAGTATTTGTCTACGCTCTTCACACGTGACTCTCAAAAGGCATGTCAGCTGCCTGTTTGCACCGCAGAAGCCTAGGTACCTAAGGTGCCAAGAAGGATAACGTCATTGTTTTGAGTACCCGCGCGTCCAGCCTTGAGGCCTTGATTCTGCCACCTACAGCACTTTCTTATAAGAACAGAGATCACCTACCAACCCCCGACTACTCTTGCAAAGAACCCCAACACTTCCATACCAACACCACGATCCGATTCTCTACAGCTTTACGGACCCGCCGATACACACATACAACCGCCATCATGCCTCTCGTCGTACCCGGTGTTACTAGCAGCTCTGGCGACAAGACCGAGGAGTGGAGAAACAAGCTGGTTGGCAAGACGGTGTCCGACGACAGCCACAGCGAGACGGTATATATTGGCTTCATCTCCATGAGCATACTCCGGCGATATTCAGCGACAAAATGCTAACATACAGACCTTTCTCTAGAACTTCTGCAAGAAGGAGCTTCCCGAGCAATGCCGCGTCATTAAGCCTGGAATGATGGTGACCAAGGACTTCCAACCCGACAGACTCAATGTACACGTCAAGGACGATGGCACCGTTAGCCACGTCCAACACGGCTAAGCGTTGTTTCCTTCAACGCACGACTATCTAGTTGAAGGCAGAAAGGGTGGCCGTGAAACGGCTCAGTTCTGTTGAGCCGGGTGAACGAATGGAGGGACCAGTGGATGCTGGTTTCGCTGGCAGAGCCGTGGTTTTGTTATCACTACCGCCGATTACCTAGAGACACACGATGAATGAGCAATGAATTGATACCACATCCACATCACCAGAGAAATAGTTCAGCTTGACCATGTTGAAACGCAGACCTAGACTCTATGCTACCTGGTGGCACTGAAGGGGCAGAGGGGGGAGGCATGGAGGCGCGGGTGGACGGTGTGAGCTGCCCCGCTTCATGACGCGCCGCCAGAACTTGCCCCTCGTTCCAACCTCCATTGTCCAAGCTGAGGTGCGGGGCATTCCAGTTCAGTTGCCAATTGCCCCTCCAAACTTTCGCGAGCTTCCATTCCCAAAGACACCACACCACCATACCAACATACCCAACATAGAACTGTAGCGAGCAAGCCAGACCAGATCACGAAGTAATTCCGACGATTATCTACACCGAAAAAACTACCCATACACCAGAGTTCCGACCCAATACGTCAAGATGTTCAAGAAAGAGTAAGTCCAGTCTTGCCTTTGCGAGTAGCCAGTCCCCCACCTGTCCACTCTCCCTCCCTGGACACCCAACCTTACTCAAGCCCCCAAGCACAAGCGCGACGACAAGGCGCAAGAATACGGGAGTGCGATCAGATCATACTAACAGACCCCCGCGCCCAGGATAAACACGTCCCCGAAATCCAAACTCAAGTCCTCGGTTCAGCGCGCGCTCCGCCAGTCCCTGCTCACGACCTTCCCGCTCCTGACGCCGTACATGGACGAGATCCTGCCCAAGAAGGGATCCCTGGAGGCGATGAAGCTGCCGGACCGCTGCACGCTGTACCTGTTCGAGTCGGAGCCGCTGTTCTTCCAGCACGACCTGGCCGCGACGCTGCTGCCGCACCTCAAGCTCGCGCACCGCTTCCCGCAGGCCTTCCCCAGCATACGCATCGACCGCGGCGCCATCCGCTTCGTGCTCAGCGGCGCCACCCTCATGGCCCCCGGCCTGACGAGCGCCGGCGGCCGCCTGCCGAGCGGCGTGCTGACGGGCACGCCTGGCGAGGAGGGCGAGGGCCTCGACGAGGAGGCGCGGTGGAAGAGGGAGCTGGCTAAGGGCGAGCCTGTGGTCGTCACGGCCGAGGGCAAATCGGAGGCGTGCGCGGTGGGGTTCTTGGTCGCGGGCACGAAAGAGGTCAAGGAGAAGGGGAAGGGGCCCGTGATTGAGGACGCGCACTACCTCGGCGACGGGCTGTGGAAGCTTACGACGGATTGATCAGTCGACTTCATGGAATAAGGAAGGATTATAGTAGGACGGCCAAGGAAGTCGAGGAGGAGGTAGCTCGATCTGCATAGCATGCGACATGTTCATCTAGCGTGGAGAAAGAGTCATTGGGGCATTGTTGTCTGGAATTGCATCTCGCGATGTCGGGCTGCCGATGTGAGCTATACCAAACGACGACCCTACCGGATCTGATCTCTGGGGGCATTCATCCCATACGGCAAGGCAATGCCACGCTCATATACAACAGAGGTCGATCATCATCTATGCAGGGAATCATAAGAGCGCCACTACAAGAATTCCAAAAGTCTCTAGCCAGTGTCTTTTCCCTGGCTTGCCAGACATAACCACCGACACTGCGACAAGGTTGTCGGAGCCTCTCACCTTTGACACTAGATGAGAAACACATCCACTCATCACACCTGACCGGGAGCAAGAGGTCGTATTACAAAATGTGGCACTCTGTCTACCACAAACACACAGCGCATGGGATGTCATCCAACAAAAATGATGAAGGGAAAAAATGAAATACTTGCATTAGCCGCGAATCGAACGCGGGGCCTGCCGAAGTTGTTTCCCAAATCATGGCAACGGCAGATTTTACCACTAAACCACTAATGCGTTTTGTAATTGGATGAAAGTCGGGAATTTTAGAATACCCTATACCACCGATCAAAATGCCTCAGGCGGTCGTGGCCCCTCTCGCCGAGTAACCCGGAACCCCCCGCTATTGCTGACCGGCTGTGAAGAGCAACGCAATTCTCGGAGCGTCATCTTTGCTGGAACAGTCTCGATCAAGAACGTACATCCCGCTCTCGGGCTAGACCGACAGCTGAAATATTCAAACCTCAAGCGAGTCGATTATGTTGCTCAAAGCTGCTGACGTTGGCCTCGCGATGTGTAAGAGCCCACACACTGGCATGGATGCTGACTACGCAATGCTTGATTATTGAAGACTTATTGGCGGCGCGCGCGCAGGTGGCAAGTTGCCCTGAGTGAGCACTCTGGGGCCAGATACTCGGACTGCCCCGAGAATGTTCAACATCAGTACCACGCATCGTGTCGGCGGTGTGAAGTAAGACTGGTTCACAAGACGGGCAGCTGATCTCGTATTCAGCTCCCGGGCGGCCGGGCCTGCGACAGAAACAGCTGCGTTGGGGTCAGCTGATACGCCCTGTGATGGCCATCAACCTTCGCAATACCCGGACGGAACTGCACCGAGTGGCCGACCGACGATATCTCGTCAGGTCGCGTGGGCGACTCTCGGACGACAGGGCCAATTGCGAATTTGCGCGTCTGGCGGTGTGGACTGGCTGGCGTCAACACGATATCTACAGTCTGACAAACGTTGATCTCACTCGTATACCGTTACTAAGCCCGTCCAACCTAGCCCTACGGCGATGACTCGGCGGAGGCATTCGGAATGCGGGTGGTGATGCTGGTGAACTGTATAAAATGGGTCGAAGTGACTCGCGTTTGAGGACATGATACCACGACTCATCCGCTTCATCCGCAGCACTTCGTACCTTACCTTAGACAGAACTTTCAGAGCAAGCAAGCAAGCAGAGTTCATACCACACCACTCACTTCAAACCACATCACTCACTTCACACCATACCACTCATTCATCATGCAGTTCTTCCAAGTCCTGTCGGTCGTCTCCTTCGGCCTGCTGGCTTCAGTTCAGGCCGCTCCCGCTGCCGCAGTCGAAGAGAGTGCCTTGGACGAGAGGACGCTCGGCAACGTAAGCGCCATCACCAAAACCCTTTCTTTCTTTCGTATACACTTATGCTAACTGGATAATCCTCAAAGGTCTACCTGTGCACCGGCAGCAACTGGAGCAACACCTGCCAGAACGTCGAATTCAAGACAGACCAGACGTGCACGCCCATCCCGGAGCCGTTCGCCTACTCGCTCGGGTCCATCGGCCCCGACGCGGGGCAGTACTGCCGCCTGTACCCGTAAGTAGAGATCTTCACTGCGGAGTTGAATGGGATTTGGTTGGCGAATGATGGCTTACTGACTGTTTGCCGACTAGGAGCGCCGGGTGCGTCGAGAGCAAGCAGCTTCTCTTCGTCTACCCTGGCGGCTACAGCGATCTGTACAACCAGGACGGCGTTGACTATGGACACCAGGCTGCGTACATTGCTTGCCAGGCTTGCAGCGCCTGCTAGGGCACTTGAGGGCGGATTCGATGAGTTATGGCCAAGGGAAGTGAGTCGGTGGAGTGGCCTCGCCCCGGCTTGGTCGATGGCTGAGGACGCGATGCTAGAGTTGGAGTCATTGTGGACTTTCATTTCGAATGGCTTTGCTCTTTGGCAGTTCCAGAGCATTTTGGGTTCCTGGAGGTCTTCAGTCTTTGGTTTTTTGCGAGAGAGCCGCTTCCCGGGTATAGGGGGCATCGTACATCGTGGAGCATGAAGGTCGAGAATGGATCCTAAGATAATGGAGCGAATACGCTAGATGAGACATCATAATTCGATTTGGCATTACAGCTGCACAGAGGTGAACCACAAGAGCCCCTAGGTTTCTCGACTGTCTTGACTTGCCCGTTTCTTTCTTGGTCTGGTTAACGTAAGCCCAACCTGTACCACAAGCCGGTGAACGAGGTCTTCCCAACCGGCGAGACCAGGCATAATGCGTACGATCATAACGCTCGAGGGTGAGTGAGTATGAAGGCGATGTAGTAAGAGATGTCAGCGGTGAGAAGGACATGGGCAAGGAGATAGTGGGAAATCATCGAGACTGCTGGTTTCAAGACCAAGGCACCGTGGCGTCGCGACCTACACAATTGAGGATATCCAGGTGCACTCCCATGTCCAGGCCTTCGTAATACCATAACACCGAGTTCAAGCTATGCATATTTTCATCATAGAGACACCGAGAGACATCTCCGTATAATGTCCTTGATCTCATCATCCTATCTAAATATGTAACACAGCTTGAGCCTCCGCTTCCTCAGGTACCTCTTGATGCGGCCCGCCGCCACCCGCGATGGACGTGCCTCAGGCTCGGGATTCTCTGCGACGGTTGAATGGGTGTCTGGCTGCTCTGTTGGCTCTGTGTTGCAGTTCCGTTCTATCGGACAGCTTGGCGCCCGTCTCAGTGTCGCTGCCCCTACCAACGGGGCTCTCGAACTCGTCGATATTCGCCTGCATCTCGTCCGCCCACGTAGACGTGCCGCTTTCGTGTTTGCTTCAGTTGTCTCAACACAAGGCCACCCACATATTCCTACTCTTTGGAGATCATGACATCAACTTCGCACCTAGTGATGAAATCTATTGGTGGTCTAGGCACTGTTTTGTTTATACAATCCGAGGTGGAATCCCAGGATCTCTTGGAGATGCTGCTGGGACTTATTGTGTCTGTTAAGTAGGATGCTGCTATGCCAGAGGAGGTCGCGGTGGATAGTGAGATGGTCTAATTTACCTGGAGTCTTTCGGCTTCGGGTCGAGCAGTGCGTTTGATTGCCCTCTGCAGTTCGCCAGGAGCAAGCCGAAGCTGAGGAATCGTGTGATGTGCATGGCAAAGACAATGCAAAAGGGATGGGGAATGATGAATATGGGAGCTTTCTTGTGGCATAGCTTGATAACGTCACTGTAGTGGGTGTTACGCTTTGGACGCTGCCTTATAGTCCAGAGAGGCAAATGCCCCTATTTATTAAGCTCAAGTAGAAGACAGTATCGCCTTCACCTCATCGCCTGTAATCGCCGTCGCCTGTAACGAGGGAGGAGGGATCAACCCCCTCCCATTCAACTCGCTAGGCGGTAGCGAAGAATTTGATGCTTGTCGACCAGACTAGGGCCGTCGGTAGTCGCATGGCGGAATGCTATCTCTCATGGGGATTTTCTACCTGGTACCCAATCATAGCTCCACCTCCTTTAAGGCCAAAGGTTAACGGGAACGACGTATCATTACCTAGGCAGCATATCTGAACTGAACCACTTGGGCCCGTATACGGCCGTGTCGTCCCCGGGCAAAGCGGGGACCGGACACGGCGACACGGAGACCGGTGGCTAACCTAGTGAACCGGGTGACGGAATTCTCCATTACCCCTGCTTTATGAATCGTGTTAAGATGTTTGGTATTTCCATTTTGGTCTCACGTCTTTACTCACCACGGTGATTTAGAGGAGATTCTGCACATCATACTGTGCATTGCAATCCCCTGGTATGTCACGCGCAACCACGTGCTTATGTCGCAGCATTACTATCGTTTCTCTTTCGGCCAGGAGGATTCAAGGATATCCTGCCGGCTCAGTGAGATTCGGGACATGTAATGCCAAAGCCTTTTTGAATTTAATCACTTCTAACAAGTTTCACGGTTGAAGGCACAATGGTATGCGGGACGACTCTTGTTCATTCTCTCGCAAGTTTGCTCTCTCTCTCGTACGTACTTTTGGTGTGTCTGCTATGTATGGTCCATCCACTTTTGGTAAAAACTGCTCATGACGGTGCCCTACTTGGCATTAGAACTCCCCCCTCTCGGAGGATGGGTATCTCAATATCTCGGCAAAAGAAACAAAACGGCAAGGTGGTATTGGGTGCCCTAGGCCGTCGGAGTGAAGAGGCGAACCTCGTCGTTGTTCAGAATCCACTTTCCATCAACGCGGATCGAGACGTGCGCATACCACTTCAAGAAGTCTGCGTCAAGCCGGGTGAAGTACTGCAGCAGAGCTTCGGGAGGGCAGAAGAGCTTGATAGCCAGGGGGAAGGCGAAGACGGGGAACGGTCGAGGCCCGTTGGCTCGGACCAGGGTGCTGTACTCGTGGTGAGCGTAGTGGAGCTGCTCGATGATGCCGGCGTGTAGGTCGTCGGTCAGTCTGTTGCACGGAATGGCCTTCCAGTGCGCGAATCCGGCCATGTGGTTGGCGAGGAAGTTGACAATGCGGTGGTAGACATTGTCGTCGACGAGGTACATGTCTGCGAGCTTCAAGGCTCGGACATAGTCCCCAGCGGCGTAGGCCCCGTGGCCGAGAGTGGTGACTGGGTGGCCGTATAAGGCAATCAGCAGGATCTTCCACTCGGGAAGACCGTCCTCCTCAAGCGAGACTCTTCCCGTGACGTTTTCGAGAAGCCGATGCGCGAACATCTGTCGCAAACCAGCGGCGGAGTCCAGGGCCTTGACGTGGACGTTGATGTCCACTCCCTCCACGCAGAAGATGACCATGCGACTATAGAGACTGTTAGAAACGTTGAGTAGTATGAGGAGAATACGTAGACGTACCCGTCGCGGTGTTGGTAACCCTCGTCTACCCGGTAGGTGAACAGCTCGGGGTTCTCGCTCATGAGGTCGTATGAAGACAGCTGGTCCACGACCGCTGCCTCTTCGGCGGCACCGTCTTCGATTCCAACGACGGTAACTTCGCTCGCAGTGTCTGAGTCAGCGACACTGCCAGCATCGTCGCCGTCAGCGACAGAACCATCGTCCGTGGCGGTTTCGGCGACGGAGCTAGCAGCCGTGCCGACCGAGGCATCCTCGCGGCCCGTCGCTGTAACCACACCATCAGTAAAAAGTTTCGAGACACTCGATATAGTGTGGTGGTCACCAGACACGGATTGATACCAAGTGGGGACTTCCGTAACCAAGTAATGCCAAAGGGCCTGAGGAAGGTGGGAAGAGGAAGGGGAACTCGAAATTGAACAGGGGTCAGAGCTTACACGGGCCACCAGCGGTGTCGGCGATGGTATCGCCTGTCTCGGTGACAGTCTCGGCAGGCTCTTCGGCGTCAGTCGCAGTCACTACGGCCAAAACACGTTAGCAACGATTCGAAGCGTCATGCGCTGGCCGGAATCCTCGTAGTCCAGGCTGAAGTGATGGCGATGATCCATGCGAGCGGAAGGTGGAGATGAGGTTGCGGTGCCGAGGAGGTCGAGAAGGTGGCGAGGAGGCTCTGAAGTGGCGAGGAGGTTGTGAAGGTGATGGGGAACACGGGAATGGATGGGAGCTGAAACTTACCAGGAGTGACCGCGCCGACCTCGGTAACATTGACCTCGTCAATGGTAGTCTCGTCGATTGTGCCCTCGTTGGCAGCTAAGACCACGAGAAGTCAGTCGTTGCTTCCATGAAAACCATGGAGACAAGCAGCCCCGTCTCTTTGCGCCAGAAGACGGCTTGACGATGGAGAAATTGAACGCATCCTCTGGGGTGAAGAATGTAAAAGAGATTGCATGCCCTTGACAAAATTCATTGGGATAATACCAAGCAGTATGCACGATGCGTCGCGTGCTCGCTATCCGCGACCATGATGCGGCGTCGAAAAGGTGAGTGGGGGAGAGTTGGGGAGAGTTGGGAAGGGTGGGGGAGAATTGGGAAAGGTAGAAAGAGGGATAGGTGAAAATTTTGTCTTACTTCCATCGATGACCTGCGCGTCGCCTAAGATCACAAGAGGTTAGTTGGTGTCACACAAACATTGTCCACGCGGGTCCCGTGTGTGTGTGGCTGGTGCCCCGGCGACCCTCCGAACTCGGCAGCGGCTGGAAGATAAAAGGGGACCCACCATCCGGCTTGTTGGAATCCATGGCGGCGACAGCGACGACTTCGTCAACAGCAGAGGCTCCGTCAACACCGGCGACTTCGTCAGGTCCAGTGACTTGGTCTGTGACGGCAGAGTTTTAGTGTATAGTCAGAGAAGAACTGTGGGAGTGATGAGGCTTGGTCGTAACGTCTAGCACCCCTGTCGCCGACTCGGTAGAATGAGGATAAGAGTGTAAGACCAAAGGATCTGACATCATCAAGGTCCAGCAAAATGAAACATGATGAGACTGATGCCAACAAATAGGTAGCGGGGTGAGAGAGCCTGGGTATTGGATGGTTGAAGTGGAAGGGGCATGGGTGAAGTTGAGAACCACCGCACCTGACCTAAGCATGAAAGCAAAAGGAGAGATGTGATTGAGTGGACTACCACCACCAGGTTGGATTGGAAGAAAACGAGACGATGAAGATGGCTGTTGATCCAGACTTGGAATCAAGGTAGACGATGCAGAAGCAATCGACAACTGAGACCGACCTCAAGGAGAGAAGAGTACCAGGGGAATATCCACGCTGGAACGGCATGGGGACCAGGTAGGGAGTCGAAAAGGAGTGTCGCAAGTAAGGACGCATAAACAGCAGGGAGACAGATGAAATGAAGTGTGTGCTCTCAACAAGTGCGAAGAGAGACGATGTGATCGCGAGGGTTGCTGGAGCCCTCAAGACATTGAGTATGTGACTCTTCAATGAAGGGCAGCCAACATGAACCGAGGTCCAGGATGAAAAGACCCACGTGAATGAAACACTAATCTCAACTTGAGTATGGGAGTGCGAGGTAGGATGAGTGGAAGCTGATGTGGACTCAGGCCTGAGCCAAGGTGGTATGGTGCAGAGCACATGATAGGGGGAGGGAGGGGCAGAGCACAGGATAGGGGGAGGGAGGGGCAGAGCACAGGATAGGGGGGAGGGGCAGACCCGCACAAAATAAATTCTGTGGGTCAACCAAAAACACAAAATGAAGCCACAACTGGAATTCAGAAAAGGACTGGAAATTGACCAGAACCACCACCTCTAGACTTACCGGTGACGGGGGAGGAGGGGAGACCGGGAGGAAAGGCCCAGGTCGGGGCGAACGGGTTGGCTGTTGAATGTATGAATTAGCATAGGTCGGGTCCGATTCTGGAAATCAAGACGATCGCCGACGATGCTGGGAGTAGGCGACAGGGGAATACGCAGCGACGTTTCGCTTGCTTCCGAGTAGAGAAGAGTGGTAAGGAGATGTGGCGATGGATTGCGTGTGATTGAAACAGCAGCGCCGATGAAACTGAGGCTCGTCGCCAACACCAGAGGAACACTTACTGGGTGAGGAAGACATCTTGGTCTTGTCGGTCGTGTTGGTGGCGTTGCTGGTGGTTCGGGATGGTACGTACGCAAAGGAGGAGAAGAGACGAAAGTTGTGCGTGGTGCTTGGGAACAGAACGGGTGGAAGGTGTGCGTACGTGGGATGGCTGAGAAAAAAGAAAGAAGGTCTGAGAAATCACAGCGAGGAAGCAGATATTTATAATGAAAATATTCTGGCTTCAGAGAACCCTTCAGGCCACCCAGGAGGTTCCCTTCTGAGAATTGAACACGTTGTTCTGGTTTGAAGCACTTGAATTCTGGTGATAGCCTCAGTTCTGGGGACCCGGGTGGATAGGGGGGTGTTGAAGTATACTCAGGGGCAGATAGGCTAATCTTGTATGGTAGCTTACCAATGTGTACTTACACAACACCAACTTTGCAGCACCAGCAGAGCAGGAAGATAGCCCCAGGGACATGATATGAAAGCTTGGCGCGCATAGGGGAATGTTTGCTTTCATGCCCCTATTCCCAGTTGGGACGGATTCAGAGGCTTTGGAGTCGTTGATATGCAGCTAGCGCTGCGGTCAACAGGTCAAATGGCCAAGATATGCCTGGACACGTTGCTTAGCTTTGGTGACTTGCTCGATGCCGAGAAGAAGTGAGCTGTCGTCACTCCTGGTGGCAGCTGTATTGAGCGACATCATCGTGCAGGCCACCTCGGCATGGTCATGTGGCAGCTGCGTAATCTCTGCTACGAGAGTGAACCCACCGAGCATGTAGCTTGGTAGGAACCTGAGGACTCTGAGATCCTTGATGAGCCAGAGAGGCTGATGTGAGGGGCTGGCATGGAGTAAGATGCTGCCGGTGAGGGCCCTCTAAGTCAAGTGCGCACTGGCTGCCACTTGAGGAGTGGTATTGGTGATCCTCACCTTGGCAGTGCGTACTGTCGAGCCCAGGTGAGACGACCGGACGACCAGACGGTGGGACGACCAGACGACAAGTTGCCCATGATTTTGGCAGAGAACGGGGTTAATGATCTGACTACCAGCAACTTGCTTTCGTCCTCATCCGTAGCCTATGCCGTCTGAATCGTCGTGCTACGATGGGACGGATGTCTAAGAACATGTAGAGCTGAGACAGCTGGCTTCTGGACTACCAGGTGATCTCTTCTGCTTGTGAAAGGGTACCTGAAAGGAAACGGAGAGCTTCCAGAACTATAAAAGAGATAGTGATGACGGTAACTAGCCGACATCATGTGCCGGCTTTGACCGGTCTGTCAGTCGGGCTGGGCAACGTATGCTGCTAGAGAAGGTCCGGAAAACTATCAGGAATGGAGAGCTTTCTGGCAGATGATCTCAAGGCTCGTTGCTGTTGGTCATTCTCTCGTCTGACGATGTTGCAGAGGGAGGAAAATGTGAATGGGGCATGCCAATGTGAACAGAATTGAGCACCTCCGCCGGTTTTGAAGGCCAGAACATGCTGTCCACAATGGGCCAATACTACAAAGCTGTCTCTTGCGTGAACATGTGTGACTGGTAGGTCCTAGACCACCACCAGGCTGCGATGCCGCATGCGAGGAGAAACATATGGTGGGAGGTGACAGCCTCGGGGCTCCTGTGTGTATGTGTCTCACACATCTTGTAATTCGACTTCGCCAGTAAAATTGCTTTGTCCCTGCAATACGTGGGTCCTCGGGGTTGGGAGCCCTCTCAGGTGGAATGGGCTCAAATTCGTTCCAGTGGTGAAGCAGACGAGGGTTGTCTGGACCCGCGCACGGGTCTATGTTATATCGCCCAGCAGGAGGCTCTCGGCATCCCGTTGGACTCAGCTCTCCAAATTAACTACAAACCCAACATCTGTCTCCTCGTGAGGGCCATGGTATGGCTACTTCCTAGCTCCCTTACAAATGTCCGAGTAAGAAGAACTGAGGCCCCACCCCTACTGTCTGTGAGGGAGGACTGCAAGCTTGCTCGGCCTTCAGGTATGTCATCAGCTTCCACTCCATATCTTAGGAAGCGACTTGCCAGCAGGTCCAAGGTTACACGATCGGGATACATTGGCTGATATTGTTTCCCTAGACTCCGTTTCGCCCTGATTGGGCTGGTGCCCTTTGCGACAATAACCGACGATACTCCCTTTCAGGAGCAGACTTCGACCCCATGGTGGTCTACCAGGCCACAGCACAGCGCGACGACCCAAGTCACCATCACTGGGGTTGATATTCGTCCTTGATATTTGCCTACTGCACCTCTTACCATCACATAGTTGCCATCTCTCGCCAGCCCTGCACCATCATGCCGGAGAGGAAAATACACCTCCTCGGGGGTGGGGGTTGACGCACCACGACATCCTCATGGCGACCTTCGCAGTGATGAAGCCCACAGGTGCGCAATGGCAACTCATCACTGAGCAACTGCACCGCCTCGGCCTGGGAATGAGGGCATCATCAAAGCTAATGCTTCAGTGGCAGCCGGTCTTACTGAGGGCAGTTGAACCTCGTAGGCGCGACACGCACCCCTGAGCCCAAGCGCCGCCTGCAGACCACGAACGTTGTCGATCGAATACCGCCACCCCAGAGCGTGCGTCTCTGCAAGAAGATCCTCGACGCAATCGAGGAGGGCAATCTAGATGATAGTCCAAAGCAGAAGTGTATGTTACTCCGGACAGAAATGAGAGCTCATAACATTCACGATCGCGAACCAACCGCTTCCTACCTTGTCGAGAAGGCCCTGGGCCCAAACCCGGAGGCAAACATCCGACTTACAGGTATGGTGATGCAAGATAAGACCATGACCCGTCAAACTGGCATCTCCTCGGCGAGATCCATCCGACACTGCTACGACCCCTTCCACACCAATGCCCTTGACCAGTTGACTGCTGTTTGTGAGAAGCAGGACAAGCTAGACGAGGCTTCAACCATGACCAGGACCTGAGCATACTCGCGCCCCGTGAAGCTGAGGGCTACCTCCGCTTGGCAAAGGTTTTGCGCCTGCTGATCAAGGCGAGGCTCGCTGTGTCCACATACCAGCAAGGCATCCACATAATCTCCCAGGTAAGCCCAGTACTTATTCCTCTACCGAAACGACACCAGCTGATGACCAAGGTGAAGCGATCGATCAGGGTTGACTTTGGGAAGCGTCTGCCCATGGAGCTCAGCATAGCGATTTTCGAGCTTGCTGATATCATCCAGTCAACAAGTAAGTACCAGCCATAGAAGGCCAAGAAGGACGACGAGCCCAAGAAGGCCACGGAGGCTAAGAAGGGAGCCAAAGCCAAGAAGGCCGCCGTCACCAAGCAGGGTGCGGAGGCGCACGCGACCTTTGCGTTCCTTCACGGCCAGAACCTTCCGGTCCCCCAGCACAATTCTACTCTGCAGATGAGGGCTGCCCACCTGGCGGCCCAGTAGCAGCGGCAGCGGCATCGCATCATCGCCCAGCAGCAGCAGCAGCACGACTAAGGCATTGCTTCCGGCCTGGAAGCAGAGGCACAAGCGGTGTTCGTTTTCTTCGTTGTTTCGCTTGGTTCGGCTCACGTGCATTGCTATGGTCGATCGGTCATAGAGAGGAATGCGCCTGGTCATGACGGGTCTGTACAAGCAGACGGATGGAGCGGGATGGTAGCTGGTTGATGCCGCAACGATCGGATAATACATGATAAGAAGGGGTTGTGCCGGACCGTTCGCAGTGGTGGCGCAGGGCTTGGCGCCTAGCACCACTGAAGCCGAAATCGTGAGCGCAAAGGAGCCGGAAACCCCCTACTTCGAGTCAGAGTTAAGCACTATTACAACGTGCTCGACTACTTCCACATCACCGACATGTGGTCTGAGAGGTCCATGAACGCAACCGGTCAACTCATCCAGCACTTCATGGTACGATTCGAGCGAGTCGATTTGGCAAGAACGGCGGGGTGGCGACACTAGATGCTCGGGGACTGGACTGTTCTCAGGAGAAGGGTGACTAGCAGGATGGTCTGGACACTTAGGGGTGGCAGGCGTACGGATCATATGCTTCATCTCTCTCTTCCCTTCATTTGCCCCTTTCCTTTCTTCCCTTCATTAATTCATTTCCCTCCCCCCTTCATTCATTATCTCCCCCTCTTCCCTTCATTTCCTGCCCCCCTTTCCTCACTCCCGCTACTGTCTTCCGTCATCGTCCACCACGACTTGCATCCGACATAAGCTGCCTGCCGCCCCTTCATCTACCTACCCCACACCCGAAGATCGAAAAACCAAGGCCTGGTCGGAGGCCGAGACCATTCGCCTTCTCCTAGTCGTAATGCAGGCCGACAACCCCGAGCTCAACATGAAGGGCTGGAAGGGAAATTGTCGCTAGAGCGAACGCGACCGGCGGCACCAAGTACACCTAAGGCAATCAGGATGGATTACTTACATGCGAAGTTTACTGTGTTGGTGCTCCTCTTCCCTTGCCCCTCAATCAGAGGCAGGTACGATACCTTGATGGCGACCAGTAATGTAAGGAAGTACACAGCGGCTCCTGCCAGCCGCCTGGACGTGGTACTGTCTGTCCAACCGTCAATTTAGTTACTGGCTGCTCTTCGCCCAGCTGTCACCACCCGCACCACCAATGATAATTCCGCGGTCTGAGCACACTGGGGCATCGCACACACTGTCGCACCTGCGCCCTGCAAGCTGCAACTCACACAGTCCAGTCCGACGTCGTGTGTACCGGGTCGCGCCTCCTGCGCCGGAGCAGCCATCACATCAACGAAAGGGATACACTGCATTACCCGTCTTGACCCAGTCAACCCACCTGTTGGCTTCCAGCAGCAGGCCAGCCAGGAAACCTCTATCTCCATCGATTCCACATCGGCACGAAGCCGTGTTTGGTCCCATGTGTACCTCAGCCTAACCATGTACTCAGCCCTCTTCTGGTATGGAAAGGGTGGCTGTTCATTGGTTCTCATGCATTCTACGGGAGCGAACACGTTTGCTTTCTCAAGCCTTGGTGAGCTTAGAAAGTTCTTCACCGGTATCGGAAAGGCGCTGTCACTGTGGCCGGTTCTGCCACCTCACCGGACGTCGTCATCAAGATCGAGCGCGACGAGGACGCTGGCTTGGAGAACGCGGGCAACGAGAATGCCCTCAAGGGTAACACAAGCAACGGGGCCGCAGGCAACGGGACTGCAGCAGAATTCTGTATCATAGAACCAGAAAATGTACATGAGTTTTCAATACTCTTCGACTCGAGACACCAGGTTTCTTCGGCCTTATTCGTGTGATCGGTGTGTATACGTGGCAAGGCCGAATCCGAAGCATCCCGAAGTATCGTAAGTCATTCTTTTGTGGTAAGGCAATGGTCCTCAGACCCATGGAGAAAGGCTAGGGTAAGTCTCACACAGCGTGTATGGTGGTTCATATGGCTGATATTCGTGTATTCAGTGTGTCTTCAATGATTGCATGCGATGTTTGTGTGGTCTGGAAGGATCTGTTGTGGGCTAGGTGGCTCCAAAATGTCCCATTGGCCTTGTTCAGTGCACCGCCACCTCCCTGAACGCCACGGTGGCTTGCGCGCCACTCAACAGAAAGCACTGCTAGTCTGCGGCCCGGTTTGAAACGGAACAGGCACGTCTCGGTTGCGGATGAAAGGTCCAACTCTTACTTTTCTGCTCTCGAGACTCGATAGGCCATGCTTGTTCAAGGCGGCTTTGGTGTGCCATCGAAGTTCGAGGTTTCCATTCGACACGATCCCGGGCCGTATAAGTATTCATATATCCCCACCGTCTTTGGCGGGTTTGTTTTAAGATACTCAAGGACTCAACCGAAATCCATTGAGCAAGTTTCAGCCAGAATCTTCCCCAATTTGTCGACTACGAAAAACCCCTAGGAGAGACATGCGACATGGCGACCACCACCAACAAATCACCGACATTCCGAGTTATTCAGGGCCTTACTCATGACGAGAAGTGAGCCTCCGAAAAGGTGAGCCAAAACATGTAGCCGGCTAATGTTCTCTTAGGCTTCTCCAAAGTGGTCGATATTCGGATGTCGACGTCAAATGCGGCACGATGACTTGGAAGGCTCACCGGTTCATCTTGTCTTCCCGCTGCGCGTGGTTCGACAAGGCCTTAAATGGCAGGTTCAAGGTCTGTGAATGTTTTCTCTTAACTTAAAGGACTTTGTCTGGTTAACTTTCAGGTAGGAAGCCGCGATTGGTGTAGTTGTGATCGAGAACTTCGAGTCTACTCAAATCGACGCGTTGATCAAGTACCTATACTCCGGTGGTATGTAGACAGAGTTCCTGCGAGCACCCCAGGTGACTTACAAACTGAAACACCACAGTGTTTCCTATTCAAGCCACTCTGCAAGGAACATTGTGCCTCGTGCAAGCCATCGAACTTTGACTTTTCGAGCTTGGCGACTACTTCCTGCTCCCGGATCTTGTCAGAGATTGTCTCAACCACATCAAGTATGCCTTGGGTAGCGCGGCCAGGTTGTTACAGATGCTGGAGAGTCGAACAGAATACGATAAGTGGGAATTCCTCAAACCGCTGAGCCTGACCGACAAAGCAGAGCTCGCCGAGTCTTTCTCGCGCGAGTATTTTGAGGCAGTCATGATGGTCTACAGACGCGAGTCGCTACTTCTTGTAAAGCCGATCTGTGATCTCCTTGTCTCTTCCTTCGCGAAAGTGGAGTTGTATATGTTGAGCAGCCAGACCAATGGAATAAGGAGATTGGGAGATGTACCTCAATTTGCTGTCGATGTATTGTTGTCCAACCGCGGTGGGATGGGCATCGACTTCTCAGAACTCGAACTTCCACAGGACTGTAAGCATTGTGGATTCAACCCCTTCAGCAACATTTTTGGTGGCTGCTTCGAAAAGGTGCGTCTCGTAAAGGTCGATGGAACATCAACATTCAAGCTGGGTGCTTATTGTCTAACGTGCGCGGCAAAAGTGAAGTAAATGGGTACTTGGGCCCTCCTTGATGATCTTGGAGATGGTTACGGAGACTTCGCGGCCATTAGGCAAAGAACCGAGAGATGCCCCCTGCTTGAAAGAATACCCAAGCGCGCTGCACCTCGGGGCGATTGCATTGACCAGCATGCTTTTCAGAGCAGGCTAGATTCTCCATTCCTGTGCGAAAAGTGCATCATCGGACTATTTCTACATCACATAGTACCTTGCATCGCCCAGCGAGTAAGACACCGTGCCACATTCCTGTAGCAAATCACAAAGGGATAGTAATTTCGGCTCGCATCGCTATAAGCTTCTTTCCATTAGATCTAGTGCTTGGCGACCAACATGCCGAGGTGCGGAGGTTGTATCTCTCAAAGGGAGGTTAGTAACCTCGTCAGCTACCAGAAATAGTCTATCACACATTATTCCTGTCTCTTCTGTTTTTCTGGGTGTGAGAGATATTGTCCCCCTAGGCCGTTTTTCTTTATGCCGAAAGATTCACTATCTGTCCAGTTCGATGTAGAAGTCATACCCGACAAGCCGAACTATAGACAATGGCAACAACGTAACAGTCAACTAGCAGCAGTTGTTATCAAGGCAATCTTGTTTTCACGATGCTGTCTATGCGCCCACGGTTTTCAGGGCTGAATGGGCATGAGATATTTGTTCCGGCGTCTGTATCAAATACAGCAATCGTGCTTTGGCCATCAGCTTCCCCCTTTGCCAGCTAGGCACTTTGGTGTTGACTGTGAACCTAGCTGTTCACTGCACAATGACTGGCATAGAGGGTCCCACAGCATCGATGCCAAGCTTTCAGGGGCGGCTCCCGGGTACGTCTTCTGCGGCAGGGGTCATGATCCGAGTCATAGAACAGTGAAGATTCGATGAGCCACAGGCATATTGGCAGTCTAATGGAACCGGGTACTTAGATGGCTGTATTCAGCTTCGTCTGTACAAGGGGATTAGAACGCACCTTGCTGATCAGCGACTTTCCTTTCAAAGAAGACAGTGGCACAAATCGTCGTATATCAAGTTTGTAAAAGGTAGAGCACGGCACGGTCCTGTCTCGTTCGCGTCTAATGCAGTCTGTGTTCTTTGAACTGCCACCTGCAGACTTAAGTCATGCTTCAATTCAACTGATGCATGTGGGTGTTTGGGACTTGAGCAAGCAGACAGACGTTCAGTCATGGCCAGTGAAAATTGAAGATTGAAGAAAGCAACTTGACCTGGCGGAGCACTGGCACATCTGTGTATAGACTACACACACTTGCCAAAAACAACTATTTTTCTTGGCGCCCCGCTGTTAAGGTGCAACCTCGATATCTGCGCTAAAGCAGGCACTTCTTTTAATAACTGACAGTCATCTTTGCCAAGGCACAAGAGAATTTTTCTCACAAGCCGGATGGCACCCTTTCACGACGGGCCCCCAAACACGCCCGTGGCCGTCCCAGAGACAACCACCGGCGGCGTGCTCAAATCCCTGGCCCCTAGAAAGACATACGGCCCGGCAACTCCGAGCAGGCTCCGCCAGACGCTGCTTGACGACATCAGCAGCAGCCCGTCAAAGGTCTCCGAGGCTGACTTCACCATTGTTTCCCCTCTGAAAGGAAAATCCTGAAATATCAATGACGGCAGCACCACTAGAATAAAACGACCTCAATTGAACAAAATCTCTACAAACCAAGCGATTAAATGCGATACATGGAATAAATCCTCTTCCTCAGAGTGCCAAGACCAAGTTACAAAGATATTAAATAAAGACAGGCACCTTTACAAAGCCAAGATAATAATGTTTCAAGAATGTGTTATAGCAATTGACAAGACACTTAAGAAAGCCGGAACCAAATTATACTCACATGCCAAGGAGTTCAGCGCCTTTTTCTCTAAATGCCTGAGCGAGTGACTGGAAACCCGACATTTAACTATAAGGAAGGCCACTTCTGGGGGGATGGTGATGGGGAAGCCCACCATGACTTTCGCCCAAGCTGTCTCTTCTAACCACTGACAGCATCCACTGACAGTCAACACCACCATAAAGAAAACACAGCCTGGCGCCCTTACTGCTGCCAATTAACTGAAAAAGAAACAGAATGATCTCTGGGTCTTGTCCGCATGGACAATAACTACTTAAAGCCTTATAGGATAAAGTCTACACTGAACAGAAGACTTAAGCTCTATCCCCAGGAGCTTAGAGAGGTGACGCGGTGCCCCTCTAGATTTACCTTACACCCAAGGGACAAGCCAACTCAAACTAAGCTCCTGGCCTTCCAAGAAGAGATCGCTGACATTCTTAAGGCACAAAAAAATCAAAATTCACACGGTCTGGCATCACTACAAGGTTGATGAATGCCCAAGGAAGGTCATCAGTGCGGAAGGGTTTACAATCAACATTACCGACACTGCTGTCGCTAATGAGGTTAAAGCCCAAACAGGCGATAGACCTTTAAGGTGCATATTCTCAAGGAACACGGTTGATTCAGATCCAAAGACCACATGTGGATGATATTCTGGAAGTATGGACTCCACCTTTTGGCTGTGTTATAGCTGGAGATTTTAATGCTGGCGACACATCCTGGGACTCGAGCAATCCAGGATATCATGGTGGCGTCATACTGGCACAGACTATGGCAGACCACGGACTGGATCTGATTTCTGAACCAGATGTCCCAACACATGACGATGGAAATGTACTGGATCTGGTGTTCTCAGATGTCCCCATGGCTGAAGCCTCAGTCAATGATGCACTTCAGTGCACCTCAGATCATGAGACATTACGAATAGTCATTCCAATTCAGGGAGATCGGGACCGAGTTCCTAAGGCTAATCATTGGATAGTACCAGACAATAAACTACAAGAGCTGGCAGACAATGTCCAAACCAGGATTCATGAACTCCCCCGGCTGGGTGTATCCCCTGGCCAGGTGGATACCTTTACACAAAGCTTGATCAATATGATTCAAGGCTGTATCAGGACAGTGGGCAAGAAGCCCCGTCAATCTAGGCCCACTGCTTGATGGAATGATGACTGCAAAGCAGCTATTCATACATACAGGGCCCTTTCTAAACAGACCACAAGCCAAGAAGGGCGAAATTCAGCCCGACAAGAATTTCGCTGTGTGGTCCGAAAAGCTAAGAGAGAGTACTGGCAGACTCTAATTGATTCAGCGACTGAATCAAAAGACCTGTACAGAATTGTTTCCTGGCACAAGCTATCAGCAGGATTGCGTTCCCCCCTAATCATCATAGGAGACCAAATATTCGAGTCATAAGAGAGCAAGGCAAATACACTATATTCAGCCACGCTTGAACGAAGTACCTCAGATAACGATATCATCAACCCCTGGTCCGCTCAGATCATACAACCGAAGCCACACATCCCCCTTGAATACCATGTCAGACTGGATGAGGCTGAAGGGTGCATTATAGGGACCAAGAGCAACTCCCCGGGAATAGACACCCTCACAGTACGGATTCTGAAAGCTTGCTGGCCAGTCATTAGGGAACATATCAGAGCCCTTTTCCAGACCTGCCTACAGATTGGACATCACCCGAAACCATTCAAAGCGGCTGAGGTGGTGATGATCCCAAAACCAGGCAAGAAAGACTACTCCAATCCCAGGGCCTACAGACAATATCGCTATTGTCATGTCTTGGCAAAGGCCTAGAATGACTCATTACAAAAAGAATTACCTGGTTTGTTATCAAACTTAGAATTCTAGCTCTACAACATTTTGGAGCTCTACCAAAGCGCTCTGCCACTGACCTGGTAGCTGCACTCATACACGATATTGAGCAGGCTCTCGACCAAGGCCTCGTTGCAACGGTAGTCACGTCAGATATGAAAGGGGCCTTTGATGCTGCCCTAATGGGACGGCTGGTGGTTTGCATGAGAGAACAGGGCTGGCCGGGCTATCTCATAAGATGGGTCCAGTCATTCATGTTCGAGCGGTCCGCAAGGGTTTGGTTTGAAGGTATTGTGACCGATATTAAAGCTCTCACTTGTGGGCTACCACAAGGCTCATCAGCCTCTCTTATCCTTTACATGCTGTATACCGAGCCAATCTGTGCCCGACTTGGCATGAAAAGAAGACGCTTTATATATGCAGACGACCTAGAAACTCTCTGTATTAGAAAGAACCTTAAAGAAACAGCTACAGAGGCTTCTGAAAATCTTTATTTGCTCAACCAATAGGGACATAATAACGCTATTAAATTTGACCCTGATGAAACCGAGATCATGCACTTCTCGCGGAAAAAGGACTCAAACAATCCTCCCGTCTGCCACGGGACAATGAACAAAACAGCCAAGGTTTCTATGCAATGGCTAGGTGTCCTTCTGGATAGAAAACTAAACTTCAAAGATCATGTTTCTCACTGGGCTAAGAAAGCTAATAAAGTAGCAAATCACCTTTAAGGACTATGCAACACAGTCAAAGGACTCCCAGTAAAGTTAACCAGGAGGGCTGTGAAAGCTTGTGTTATTCCTATTTTTACATATGGCTTAGAGGCCTGGTACCCAGGAATCAAAAAAATCAGAAACTCAGGTGAGACATCAGCATGTCGCATTAAGGGGCTTCTTGGAACAATAAATGCTGTACTACGAACAGCGATCAGGGCTATCCTGTCGGTCTAGAAAACACACCCTGGACATATCCTATACTTTGAATCACAAATTCCTCCAGTAGGAGTTCTTACAGAGGCAATAAGACGGCATCATGGCCTACGACTCGGACGTTTAGACCAAAGATACCCTCTTCTTGGCAGGCTTCAAGTACAAGCTTGCAAGGAACCAACAAGGCTACAAAGGAACTTCCAGCTAGTCCCTGACTTCCAGACAAGGGTCAAATCAATTACACGCTAGTCCACTGGTGTACACGCTAGTGGAGCACTTTGGCGTACATCCACTGGAGCTGAAGGGGTCATCCATTACATTCAAGGCTTAGTGTAATTGACGTAATGGACGAGTGTATGACAGTGGATGAAATATGGGCTCTGATTGGTCCAAAAATCTAAGAGCCCCGTTTTTAAAAAAAAAAAAAAATCCCGAGCTTCCTATAGGATCTGAACGTAGCCTTTTCCACAAGGCAAACTTTGCGCTACCATACCACTATACCAAGATGATGCGCATTTAATCAAGAGTTGGGCATTATATCACTGGTAGAAACATTGACATATGATTTCAACCACCTAGCTAGCTAGCATGCAAATTCTGAATGCAGCCACCAAATGGCACAAACAACATTCAGACCACGCAAACCATTCCAAAGCAGGCAAATCATTCAGATTCACTCGAATACGACCCAACCACTCGAACTCACCTGTTTATTCAATTTTTTCGCCTCGAATTGCAAGCAGTACCCTCAGCACGCTTCACCATGGTCGGTACACCCAAATCCTCGATACACGGTGGCTCCGAGCCTCCCAACGACGTCCCTTTGTCCGCAACCCCCTCGCCAGCACCCCAATCATCTCGACGAGAATCCCTCCGCCACGGCATCTCTCAGGGCGACGAAGCCTTCCTTTTTGCGTGTTTTTGTGGCTACACGTGGGCTCAGTGGAAGCGAGGTCTCAACTCCTGGGCCTGGGATCACGGATATAACATCCAGAAGGGTAGGACCTTCAAATGGGTGTGCCGATACTGTATCACTCGCCGCAATCCCGTACCCGATTCTTTCATATCTGCAGGCCTTCAGAACGCCATACAGCACCTGTATCTAGTCGAATCGATCTCTGCCCCTGGGGGTGAAAAGACCAGATCCAAGGCACAATTACGAGCCGAAACAATCAACGATACGAGCCAACAACGGCTTCACCGATATCTCTCCGTCAACCCAGAGAACCCTGGAGACCAAGCAATAACCAATAGCATACTGAAGAACTTCGATCGAGATACCTTTCACCGCCTCCTTATGGAATGGATCGTCGAAGAGAACCTTCCTTTTGCTACTGTGAATCATCCCAAATTACGCCTTGCACACGAATACCTCAACCTGTGTATCACAGACCAAAGCGGGCACATCTTCTCGACCGGGCTACGCAAAAAAATCATACGCGAATTCCAACGGCACAAGGGAGCCATCATCGAGGCGTTAAGGGCTTCACCTGGCAAGATACACGTATCCTTTGATGGCTGGCGGTCAGGTAATCATCGCGCTTTGTATGGCGTAGTCGTCTTTTTTAGAGATGAATACAACAAGCCTTGCAAGCTAGTTCTCGGCATCCCCGAGGTCTCCATTCGTCACACAGGTCAAAATATTGCCACGCAAATCGTCGAAGTCTTGAAGATGTTTGGTATTGACCATAAGATCGGCTTTCTTATTCTTGATAACGCTGCCAATATGGATACGGCATCAACCGAGATAGGGCTAGCCCTAGGCTTCGAGGGCAAGAAACGGCGTGGCCAGTGCTTCGGGCATCAGTTGAATCTCTCTGCCAAATCCTTATTGTTTGGTACTGATGTTGAAGCATTCAAAACAGAGATCAGCAAGGTCAAATCTCTTTCGGTTGCTGAACACGCGTTGTATTACCGATTAGGCCCTGTTGGCAAGGCTCACAACCTCGTCGTTGATATCTAGCAATCTGACCGCTTGCATTACATCCTTCTTGACGTCCAACGGCAAGATGTCCTCGATTTCACAGTTCCTCACACCAGGGCACTGTGTGTCATCCTCGATAACGACACTAGATGGCTTTCACAGTTATATATGATCCGCCGCCTCATCAAGCTTTGCCCGTATCTCCCTCAAATGATAGCCTAATTTAATCAGGAATGGGAAGACCAACACAGATCCAAGAGGACTGGCCTCGTTAGTGACAGGGCCATGGCAAGGCGGCCCCGAATCCTCAAAGAAGAGAATCATCTAAATGATCACGATTGGACCGTTCTTGAGCACACTGCCGCTATCCTTACTGACTATGAACACACCGTGAAATTACTCGAAGGGGATGGCATGCAACGCAAGCGGAAAGGATGGACCGGTTCGTATGGTAACATCTGGGATGTTATCTTTGGATTTAAATTCCTTCTCGGCAAGCTTGAGGGTTATAAAATTACTGCTAACAAGCTTCCTGACAGTGAACACTTCGTAGCTAACATCAACCTTGGTTGGATAAAGCTAGACGAATATTATCAGAAGCTCGACGAGACCCCCCTCTATTACGCGGCTATAGCCCTTCACCCCCAATTCCGATGGCACTGGTTCGAACAGAAATGGAATGATCGGCCCGAATGGATTCAGAAGGCAAAAGATTTGGTCCAAGAGCTGTGGGATACCGAATACCGTGATCTCGAGATACAGAACACCCTTAATGACGACGAGCCTGCCCAAAAGCGCCGTAAAATCGATCTGAACCCTCTCGAGGAATTCATCCATCAACAAGCAAGCTCGGCCCCGATTTCACCCACTCTGGGAGACGAATACGAGATCTGGCAGTCTCACGAGACTGTGAATAACGCAATATTCGATCCTTTAGCCTACTGGCACAAACGACGTCACCAATACCCTCGTCTCTCACAAATGGCGCTTGACATCCTCACAGTTCAACCGATGTCTGCCGAATGTGAGAGGGTTTTTTCGGCAGCAGGGCGGATGACAACTAGCCTTCGCGGCGCCCTAGATGCTATGATCATCAGTCTCTGCCAGGTACTGCGTTCGTGGCTACGAGCTGGTGTTATACACGAGTTAGACCCCGTATTGCTGTCACCCGACGAGAAGGATGAAGTTGATTACGTCGAAAGGATGTCCTCTGACGAGCTCGCAAAGTGGGCAACTGCGTGGATAGCAGTTAGCGAAAGGACACGTGAAGCAGACGACGAAGAATACTGCTAGCAGTTGAACGAGAGGCTATTACACCCTTTCGGGCAAAGGGACAAATATTACGGCTTTAGCACGAATATGGGGGTGTCAGGGCCATCCCAGATGAGGAATTCAGCTTTACCACCAAAAATATGTACATCCACCATCAATTACATCCATTTGGGGCTTCAGTGGACCACTATTTCGTGGATTTGGTGTAAATCCTTACATCCACGCGAATCCGTGGCTTCGTGGATGTAATGTAATTGATTTGGGCCCTGCTTCCAGAGACCAATACTCACCAAGCCATCATAAAAAAAGCCCCTAATCCGCAAAGACAAAGATAAAGAAACAGAGCTCTTCAAGCAATGGCTATAGGAGAGAAACGTGAACACTGACCTTGTCATCTATTCAGATGGATCACAGTTGGACAACCAAGACATAACCCGCACTGGATGGGGTTATACCATCAGGAAAGGCGGCACTACACAGAAGTATACCAGGGAAAGGGCAGACTTCTCTAAGCAGAAGTAGTAGATGCTGAAGTCCATGGTGCTCTCTAAGGTCTTACAGCAGCCAGGGCAATTAGACACAGAAAATAGCTATATGTCTGCCTGGACAACACGTCAGTGGTAGATGGGCTCAATGGGACTCCACCCGAGACATCACAGAACATTTTTCTACGATTTCAAGAACTTGCCACAGCACACACTCCTGGTGTGACCGTCAAGTGGATTCCTGGACACAGAGATATTGATGGCAACGAAGCTGCCGACACACTAACAAAAGAGGGTACCATGCTAGAAACAGACACAACAAACCTTCCTATAATCTCTTGGGTCAAGAGAGATCTCAAGAGAAAGGGCAAGAAAGAGTTCAACCAATGGTAGAAAGACCAATCAGAACCTAAATATCAAGAAGTATACTTACATACAATAATTAAAAAAGACCTTATATCTTTTAAAAGGAGTACTTTACACAGACTTCTAGCGGCCAGATCTAGACATGGCGACTTTGCCAGATATCATGAACGCTTTGGGCATACAGACTCGAATGATCACTAAAAAGCGGCTGCTACCTAGGTACTCGCCTAGGACAGCTTATTTACAATACTTAGGGGAGAGGAGCACAAAATGGGCAAAATTCGTGGAGAAGAGCAAGTTCTTTTCAACAATCTGCCCCCAATAGATAGCTTTTCTTGAAGGACCAGATGGATGACCCCAAGGTCATACCGCCGCAACAACGGGGATGGGCCCGTGAGCGGGACTGACTGTACTTATTATCTTGAGACCTCCACAACCCTGCGATACAGAGGCGCTGGGAGGCGTGGTTTGCACTACTGAGGAGCTACCCCCCACATTAAATACAATCAATCAATCATCTGTGTATAGACTCGCCGTTCCATGCAAAACTTCGATGCCGAGCCAAGTAATTCGACTCAGAATAAAGATTTTTCGAAAACGTGGGACTTCTTCCAGTGCTACATTCCCCTAACCACCCACGGCTTCGAGTTATTACGGACCACACCCATCACAAAAACCCACCACACGACACCTACCTTCCCTCAACTCTTCCCACCCACTTCACCAGCGAGACCACCCTACTTCAGAAGATAACACCTTTTGAATATTCTGCGAGTATTCAGGCTCTGACGTTCACCTTCCAGTCGTGATGGTTGACAGAGAAGACCAGACCAGGGAGCAAAAGACCTGGGCTCTAGCGAATCTGAGAGCCAAGAGTATGGCGTCTACGGGGTCTTGCCGCTAGAGACATACCAGCGCTACGAGATGGAGATCACCGTGGAGGACTTTGAGCGAATATCCGCAATCAAGATGGCACTCACCAACTACAGTACCAACGCTATCACAGCCAAGGACTCGAAGGCTCTCTACTTGTCTGCAGAGGTCAGTATAGGCATCTTTCGAGCCCATTTCGCTGCTTGCGATCTCCGTCCACGAGTAAGCATACCATTTCCTACAACGATGACCAGCATCGCGGTACCTTCGACCCTCCACAATGATCCCACATGCGCCCATCTTATGGTATATGTCTAATATCAACCTCAAACCAGGTTGCTTCCCTTACATTTGCGTTGTGTTGCTGCTCCGCTTGCCTCTGGTGCCGCTCCGTCCGTCTCTGGTGCTGATTCTGGTATTCCTCCTTCCGCCTCCGAGTCTGCCGCCAATGCTGCTGCGTCTGGCTCGGCCTCTGCCCCTGAACTCTCCGCTTCTGCAACCGAAACGGAGCTTTCGACACAGCGACCAAGCCCAGGTTTCATCTAGGGAGCCCCCGGGTTTTCTTTGTACAACCCGGACAGCGGCCGTGGCTGGCCTGTTCCGAGCGGTTATAAGTCTAATGTGACTCGGAAGACCCTCTTAGCAGAAGAGGCTGCTGCTCGTGCGGCTTTACTGCCGCTACTGCCGCTGGAACTGAAGAAGTTCGCGATGCCGTGGTTCGGCAAGACGTTGAAGGTTTCGCCACCTAGAGGTCATTTCGGACCCAGCGGCACCAGGCATGTTTGTCACAACATCATGAACTCATCCTCGACGCCTTTAATAACCACGTCAAGAATAAAACAAATGCCAACCATGGATTCTGCAGTGGCTTAACCGTCTCCTTCAAGAACGTACCGGTTTCGGTACTGACTTCATCCAGACCGGTAACGCTAGAAAGCATGCATTCGGCATACGGCTCGGCCTGGAGCTCCGACTCGCAACCGGCTATGCGATTATGCCTTACGAAATCATCAACATCCTCGAGCGGTTCTTAAGTGCAAAGCTCGAGCACTAATCCGTTGCCTATAACTCGGGTGCCGGCTTTACGGCTGCCTCTTCCTCTTCCGGGTCTGGTACAATATTTCCAGACCGAGACTCAGAATCCCCACTTTCAAAACGCCAGCAAGGGACGGAAGTAGTTGACAAGCACCTCTCCCAAGGGCTCATCTTCAAGATGAGACACTTCCCACCCAGCCAAGATCAGTACGACGAGCTGGTCTACAGGTTGGAGGGAGGGGTTGGGCGGCACTTGATGCCACCCAGATTATGGCACGCTTGTTCGAGGACATTCTCGCAGCCGACGGCGACCAGTGAGAGATGCCATACACACATGGGTGCGGGAAGGGGGCATAATCCGCCTATCACCCAACAATCGGGCCGCCCTCACCACAACCATGCTGAAATGCGCGAAGGTTGTGGAAAGGAGCCTGATGAGTTGAAGCACTGCCTTGCGGTACTGACTCTGTCGATAACGCCGACGGCGAGACTGACGAATAAATGCGTGACGCCCCCGAGAGCGGTGGCAGCAGCAGCGACCGCAGGGAAAGGGCAAGGCGTGGGTATACCCCTTATAGCCTCTATAGAGCCTTTACTAACCTAGTAGCAGTACCGAGTGAAGGAGCGATCGGCATAGACATAGAGGAATGAGCACTTTTGCGGTGTAGGGAAACGGCGATCGGAACCACTCGAACGAGCCGAAGTCTTTGCTGATACAGAAGAAGTACGTATAGAACAATCCATAAGAAAGTCCAAGCTTTATTTCCGGCAACCCGCTTTGCCCATCTTGACGCCCGGGGACCCCAAGGTGTTCAGCTAGGTTTGTAAGCCATCACTGCTAAGCAGTCGCTCAGATTATATGTTCAAAATACTGACAAGTACGCAAGCCTTTCAGATCTTCCCTGTCGCGCAAGCGGTCGACCTACGAGCCATCGACGCTGCCCGAAGCGCCGATGAGGCTTTGAGAAGCACTCTTCCCCTGCTCGGGGCGCACTCTTCTCCGCCCTGTACGAGAGCAAGTTACTGAAGAACACAATCACCTCTCTAAAGAGAAGCAGCCTCCAGCCCGTGGCTATAGACGCGGCCAACCCAAAGGGCTTTACTATTTCCTCAGACTGGCCTGGGCCTCCGACGTGGAGATCATCGAGGCAGACCTAGCTGCTCTTCGTGCAGGAGAAAATAACCCGGGACAGCATGGTACCGGACAGCCTGCTCCCGAAGCGCCAGCAGCTGCCGAGGCTTCGAGCGCAACACCAAGCCCTCCGGATGTCTATTCCCGAATTTCTCCGGTTCAGCAATGAAAAACTGAATCAGAATGGTCGGTGTTTCAAGGAGCACTCTGATCTGGATACGTCGGCCTTGCAGCTTTAGATGATGATTACCGCGCCGAATCGGATACCTCTCGAACGGGGCAATTCGAGCCTCCGTCTAGGACGCCAGATCCTCTAGGCGCATACGAATCACCTTTCAAGACGTCCATCAATAACCATGGAGTCACTGATGCCGACGATCAATTTCCGGACTACTTAACATCATTTAATACTGCCGTCAGTTCGCCATCTATTAGCGGCTATCTTTCAATCCCTAGCATCGGCGGTGGACTAGATGGCTTTGAGCAGTTCTCACGCCTGGCCGTTGATGGCGATGCGGGTGGTTCTGTGTTGGTCCGCCAGGACGGCCAGCAGAGAACCAGAATGGGCATGGTCGTGGTAAACATGTTAAACTACGTGGATCGACACCACGACGAAGAGCACCGCCAGCGGGCCGACTACAGCCAAATGATCACCAGCTGACTCAAGGTCCGTGGGCTCGATGTCCTTCAAACCAGTGGCTGGCCAGCATGCAGAGTCTGCTCGCCCTGCTACAAGGTCAGGGCGCAGACATCGCCGGCCTTGCAGGCAGCTATGGAGAAAATGCATGAGCTGGTTGGCAACCTGCTTGGCGATAGAATCGACGCGTTCTTGGCGATGATTGATGTTCACTAGTAAGCGGGCTTGGGGCGCTTTGGGGTCGTGAGTGCCGGGTCACGCAAGCACACGATTGCAGAATGCAGTCGGATGATTCGCCCGCTGGAAAACTTCCTTGGAACCATGTACGGGAGGAAATGCTGTTAGTCGCGTGTCCGGGGGTGCCTTGGAAATTAGCGAGGGTTCAAGATCAACGTAAGCCCATACCCCTCTCCATACCACTCGGTTGAAATGAGTATTTGGCATTAGTCACTATACCAGTGGCAACTGGCTGGACTAAGCACACTGTCCTCCATACTCCACGCTTCTCATTTCAACGGTGTGCATGTGTGCTGAGCATCGTTCAAGAGTGACAAATCACATGTGTATTAGCATCACGACGATGGCCGAGAAAGAGGCTGGGCCCTCTCGACGGGACCCTGTCTCTGGGGAGACCTTCTGTGATGTGCTTCCGCCCCAAGAAGAACAAAGGGATTGGACCTCAGACAAGAGGCTGAGGACCGCTTGCTGGAGAAGTTCTGCGCTGATGCGCAGCGGTATGCTGTCGCGATCCACCAGAATGATAGTGGAGCTGCCTTCGCCTTTGAGGCTGCAGGAATGCCGGACTTGGTGTGCCTGGAGGATGGACAGAACAAGATCCGCAGGGGCAAGGGCGAGGCCATGATCATGAGGTCGACGATTGGGGAGACATGGGTGTTGTTAGAAGGGGCGATGTAACCACGTAGTCATGACCTGCGCCATCTGCCTCTAGGTTGAAAGATGTTATTCATGTTGCGACGGCCCCATGTCCAGCGACCATGAAGGCTGTGGAAAGCAGTTCATCCAGCGATCAGCCCTGACCGCCCATCAGGCGAGTCCACACTGGTGGTGGGAATCCTCAGTTCTGATGGCCATGGCCATGATTTGGCAATGGCTTCAGTTATTTTCGCAGAGGTAGTCGTTTCAGCGAAAGCGGTAATAAAGGCAGTGAGTTTACAACCGCAATTACCGTCCTTGGCTAGAACCGAGTAACTATTAAAATGTTTATTATTTGCATAAAGTATTAAAGTATATTAGTTTTGGTTACTTGATATGACCCAACCCACAACCCAAGGTTATGCAGTCCTCACTTCCTCTGCGAGTCATGACAGTATCTATACCGCGGGTCTCTCTTCGGGACCGCTGGCTCCTGCTCCGCGCGCCTGCGCTCAGCTTCCTCCCACTCCCTCTCTTCCTCAAGGTACTGCATCTGTCGCACTAGGCGCTTGCTACCGCTGTAACGACAGACGCTATTCTTGCACCAATACGTCGATAGTGTCGTCACCTTCTCGAGCCCTTTACATGGCTTTCCAAATCGTCGCTCCTCGCAGATAACCAACTCCGGGTCGAGTTTATGTCCACAGGCTAACTTGACGGTGGTTTCTCCACACACGGTTGTGGACAACACTGAGGTACGTACTGAAGTTTATAGTCGGACCCAGTTCTGGACAAGGAGCAATGGCGAGCTCTGGCTTTTTTGTAGCCGCCATGTGAGATTTGTGCAACGTGCGTTCATCTTTATGTCTCGAACAGCAAAGAAGGCCGCCTTTCTCATTGTGAACGTGAGACAAAGAAGAGAGGGCACTGAAGTCAAAGTCTCAATAATGGCTAGTCGGTGAACCAAACGATGTTTGTTCTTGTGACGACCTCGAGGAATCCCGGAGGCGATCAACACGCTCGAGATGACATTCGAAGCACGAGACCTCGCCCTGCAGTAACTTACCTTTAGCTGTACTGAAATCCAAGGTGTATATATCAGGTGTTCATAGTCTTCTGGTAAAGCATCGGTTTACTGTCAACTACATCTACAAAGAAAGCGCACTCTTTGAGGCTTACAGTACCCTATCGAGCCTGGCCAAAAAATCGCGTCTATTATTTGTATTGAACCCGCCAAAGCCGGAGCGCCGCAATTCAGCGAGCAGCGCAAGCAGATGGTGCAGGACAAGGAACACCCAGCGCCAAACTAACCATCAGTTGGGAATATGCCACTCCAGTGAGTGATCACCATAGTCTAAGTACCACTAGTACTACACGTCCAGCGACTGCGCAATGTGCCAAGAACACGATCTCTTCTACATGTGCGGCTGTCGGCATGTCGACGACAAGACCAGGGAGTGGAAGTTCCAGATCGAACAGTGCAGCAAAGCCAAGAGTCGGCGTCGCAATTGTGACAAGGCCGAGATGGCGCTGCAGATTTTCATCAAGGACACCTATTGTAATGATCCGGACTGCCCAGCTTATTATAACGACTAGGAGTGGGTGTCCTCGCCGTAAGCCTGTTCAGAGTCTCGCGGGGGATGGCGTCGCTTACATCGAGAATACTTTATCTACGCCTTTGCCTGCGCTAGGATTGTTCTTCTTTTCTTGACAATCATTCATATCATCTCCAAGCGGAAGGGATGGACGCCCTTCAACATATTGTACGGTGTGGGAGCTTACCATTATCGGCAGCAACTACGAGGGAATGATAGATGAGAAAGGGGCTATGTTTTTCATCGATAGCTCGTGGATGCTACCTACGATCGCCATCTGCTACTCCATCCCCAATTTGGTCTCGGGGGTGGCAAGTACAGAGGCCTCAAAGACAGGAGAACTTCTCAGCAGCATGGCATGCTGCGAGACATGTCCATCGAAACCAATGAGAAAGGAGAGGCTCACCATATGTCCGACGTCGAGGATTTCAGTGTTGAATACTCACAGAGGAGCTCATCGCAAGACGACCGGACACTTGCACTTCCGCCCCTACGAGCCTACAACCCCAATGGGGCCAGACGCGGGTCGATCGGTCTTGGGGATACGAAGCAGATCTCTCAGATAGCGGCTCACATTCATGGCGATAAACAGTTGCAGCTGCTGAATTTGAGCATCAATGTGACACATTGGCCAAAACCGCCAGGCTGGTTGGGGGGGAAGCGCGAAGGCATTGATCCAATTCATTCGCGCCCGCCAAAACTGGGACTTTTAAGGGGCTTGCTACGAACTAGCGACAGCGCCGCACAGCACTCGCGGTAGGGATATCGAGACGCCGCACCTTTCCGCAGATTAACCCATTTGAAAGGGCCTTCATATATCAGCAAGGAGCCTGGACTTGAGGATGTAACAAGATAGGAAAGGGGGGGCTTCCACCCAGTTCAAATGAGGGGAACACTCAATGGCAGATATGAGGTGACGAATAAGCTCGGTAGCGGTGGCTTTGGAACGGTCTGGCTATGTCTCGACTTGACAACCAAGAAGTGGCAGGCGGTCAAAGTCATGGCAGCAGACCACTCCGCAACTAAGAATGAAAGGGAGATTATGCATCCACTTCAGCAGAAAAGCTCACCCGAAGAACTACTTCCGAATCATGTCATTATTCCTGTCGATGACTTTCGGGTCCACGGTCCCAATGGCACACACCTTTGCTTTGTCATGCCCCTACGGGGCTGCGACGTTCTCGATTGGCGCCTAGGCCTGCATTGGGAACAAGAAGAGTCTGGTATCCAGCCAAGGGCAATTTGCAGGCAGATAGATGGATCTTGGAGTCCCTGCACCCGCATGGCATCTGCCATAGTGATTTCAGGCCAGCAAATATACTGATGCAAATAGACGGTCTGGAGGATCTCAACAGGCAAGACATGCAGAATCTCCTAGGCATTTTTGACTTGCGAGAGGTAAAGACAACGGGCGACGGACCTGGTACTTGGCCAGCCTATTGCGTTGTGCCTATTTCCGGCCACAAGCTGAGGAAATTTGTCGTCCCAAGTGTCGCTATCATCGACTTCGGGGAATCACTCCCCATATCACATCCAAACGAGACCAGCGACATCCCAACAGCATATGCTGCCCCGGAACTACTGTTTGGTGGGATTATGAGTGCTTCCAGTGATATCTAGGTATTGGCTTGCACTTTTTACGAAGTTCGCACTACGCGAAAACTCTACGCGGACGGCTTATCGGCACTTGACATCGAGGAGGTAGTAGGGGAGCTCAAGATACTTATAGGGGCGCTACCAGATCCTTTCAGATCCGTCCGGTACGAGAGGGGCTGTGGCGGTGAAGAAGACGACGAAGAAATCGACGTTGACGAGGAAAGGCGGACCACCAGACTCGATGCAGAAACGAATCCAGTAGCCTGCTCGCAAAACGAATTACTGGGTGCAAGAGAAGATATGCAGAGTAGGGCTGGAGGTCCACCCAGATCTGGAGTTCCATCCACATTTCAAGCCGTACTCCGAGCAGAACGGAATGTTGCGATGTGGGACTCGGAAGACGGAGAAAATTTCAAATATTCGAAAGCCTTTTTTCACAAATATCGATATACTCATCAATAAAAAGCAGAATTCGCCGATCTTCTCGAGAGCATGTTGAGCTGGGCTCCCAACGACCGTGTCAGTTCCACGGGAATCTTGAATCAGTCGAGGCTCCGGAGCATGACCCACGCGATTCAGTAGAAGACACTAGTATCATAGCGAACGGGGCCTACGTCGGAAGCGGCCATGGCGGTGGATACACATTGCACCCAACGCTGTACAGAACCACAAAATTCTCTGCAGACGACTCCTTCGTTTTCTGTATGCCGGCCGACCTCGGGAGCTGCCGAGCTATGCGGTGCCGGTGCCATCCGATGAGTGCCACACTTGAACGGAGATAGCGCCGGGCGCGATGCAGGATTTGCGCGGCTCGCGGCATTTTGACACCCTCAACACAGCTAAGGTGGTCGTATATTGTGTTCTTGTTCCACAGGATATAGTAGGAGTACTACCCAAAGTTCATTTGTTTCATTGACTATTCGCTCTCGTCTTCTCGAACGGATTGAACATGGGAGCACGTTACGAGCAGGAGCCTACCGTGGCGTCGCAGGCTCACAAGGACCAGAACGAGAAAGCATCTGCTGTGGTCAACTCGCCAGCCTCAGACGACACCGTGGATTCCAATACCCAGCAAGGCCAAACATCCCGACGCACAGGCTCGATAATCACTATCTTCGGTGCCGCCATTGCTAACCTTTCCGATGGCTACCAAAATGCCCTCACATCTTCCACCAATGTCATCTTCGCTCATCTCCTGGGTCGAAAAGTCTACACTACAGGTATCCAGACCCGGATCTCCAATGCCCTCCTCGTGGGCGCCGTCATCGGCATCCTGGTATTTGGATTTTTAGCCGACAAATTCAGCAGGAAGGGCGGCATGCTGGTCACCAGTGGACTGGTCGTTGTGGGTAGCTTGATGGCCACCTTGACATTTCAGGTCGAGGGAGGCGCGACGGCGATGCTGTGGTTCCTGACCGTGGCCAGAGGCGCGGCTGGTGTGGGTGTTGGCGGCGAGTACCCTACCTCTGCTGCTGCCGCCTTGGAAAGCAGCAATGAGTTTTTCGATTCCGAGCGCGGTCCGATCCAGGTAGTCATCTCGACTCTGATGGCCACGTGTGGGTCACCGCTGTGCACTTTCATCTATCTGATGGCTCTGATCGGCAGCAACGATAACTTGCTGGTGGCGTTCCATGCAATGTACAGTATTGCCATCTTCCTCCCGCTCTTCGTGATCTTCGTTCGCTGGCGGATGCAAGACGGCAAGCTTTTCGAGCGCAACAACTTCCGACACCGCAAGTTCCCATGGATACTGTTCTTCAAAACGTACTGGCGCCGCATCATCGGGACCAGCGCTGCATACTTCCTGTATGACTTCATCAACATCCCGAACGCAACCATGTCCGGCGAGATCATCGACTCCCTCGTCCCAGGCAAGAGCATCCGGACCGTCGCCCTCTGGCAGCTCTACCTAGCCCTGATGCCAGTGCCCGGCGTCCTGCTGGGTGCATACCTTGTCAACCGCATCGGCCGCCGCTGGACCGGCATCCTAGGCGTCACTCTCGGCTACACTGTCCTCGGCTTCATCATCGGCGGGCTCTACGACCGCTTGACATCTCAATCCATTCCTGCGTTCGTGGTCCTGTACGGCCTACTGCAAGCATTCGGGCATATGGGTCCCGGCGCTACGATCGGCTTGATCTCTGCTGAGGCGTTCCCGACTGGCGTGAGGGGCGTTGGGTATGGGATAGCGGCTGGATTTGGGAAAGCTGGGTCAGCTGTTGGCACACAGATCTTCACACCGCTCAAGGTGGCTGCTGGGCCGGAGAGTACGTTCTACTTGGCTGCTGGAGTGGGAATACTGACTTCGGTGATATACTACTTCTTGCCCGAAGGCCAGAACACGGATCTTGGAGAGATGGACGAGGACTTTGAGAAATTGGTTGCGGGTGACAGTAGAGAGTAATCGACTGGGATTGCACACGTCTTCTGCGTATCCCGATGCTAATAAGCTCCCCAAGCTTCAGAACTGATCACGAGTGCGTCAGCTACGTTTTTCTGCGCATAGAAAGCACATAACGAATGTTGCCAGTCTCAGCTAATGTATTCCTCATATTCCATGCGTCCTCTCCTTGCTGCGGTACATCGCGGGCTTGAGAGAGGGGTCCCCCTTTTCGCTCGGGCCCGTTCTCCAAAGCTCTCACACACCGTACACGGTCTCTTGCTGTACGGTCCAGACCACTGCTATCACTACGCACCATTGAGAACGTCTCCAGCCCCCTAAAACCAGTCAGGCTGCTTGATCAAAGCTTTGAACCTCTTAATGGCTTTATATCCCTCGAGTATTTGTCTAAGTAGACTCTGCCTCAACAGCCATCAACCGTGACTTAAACCATGGAGGCTACTTTTACTACTTGCAATCATCGAAATCCATACGATCATGCAAGGCTGCGAGGCTTACAAGCATTCCCCTACCCCTGTCTCCCCCTGGCTCGACCGTACATTTGCGCATCTCCATACCCCGCCTCACTGCATTATAGTAAGGAATACTTGCTCAAACTTGCGCAGCTCTCCACGACTCTCCTTTCTTGTACGGTTCTCGGAACCTTGGAGGAGGGGCGCCTACATAGGCATCAAACAGATATCAGCAGGCTCATCCACTATAAGAGTCCCTATTACAAGCCGTTGATGATCAGGCACCGTGGGTTGACACGAACCCTCTTGATCCTCATCCCTATTGGGCTACGCTTGTCAGCATAGGACGAAAGTCGAACGGCTGGGGAAGGAGTCCCCCTTTCACAGTTAAGGAAGCATGCCGCTCTATGAGACCGCAAGCGAGGCAATGGGAGCCATACCGATCCTCATGAGGTTGCTCCGTGAAGGCTTCGATCTCATGCCTGGGCCGGCAGCTTGGGAATCACCTGTACCGATGGCTGGGGCGTATGTAGGCTCTATTTGTGGCATGGAACCCCTGAGAGGTCATACCATCCTGGACCATGGCTCATTGTTGAAGAGAGGCTGCTGCAGAAGGCCAAGGATCTAGACCCTAGGACCGTTGCCGGTCAAAGCGATTATGTTCGTCTGTGGGGTGGTGTCCGCCACCCGCTGCTGACCCATGGTGATCGTCTTGATGTCGCCCATTCCCGCTCTACCCAGTGGGAAGCATGCGGTCAGACCATCTCCCCCGCACCTTGAGAGTCTCTCAAAGGCCAACTTATCGCGAACACGGTCACGCTCTAGGCTCCGTTGTGTTCCGGTCTGAAGCTACTCGTTCGTGACCTCAAATTCAGAATCAATTTCCACGAGCAGCCCGGAGCTTGTATTCGGGTGTTGCAGGCCTCTTTGACTGTTCCTATACTCTGTGAGTCATCGTACTATGCCAGTTGTCTATCTTTGAAGATAGCTTGCGTGGTGGAGTTTTAAGAACTCCTCAGAAAATCACTCTATGCCGTTCATTCAAGGCGTCAAGGTTGCGTGGTAGGTCCATCCACGAGTCGCTATTCTCCCTCATCAAGGGGAGTTCGGTGTTAAAGACTCATCAAGCATCTCGAAATAAATTCAACTAACGGCCACATCTCTTCTCTAGCGGACCATGTATCCGTGGTCACAGATCCAAGTCATGCAATCATGCCGGCGAGCGGATCATGATTCCCGTGAGAAAGCCGGGACGGCCTTTGAGGAGCTGCCCTCATAAGAAAGGAGAGATATGCCAATGCGGTTTGGTGACCGTTGCGATCCCCCAGAAGCGCAAATGCGGCTGCATGTCTGAAGGCCCAAAGCCCAATGAATCTCAAAAGGAGTCAGACTCGAGAAACGTGGCACGAAGGATATCCTCTTTGAAGGTGCCCGGGAGACGTGTTACGACCCGCCGATCAACTCCTCAGAAGGGAAAATGTTGCGAGACCGAGAAAACACAGACTATGGCTGCCGGTTCAAAAAATCCGTCAGCCACTGGGCATGAGGCCAAACACGAAGCAAAGGAGACGGACACGGACCCAGAAGCCGTTGAGCTCCCTCGACGGTGTACCCTAGGTGATACCGTATCCCAGGATCGAACGACAGCGCCGCCACTCACTCGTAAAAAAAGCAATTACGTGGAAGCCAAGGACACAGCACAGACAAACGGCTTCCTCAATGCATGGTTGAAGGACCCCTCGAACGACATTCCGTACAGTATATCAACTACTAACCCTAGTGGAAGAAGACGATCGAACGGGTCACGACCTGAACCACACACACACAGCTTCAACTTGCAAACAGTCTCCCCAGAAGTGACGCAGCTTCACAGTGCCACACCCGCCTCACAGACCGACGCGGAGGCTCGTTCTGATTGGGGGGACTTGTCGACGGCCTGGTCAATGAGGCTCTCCGCGTCAAATCGAGAAGCAGGCGTAACATCTGAGGGATTTCGAGTACACCCACATATCCAGCTGGGCGACCAATTCGGACATCCCGTCTCTTCGCTACCGCCAGGAGCACACCCACTGCCGCCGCCGCCGCCGCGCCAGCTGCAACAACTTTATCCCTGGGGCGTGAACTCGCCCTCACAACAGCCGATATTCACATATCCACCCCTGAACGGCTCAACGGTACAAGCCCTTCATCCAGCGCTGTTGCAACAACACATCGCAAGCACCCGGGTCGTCTACCTGGTGATACCGCAGGAGCCGCCGGCGACCCAACTGCCGCAGACACCATGTCAACATGGATGTGGCCCTGGGATCAGCCAACCCACGGTGGTTCAAAGCAGCTTCGTACAACCCGCGACGCCTCCACACACGGGAGTGGAGATCCCGCCTGCGCACAACAGTCCGGGTGGAGGTGGTTGCAACGGCAACGTGTTCGAGTGCCGCTGCGGCCCGTCCTGCTGGTGCGTCGGGTGCATCACGCATCCGTTTAACGAGGCGACGCAGGAGTACATCCGGTCCGCGCAGGCGCAGCTGCTGCTGGAAGAAGCGGACGAGGCGGCCTTGGCTCGGTCGTGGGAGCAGCCGTTTACGAATAATACGCTGAGGGGTGGTGAGTCGGAGATGGCGGCTCGGCTTCCTGTGCAGCTCAATGCCTCTTTAATGGCTGGTGATGGCGAGCCGAACCTGCCGACGGACGGGTATTTCTTTGTGACGTATTGAGGGCGATAAGTTTCGAGGGATCCCGCTCACGGCTCTTCGGCTGAGTGTGAGTGGGAGGGTGTGGTTTGAACTGGTATCATGCTGTAGATTACAAGCTTCCCAGTCTTTGGCGGCGGAAGTGGAATGAAGCAAACATCAAACACTCGGTGTTCAGTATTCGGTATCAGAGACCCGTGCAGTCTCGCCAGTACTTCGGTCACGAACAGCTCGCAGTCAATGTCTCTGGTCAAGTGCTAATATAACTGCTCTAGATCTTCCTGGCGTATAATCTGGCCCAGTCTGCTTCGCATCTTGAACTCAAGCACCGAAGATGCAGTTGCGGATATAAAGCGGTCTTGGCTGAAGCATTCAAGAACCAGGTAATCCATACACCAGCCGCATGATTCCATACGGGCGGATGACGCGATACCCAATAATCACCAGAACGGGAGACACGCGCCCTCGGTGGGCGGATATCTCTATACCTCGAAGCCAGCCCGGCAACGAGAAGCCTTCAGTAGTAGCACCTCAAAGCCCGCCTGTTCAGACCTGCTCTATCTGCCAGCAAAAGAGGCTCTTTCAGATTCCCGGCACCCTCGGTGCCATATGTGCATGACGACATTACTCCCCGCAGGAGCTCGGCCATGTACTATATAGATATGTCCAGCACCGGCATCGTCAAGTCTTTCCTCGCAGCGCATTGTCTCCGCCGAGACGGCCCCGTGTTTTCTGTACGTCGTATCATGACCGAGGTCCGAGTCGGCTGGCGAGGCGGTACGCACGGCCGCCCTGCAGTCCGGTATAGGGGTTTGTGGCCTTTCGGAAGACACCATTTTCCAAGCGAGAACTTTAGATCAAAGAACTAGGTTGAAGTCTAATTACTCCAAAAATGCCCTAGTACCTACGGCAACCCACCCAAGGTTTCGTCCGGCGTATGTCGACAAGCCGGTGTAAAAATCACATGCCAGATCTTGAGATGAGCCTGCGCCGGTAACTATAACGCGGTTGGACGCTTGGACCGTTGACCTGAGGGCGAGACTGAGAGGCACCTTTGCCGGTGATGAGAACACTGACCCTCGGCGGATTTCGGCATGGCACCCGAGAGGTCCAGGTAGACTGACCATGCCAACGGAAAGGGATCCTTGCAGGTAGCACATCCGGATAAAGGTACGAGCCAGAGAAGTGCATGCGTTTATCGACGCTATTAGACGCACGCTCTGGTCCGTCTTTATAGGATCTGACAATAGGGGCGACAGTGTCGAAAAACGGCCGCACCAGCAGTCCATCGAACCTGAAGTAAGGGAAGGTGAGCCATACCACAGCTGTGTATGAGGAGCGTTGTGGCACTTTCTATCAAACTGGCGTTTCCTTGTAAACCAAGGCGCACCCACACAGATGAAAAGGCGCAGCCTTTTGGTATACTTCGAAGACGCCTATATTAACAGTAATGCGTGGGTATATTGCATGCAAGGAAGCTCCCAACCTCTATGGCAGGATGCTCATATCTAAAGACGTCTAGCCCGCGCGCTTTCTATATTTTGGTCTACAGTGATCCAATTGTCCTGCCCAGCGGTCTACGCCGAATCGGCCGACTGCTCACCCTTCTTGTCGTGATTCCTCGTTGAGCGGTGTGTGGGCACTCTCCGAGGCTTTCCGAATATCCAGCGCGGGTCTTCTCCATCAAATATCTTTCTCAGTCGCTTACAGCATTCCAAATATAGCTTCTCCGACTGCTGAGGCGGCCTCATAGGATTCGGCCCCTTATCCCAGCCATGCGCCACCTCGTGGATCATGGTATAGAAAACGTTCTTGGATATTGGTGGCTGGTCCAGACGTCTAGCGAGTTCTTCGCCTTCCTGCAGCAGCATGTCCCACTCGCAAGTGAAGAACAAGATGTTGGGTGGCATGGCTTCTTTGAGCAGCTCGTCGGGCGCCTTGCTAGGGGACAGGCATGGATCGGCGAGGTCGAGTTCGGGCGGGAACAGGTACGATTGGTCGAAGAGATTCGTCAACGTAGGTGGAAGGGTGTGTTCCGGGCGAACCGAGCGGTCCCGCCGCTCTACCCTACTGAGGGTGTAGTCGGTTATCGGGTACCATGTCGCAACAGCTACGATGCGATGTTCTGGTAGCCCCGCGCCCTTCGAGTGTAAGTGCAAGCGCATTGGCGCAGTGAGCGCAATATTGCCGCCAGCCGAGAAGCCCGACGTCGCGATGCGCATTGGGTCGATCCGCAACTCGGCGGCGTTGTTTATGATGTACAGGAGCGCGTCGGCGCCGTCGTCGACCGCGGTCGGAAAAGGGGACTCGGGAGCTAGGCGATAGTCGACGGAAACGAAGACGATGGACTTCTCAACGACGAAACGCGCGAAACGTGCGTCGTCTTGTGCTTTGCCGAGAGTGAAGCCGCCGCCATGGTAGTTCACGACGACTGGCCACTTATCGCTCTTTTTGTCCCTGGTGTAGCCGGCGGGGAGGTAGAAGTGTAGGACGAACTCGCCCGGCTTGAGAGCGAGTGTGGAGGGTATCGTTCTGTTGAAGGCTGGACTGGGCGGTCGCGGAGATGCCATGAAGTGCAACCCCATGCCGATGCATTGTAGCGACCGCCACCACTTGGCCGTGGCATGCAATGAGAAGCGAGATGGAGGTGCGCCTGTCTTATCTTTAGCTTTCTTGGGCTTCTGGTTCGCGGGCAGGCTGTCCTGGGCGGTAGTGCCCGTCGGGAGGACCTTGGCGTTCAATGGTAGACCATCAACGGTTGCCATTGTGACTCCTGACTCCTGAGTCCTCCGGCCGAATAGAAAGAAAGGATACAGTGGCAGAGTGGCAGAGTGGCAGCAGCTCAGGAGTGTCAGGTCCCAATGGATCATCATGAGCGAATCGGTGCCGGAGCAGTTTTATCGTTGTATCGAACCGAAGAGAATAGTGGGGATATGGGATGTATCTTACCGGGGGTTTCCAGTCCCTGTTGTTGATTGTACTCATGCACCCTGTTCTGCCTGTCGGTGTCAGCCTGTGTCGCAGACATACTAATGTTGTGCTGCGTGGTGACTGGTGACATGAACGTAATGATGATCACGGTTCGACCATAGGTACCACAGTACTAGGATCCAGCGGGCCTATATCACACTCACGATATTTCCACGAACCGTGGCACGATCTGCGCATTCCACATAAATCCTGTATTATCATGCCTGGACAGCTGGGCTGGACCTCACTCCCACTGCGCATGACGCGCCAGGGAAGCGGATACATGCAGCCGTGGCGCCATGGAATAAGCGCACGGTTCAGCTCGCAGCACTCGAGAACACGTGCATTGAAGCCTTCAGGGCAGCCACGGCAAAGTCACTGATAACAGTGCGAGGCGGGAAGTTCCTTGCTTGAAGAAACGGACGCCGCTTGTCTACTTAAGTACCTAACCTAAGCCGGAGTTGGACGTGACACATCTGCTAAGACGTCATTAGTCAGGTAAGCAGGCTTATCCCGCTGTGGCTTGACGGCCATGTGGATCGGCCCCTTCGATGTTGGAGTCGCTGCTGGAGCCGCTTGTACCTACATTGCGCTGGTCTGAGCATTTGATTCGCCCACAGTGGTCCCGTTCCTGACGGGCTGAGTGGGGGCTCATGGGCAGCACGATCGGTTTTGTAGAATGGCATCGGGATTCGGGATCAGGACATCTTTTCGAGAATAATAATGAAATTGGTGACGTGATTGCATTTCCTGTATGTGTTCCCGAGGTCGGTTTTATACAAACAGCTGAGCCATACCGAGTGCCCGACACGCAAGACAGGCCCGCTGGCAGGTTTTCCAAATTTCTCACCCCATGGAAATCGGAAATGGGACGGGACGACAGCCCCTGCATTATTCATAATTCCGGCTGCTACAATACGCAGTAATAATGCAGCAAGTATTAAATGCATTTGCCCTTCCGGGACAGCTGACCACGAAACACTGCGGCCCGGTTCGCTACCGGTATTCATGCATTTGGCAATGCAGGTGCCGGCGCGTTTGCTCCGCTTGGCAGCCCGGGTACTTACTTATTACCTTATGTTATGTTATGTATGTAGCAGTTGGTACGTTTATGGGCGGTAGTCATTTCGTCACTGTGAGGCGTCGGGGCCAAACGCGAGCGCGGTGTCGATTGGATATTGGATAGCCTGCCGTAGTCTGTAGATGCGGTAGCGCAGATTTCAAGGTCTTTTTTGGACGGAGATTGCTAGCCCAACGTCGACTGCAAAATTAGGTAGATCCCGACGTTCCCTTGTCTTCCACTGCCTGACTAGCCGGGTTCCTGCCAAGTTTGCTTATAATCAGACAGAGAGTACCTTAGACACAGACACGGACACCGTTGTTCCTTCGCTTCCTCGATCCATCCCTTCCTCCACCCCAACACCAACCACTACTCTGTCTGCCACTCCCGCTCGTTCCCTGTGCGAGTTTTCAGACTGCCGTGCGATTCTTCCATCGATTGAGTGCCCTTGGTTGCCTTCCACCGAAGTACCCTCCTCGACTCCTCAAGCCGAGCAGCCAGTCGTGCCAGCGACACGACGACCGCCACCATGCCGGGCGCCCTCAAGGCACCGCTCCTCTACCTGAACCGCATCATCGGCCATCAGTCGGCGAAGAACCACATGACTAAAATCAAGCTGGGGAACACCGACGCCCTGAAGGATGACTCCGACAAGAGCCAGCTCAAGAACATCTACGAGAAGCGCGCCAAACGACAATCCGCCCAACAGGAAAGAAAGTCAATGCAATCGAAACGCAAGGAGGAGGAGGAGGCCAGACGCGCAGAGGATGCCCCGGAGCTCCGCGAAAGCTACGGCACCGTCACGTCCACCGCTCTACCAGAGTCTTCAAAAATTGACGGCTTGTCGACGTCCCAAATTGGCCAGACTGTGAGCTTCACCGCCCGCCTACACCATGTGCGCAACATCAGTGCCAAGCTGGCCTTCGTCCTCCTGCGCCAGCAGATGACCACGATACAGGGCGTGCTGCAAGTGAAGGATGGCGCCGTGTCCGAGCAGTTCGTCCGCTGGGCCGAGCATCTCAATGCCGAATGTATAGTACACGTCAAGGGCGAGGTTCGCCAACCTCCGGACAAGGTCAAGACCACCTCCATCCACGACGTTGAGATCCTCATCCACAGTATGCACGTACTGGTCCCTGTGGATAACTCCTTGCCCATCGACGTCTTCGGCATGGACCAAGTCGAAGAGGATGAAGAAACTCATGAGAAGCGATTGGCCGTGTCCAACCGAGTTCGCACTGCCAACCGCATCATCTACCTGCGCACGCCAGTCATGCAGAGTGTTTTCCGCATCCGTTCGACCATCTGCGCCATCTTCCGAGCCACCCTCTCCGACCAAGATTTCATCGAGATCCAGACCCCCAAGTTGCAACCCGCGGCGACCGAGTCGGGAGCTTCGGTCTTCCCCGTCAAGTACTTCGGAAGACAGGCTTTCTTGGCCCAGAGCCCGCAGCTGGGGAAGCAGATGGCCATCTCTGCCGACTTTGGTCGTGTTTTCGAGATTGGCCCCATCTTTCGGGCCGAGGACAGCAACACCCACCGACATCTGACCGAGTACACGGGCTTAGACCTGGAAATGCAGATCCAGAACGATTACCACGAAGCCATGAACATCATTGACACCATGTTGAAGGCCATCTTCAAGGGCGTATACGCTAAGCACCGGAAGGAGATCGAAAACGTCAAGGAGCGATTCCCACACGAGGACCTTGTCTGGCTGGAGCAGACACCTATCCTGCCCTTCAAGGAGGGAATACGGATCTTGAACGAGTCGGGATGGACTGACGATGATGGCAAGCCGGCGTCGGAGAATGAGGATCTTGCAACTCGCGCCGAGATTCGTCTCGGAGAGCTGATCAGGGAGAAGTACAAGACTGACTACTACATCCTCGATAAGTTTCCTACGTCCGCCCGGCCTTTTTATACGCACCTCGATCCGAACGACGACCAGGTCACCAACTCATTCGACATCTTCCTCCGCGGCCAGGAAATTACCACCGGTGGACAGAGAATCAACAACCCGGTGCTTCTGGCCGAGAGGATGAAAAAGGCGGGCGTCGAACCGGACACCATGGAAGAATACATGCAAGCTTTCGAGTGGGGTGCCCCGCCGCACGCCGGATGCGGTATTGGACTTGAACGTGTTCTGTTTCTCCTGTTGAACTTGGGCGATGTTCGTAACGCGTCGATGTTCCCCCGCGATCCCAAGTCGTTGCCGGCCAGGGCTCCCACCGACGATCTGACGATACCATTCCCCGAAGCCGACACCATCCGATATACATTCGAAGGCGACCATACCCACGTCCACCTACCCGACCTCGAGAAGCTTATTGTGAACTACGGCGACGCGACCAACACTTCCTGGCTTGACGACCGATACAAGGTGTGGCGAGATACCGACACGGGTGCTGCCGTAGGCTATGCCGCAGAAAATGGGTATGCGCTGATCATGGGCAACCCGCTCTGCGATTCGCGACAATATCCTGCCGTCATCGGCTCCTTCCTCAGGTATCTGAAGAAGGACGAGGATCTGAGACCCATCTGGTTATTGGTGGGTGCACAAGTCGAGGAGATCCTCGGAGCCAAACTGGGCTGGCGGACACTCACGACCACCGCCGAGGAGCGCGTCGATGTGAACAACGTTGGTAATGTGGCCAAGAAGGAGCGACAGGCCAAGAACGCCGACGTCAAGATCCACGAAACTCAATTAGGCGAGCCCGTTCCCGAGGAAATCAAGGCCAAGTGCGACAAGCGTATTGCCGACTGGAAAGAGGGCCGCAAGGGGAAGAAGCAAGTCCACATCACGGAGGTTCAGCCGTGGATCTCCATGGCCCACCGACGATATCTATGGGCGGAGAACAAGCAGGGCGAAATCGTGGGAATGGTGATTTTGCACCGCCTATCACCAGCCAACGGCTACCAGATCAAGTTTGCTCTCGACTTCCCCGGCTCGCCATCCGGCAGCATTGAGGCGTTGATCTCGCACTCTATCCGGAGTTTACAGTCGTCCGGCGTGAACAGCGTGACGTTCGGTACCGGTGCCATGTCCGAGCTCGCTGTCGGCCACAACCTCAACGGTATCAAGGCCAAGATCCTGAGTCATACGTACAAGACGGTCGCTCAACAACTGAAGCTGGTGGCCAAGAGCGAGTTCCGCGAGAAGTTCGGCGCGAAGAACGACCCAGTGTACATCTGTTATCCCTTCATGGGTCTCGGCGTCTCGGGCGCAAGGACGTTGATCAAGTTCTTTGAGGATGAGATGTAGACTGGGCCTTTTCGTTGTCGGGCGCAGCTAGAGTGACGACGACGGGGATGACTGTCCACGGCTTTTGCTTTTTAGATACTCCCAAAGATCTCCACTAGAGACTCGTGTTCGATACACGAGCGGCAGAACGCTTGGATCGTGTTGCGAGATGTTGTCGTTTTTTCATATACCCGCGTGGAGGTAGGATCGTTGTTTTTTCTTGTAGCCATCAGTGGTAGATCAGTAATAGGTGTAGAAACCATGGATAATAGAGCGTATTAATGAGTTCTGCAGTGTCTAAACCATCCCCACGTCCTTGCAAGTGTGTTACCACATAGATGACGCGCTCGGGACTGAGCGTCCTTGGCTCGGGTCTGGGCCGACGTCGCGGCACTTGGCCGAGCCCGCTACTGTATTGATCATGATGCTGCCCAGGCCAAATCCCAATGCCGCTGCGTTATCCCACGATTAGAGGGGCTTTGCTGATGTGTTGATCTGGAATAGCCACTGTCCTGACCCCTGAACGACCTGCACCAACTATCCCATGCTTAAGGGACAGTCTCCCGAACACGGACACTTAATCAAGAACCCGACGTCGATTATTCGAATTGTTGCGGGAGGTGCCAGAAGTCTCAAAGCAGGTCTCGATCATCACGAGTCACCGCCGGAGGAGAGTGGTGGTCCCGATCAGGACTTCCCTTGTTTTGTATGATTTTGGAGTTTGCTGTCGTAGATCCTGATGGGGCTGTCTATATGTATTTATTGCCATGGCCAGGTGGGAAGGATCGTGGGATCGTGGCTCCTGTCTTGATGAAGCGACGTGCTGGTCTTCGTCTTCGAGGGAGGAAATTGGATGGAGATGGAGGTTTAAGGTGGGAACTGGAGTCGAATGCTTGCGAAGGAAGGTCTGTCAAGGTGCCACGGGCATCTGGCATCTTTGGGCTCTGAACCAACCACCAAGCGTCAAGGCAGTCCTTGGCAAACCGTAATTTTTACGCATGCTTCACGGAGGAGTAGTGGGGGTATTAGGAGTCTGAGCCCGTTCGAAACAATTGTGCTGTGACAAGCATGATCAAGGTGGATGAATTCAACGTAAGTCCTTGCATCTGGCCCCAAAATAGGGGCTATGTTCTTCTGGGACTGCATGCTTCTTGGTGCCAGGGTACTGTTATATCAAGTTACCCCTGAGTCATTCTGAGACGGTAATGGCCTGCTCTTTCTTGTTGTTATTCGCCAGACCGGCTCTGTACTCCTGGTGGCCTGTAACTAACTACCAGTGACTGCGAGGCCAGTACGCTAATCGGACAAATGTCACTGCCCCTGGAGAAAATCTTGATGTTGTCGTCGGTGTTGTTCGAACGTAGACCTGTTCCTACCACCGATGGGACAAAGGATCTTACTCAAAACGGACGAGGCGTTTTTCCCCCATGTTCAGTTCATAATGGTCTCGTCCATGAGATTTATTTCGAGATCGGGACAAACAGGCCCCTTCCTTTGTGATGACATTGGACGTAAAGGCCGCCGCAAATCGTATCATGCATACAAGGTGTGATTCTTCAAAGGAACTTTCATTGACACACCATGTCGTTACGAGTTACATATATAAGACCCGAACGGGCAGTTGCGGGTTGAAAAGGGCATCGCTAGGAATCATCATCATTAGAATCATCATCAACACCATCATCAGTTACCATCATCATCTCCAGCGCAGTACGCAATCTACTTGATAAGATGGAGTCACCGCAACATACCACGAGCCGAGGTTTATCCTAACGCCGAACTCCCATCCATACCATCTCTCCGGATGTCATGCTTAGTCATTGCCGACCATATCACCAACCCCGTGGATCTTTTCTACTTCACTCTGACATGTAAGGATCTATGGCACCTTCTCGGCCATCGTACATGTGAGAAGGACGCACAGTTCCAACAAAGCCTCGAAGGCATCCCAGTCCTCGCACACGATGATCAAAGAATCCCCATACTCCACCACGTCATTGAGACTTCCCGGGACATTCAGACGGTGGAGAAGGCAGTCAAGGCGTTTAGCAAGGTCTTTCCCGGATCACTCGACGGCTACTGGAGAGAGGGATTTCGATACTCCGCACCCCTGATCACAGCTATTACACTGGGCAGGAAAGATATCGTCGAAATGCTCCTTGACCATGGGGCGAATATCGATATCAAGGTTCACTCATTGAACAACCCTACCCATCAGAGACCACACACGTCAACAACGCATACGCCGCCGGAGGTGAGCGGATATCCGTGTTATCAGATATGTTATTCAACCTTAACAGCTGCCATCCGTGCCGACAAGAAGGAGATAGCAGAACTGCTGGTGGCACGCGGCCTCGACCTGGACGGGATCTCCACCCCGACGTTCTACGACTTGGTAGACACGGACTGGACAACAGTCATGAGACAAGTGGGAGCAGCCTACCTACCCTGGACTGACGTATGGGACGGGCGATACGGGTGTACTAACCGCCTGCTTCTCCGCGAGGCGAGAAAGGGAAGGGCTTCCGTCGCCAATATAGACATGCTCGTCGAGCTGGCCGGCATGGCGCCGCGTATCGACGGCATTCTTGACGATAAGCCCTACCTTGGGCTCAAAATCAACAAACCGCAGTGCGCCATCTATTTTCTGCGGGCAAAGGAGGCTTGGGGTTACGACCATATGCTGAGCCCAGAACGGTGTGTCGATCTCTCTTTCGGCGACGATTGGAACATCGAGTGCTCAAAGTACCTGTACAGTCGCAGAGGGTACTACAATCTTGAGGGGCGAGATCTGCTGACCATCGCGCTCCGCGGGAGTCCCAAGACTCCTCGGACTATCGAGTTTCTCGTGAATAACGGCTGCGCCCTCGACCAGTCTCACCCGTGGAGCGCGCGGTGCGCAGCGGTAACACTGTCATCGTCGAACTTCCGAAGCGGCCCTTGTCCAGAACGTGCGGTTCTTGTCCTTCAACGGTCGTCCGTAGCCACTGCTGGAATATGCAGTGACGAAGGGTCCTTGGCCCTTGGGGGCCTGTGTTTCGCTTGACGTAACTACCATGAGCACCATATCATGGTTTGCGGCGTTTTATTCTGTTGGACTTAGCGTACAGCACGGGGGCTCTGCTTTTTGTTGTAACTTAGGGTATTTGGGTTTGGCAGTTCCCTTGCGGACGAAGAGCTTACCGTAATAATAAAATAAATCGTATACATAATACTCATTGCTATGCCGCTTTCTCAGCTCCTGCATTATGCCGATCGCCGATAAGTTACCTTAGCCTTCTCGCGATAATCGCAGCTCGTGCAGCAAGGGTATCTGCCTCTTCCATATTTCGTGTGATAATGAGTTTTCCATAGCACATGTTTAGACGCTGCAAATCGCTATAATAGAGATACCGGCTGATACCGGCTTTAGATTGTGGGTCTTAACGGAGACCCGAGGTGGGGGTGATTATAGCAAGACGCCGGCCGGCGTTTAACTTTGACCATCCGTCCTGTACGTAGGTAGTTCCAAAACACCAAGCTCGGTAATCTGTCACGAGGCGCGCTCAGCGCATTCGACACAACTCCTCCAGGCTGTACCATTACGGCATCACCAAAAGAAGACCATGGCTCCTACCTACCCCATGTTCGACGTCAACAAAACAGGTCACCTGAAGGTCTCCGCAGTCCACAGCCTCTACTGGGAAGACTGCGGCAACCCCTCGGGCGTCCCGGTCGTCTATCTCCACGGCGGGCCCGGCGGCGGCATCGAGGACTCGGACAGGCAGTACTTCGACCCCTCGCACTACGTATGTACATTTTCGAGTCTTTTATTTCCCCGTATGGCCATGCCCTGAGCGCGAATTCCGTCTTCTAGCCTGTGTCAAGAGCCTCTGCTCCCGAGACACGCATTACGACTCCATTTTTCCTCGGCAAACTACCTAAATGAAGCAATTACTAACTCAAATTTGCGAGGAGCGGAGCGTGCTCTTCGACCAGCGCGGCAGCGGCAAGAGCACGCCGCACGCCTCGCTGGAGGACAACACGACCTGGCACCTTGTCGAGGACATCGAGAAGCTGCGCGAGCACCTCGGCGTCGACCGGTGGATCGTCTTTGGCGGATCGTGGGGCTCCACGCTCGCCCTGGCCTACGCGGAGAAGCATCCTGACCGCTGCCTTGGCCTCATCGTCAGGGGCATCTTCACGTTGCGGCGCGAGGAGCTGCTGTGGTATTATCAGCAGGGCGCCAACTTTATCTTCCCCGAGTACTTTGAGCCCTACGCCGCATGCATTCCGGAGGAGGAAAGAGGCGACATGATGCAGGCGTACTACAAGAGACTCACGGGCGACAATGAGGAGGAGCAGCTCAAGTGGTAGGTTGATCTGTCGGTTTGGCCCCTTGAGTTATTACGCAGCTAATGCGCACCAATTACTGTAGTGCCGACAACTGGAGCCGCTGGGAGGTTTCCACAAGCAGGCTGATGGTCAATGCCGACTACATCGCCAAGGCCGACGATCCAAAGTGGTAAGTTCCCTCCCCCCACAGCGTGTGCTTTAACTACTACATTGACTGACGCAGGCTCTCAGGGCCCTCGCGTTTGCCAGGATCGAGTCTCACTTCTTCGTCAACGGGGGCTGGATGAGGGACGGCCAGCTCGTCGACGACGCCCACAAGATCAAGCACCTGCCTATCGTCATTGTACAGGGCCGGTACGATGTCGTGTGCCCGGCAAAGACGAGCTGGGATCTGTACAAGGCACTGGGCGGGAAGGATAACAAGAACGTGGAGTACAAGATCATTGGCGATGCTGGCCATAGTGCTCACGAGCCAACCATCGAAGAAGCCCTGGTGGATGCTGTGGAAAAATTCAAGTCTATCAAGGCTTGATGAACTACGGTTTGATGTGTTCTGATAAAAAGCAGATCGACTAACCCGGGCTGTGATCATTTCCTTCCCGGGCTGTCTGTTTCGTTGATTCGGGTGAGGCAGCGTTCCTGGTCAAAGTGCTGACGTTCTTCAGGCCCGATCGAAAGACTTGCCGAGGTGGATATATATGAACAAAGATATGTAGTAGACAGCGCTTTATTTTCAAACATTGAATTCCTTACACACGTGAATCTTAAAGCTTTCTCGTGCTGCTCATCTTTTATGTCGTCAACAACACCACGACCTTGTTTAGTGCTATCATAATCAAGCATGTTTGATACTTAAGCAACCGGTTGCCCCAACCCACACAAGATGAACCAGTTCCACTACACCGTCATAAACACACTCGACGCACTCACCGACGCCGGCGTAGCCCTGCCCCAAACCCCAGAATACGCATCACCAGGCGGCACGGGCTCCAGCAAATACTCCCTCCGGAAGCTCTCCACAAGCGCATCGCTCTCCACCGCCGGCCTGCGAAACGTCGAGATGGGCGGTGTCGGCGTTCCCGCATTCGCCAGCGCCTCCCTCTCCACGACCGCCGCGCGGTCGCCGTCCCGGATCGCCTGCTCGATCTCCGCCACGAGCTCGTGCAGCTTCGGCCGCTCGACCTGCAGGTCCGCCATGCAGCGCGCTACTAGGTGCCGCAGACGACTCTCGATGGGCACGATCTCGGGCGGGATGTCCGAGGGGAGGGAGGAGTCTACTAGGTACCAGCCCCAGGTAAGGAATCTGAAGGGGCCGCTCGGCAGAATGATTAGACGGTCGCGCAGTTGCCAGCCGTCTTTTGGGTGTGAGAGTGTGAGGAGGTTGAACATTGTCTGGTTGGTGTTGTAGAGGTTAGCTTGGGGAGACCAGCGCCTAGTTACTCAGAGTAGGTGCGAGCTGGAAGACCAGGTAGGTAGGCAGGCAGAGGGCTGGCTGTTGGGACAGACACGTACTATGCCGATTCCCCATATGTTCATAGTTGGGCCAAACGCGTTGGGCTCTAATCTCCTGTCGTAGTACCGCTGTTCCTTGCCAGGAGATGTCAGCCATGTCAGAGTCGACCGTGGGGTGGCAGTTACTTACTGTGGCTACATATCTCACTTTTCCTCCGCCAAGCTTTTCTACCTTCCTATTCCTTGTTAGACGAGTAACTGATTCCATACGTAAGAATCCTCTGCAGAGGTCAAGTCATGGTGGGTTCCTTACTCTTCGTCGGTCCAGTTTGGATCTACTTCGAAAGTAAGCCCGAATCGGCCAGCTGTGGAAAATGTCAGTGCTGGAGTAAATCAAGCAAACATGGCGCTTGTGGTGTGCTGACCTTCACAACTGGTGTTATGAAATGCTCTCCGTCCCTGTTAATGTCTCTGAGAAATACTATCTACAGTCAGGCAAGACACCATATACCGGAAGGGGTCGGGCGACGTCACAGTTTGAGGGGTCTATGTCGGAATGGACGATGTCCCGAGGAAAGATCGGAGGTGCCACCGTCGGGATCGTCTCCCTATGCTGGTAGGCCACGGGCCCAGGCACCGGGTACGCAAGAGCGATGCAAGCTCTCGCTACTGCAACGTGCTTTCAGTCAGTTCTTGTTCAAGTCGGAGCATGCTCACTACCGGCACTCACAGCACAGAAATATCCTCCACAAGATCCGACACGGTATAAACTGCAGCTGCTCTTGCCAGGCCGGGATCAGGGGATCCGCAGCTCGAACGACGCGGTGTATGAGGTCTTCGAGCGTTCCTCTCCGCAGGTACTCCACCACGATGATGGGGTCGTCAAGTATCGCGTTGTTGTACAGTTCCCTGGGGAATATCGATTCTCCAAACGTAGCCAGTTGCACGATGTGCTCGGAACCAGCGAAATTCTGCCACGTTACATATGAGCGAAAAGAAGGGGGACATTTGAAGATAGATGGGAGACAAGAGGAAAGAGGAAAGAGAGGCCGCCAGGCCGCCGACTCACTCTCAACCACACAATCTCCCTCCGACTCGCAGCCCTGCTCCTCTCAGCCTTCGGGTGGCCATCCAGCCGCGACGGGAACTTCACCGCGACATCCCGCTCCCGGGCACTGCCGATCCGCCCTTCCATAACGCGCCACTGCTGGACGACGCCGAAGCCGCCCCAACCCAGGACCTGTTTGTACGCCAGGAACTCGGAGCGGCTCTCGAAGAACTGGCGCGATCGTCGCCATGCGCGCCTCGCGCGGCGGAAGCCGTTTGCCCGCACTGCTGAGGCCCTCGAGTTGATGATGGGTGAGAAGCCGGACGCCTCGAAGGAGTCCACTGTTCATGACCATACAACGTCAGTGGCAAGTGCAATTTTGGTGGTGGAATATAGGGATATGGGGATAGAGGGCTTCTGACATCCTAGATAGCCCCGACCGGGGCTGTTTGTTCGCAGAGAGCCCAGAGAGGAGTAAGTGCCGCCCCAGAGGACACTTTTCAGCACACCACGTCAGTTCGAAACACGCCATGATATAGATAGGTTGGGAGTTATTTGCATCCTCAATCGCTCATGGAATTGCCGTACATCCTGTAATCGAACGGGCCGCGTAGAGGTGACCTGGCTGTGCGAAGAGAAGAAAAAGTTGCCAAACCACGGGTTTGGAGATCGTTCGATTGGAACAAAGAATAGTGTCACGGAATTGTATTGCATTCAATCGTATTATGTCTCGCAACGGATTGTTCAAGCGACGCCGTTTCCGGGCAAGCCCAAAAGTACAGGCTCTTTGTTTCGCAGGTCAATTTTTGAGCTACACACCACGCCAAAAAAGCCGACTCCTGATTCGCACTCATCATTCAAGCTGAGCCTCAGGCTTTCTGTAAGTAGATAGTTGCTTCCACAATATGGTCTATTTCATTATCTAAATTAAATTGTAAGCTTACGCTATGGGCCAGTCTCCGTGTATGTTCTATCTCATGACCTAGATGCGCCCATCCCGCTCTACTCTGATACCGGCCTACAAAAGAAATGAGGGAGACCTCCTCTCTTCCCCGGCAAAATGCCTGCCCATCTAATCTCCAACCCCGTATCCCGCGGCGTCAATGTCTTGCCTCTGGACGAGCGCCTCTCCAGACCCTGAGACAGGGGACGCCGCGCAGATTGTTCCCATCCAATGGAACCAATGCAGACGCATCTGCTCGCCCAAAGATTGGTACCTGGATGGGATCGTAGGCATCCTCAACCAAGGAATAGTCTCAGTGATCTTGATCTCTTAATTCCTCCTTCTTCCCAGATTTCTTGAAAGGCTTCTTCATAGCGTCGGCAGCCTTGCCCATGGTGCCAAAGAGCTTCCCAAACCCGAAGCTCCATCCGCGAACACGCACGGTGTAGATGAAGAAGTAAACCAAAAACCAGTTGGAAACGCAGAAGGCGAGGAAGATGCCGAAGTCTGTCGTTCAATTAGCACACATGTCTCAGTGTCAAAGGGTTCAAATCGGATTATCGGTTTCACGCACCTCGCCACTTCTCGTCCGCCGAGAGATTTAGCGTCTTGAGATAGAAATTTCCGCTGCGGTAGGGACAGTACTGGCAGTCGTTCCTGGCTTCGGGGTTGAGCAAGTAGCCGCCCGACTCGTTCGCAAAGACGCCTGCGTAGTCTCGGCACGTCTGACCAGGCGGGGCATCGAATCGGGCGGTCTCGCTGATCTCGCATTCGACAGGAGCGCCGTCGAGGGTCGCTGCGAGCATACCGCCGATCCAGTACGTGGACGGATTGACGTAGTCTGAGGCCCAATGTGTTAGTATTCATCTGCCTAGTAGGCCATGAAAGGGGGTTCTGAGCAAACGGACTATGTGAGGCCACATAGGCTATAATAGGCAGCTCTGGCTCTCAACTGGGTCTGGAAGGGGATTAGACAAAACTCGAAATTTTACTTACACATCCAGTAGCGCCAAAAGACGGGCAGCCCGCTGTAGGGCTGGACGACGCCGTTGAAGAGACTGAACATGACAAAAAAGAAGGGCAGGACCTATGGGATGTCAGCATCTATGCGAGCAGCAGCAAGGGGAAGATGTGAGAGGGATGAACCCACGTTGGATATGACAGTGTAGCTCGGCGCGAAGGCGCAGATCCATTGACCCCAGCTGGACACGAAGAGGTAGAAGAGCATGACCATGAGGAAAGAGTAGCCAGAAACCGAGCTTTCGGTTGGCAGTCCGGTGGGCCAATACCATAGAGCCCAATAGAGAACAGCAGAAATGATGGCCGCGGGGATTTCAGCCGCGATATTTGCTGTGCAGAATGCAACCCATCCGTAAATCCGAGACGGGTACTCGCGAGCCTGCCATAGCGCCATGTTGGAGAAGAACTTGGGCACAACGGCATTGACGATGGTGGGAGGGATCGTGACGATCAGGAAGCACGTGAACATGCGGTTCTGCATGTCCTGGGTCGAGTATCCGAGCTGCCAGAAGGTGAATCCGTTGAAGATACCTATAATAACCGCGACGAAGAACTTGCCATAGAGGTATGAGGGATCGCGCCAGTACTGTCTGAACATGCGTTTGGTGAGCTCGACGGTCTGGAGCCATGTCGAAGCAGCGTATTCCTTGTGGTCCCCCTTCTTGGATCCAGGGTGTGACGCTGCGCTTCTGGTCCTCTTGAGGCCGTCGATCTCCTCGATAACGGCTTGTGCTTGCTCACTGTTCAGCCACTCCTCGTTCCAGTCGACTTTGGTGCCATTCGGCATCCTGTGAGGCCGCGCCGCAGTCTCGAGGATGAACTCGGCGACGTTCTTCTGGAGAGGACATACGGCACCTCGGTCAGCGAAGTACTTGACGACATCTTTCCCGTTCTCGCCGATCGGCCCAAAGTAGAAAGTGTTGCCACCGGGGTTCAGGGCCAGGACCATGTCGAACTGCTGAATCAAAACTGAACTCGGCTGGTGGATCGTGCACACAATGGCTTGTCCAGCGCGGCTCAGCTTCTTGAGGAAAGTTACGATCGAGTAGGCGGACTGCGAGTCCAGACCGGAAGTCGGCTCATCGAGGAACAACAGGAGAGCTGGCTTCGCTGCAAGTTCAACGCCAATCGTCAGTCGCTTGCGCAGCTCAACGCCGAGTGACGTGATGATGGCGTCCTGGAGCTCATTGAGTTCCAGCAGGTCGATGATCTTGTCGCAGTATGCGATTTTCTCAGCCCGTGGGATGTCAGCTTCTTGCCGTAGAAGTGCAGAGAACTCGATCGCTTCACGGATAGTCTGAGTGCCGTCGTGAAGATCTCCCTGGAGACAGAAGCCAGTGTTGCGTTGAAACTCCGGACCGAGCGGTCGACCATCGACAAACATCTCGCCCGTGATGACTCCTGTCCTCTGTCGCTGCGCAAGGGTGTTGAGTAATGTCGTCTTACCAGCGCCTGATGCACCCATAAGGGCGACCATGATGCCAGGTTTGGCGTACCCGTTGACTTTGTTCAGTAGCCTCTTCTCGCCACCTAGATAAGGCACGGTGAAGGAGACATCGCGCCACGTGAAAATGGACTCGCTGCGTGTCAACTGGTTCATTGCTTCGTCCTGCTCCTTGGACGTGGCAGGGGAGTCACCCATCTTCGTCTCCGAGGATCCACTAGACCCAGAGGCTTCATTCTTTTCGACGTCCGTGGACGCAGCAGCCTTCTTCGCCTGTTGCTTTGCTTTGCGACTCTTCTTGAAGATCAAGGCGCCGCCCCCTTCATTCGAAAAGCTGAACTTTTCCGTGGCGAAAATTGTAACGAGGATGTAGAGAACTGTAAAGGCAATGACAACACCAAAGTTGCGCCAAAGGTGGGCGCGCGTGTAGTTGAAAGTGGTCGTCAGGTATTCAGTCCCCGGCACCGAAGCAGCGTTGAGGCCAGCACCTGCCAGCGCGCATCCCTGGTAGCCAGGTTGGACATTCGGCCCCTGGGGCACGAGCTGCGACGGATCACACTGCATCGTCCGTCCGGTGAATTCGTTCGTCAGTACGGCCTCGAAGCTGTATGCGATTGGGTTTATGTAGTAGATCCATCCGAACCAGATGTAATCGCTCAGCAGCTGCGTCTTGGGGATAACGTATCCAGTGTAGATGATGAGCAGGTTCAGAGCAATACCTGAGAAGCGCACAGCAGTGTCGATTTCGGGAGACAGGCTCGCGAACATGCGGTACAGAGCTGTGAGCATCATTGTATTGATGTAGATGAAGAGCATGTAGATCCAGAACTTGCTGACAACGACGTCGAGGTTTGTCATGAAATACATGATCAGCCCAAAGATGCACACTTGGACAAGAATGACCGGGAAATCCAGCAGTATGCGAGCAATCGAGACGGCAGACGGGCGGTAGAAAGCATAGTCTTTATGTCGGGCGACCACAGCGCGACCTGATACGGCCTTCATCAGCTCCGTGAGTTGGAGCCAACCGAGGAAGAGGATAGAGAAGAACAAGGCACCGCCACGACTGAAGGCGCCTGCTGTAGAGAATGGTTGGTCGTAATAGATTGATCCAACGATGAGACCGTTCGAGATGATAATGAACAGTTTTGTCCATAGAGTTGTCTTGTCGCCAAGCAGAAGCCAGAACTCTCGTTTGGTGCAGGCCAAGACCTGCCGAGGGAACGAGACGGTGTACGATGACTTCTTGCTGACATGTTTGGATTTGCCTTCCTGCACCGCTCCTTCAAAATTCTTCGCATCTTGGAAATCGGTCTGATGCAAGTGCTGCTCGTAATCCGTCACATCAGCGAGCAACTTCTGATAGTTCGGCGAGTCGCGGAACGCCTTCTCAAGCTCCTCGGGAGACTTCGGCGCCTTGCTCTCGAATCCCTTGCGAAAGCGTCTCTCGGTCGGATCTGTGACGGCGGTCAAGAAGTCTGCGGTAGTCTCTGGTAGCAAATTAGAGTCAGTAATTACTCCTTTTCGATGAGAAACAAAGAGCCGGAATGCGTGTCTCGGAAGCAATGGCTCTTGACACAGGCCAGAAGGGGCAATAGGGAGCTCTAAAATGTACATACGCCGTTCTGGGCACTCGAATCCCAGATTGATGAAGTATTGTTTGGCGTCTTTTGCCGGCCCTGAAAAGATCTCACGGCCTTGGTCGATGACCAGAACCTTGTCCATCAATTCGTAGATACCCTCGCCCGCTTGATACAATGTCACAAGTGTCGTGCGGTTGCTGATGTCGGTCATGATCCGCAATGATTTCGCATAGTCCAGAGCCGTTGAGGCATCGAGGCCACGGGTCGAGTTGTCCCATGCCATGACCATTGACTTTGACGCCAATGTCTCCGCAATGGAGACACGCTTCCGCTCTCCACCAGATACACCTCGCGTGTACTCGTCACCAACGAGTGTATACTTGGTATGACTGATTCCGAACATCTTCATCAGAGCATTGGCGATAATCGGGATGTCGCCCTTGGCAGCTTTCTTCGTCTTGTTCATCAGGGCGAAGGTGAAGGTCTGCCAGACGTTGAGAGAGGCGAAGTGAACATCGTCTTCGGGGTTGTAGTTCACCTCTCCCCGGAACATCTTCTTCTGCTTCTTGGCCGGAATACCGCCGTACGAGACGTCTCCTTCAACGGCTGCGAACGATTCTCGGTTGTTGCTGACGGCTTTGAGGAAGGTGCTGCAGCCAGCACCCGGGCGACCCAGCACGAGCATCATCTCGCCATCCCGAACGCAGCCCGTGAAATCGTTAATAAGCTTACGCGTAGGCTTCTTCCCAAATTGCAGAAACGGGATCAACCGCGAGATGTTGTGGTACAAGTCCGGTCCAAAAGTGCCAATGATGGCGTCGGGCACGGTGCGGACAAGGGATGTCGTATTGCCCACGCCCTTGACAGTGAGGTTCTTGTACACCAGGCCGACCCTCTTCTCAGAGCCGCTGTCTGTTCGCTTCTCGAAATGGCCGTCGCGTATGAAGTTGCTCAGCTCGAAATCGTCGGCTGCGTCGTCCGCTTGACCTCTCTCCAGGTCATCGTCTCCAGCATCGGTCTCAGCCCCTGTCGAGTGCCGCGTACCACGCCTCGAAATATCGGCACCCTCTTCGGCAACACCAGACTTCCTCCGTCTGCGTCTGCTAGCCTGTGTCTCCCTAGTCCTCGACTGATGCAGCTGACTGAGGTTTTCCCGTAACCCCTCCAGTTCCTCCAAGGCAGCTCGTTTGTCAACACCACCGACGTCGCGCTCGCCCCAGGTACCATCGCGGCTCCGGACTGCCTCTGCGCCACTTGAGTCACTATCTCCATCCCGCTCGTGGGGGCCGTCAGTTGCGTGTAATCTGCCGGAATCCCCTTGCGGATCCCCGCGGTGCCATTGATTTGCCTGCATTCCGGATTCTGTGCGTCGAATAGACTGGCTGTCTAAAGTGGTGGACCACATGGTTAGCGGTTGCTTCGTATCCTGGTAGAATGTGACGAGCTGGAGATAAGGCTGTTGAAGGAAGGGTTTATCACGAAACTGACTCGTTGGATTGACGTTTGAGGTCACCCATCAGTTGTGATACAGTAGCTGCAGATAGCAACGGGATGTACACGCGTAACCAGTTCTTCGCCGACAAACGGCAAGAAAGGCTCGGCGTTTGCGAAAGTCGTATAAGAAATGAAAGTGAAAGGGGTGAAGTCAGGAAGTAGGACAGAGAATATGAAATGCACCTCACCTTTTCTCAGAAGTCTGCTGAATCAACAACATTACCATGACGTCTTGAAGGGGTCAACTAAACTAGATAGACTAGGTCGACATGACAGCGCAAGTGGGTGCGTGGACGGAGATAGTCAGTCAGGACTCAGTCTATCAGTACTAGACTCTCTATCAAATTTTGAACATGAAGTTGCCCCGAGCCCCCCACATGATTGTAAATCAAAGCTGGAGCCGTCAAAGGACCAAAAACGCCGGGCAGAGCGGCAAGTTCAAGTGCCACTATTATATATGCCGGCCTAGAGGGATCGACTATCTCTGCAGAGGCGCCAAAGGTTGGAAGCTGCCGTGATTGGCCACTCTGTCCCAGCAGATGGGTCAGATGGGGTCGATCGGAGTTTAGATCGCAACCGTGACGTAAGGTATGCATATTTCTTATCTTATGTACGCTATCGCCGTTTGCCCATGTCCATCATGACTCAGGCGTTGTTTCAAGCCTTTGACCGACTGACTGGTGAAGGTTGACTCGTTGGGGTCCCGGTATATTGTGCGGGACGGACGGAAACCCCTGCAGACCGTAGACTACGAGAAGGAGCTACAATCTACCTAATCTACCTAATCTCATTGGCTCGGCACAATTATGTTGAATACGTGATACCGCACCGACTACTGCTTATGAAACATTAAACCCAAAGCTCATCGGACCGATTAATAATACATCAGCGGTGAAGCCATCAACAATGAGGCGGGAGATTCAGCTATTTATTCATTTTTCGGATTTAATAAGTTACTGTGAGAGGAGCAAGCCAACGCCGAACAGCCCGAACTCGGCCCACACTTCCAAGGCGCATCGTCGGATTCGGAGTGGAGTATGCGGAAACTAGTCCCGTCCCTTACCGCACTGCCGCATCACACTTCGGATGTTCCGTTTACTATCGAGCGTAGCGGGCGGCGAGATGGGCTCAGGCAAGCAAGCAGCATGTTGTCCGAGGCAGAGGTAACGTTCGCGAATAACGGCGGGGGCATAGATGTGGGACAGCCCTAGATGTGGGACAGTTTTCACACCCAACATCACAATGTTCACTTACACATATCTCTACCGGCAATGAAGCCCTAGATATTGTAAATACTGCATTGAAATCGTCTTTTCTTGTTGTTTTCAGCAGTGCTGGTTTCATCAGGTTTACCACTGCGGGATAGGCCGCTGTGGGGGTCGGAAGTTAGCACTCCCAGCCCTAATCTGAGGGGTAATAGGACCCGTGCCCCCTATCCCCTTCACTGTAGCAGAAGTTCTATTATTCTTTTTTTTCTTTTTTTTCTGTCAGCATCATAGGCGTCAGTACGTTGAAATGCCTCTTTCATACACTCCAGAAGACCTCGCAGAGGCAATTGCCGCTGTGAACAATGGCATATCCCTCCGCAAGGCGCATCAGCGCTGGGGAGTACCGAAATCAACTCTCGCACCGAAGGTAGACGGCACCACAATGCGCCCAACGCTGACTAGCCGTGAGGGGGCTTTTAGGAGCCAAAAGTTAAGCCCTGCGCAAGAAATTCGGGTTATATTATGGATCCTCTATCAAGAGAAGGCTGGCCACGTGCCAACTCATGGCAATGTGAGGTACATCATCCGGAAGATCCTACAGTCTGAGGACAGGGCAGATCATTTAGGGGGCAAATACATGCAAAATTTCATCCGCAGGCACCCAGAGATAAAGACCAAGATGGGCAGAAAGCTGGACTACAAGCGTATCAATGCCGCCACGCCCGAGAACATCAATGGCTTTCATAATCTTTATAAGGAATTTGCCTTCATCAAATCCGTGAACCGGGCAAATGTCGATAAGTACGGCATTATGCAGGGCTGGCAGTATGTAAGCGCCTAATCCAAGTGCTTTTTGGACGGCTGACCGGGCCGATAATAGGTCTGATGGCCTTGTAATAGGTAGTTCTGGCTCAAAAGGGGCCAATGTCAAGTCTAACGACGACCGCACGTGGACTACAGTGGTCGAATCGGTCACCGCCACTAGGAAGAAGCTCCGCTGCTCGTTATTTTCAAGGTGAAGTCGATACAGACTCAGTGGTTTAAAGAGCAGCTCATTATTGAGCATCCCGCAATAGCAGAGTGGATAGTGACGTACTCCATTAACGGCTGGTCCTCGAACGAGATCGCATTGGAGTGGCTTAAAAAGGCGAGTAAATAACGAGTACTATTCGTTAACTACGTGCTAATAAGCCTCAGGTGTATCTCCCTGATACAGCTCCTGAAGATCCCGATGATTCTCGCCTCCTAATATTAGATGGCCATGGCAGCCACTGCTCGGATGAGTTTATATATCTTTGTTACATTAACAACGTATATATGTGCTTTTTTCCAGCTCACACGGTAAGTTAGATGATCAGTTAGTAGTTATTTTGCTAATAGGGATAGTCTTATATCTTCCAGCCGCTGGATTTGACAGTATTCTCTGTTATTAAAGCCGCCTACCGCCGCTTGATCAATCAGTTTGGTCAGCTCAACGATTCGGCCCCTATTGGCAAGATTAAGTTCCTCAGTTGCCTAGCGAAAGCTCGCGATGAAGCTACGCCGGCTATCGTGCGTTCGGGGTGGCGTACTGCTGGGTTTTGGCCTGTAAATTGATGAAAAACATTGACGAACGAGCATGTGGTGAAGGCGGCGGAGATCCAAGCAGCAGCAGCTGCTATAATGGACCCCGAGACCACTCACGAGGCCCTAGAAGCCCCTAAATCAGGGCAGGACATAGCCCTGATGCTATCACCAGTTGCTGAGACCCCTGAGCAGCGAGCAGCAGTACGCTCGGTTGCAAAGTCGTACGATGAGATGGTGGTTGAGCTAGCCCTCGCAAAGGAGCTGCTGGAGGCAAAAGACGCCGAAATAGAGCGTCTATAGCCAAAAAAGCGCCGTAAGGCACCTCAAGAAGAGCCTAATCAACGGCTATGGAGAGTTGGGGACGTTATTCAGGAGCAGATTGAGCAAACGGAGGCTGTGCGAGTCTTGATCGAGCAGCGGGCTGAGAGACGACGAATTGTGACCGAATTGCAGAACCTGCACACGAATGAATCAGAGAGACCACTCTCTGATGACTCTCTCTCGCCTGAATCATCAGATTCAGAAGAATTTAAGCCCTTAGAGAGTATTGAGGATAAAGGGGTTATTGTTGATGAAGGGGACGAAAGCGAGGATAAGGAGGATGAGGAGCCAATTGTGGTTCGATCTTCGCGCCGCGCAATCCGCCAGCCTGCACGGTACCGCGACGAAAATTAGTATTGCTGAAAACTCCAAGAAAAGGCGATTCTTTTGCTGTTTTTATATTATCTAGAGCCTCAATCCAGATGGAGTTATGTGTGGGTGCAAGTGTGGTCTTTTGGTGTGAAAACTGTCCCACATCTAGGGCTGTCCCACATCTATACCCCCGCCGTTAATGAGCATGCCCGGCTTTGGAGAGATTATATTCATCGCCAAAGAATCATGCGATTTTCATCGCATCGGCGGTGCGAGGTGTATGACGTGTCCCACAGTGAGATGACTCAAGCTGAACACCAGAGCAGAAGGTTAATAATAAGAAAGAAGTAAGCTCATTTACAGTATCATAATCGGTGCTGACGTTGGATCATAGAGCAAAGTCCGGTCCGCCAGGGGGACTCCAGGAACCTCACCCTCAGCGATGTAGGGCCACCCATTGCTAGTTGTTCGTAAGCAAAAGTAAGGAAAGGGACAATAGAACTCCGAGTCGATCAAGAACTCCGCTTCTCAGATGAGTGCTGTTGTAAGCAGGTAATTGGGCGCGCGCGCCCCTGGTAATAAGTTAGGCTGTTGATTCCACGAACGTGCATTACCTGCGAGTATTACCCCTGAGTAATGGAGGAAGACTTGACGGGGCGAACACGACGGGCACTAACTTACTACCCGCCTATATCATGCATCATTTACTATCTAGTCTACGATGGAAGCCCTTTCTTTGCTTGCGGTGGACCTCACGAACGAGTTAGCACCAAATCTAACCGTCGGAATTCCCACGTGTCATGCCGTCCCGGCCCGCCCGACAGTTGAGGTTTTTGATGCGAATGACTCGATGCAGCCACGAATCCATCGAAGGACACAAGGGGGGAGACAGCGAGATCATTACTGTTAAGCACCATGGTGTACCTTCCATCTCTCGTCAGACTACCTACTGTATGCGTACGTTATCTCCTCTCCAAAGTTACGCGTAGGTACGCGGGATATCTCACAGTCCCAGCGTCTCCCATTCGGGAGCTGCCGACGTCTCAGAGCGTGTCGCTACATGATAGGGGCAGTGGCAAAGGGGGAGGACTGATGACTCAGCTCTGAGTTCTGTTCGTACACCAAAACTTTAAACCACTCGGCCACCTTGATAGTAAGGCGTCTGTATCACAGCTCAGACGGATATTGAAAGAAGGATTTGGTCAATGCTCAACACCAATACGACACAATTTGTGAGCCAGGCTATGTGGTTTACTGATGCTGTCAGCAGTTTATTTCAATGATACAAACCCTGGAAGGTCCTCTTGTTGGCCTGCGTCTCCTCATCTTTGATATGCCGGTTGATAGGCTCCTGGTCGATATCATCCGGCCAATACCCAGCCGCAACTCACAGCTAATTTCATCGATTGGCAGCAGGCAGCATGATTCAAGGGGCTATAAGTTAAATCAGAGCTCACACAAGCGGAACATTGAATTGTATGAACTTCAAATATCTCGTCTGTACTAAGACACCCTTCACCTGGACAAAATGACTGCGCGCCAAGGATGAAGCTCACACCATACGCAGCGTATATAGGGCTGGCTCTAAGGCTTCCGCAACTTACGACTGCCGTTCCAAACATCACAGTTGAGGCACTCGGTACATCGTGTACCGCATATCCCGGCTACGGCGCCGGGGCCGCAGGTCCGTTCCTCACCGTCGCCGACTCCACTGGTCAAGCTGTCGATGGCGTTGGACTGGATGCCCATCTGTTTTTCGATAATCATCTTGGATGGGGCTTTGTGAGTTCACCTCTATCCGTGATGATTTCAATGTAAAAGAGAGCATCTCATCGCTCAACAGGTCACCGCACCCGCGGCCGTCGTGATGCCGGCCAGCGCGCCTTCCACGAACATCTCGTTCCACTGCGCAAACAGCACACTACAGGCGCAAGTGAACATGACAACGGAGGGTGGTGGGGAGCCCGTATGGCAGGACCTGGTCATCTCAGGCGATCCGAACCTGCTCGGCGGTCTCGGCTTCGCGTTTCCGGAGGGCCGTTGCGCGAGTATACCGGTCGAGCCGTACTGGCACTTTGTCGACGGCGAGCAGCAGCCGGGCGTCTTCCTGGGCGCGAAAGGGTCCACGACGTGAGGATTCTTGGACAACTGGGCTGGTGTCGATCGCGAATACTATCTGTTACGGCTGCTGGCTCCGGGCGAGTCCAGGAGCTGGGAGATGGGTGATAATGACACGACTGGGTTCTTGAGGGTTGCCTCATGATTGAGGCTTCATGTTCCCAAGGCGGCAGGCTGAGAGACAGTATCGTTCTTGGAATCAATCCAGGCTCTGCCGCAACTTTTGGCAAATTATAAATGTGTTGGAACAGGCTTGAACAATCAATCATAATACTCGAGTATGGGGTCAAGGTCATGATGTTGCTGATGGTTGGATTGGGAGGTCTAGCTGGACCTGAAGGTCTGGCTAAGTAACCTCGCAATCCGGTATCTATCTCTTATCTAATCATACATGTGGGTCTTGGTATAGATGGTTTGCAGGCTGGAATTGCATAGATCCAACAAAATGTTTATTTTCATTCTCATTTTCATTTTTGACTGCTCATGGCTGGACTCTATGAGCCTTCTCCCTCAGCCTCAAATGCCGATATATCATGATTGAGAGGCAGCAGGAATCGGTGTACACCGACTCGAGGTCAATGTGTTTAAACTTGGTGCTACGAATCCATAACCGGCGGCATTCCCGCCGAGTTTCTTTCTCGGTCGATGGATGGGATCTTATCTACATATGCTTCTCAAGTCAACTAACGACGTCTTGCTTTCAAATATGACTAAGTTGAACTCAAAGTCTGCAAACCCTGAGGTATGTAGCATGTATCCTCTGAGAATTTCACTCTTGACTGAGAGAGTTTTTATCAACTAAGGAACTCTAATCTAAGAAGGGGCCCTTAAGGTGTCTCGAGGCAAAGCCACTCAAGCCCTTGAGTGGATTAATCTCAGATTCAGACTCTGTCATGATCTACTGAGTACCTAGGTACTGAGTTTGTAAATACTCTACAAGTCATTCATCTGCTTTACGAAACTCCAACACCTCCAACCCAACTTACCACCCACCACCCACCACCACATTCCACCTTCGCATCCAACAACCATGACGAACCCCAAATCCCTCCTGGCCGCCATCCCCCTGGCCCTGGCCCTCGTGCCCACCGTCCTCGTCAACGCCTTCGCACTCCCAAACCAGCAAGTTCCCCTTCCTTCCTCCTTCCTTCCTCCTTCCTTCCTCTCCACCACCTCACTATCCACCCCCAAGATGCCACCCCAAGATGCCACCCCAAGATACCACCCCAAGATACCACCCAACTAACCCCCTCAAACCGTGCAGCGCCGGCCCCTACCCCAACCCCTTCAAGCCCGCCAACCTCGACCCCACCGCCTCCCTCCTAACCACAACGTCCGCCCTGCGCGAGCTGAACGACTACCACAACAACACACTGCGCGTCGAATCCGTAAACGAACAATACCTCGTCGTCGAGGCGCACAGCCTGACGCACGTGGCCACCATCACAGACAACTCCGAGGCCGAAAGGGACATCAACAAGATCGTGCGGCTGTGCGACATGAATTTATTTGCTGAGACCTACCACCACGCTCCTGCACGTGACCATGATGACGATCATGATGATGATGCGGATGACGGCGAGGAAAGTCCTGCGGACGTCACGACGCGGTGCAGCAGACATCATTGTATGTCGAGTCAGCAGTGCAAGAGCCGCCAGTGCACGTGAGTCATTCGTCTTTTTCCTTTGCTTGCTTTCTGATTCCCATCTCATGTCTGGAACCACCCCTCGTCAGTCAGTCGTCGGTGCACAGCCACTGGTAGTTACCTAGTGTACCTAGTGGTTGAACACCTCGATGTGATAGTTTGCGCAGGGTGTTTGTTTGGCTTGCTTGCTGACGCTTTGATATGTGTTTGCAGCATGTGTATCGTGGCCTGGTTTGCTTGAGTGCGCGGCTGGATATGCGGCAACGGTCGAGGTCGTTTGAGCTCTACGTACCTACAACATAATATGTTGTGACGGGTTTGCTGTTTCGGGTCTTTGTGCAGTGGACGACGAACGGGGAGGAATACGATGGCGAATACAGTACACGGTCCGATAACGGCTTGGTATTACAGTCTAACCTAGGTAATTAGCGACAATGACATCCATCCCATGACACTGCTTCAAAGTGCTTATAGATGATTATGGGAATTGTGACTGCATTCATGTGCCTCATTGGCGCAGTGCTATCTGTGCGTGTTGCTTTACTAGCCATTACAGCTTGGTGAAACCCAACCGTATCATCAGCGTTTTGGCCAGATGTGAGTGCTATGTGGCAAATAGGTAGCCAGCCTCGCATGTCAGATCATGCGCATTGGGTACCTGCTAGGGCACTTGCTTCTCTCTCGTGGGGAGATATACAACGCCAAGAACCTCTCTCCCTCTCCATTCAGAGCTCCTCATCACCAGCCCCCATGTCTTGATCCACCGCCTGCGGCGTATCCTCAACCTTGACCCAGTCCAGAGTGTCATCTTCAGACTTGGCCTCATCCTTGAACTTGACCTCGCCGTCAGCCTTGAAGCCGGCCCCAAACATGAATTCCTGCTTGGCCTCGCCCTCAGGCGCGCCGAAACTCCCAGCGTTGACCTCCTGCTTGACCTGCTTGACCTGCTTGACCTGCTTGACCTGCTTGACCTGCTTGACCTCCTTGACTCCGTCCTCATCCTTCATCTTAGCATCGTCCTCGACCAGACTCAGACCCTCAAACAGGCGAATAGGCAGCTGCAACATGATCGCATTGTCGTCCGCACCGCCGGCCTCCTGGCCGCTGTTCTCCTGGGCGGCCTTCTCGACGACCTGTCGCAGCTTCCCGTCGAGCACCTGCTGCAGCAGCATCTCGAGGCTGCCCTCGTCGAGGTGCTCGTCGGCCGGCAGGCGCATGTCGTTGTAGATCTGGAGGAACTTGAGCCAAGGCTCCCGCAGCTGGGTCACGAAGCCGACGCCGTCGCCTCCCATGCCCTGCTGGATGCTGTTCTCGTATGCGGCGGCTTGGCGCATGCGGTCCTTGCGACTACGCTTGTCCCGCTTGATGTCGTGCTTGCGCTGCTTGCTATCGTTCTTGCGTTGCTCGCGGGCTTCGGCTCTCGCGTCTCTGTTGCTCGACTGCAGCTGGATCACGAGATCGGCCTTGGTGTCGGAGAGCCACTGGACCTTGCGCTCGAGGTAGGCGATGCGCTCCTCGGCGGTCTTGGCCTCGACCTTCGGCTTGTCGTTGTCACCATCTTCCGGGAAGTGTGCAGTGATCGCGACAGGCGCAAAGGAGGATATATAGTCACGTTAGCTTCTGCCATGGGGGTAAGGTGCGGACCAGATGCTGAGAACATACCTCAAGATTGGACATCGGCGCTTGTCTCTTCCGTAGTCCATATCGACATCGTCGTCCATATCGAAACTACCGGCTCGCTTTATTCGACCAGAGTTCGGGTCTATGAGGTTGACATCGTCGTCCATCTCGAAACTACCAACTCGCTTTCTTCGAACAGAGTACGGGACTATAATGTTGTCTCTGTACGAACCAGGGAATTGCTGCGGGGCATCGAGAACATTGCCAGAGTTTTCTCCTCGATCCAGCCCAGCAGGCGCTTCGAAGGCAACAGGGCGTGATGAGAAGTCGAAGCGCTGGACGGGTGTGACATTGTCGTGGTGGTCGAAAGAGCCTGACAATTGACCAAGACCAGACTGTCCGGAAAAAAAGTGAAGCATTTGCATCTGTCTCATGTTCTCGAACTGTCTAGCTCTCTCGCGCTCAAGCGACGCAACATGCGACTGCTGCGACTCCTCCGTCATATCGATCGAAGATTGGGAATACATGCACTCAGGCATCGGATGCATACTGTCGTCGAACATCGCCCCGTGGGCCATGCTCAACTCATTCCACGAGCCCGAAGGTTCACGCGGAGCGGGCGGAGGGGGCATCATGAAGGGCACGGGAGGCGGGTTGGCCGGCAAATTGACCAACTTCTCCATGGGCGAGGCCGGACGCAAGTTAGTGGGTGAGAGAGACATCTTGGCCTGTCTCGGGATGGCGTGAAAGTTGAGTTTCTGGTAAGATGAAGTAAGTCAGTGGACGGTTGGGATGATGGTCGGCGTGCGTGATGTGAGGAAACCGTGTGCGCACATGATAGGTAGGTAAAGGATTGAAGATGGGCGGACATGGAGGTGCGGGCAGGGTGAAGAAGTGTTAAAAGGGTACGTAGATACCGGAATACCCAGGTACCTAAGGCAGACTGGCGATGCACCGCAATGTGCGAGGCGCAACGCGCGAGGCAGCAGCAAACATGTGAATGGGAGGTAGTATTACCTGAGTGTAAAGCCAGCGACAAAATCCAATCTCTGGACCGTCGATGCAGTGGTATTGGATGGAACTGTGAGGTGGTCTGACAGTTAACATCCGCCAAGAACGAGGCGGAAGAGAAGGCTGGATGTGGATGGGAAGATGCACAAGCAGATTGAATTTCGCCGGGTATTCGACTCACATTCTACCGAAAGATGTAGTTGGGTGGAAGCAGCTCCGATAATGGGAGAGCTTGCCGCACCTTGAGGGCGGAGTAGGTTCAGATGGCGTTTTCCCAAACCTTGTTCGCCAAAGATGCAAAAGTACGGGCTTGTGGTCTGCCCTTGTGCCTTGTGCCGGTTGTTTGGGGAGGATGAGTGACGGCTGAGGCTTGAGAACAATGGTGTCAGGCGGCAACCTGCATTGACGAATTAGAGGTATGCTGGTTGGGTGAATGGCAGCATATAGGAGGGTAGAACTGTATGCCCTAAAGGGAGACAGACGAGCACGTGGGGAGAGCAGAGGGGCCGCCTCCCAGGCACTCACAAACCAGACGAGGCGCAAACACATCAAATCCTGCTGCAGAAAATCATATAGCTGTAAGGGTATCAATAAGTCGAACTCGTTGCCTTTTAGCTTTCCACCATTCACCGTGCCTTGACCCTCCTAATGATGACCTTGCCCCCCTCCAGTTCCCAGCCCACGCCGTTCTCCGTGGTAAGTCGCGCCCATGGGGAACCCGTACATGTCTCCAGAAATTCAAGGTCAACACTTAGATAGGTTCTCCCGAAGCACTTCAGCACGTGCTTCCGCATCCCCTCCTCTGCGTATTCAAGCAGCTTCGCCCTGTGCCCGTCCACCCTCCTCTTCAACCGGTTGAATTCAACATAATTGTCGTGCGCCAATGCGTCGAGAACACCATCGACCTTGGTGTCTTTCAGTCGATATCTGTGGCGCAGCGCGAAGGCCTCGCCCAAGTCATTGCGCCTGCAAGCTGTATCGAGGACCAGATAGCCCACCACCTCGCTCATCTCAACCGTGGTCATGCTATGGAACGGCTGTATCCGACGCAGCAGGTGGAGTATGGCCGGGTGGTAGGATTCAGGATGTTTGACCAGAACGGATAGCCGGATGCAGAAGAGGTATGTTTGGATCGCGAAGTCGTCCATGCGCTTGGAGGCCACGATGCCCTCGCGGAGCTTCCTAAGCGCCGACAGAACATCAGACAGTCCTTTCGTATTGTTCGGAACGGTGGCAGGAGCCGCCATTGAGGGCCTCGGCGGCGCATGTTGAGAGGCATCTCTGGATGTATTGCCGGTAGGTTTCGAGGAGGCAGTCTCCTTTTTGGACGAGAGGTCAAGCGATGCGAACCGACGAAGGAGTTCGTCGCGCTCGCCAGCATCGGAGCAGAAGGTCATGTAGCGCTCGACGATCTTGGTGTAGTAGCGTTCTTGCGTCTTGGAGTCAAGCAATCTGTCGCCAGCGGTCAGAAGAGACGTGCAACGGCGAGTACTGAGGTCTGTGAGGTAGCTACCTGTTGTCTCCCTTGGAGGGAAGCCCCATGGACTCGAGGGGGTCGAGCTCGACGGGCTTCAATCGGCTCCATGGCGCCGACGGTGTTCTGCCTCCTCTTCCTCCTCGAGCGGCTCCGCGTCCGCGCATTGTCAAGTCATGTCCAGCGGCGGGTAGCGTGGGAGTTGTTGGAAGAAGCGAGGATCGATGGTGTCCAGCAGCTCGACTTGAGGAAGGTGGACGCGGTTGATGGTTGTTGATGATGTCGTCGCGGGGTGTCTCAGCAATGCCAAGCCACATACTCGGTTACTGTGATATGCACCAGGGATTGTGGCTCCTCAACCCATTTTCCAGCCACAATGACGGATGGGTCACGGACCAGGACACAAGGTACCTTGGAGCCCAACGGGTACCCGTTTGTACCTGATTTGTACCCAACTGGGATGATAGCTACTTCTGGGATGGGGACACCACCCATCCCTTCTTTCAATCAAGCAACTTCCAGAATACAGACCAATAGCCAGCTATCGTGACCCTGGTCCTTATTCTGGATACCGCTACCACAAGGCACAGGATGACGTAAGTATCGGGGGGGGGGGGGGGGGGGGGGGGGGGTCCCCCTTTCCACAGATGAGTGTCGGAAGTGACCGAAGATCATCAAGACACTACGAGACATTTGGCTCAACACTCTGATAAGGAAGAAGGATCTCGACGTCCTTGAAGAGACTTGCTAGTGGCATTCTGAGCAATGAATGCTCCCTGGATGCCGCGGACTCCATGACTTGCCTTGACCGAAGTGCAGACGAAGCAAGATCAAGGAAGTTCATATATTTCTCTGGCAAATGAATACCGCCACCTATGCTCTTTCAAATTCCGCTTATTGAGACTCCTGTCCAGATATGTCATTGCAGCGCTAGTCTCTTGAGTCTACTTGTACAGTGGAGTAGTTTCAAGTAACCCCGTAGGGGTCTCGTCACTTATGGCCTCCCGAGGAGCAGGCCGCTCGCCAGAGAAGTTCTCTGATTATGTTGAAATTCCTGACCTCAATATACAGCTCACAATGACACGTCGACACACTACCTCGAACTCGTCGTGGACAAAGGGGTGCCCAATCAATACAAGGAATGGTCCCTCGGACTTTGTATTGGTTTTACTTTAGAACCTTTGACTGTCCGGAAGCGGCCTCTAGGGCGTCCTAATGGTCTACAAAGGAATTTGGTTGTGATAATGGTGTATTATAAGTCAAGCGTGGTGTTCATCAACCCCATGCTATGTCAACCACCATAGTTGGGTTGTCCGAGGCTATATGATTGCTTTTCTACTGTGGCATACTTACAAAGATAAAGAACAAGATCTGTTCATCGGTCTGCCTTGCAAAATCTATTTCATTAGGCATCGAGACATAATGAGACGCTCTAGAAGACGTCGAAGCGCCAGTCCGGCTCGCGATAGGCGAAGGCGTACCCAAAGGGATGCAGACCACATTACACTCGCGCGTACGACTGTTGGCATCGAATTGTAATTTCTAGGTGCGGCATGTCGATCAGTTAGGGAATGTGAAGATCCACACCACCAATCGGAGATGCGTTGGCTCTCAGATGTGTTAGTCGGGTACGACGAAGATTCAACGGCGTTCAAGTACCTCGTCCGAAATGAGATCATTGATCAACTCAGGGCCAGAGACATCAAGGCTATCAGGACGAGTGAGCGAGCGAGTATAAGAACACGGCCCGGTGGCAAATGGGGGGATCGTCTCGCGGATCTCGAAGCATTTGATAATGAGAACGATGCCATTCTCGATGCCTGGATAGGCTCTTACGCACGGGACCAGTCACTATCACAGGAAGATAACATTGGGGCAGCGGCCGATATCCTCCAAGAACAGTTCATAAACTACCACACAGACAATGGCATACACCCACATAGGACCCGGCCGGGAACTTTAGACAAAACTCGACATAGGATACCAGACTTCTTAGTGGGATTTTCCGATGCTGAAGGCGCAGCAGTGGCAGAAAAGTGGCGCCAAGAGATGGGAAAAGAAATCGAGCAGCAGAAGGAAGATGAACTTAAGAGAGAAGGGCGGGAGACGGACCCAAATTGTGTGAAATTTGATCATGGGAAGCCCATATATCGAACGTGGACTTGTGAATCTGATTCGACTGTCAACGTCCGGAACGTTAAGCTGTCAGATTACCGCCTCCCAGCTGAATATATTAGTGATTACCTTGCTGATCAGCAGGATATAGAACTGCCGAACTTGTACAAATGGTTCAGTGCCGAGATACGCTCGCCAATCCTGGACTACGACCACGTCAAAACCTTTCCGTCAATCACTGAGGTCTGCGCGGCGCTTCAAGATACGCTACGCATACACAAGCCAATGTCAGCCGTGGGAAGCGGACTCCATATACACATTGGGCAGGAAGCAGGATGGAGCCTGCTAACGCTAAAGCGCTTCGTCACTCTCTGGTTGCTCCTAGAGGCGAGTTTTGAACATCTGCACCGGATCGATCGATCTCAGCCGGCCACGAACACCTACTGCCGTCCCCTGCGGATATACAGCTACCTTGCTCAATCTATGGAAGAAGAAAACATAGATGCATACGCACAATATCAATCTACTCCGAATTCGCAAGGTTATCGTGAACGGAAGGATGTGTTTTCGCGGCATGTGCCAGAGCGCAGTGTTGTGGCGGACATTTTCAATTTACTCCAATGTGTCTGGCATTACGAGAATATCTCTCACCTGGTTGATGCTATGGGAATGTCTGAGGTTGGTGACAAGGGCGGCAGTAGTTGCGTGCGATTCCGCCTCAACGGAGACGAAACTACCGACCGCGCATCGGCCAGCTGGACACAGACGATTGAATTCGGTTTGATGCAAGGCACACTGGATGCCAACCATATCCAGCGCTGGATGCGGATCTGCCACCGACTGGTTGTATTCTCCAGAGACACCACCCCTGCCGCTTTCACCACGGCCGTGCAAGCGATTGGAGGTGGAGGAGCGACCAGTCCAAATGATGTCGCACGCGCGCTGGGATTCGACACCGCGGACCTGCAATGATTCAGTAGAAGAATAACCCGAACGTGGCCCTACTCCTTAGCCAGCGATATTTCGAGTAGCGGGACCAGGACAAGGTCGACTGGAGTAACCCGTTCATGCTGCCGGGGCCTGGGGAGACGCATGGACCGTAGCATACATCATATGATGAAACCAAAGCTGTTACGGAGTATGATTCTCAAATGTTCATAGCAGTTCTCATATGCAACCCTCATACGAAACAAAGCACACCCACCACACATTCTATATCGACAGTGCCTTTCGCGGTTTCGCGAGATCATAATTGCCACATTTTCTACTTTAAGTGGTGACGTGGACATGATTTTACATTCATTATTGGCAAGGGGGGTTCACTCCTCACGCTTTGCATCTCTTATCCTGATGAAATTGACCATTTTTCATGACTGCCGGCTGTCCGAAGCAACAGTGGTCCATCTTGTAAGCCGCAAGGTCAGTCCTGGATGTTGGCCTGTGATGAATGAGACCTTGGCTGTTAGCAGTGCCTCAGCCATTATGGGTGCTTATATCACGTTCATTGACGCCTTGCAGTTGAATGTCATGCTGCATTGCCATAACAGAGGTAGTCAGTGCGGCAGACTACGTGGTGGAGAAACACAAAAAAGGGGCCGCAGGGGGTGGCTGAATGGACAAACCACCAGCCACAGCGCCACTGTTCCACCATCACATGCACCAACTCCCGTCACGTCTCCAACCGTGTCCAATTCCGATTTCCCCCAAGGCCCGCGCGACAGCTCGACCTCTATCGCCAACTTCATTCCACTCCTTTACCAAACAAGCTGTCCGCCAACGTTGACTCTTCTTTAACTGCCCTTTCTACTACACCTCTTGTAATACCCACAGTTGCCACAATGGCCCCAACCAAAGCCGTCACCGCGAAGGACAAGTACTCGGTTATCCTGCCGACGTACAACGAGCGCCGCAACCTCCCCATCATCACCTGGTTGCTGAACCGCACCTTCACAGAGAAGTAAGAGCCCGCCAGAATCGCCTGCTCTGCTTTGATTGCGATATGCCCCGGGGAAGCAAAGCTAATCGATTGCCCCCCGCACCTCTAGCAACCTCGACTGGGAACTGATAATCGTCGACGACGGCTCGCCGGACGGAACACAGGAGGTCGCGAACCAGCTGGTCAAGGCGTACTCGCCGCACGTGGTGCTGAAGCCGCGCGCGGGCAAGCTGGGGCTGGGCACGGCGTACGTGCACGGGCTGCAGTTCGCGACGGGCAACTTCGTCATCATCATGGACGCCGACTTCAGCCACCACCCCAAGTTCATCCCGCAGATGATCGCGCGCCAGCGGGCCGGCAACTACGACATCGTCACGGGCACGCGCTACGCCGGCGACGGCGGCGTCTTCGGCTGGGACCTCAAGCGCAAGTTCGTGAGCCGCGGCGCCAACCTGTTCGCCGACACGGTCCTGCGCCCCGGCGTCAGCGACCTGACCGGCAGCTTCCGCCTCTACAAGAAGCCAGTGCTGCAGAAGGTCATCGACACCACCGAGAGCAAGGGCTACACGTTCCAGATGGAGATGATGGTTCGCGCGAAGGCTATGGGCTGCACCGTTGCCGAGGTCCCCATCACCTTCGTCGACCGCCTGTACGGCGAGTCCAAGCTCGGTGGAGACGAGATTGTCGAGTATGCGAAGGGTGTGCTGAGCTTGTGGTTGAAGGTTTGAGGTGTTTCGGGGATCGGTCAATACTGAACTGCATGCATGTCTAGGGACAAAGGAATCAGTGCGGTCTGGCGTTGGGTCGTTTGGCATGCTTTCGTACGGCTATGAGAGCTCATAATACAGGCCAAGGGCCACAATCTCGATGATAGCGTTGCATATGTCCATCGGTGGCCGAGACAGTATCGCAGAGACCTAGAATTGATGGATATCGAACGGCATCTGACTACTATCTAACCCTTAAGCCTCTTCCGTCTTACATGTTCCACCACCCACTGACCATGACAGTCTGGCTCGTAACATACGAAAACAACGGGGTACAAAGCGCCAGAATAGCACTCGTCGCCTCGGACGGCGGCCCAGGCCTCCGCAGCGGAATATCGGCATTAGCCATCTGCTCCCGCTCAAGGTTCTTCTGCGTCTGGGGAATCCCCAATCCCCGATTCGGTCCTCCCGCCGCCGGGCCTCGTCACAAAGGCGCCATTCTCCTTCGCTTGCGTGAGCCCCGCATCAATTATCAGACTGGGGTCGGCTAGTGAGCTGTGTTGATACTGCAGCAGCTTCTAACAATGACTTCAACGGGGTAGCGAGCTGGTAAACCCCTGGAATTACCCCAGATCTTACCCCAACCCTGCCGAGGTTCCCCGCCTTTGCAATCATCCGATATCCGAGGACTCTGATATCAATTTTTTACAAGCACGAAAGAGTTCTCCCGGTTATATCTCTTTCGTGATACATGCTTAAGGTAACTCATATCTCCAGACTTCGTGTTCGCTTGCTCGAGGGGCCTTGGTACATCGCGATAGCTAGACGCCTGACCCGAGGCTGCTGGCATCGGCACCACCACCAAAGTTCCCCGAAGCGGCGTGGGCACCTATACCGAATCGAACACAACGATTAAACAGAGTTTTCCCAGCAGCCACACTGCGAAGCTTATAACCCAGCGCCCTCCTATCTCGGTGCGCACCAACAGCGGCACAAGCTATATATACGAGTATAGTCTGTTAATCTGGTAGCCGGGTTGGTACGGCCTAGCTTAATATTCTTACAAAGTATTCTTACAAGGTATTCTTAGGCACAGCGGTTCGATTCCTCTAGCGGCTGACACGTTCTCTTTTTCTCTTTTTCTTTTTGAGCTCTTCACGCCCGCAACCTTGCCCTGCAAACTGCCAGCGCCTACCTACATTATCCCAACCGCTGAGGAACCTTCGCGTCGTAAATTAACTAGTGTTGAGATGGGATCATGATTACTGATCGTGACGACTCCCATCATGGCTTTCCCGGGGAACGTGATAAGACCCCTGGCATTGGCCTGACTCAGCCTCATAATAGTTTTGAGTAAGTCATTCGCCCAACTAATCAAGCCATGCTCTCCCATGAAGGCAGCCCACGATTTCTACCTCGCCCAAAACCAATCATGTCAGCAGCCTATGACTGCGAAGTCATAGAGAGACCGGGGCAGAATCTCACGACAGAAGAGCAGCAACAACTACACGCCTCACTCCGCGCCCTCGGGGGTCTATGCTTCGACCCCGTGCCCAACTACCAAGTCTTCGCCACCGACACATCCCACGCATTCGAAGACAAGATCCTCGTGACAGCAAGGCAAAACGACGCACTCATCGGCTTCGTCTCCGTCGTCATCCTGGACGAACCAAAACTGGAACATCCCGTCATCCACTCCGGCCTGACATGCATCCACCCTCGCCACCGCCGTTCGCGCGGCGTGCTCCAGCAGCTCTTCGGCAATTTGTATTTGTATTTGCTGACGACGCACCCAAAGGGCGTCTGGATGACCACCGTGACAGATATCGTCAGCTCGCTGGTGCAGATGAGTATGTACACCATCGACAACTTCCCCTCGCCCATCTTACCCACCTTACCCACTCGGGACGCACCAAGCAACAACAACCTCATATTCGAACTCCCAGCTCCCAGCGCCATCCATCTAGAGATCGCCCGCACATTCAGCGCCAGGCATCGAGCAAAGGCCCTGATAGCACCCGCGGCCCACTTCAGCGAGGCGGATTTCGTGTTCCGCGGCTCGAACGACCACGCGGCCGCCGCGGCGTTCAGGAAGGATGTCGACGCGCCGGACCACTGGCACCGCGACCACGAGGCCTCGGCGTTCTTTCGTGGGCTGTTGAGGCCGGGGACGGGCGATGAGGTCTTGTTGGTTGGGTTTCTTGACCCTGGGTTTTTGAAGGGGCTTGCTACGAGCGAGAGGCTTGGGGATGGGTGGAGGGATAGGTATTCTAAGCTCTGATGCTGGTTCGGGGCGGGTAGTGTGTCATGGATGCTTTATGGTTCGTCACCTGGGTTCTGGAAAGTCTCTCGGTGTATCGAGGCGGATACCCGGATTCCGTAATGCCACGTTGCTCTCTGTGCGTTCCTGGGGACGGAGTAGTCGACCCCAGTGGATTTGACATGAAACCCGCGTCTTTATATTGTTTGCCTTGAGCTGTATATTCACTGTGACTCTCCTAGCCGTCGTCTGGCCCATGAAAATCAAGCGGATATACGTCTATCTCTACTTAATCGTACCCCCCCTCCCGTCTCCCGTCTCCCGGATCTCTGCATCCAAGAGGCCATGGTCCTCGTGCGCATACCTGACGTTCCTCCAGCGGCGCATGAACGCCCGGATCAACTACAGCAGGTTCGCCCACGAGTTGATATGCAAAGCAAAGAGGTAAGCAGGATTTATGTTCAACGTGAAATGACAAGGAATTAAGGATTACATGCGTCGCTCAGAGAGAGCGTGGCGCTTTGCCATGAATATCAGCCTTCTTTACATCGCTCCACTCCGTTGCTTCTAGGTCCCACCGCACATTTTATAATAAGCCTGGACTCTTTCCCCCACAATGCTGGCCACATCCTGTAACCGGCCGTTCTCGGTCCGTAGCTCGGCATCAAGATCTGCTGAGGAGTCTAGTGCCCCTAAGAGAACGATTATTAATATCTGGTAGAACAGGCGCATGAAAGATACTGAAAGAGGCTCTGAACCGGCGGGGTTCATCTTCTTGTGAACGAGTTCGAGATCAGCAAGCCACGATCCTAGGGAGTCCAGCAGAGATGCCTTATCGGATAGCAATTGGAGAGCGCTTCCTGCCGATGTGACGCGAGACACCTTTTCGAGAAATTCTAGCGTCGATGAAGCTATCCTCGTGAGCTCTGTCCGCATGTCGGGTGCAATCGAGCGAAGCTGTCGAGATTCGCCCGGCTGTTGTTGTGTCGACATCGGACACGCAGACATCGTCATCTCGTTTGTATCGGTTCTTGCCGGAAGCTCCGCGAACTTGCACGGAGCAGCAAACAGCTTGATGAGGAAAACATCCACAAAGGGTAGCTGGACATCGTGCGCTGGAAGTAACTCATTCGTGGCATGGAGACTCGGCCGTGCCCGGTATTGATGCATGATGCCGAGTCCGCGAACGATATGCTGGGCCATAGCAGCGTAATTCCCTCGCACTTGCTCGATGCTGACGAAGATCTGACAGCAAAGTAACGCCGACTTCAGCCCGTCGGAGCCCGGACACGACAAGTTAGACGCGAGACCTCCCAAGGCCATACAGTACTCCTGGAGGCCATAGTCGTAGCCCGGGGTCTGTTGGGCGACGGACGGGGAGAGGTTTCCGGACGTCTCAAGATGTTCTCGAAGAGCTCTGAGAGACAAGACTGCGTGTCGAATGGGCGGATCAGTCAAGCTGGCTTGCAGGACATGCCTCGCTTCGTCATCACACCCAATATTCACGTCGAAGATGGTCTTGGTTGAGAAGCAACGGCTGAGGAGGTCGATGTCCTCAGGGGTGATCTCAGTCGAGGTGGGCCGGATGCGGTGTGAACTAGCACCTGACTTGATGCCGCCGGCATGAGCGTCGTTGATGGGTGGAGGTTGACTGGCGAATAATCTGAAGGGAGACTCGTAGCCGTCACAAGTACGACCAGTGCCGACACATCTTTGGCAAGAAGGCTTGTTCTCGTCGCATTTCACTCTCCTTATTCTGTTGCTAGTAAGCACAACCACTGCAGCTGAACCCCGGTAGGGATGCTCGGTTTCGGGGTCCAAAGTTCAGACCCGGGATGGGATTAAGACTGACCTGCAGGTTGCACAGCCAGTCTTCACTTTGGTTCTACGATGGACGGTCTGTTTGGAGGCGACAAGACTTCCGGCCATGATCGGACTGGGGGTGGGATATCCACGCGTGGCGCGCGACCCCCGATCCGTAACAGGCAAGGAGAGCGCGCAGACGAATCAAATGATGCACACAGGTTTGCCACCAAGAGCTGAGTAATACGGCGAAGAATCAACTCATCACCGAGACCAGACAAGTGCGTGCTGCTTCATGTCAAGGGATCACAATTCACAAAGCGTGTTGTTGAAACTTGACAGTTCCGGCTGCGGGCTGCCTGGCTGAAGAGGATCAGGAGAAAGGGTCAGCGCTAGCTCGATTGGGAAGCAACAGCGAGCCGACCAATCAGAGGCTACCCTAGCTACACGCTCTGGAAACACCAGGGCAGCGCGATCCACCCCTTCTGAGAGTCCTCTAGTTCGGCTTCACTACGACGATGAGATGGAGATGAGAACGGCCATGTCACGGCTCCATCCGAGGCCGAAGGCCGACCGCCAGGCCTCGAACACCTGATATAAAGTGAGGTGCCCGGGTGATCAATTGAATTTACCTCGAAAATTGTGAGTTACCTACTTGCACATGTCGAAACTCATCACAACCAGCCCTCGCATCCCTGGCCTCCTGTCCAGACTCCTACACACCCCCGAAATGCCCGCTTTCACTCTGTACGGCGCCCGCGGCTCGACTAACACCGATCGAGTCCGCCTTACTCTCGCCGAAGGCGGCATCACCGACTACAAACTCGTGCTCCTCAGCCTGCAAAAAGGGGAACAGAAGGTGAGTGTGCGAGCCGCTTCTCTTATAAGCAGGCCCACACTCAAACTGTACCGGTATATCACATACTGACACCGCTGCGCCAAGTCCGAAGAGAACATGAAGCGCCACCCATGGGGCAAGATCCCCGCCATCACCATCCCCGGCGGCTTCACTCTCTACGAGAGCCGCGCTATCTGCAAGTACCTCGCGCGGAAGTACGCCCTGCCCCTTCTGCCCGCCGCCGACTCCTCCGACGCCGAGGCCGCGGCGCTGTTCGACCAGGCCGAGTGCACCGAGATGCTGTACTTCGCCGAGCCAGCCGGCAGGATCGCCTTCGAGAAGTTCGCCAAGAAGTTCATGGGGCTGCCCGCCGATGAGGCCGTGGTCTCGGCGGCACTGCGGTCGGTTGAGGCGTGTTTCGACGTGGCGGAGCGTCTCTTGCAGGAGAATGACTACACGGCTGGGAATGACTTCACCCTCGTGGATATTTATTACATCCCGCTGATCCAGAGACTCTTCGCTTCCGGGTACGGGGACGTAGTCCTCAGTCGTGAGGCTGTGCGTGCGTGGTGGGACCGCTGCACGGGCAGGCCGGGCATACAGAAGATGCTGGCCGCTGACAGGGAGGCTATGGCTGCTGCTGGTGCTGGTGCTGGTCAATAGGATATAAGTCAATATGAACATTGTATGCCTAATCTTCAGAGTTGAACCCTCAGACTGTGCGTGCGTTTGAACCCCTGTACAGGTGGGAAGGAGGAGGCTTGGATGACTTCGACAATCTGCGAAATTACGAACCTGACGACATGGGCGCAGCCAGTCACATCTCAATTCTTCCGCGGGGCGAAGGCCAGTCGGATACGATGCAAGAACTGCAACTCAGTGCACAGGGGAGAACTACTCTAGCACTTTGGGATCGTTGCTGACGGCTCATCAAGCAGGAAATATACGGTAGTCTTGCTCAGGCACGGCATTGGGTGGCTGAAGTTATTCTCCTCATGAAGACAAGAGTGCGGCAGGAGGTATAAGGGGACTAGCACGGGCAAAGGTCCAGAGTCATGGATAGAAATCTCATAACGAATGGTGGTACTTGTGCTATCGACTTATGAAGGTGATCAAGACAATGACCCTCGACATGGCCAAAATGTATCCTCCTCATTGTATCAGATGGAGATCCCGTTCATCGCGGGCATGGTCTGACGAATGCAGCCATCCCCGTTGACCAGATGAACCTAGCCGGTCTCCTGTCCCAGCAGCTCTTTCTCCAGAATGGTCTTCGTCTCATTTAGATACGTCTGGATATCCTCCGGCTTCTCAAAGCCATCGTTGAAGCCGTAGACAAGTCTCAGTTTATCCTGGAACGTGTAGAAGAACAGGAAGCTCATGCCCGCGACAACATCAACACCGACCTTGAGGTCCTTGACCTTGATCTCGCTGCCGTACTCGCGTCCGACGTACTGCTCCACGAGGCCAAGACTGCTCACCAGTGCATCCTTGGGCACGGGGCCGGCTTTGAACTCGTCAGTCTGAACGGCGCCGCACAGGACCTGCGTGAAGTGGCCTTTGATCTTCAACATCTCGGGCTTGCCCTTGAATGAGGTCTTGTAGTACTCGGTCAAGGAATTGGCGAGGTCCGAGTACGAAGCCGGGAGGGCGTGTTTGTAGGGCAAAGGCGTGTAGTAGACCGACGCCGCATACTTGCTGGAGCTGAACGGCTCTTTCAGGTATGGGCGGAGGTTGAACTGGGTCGCGGTCACGTATTCCGCAAGTTTGGAGTTGGGGTCCGCGTGTTTTTCGATGGCCTTGATGTACGCAGCGTGGACGGCGGCACCCACTGTGAAGCCTTTTGCTTTACAAGCAGCGATCAGCGAGCTGGTCGTATCCGCGGCAAATACCAGCTCGGTGTTTTGGCATGCGCCCGAGGGAACGGCGCCAACCTGGGAGACAGGCCCGATGCCGGGAATGCTGCCGGCCCAGCCCATGAAACGCTCGTAGGCTTCTTTGGCTCTCGCCTTGTCCAGCTCCTCCGAGGGATGCTCGTCTTTGGGAAGGACCTCCTCCATTACGGGCGCAAGCCGGGCTGTCTCGTCGCCGAACTTGATTTCTTTGGCAGGGGACTTGAGGGCCTCCAAATAGGTGTGCCAGAAGAGTAACATGCCGATGCCATCGATCACGTGGTGGTGGGCGCGCAGCGCTATCTCCGAGGACTTTGGTAGATAGTACAGGGTGGCCTGCTTGATGGGCTTCACGGAGGGGTAGAGCTCGTCGAAGCTGGAAGCCGAAGAGACGATGAAAGTCGAGGACAGCCACTCTTCTAGAGCTCTCTCGTCTGGGACCTCGTAGACTTTCTTCATGCCGTCGACAGTGGTGGCGATCTGAGGCTGCTCGTAGCGCACCTGCTTCCAGGCTTGCTTGAGGGCGGGCGTGATATCGCCAGGCCCCGTTTCCAGCTTGAGCACGGAGCAGAGCGTGTAGTGCTCGCGTCCTTCGCATAGGCCGGCCGTGAGGCTTGCCATGAAGGTAAAGTAGCCCTCAATGCCATCCATGGGACGCTCCCAGCGCACGCCTGACTCTGACACCTTTTCCCACGACATGTTGAGTCTGCTGCGATGGGGAGTGTATTGGGCGGTCTGTGAGCTCAAACACAAATGCGGCGAGACGATTTCTGAGCTCGATTGACAAAGAGGCGAAGAGCAGAGCAATTTCTCTCGTTTGTGATGACACTGATGAGCGGATGGTGGTGAAACTGGATGGGCCTGATAGGTTGATAATAGACAAAGGAGGGCTCTTATCTCAAGCCTCAACAGGAAATCAATTCCTGAGGCATCCGATCGGCGCTCGGAAACAAGTCCAATGCACGCAAGCAATCACGTTTGCGCATTAGTGAAGGAAGGAGGCATACCTACCTCACAGCCTGCCTCCAGGCGCCCACGACTGACCAGCTCTCGTGCGAGGTGGTACAAATAATACTACAGTAGATGGTATGGTGGATGTGACGATGTAGGGTAGCCCCTTGCTTGATTACCCCTCTCTAAGTTGCCTTATCTCAGCCTCCCACGGGCGGCCCACTGCCGCCTGCCGCATAGTGGGGTCAGGTTCCCGCAATCCGATATATGCAGGTAACAGGGATGCGGTAAATTGTGATCGATCCGTCAAGCAACAACTGCAGGTGGCACACCGCCGAGGTTGATACCGAAGAGTCCTGCATTTTGTGCATGTGTAGGTAATAAGAGGCAATACGACTGCACTGCATACTCTGCCTGCATTGAAGATTTCTGGACCCGAATCCTCAGGCGCTGCGGCGACCCGTTTCACCGCATCCTGATGGAGCTTTTGAGTGATACCGAAGAGTCCTAGATTGCATCCTTCCATGCCACCCACCGTTGCACCCCGTTGCTCTGTTGGAGGAATCGGGTCCAGTCCAACGAGAGCAGATCGATGGATCCGACTGAGGTCACGCTCCGCCCACTGCATCCCACCCGGTCCATGGATGTCATGATGTCTTGCGCCATTGGCCCATACGTCTCCAGTATCAGTACATGTCTCCAGTGGAGGACACGTCGGCAGCTGGTCGGCCGTCGTACGGCCTTCCATGTTGGTTGGTTGGAGCTTGGAACTTAGTTGGACCTTTGGTTGGTCGTGTCACCCACCACCAACGCCACCCACAACGGGCAACGGGCCAGCGGCGAGCACACGGCGCAGCAGCGGCAGCACTGAGACCTCTCGCCGATTCGCGAATCGCAGGCCGGTATTCTAAAAATAAAAATACAGCACGCCCACTTGCGACAAAGGTGTCCGACAGTCCAAGCCTCCAAGGGGCCATGGAGCGTCGGCGCGCCGCCACCCCGTTGCCAGGAGGGTGTTCACTGTCCAAGAATGCAGGAAGGTTATTGCTAATGATATTACAGCAGGATCAGCCAGTCGCAATTTGCAACCCCCCCTCGCGTATCCATCCAGTCGAAGGATGCCCGCCCAGACACCCAACAAGTGTCAGATGCCTCCTCGGAGCTGATCAGCCTGATGTAAGCTTATCGGCCTAGGTAGAAAGAGTGCTTACTTCGTCGTCATGCAGAGAGGTCAGCTTCGAGTCCCGGTAGACCAAAAATCAATCTCTTCCCATGCTCTCTTCCTTTTGTGCTCTTCTTGAGGCCCCACCGTGAATAGTCCGCCTCGTCGACACTCCCTTACATCTAGAGACTTCCCGCGGATATGACGCTCGAAGTACCACCCGGCACTCCCGACCGCGGGCCGGGCCTGGTGGCTCTGTGTGTCTTCTTGATCGTTCTTGTGACCGTCGCCACTACTGCCCGCGTTGCTTCAAAGTTCATCGTCAAGCAGTACTGGTGGTGGGATGACTTCTTCGCCCTGCTTGCGCTGGTGAGTCGAAGCCCGCGATACCAATTTGCGCAACAAGTCGGTCTAACAAATGAATAGCCCATCCAGCTCACTCTGCTTGGAATGATCCTCTCCTGGCGAGAGATCGGACTCGGCCTCCATGCCGATGTAGTCGCCGCGCAGGACCCTTTGCTGCTCATAGAAAGCGGAAGACGCCTGTATATCGCTGTCTTCTTCTTCGACAGCTCCATATCTTTCCCCAAGCTGTCGGCCATCTGCTTCTACGCGCGCATCTTTCCCTCCCACAACAAAGCGTTCCGGTACAACCTCTGGTTCGTTGGCAGTCTGGTCACGGGCTGGATCGTCTCCGCCATCTTTTCGACAATCTTCCAATGCACGCCAATCGCGAAAGCCTGGAACCCCACACTACCGGGGCACTGCATCGACGACTTCGCCTGGTACCTAAGCACGGCGGCCATCTCCGTCATCGTCGACTTCTACATCCTGCTGCTCCCGGTCCCCATGATATGGGCGCTGAACACGACCTTGAGGCGGCGCGTGTACCTGCTAGGCGCCTTCTTCCTGACCTACTCGGTCATCGTGATCTCGCTCGGCAGAATGGTGTCGACGATCGAGCTCATCCCGACGGTCACGGACGACCTGACGTGGCGCTTCCCGCTCTACCTCTACTGGGCGTGCCTCGAGGGCTCCATCTCCCTCGTCAGCATCAGCGCGCCCAACATCATCGGCCTGGTCAAGGCGCTCGCGCGCCCGGCAAGCAAGCGCACGCGCATTGGCGACAAGGGCAGCAACAATAGCTACGACTCGAAATTCGCGCGTTCCGCTGCCAGCGGCCGGGGCTCGGTGGCTGTGCCGGGTCGGCCGGCCGCGCTCCACGACGACCGCGATGGCTTCGAGCGGCTGGTCGACAATCATAATGTCTGGGATACCACGGTGAAGGCGCAGAGCCACGAGGTGTCTAGGCATGGCAGCGGCACGGCGATACCGCTGGACAGTATACATGTGCAGACCCAGATAAGCGTGGTGGATGACGGCCACTCGCGCACACACGGGTATGCAGTATGAGGGGCACTGGGAACGACATGAAATGGAAACATGGGCTACCGCGTCGGGTGGTATCCCGTGGCGCAGATTGTATTGTAGCTACATACATAGTCTGTACTAAATAACTGTTCGATCTTCCGTTAACATGGTATTGTGATCCTGGCCTCACCACATGACTACAGCCGTTAGTAACGAAGTGACAACAACGTCTCGCACGTATCACACGCCCACATGCCGCTTCTCGCACGATGCACAATGCACAATGCCCGGCAGAGGTGGGTGTCTAGAAAACAGGGTCTGCTCCGCGTAGGACTCTGGCGGTGATGCATACCAGAATCTGCCCTGCCATCCAGCTGAACTCTCCAAATGACATTTACACCAACTCTGCATCAGTTCGGAATCCGAAGTGGCTTGCTTCACGAGTCTGCCACTCCCTGCGGTCTAGAACCAACACAAAACGCGGCGCAGCACAAAGTGGCACCCACACCGTTCCGTTCCGCGACGAGCTGACTGACGCCAGAAAACGGGTGGTTATTATCCGCGCGGCGTCAGCACAGCGTAACAATAAAGGCTTACGTGCATCTCCAAGAGGCGTTTTTTTCTTTCGCAGGCAGGCTGAGGTGGGATCGCAGTCGGCCGGACTCTCTCATGAGACAGCCACACCGTCTCTTGTTAAGTTGTCCCAACGCGAACGAGGGGAAATCTCGATATGTACGATCTGGTATAAGCATGCATCTGGTATAACGCAGGGTGGTCTCCGCGGAAGGACCGTGCAGCGTTGGTTGGTCCCGATGTGGTTGTTTTAAACTTCCAAATTCTGCGCCGTGAACGGCGGAATTTACGAGGTTTGTCGCGCTGCAGCTGGACTCGTCAGGGCTCCAATCGCCTTCGACGGTACCTCCAACCGCATCTTGGCTATTGCTACCTTCGGTTGGCTGCACAGTCGCACCAATTGGAGACGTAGCAATTGCAATCATGCCTTCACTCTTTAACCAACTGCATAAGGTGTGGGCCTAAGGGCGCGCCCTTGTGCCTCACGGCGAGAATGCGACGACGGACAAACATGCTTTTGTGCCAGCCTGCCTATCTCTGCTTTCAAAGTAGATACGTGGCGAAAAGCCCGGTTAGGATCTATCTAATGCTCGTTAGCAGTCAATCAGATAGCAACCCTTATAATTGTTAGTAAAGGCCTATTATAGGGCATATAGGGGTTTTCAGGACCCTGACTTCAAGTGGTGCCATCTCGCAGTCCGTCAAGTAAGAAAGTTCCCATCGCGTAAAGTTCTACCTATCACCATAGATATACGTAAAACCGCTAACCATTACCATCTTAGATACCTAAACATAACCAGGTTCGAGAGTTGCGAATTGGAATCCTATCGAGCGCGCCCTTACCTTCCTCTGTAGTTATACTAGACTGCTGTGAACCAACATCCTTCTCGCTCCCGTTCTCGGAAAGCGTGAACCACTAGCAAGCAGCCATCATGGACATCACCGGCAACGCACTCATATTCGGCGGAGGTATGTACGCCCCTTCCCCCTTGCGCTGAGAACGTGACGAGTTCGCTCTGATGTTGGTTCCAGGAGGCGGCATTGGTCGAGCTACCGCTTTGGCTTTCGCCGAGGCGGGTGCCGCAGGGCTGCTGATTGCGGACCTCGACCTCGAGGCGGCAAAGACCACCGCGAGTGAGGCCACGGCTGCCTCCAAGCAGCGCGGGTTCCGCGTCGAGGCCGTGGCCGTGGATGTCACCTACCAAGAGTCGGTCGAGTCGGTCGTCAAGCAGATGGTCGACTCGTTCGGGCGCATCGATTACTGCGTCACTTGTGCTGGTGTAAGCAAGCTTCTGGATCTCTAAATCGCCCTGTCTGGCCACATTTTCTTGGGTCTGGAATAAGTTAACAGTTGCCCTGCAGGTTCCAGTTCGGACTCCCGCCCCAATCGCCGACCAGCTCGTGGACGAGTTCATCAACACCCAGAACGTCAACGTGAACGGGACCTTCTTCGTCCTCCGCGCCGTCCTGGGCATCATGCGGCACCAGGAGTCCAAGCCAAACTTCCCGAACGCACCCACCAGAGGCAGCACACGAGGCAGCGTGGTCGCCATGGGATCGGCATTGTCCATCAACGCGGGTCCCTACTTCACGCAGTACACGACGTCAAAGCACGCGGTCTTGGGACTGGTAAAGACGGCTGGTAAGTGCTATCTACTCCCTTAGTGTCGACAGATGCTGACTCATTCAAATAGCTCTCGACAGCGTCAAAGAACACATCCGCGTCAACTGCGTCTGTCCCACCTGGGTCGAGTCCAACATGACTCAGCAGCTGAGACAGATCGAGGGAATGGGGGGCGACGCGATGGCGGCCTCGGTGCCGATGGGCCGTTTGGGCGCCGCAGAGGAGGTCGCTGATGCGGTGCTGTTCCTCTGTAGCCCCAGGGCGAGCCTCATCACGGGCTCTTCGCTCGTTGCAGACGGGGGTCAGACGGTCAAGATTGGCTAGTTCTAGTGCTGCTTGTACTGTAGTAATAACGTGAGCGCCATCAATGAAACCTGCCTTGCTTATTAACTCCTGGTGCCTGGACCTTGGCGTCTTGGTTGGTTGCAGTCTTTGACGTCTACTGGTTGCCGCGAAACAAACGAAAGCCCGCGGGCCACAATGGGCGATGTGACGTGACAAGCGGTCCAACATCTATCAACTGCTTAAGCTACCTTAGCTACGTACATGATGTGATAAAGGCTCCCTGAAGTTAATTTATACCTCCATAAGGGCGAGGGTACCAGTGCCTCCAGTCCTCTCCTTTAGGACAGCTCTTCGTTGTCCCCTACCTTGGCGTCTTGGACCCCACGATGGCTTATTCTCAGGACGCGGGGCGGAGTACAATAGGCGCAGGGTATATTCGTAGTCGTATCGTCGTATGTATCGTCGTATGTATCGTCGTATGTATCGTCGTATGTATCGCCGCATCCGTCTGCCAATCACTGATCAGGTCCCGTCCCGTCGCTGCCACCTCGTCTGCTCGTGTACGGTACTTTTATAGCGCAGTGGGTTTCATTGTGGGCTCAATAGAGATAGGAGTGTCTCTCCTTTGCAGCTGGTGCATAGAGGGTTGGCAAACTGGCAAATCAGCATCGGAGGTTAGGTAGCTGGTGGAAATCACCTGCAGTATCAGATGTTAGCTACACCGCCTCCAACATGCATATGCTATCATGCTGTAAGTGCATAATATTGGCGTATGGGGTTACATGGTGTTATCGTTATAACCCGGTAGCAAGGCACTTCATGCAAGGAGAGGATACGGACATCCTGCAGGATCGTTAACGTGTATTTCCCGCATTTTCTGGGTCGTCTTATGCAATCATAGCGTTGATCACAATCGATATATCGCATCACATGTGAGGTCGATGATCCATCCACTAAGCGCGATGATCTATCAATCCTTCGTCTGTCTGGGGCCTTCATCCTCCAGGCGGCCCCCAATTTCCCGGCAATCTAAAGTACCATACAGCAAGGCGGCAACAAGGAGGCAGTGGAGGCAGGCAACTGCCACTGGTGACGCTGGCGAGAGGCGGGAGCGAGTGCCGGGAGTACCATGCATACACGCCGACGGGCTGACATCAGTCACAGGGCAGACAGGGCAATGCTTCCCTCGCTGTTATCTCGCACTCGGGCACCTAGTCCTTACCTCGATCCCGACATGGCGGCGCGATGGATCATCGTTCCCCAACCAATGCAGCCTTAACGACGTCAAGCGTCCATATTCCCCGGGAAAGGACCAGGCAGAAGTTCAGAACATGGGTTATCCCCCCGGCGCCTCTCGCCTTGAACAGTCTAACTGGGCCGGTTCCGAATAGTAGGGCCAAACGTCCCAACGCGACTGTGAGGCAGATACCGACCACACTGTTCGCTGTTGACGACAGAGTGTCTCCTGCGTCAGTCACCGTCAGTGTAACCCAGAGGCCGTAAATATGCCTTGCCCATCCAGTCAACAGCACAGTCTGCTGCTGGATGACTCGGAGACCGTACGGAACCTGCATGGTTACCAACACGAGCTCTGGGAATACCATGCCACCGGGTCTGCGCCTTGATAGTTGGCAAGTTCTAGCCAAGACCCCAGCCTTGATGGTGAGAAAATAACGGGGACTTCTCACCCCGTGGTCCGCTCATATTCCTTCGTGATCGCCGAACGTTATTAGGGTAGTTCGGCAAACCGTACAAGGGCCAGAGACATAACATCTCAGAGTGTTGGGTGTATCTGGGAGTCGTCTTATTGACAAGCTACTCCAAAGGATTTGTCTAGAGCGGCGTCGTCAACACACTCCCCCCTCCTTCTCATGCTTCATACACTACTGTTTCTCTAATAGACTTTTGAACTTGGTGACAGTCGGTGTACCAACATCACACCATGGCTGAGAATATAGCCAGCCTCGAAGATGACCCGGCATGCATAGTGGGGATGGGTGAGTGCTTGCGATACGAACAATCTATCACCCGACTAGAGGTTCCTCATGCTGACAGTGAAGCTCTACAGCCTGCCGGTTACCGGGTGGAATAGGCTCACCTTCTGAACTATGGGACTTCTTGATGCGAAAGGGGTGCTCTCAAGGTCCAATTCCGGCCCAGCGGTTCAACAAGGACGGCTTCTACCACCAGGATGGAAGCAGCACGTACCCGGGACTCATGAGCGTGGACGGGGGCTACTTCTTAGATGAAGACTTACGAGCTTTCGACAATGCGTTTTTCGGTATTCACAACCTCGAAGCCGCCTCCATGGATCCGCAACAGCGGAAACTGCTTGAAGTCGTGTACGAGTGTCTGGACCATGCCGGGACTTCCATGGAAAAGGTCTCGGGGACGGATACCGGTGTTTTCGTCGGGAACTTTACCCTCGATTACCAGATGATGAAGTTTCGCGACATAGACGCCATAAACCGCTTCACTGTTACGGGCTGCGGAAGTACCATCTTGGCGAACCGCATTAGCCACGTGTTCAATCTTAAAGGCCCAAGGTAAGCGCTGATCCCTGAGAACGGCATGGCTGCTTGCGAGTCGTCCCTGGCTATGCTAGCGGAGATGAGGTATAGAAAGATAGCTAAACGTTTTACCCCAGCTTTACCGTGGATACAGCTTGCTCCTCGTCTCTGTATGCCTTGCATAGTGCCGTTGCAGCGTTGGCGGGTGGTGACTGTGACGCCGCGGTCGTAGCGGCTGCCAACCTCTTCCTATCACCCGAACAGTATATGGGTATAGCCAAGGCCGGCGTGCTGTCCCCAACATCCACCTGTCACACTTTCGACATAGCTGCCGACGGTTATGGGCGGGGTGAGGCGGTAAACGCCCTCTATATCAAGCGCCTTTCGAGTGCTCTGAAAGATGGAGACAAGGTCTGGGCTGTCATCCGTAGTACGGCAGTTAATGCGTGAGTCTGAAACCTGAAACTCATTGAACTACTTGCTCTGGGACTGACCAGGTACGTCTGATGACTGCAGGAACGGAACAACAACTGGCATCACTCAGCCAAGCGCCAACTGCCAGGAAGCTGTGGTCCGGAAAGCGTACACGAAAGCCGGCCTTGATTTTGCCGACAGTGACTACATAGAATGTCATGGAACTGGTACCCCCGTCGGCGATCCGATCGAGGTCGAAGCCCTGGGTCGCTGTTTTGGGAAGTCGAAGAGAACCAAGCCCTTGCTTCTCGGTTCTGTAAGTTGGCACCAAACGAAAACCCTCTTGCATGCTGGCAAGTACCACAATGATGGTGGCTGACATTTTCCACTATAGTCGAAGCCCGGACTTGGTCACAGTGAAGCAGCTAGTGGCATAACAGCCTTGATCAAGGTCGCTTTGGCGTTTGATCAAGCCAAGATACCCCCGACATACGGCGTGGAGAACCTGAACCCTAAACGTGAGTCGCACCTTACGACAAGTGCAATTCTCCTTCAGATTACAACTAATGAAAACGGGCCGCAGTCAAACTAGACAGCTTAAACATGAAAATTGCTACCGAGGCCGAAGACTGGCCCCGGGAGCTCCGGAGAGCGAGCATCAATGCTTTTGGTTATGGAGGCAGTAATTCTCACGTCTTGCTTGAGTCGCCTGATAGCTATCTGGCGAAAAAGATCCCTCAGACCAACGGGGTAACCGCTGATATCGAGCGCAGCCGGCTTCTTGTACTACCTATATCAGCCGGGTCGCCGCCTTCGCTTGATACGAGAATCAATCAAGTTCGACGACTAGTCGAGTCCGGGAACGATCGCTCTCTTTTCAGCCTGGTACATACCCTGGCCGAACGAACTTCCCATCTCACGGCAAGGCACGTCTTGTTTGCCAAATTTGGTGGGCCAGATGCTCAGCCTGAGTTGCTGGATCATGCCATGAGCTCCGACAGCGTGCAGACCGGGGATGCCGGCTTACCCCTGGCCTTCGTGTTCACAGGCCAGGGTGCCCAGTACGCGGCCATGGGCAAAGAACTTCTTCTCCTGAACGGATCCTTTCGCGCGTCGATATGTGGTCTTGATCAGAGTTTGAAGGCTCTACTGCCCCCAAAATACGCGCTCAAATGGACATTGGAAGACTCAATTCTCGATCCACCAGAAGTCAGTCACATCCATGAGGCTTCGCGTAGCCAGCCCGTCTGTACAGCCATTCAAATTGCACTTGTCGACATCCTTCGCAGCTGGAATGTCACTCCCAGTTCCGTGGTCGGCCACTCATCTGGCGAAATCGCTGCCGCGTATGCCGCAGGCCTCTTGAGTGCCTCGCAGGCCATCATCACAGCCTATCTGCGCGGGTACGCAGTCGAACGGCTGACGGTGAAGGGCGCCATGTTGGCAGCCGGAATCGGCCTAAGTACAGCCAACAACATGATTTCAGAGGCAAACCTCGAGCAGGAGGTGTCTGTTGCTTGTATAAACTCGCCAGCAAGCGTGACTCTGAGTGGTACGGTGGATGGGATCACACGTCTGATGGGCGACTTGCAACGACAGGGTAAATTTGCCCGAATGCTCCGGACAGGCGACCGGGCGTATCACTCTTTCATGATGACTGAAGTTGGCGAGTTGTACCAGTCGTCGCTGGCCCCATACTTCAATAGCAACACCGAGTGTGATGTTGATACCCACACAGAGAGGCCAGCAGCTGTGATGTACTCCTCAGTCATGACGAATGACAACACGCATGCCATGATCCTCGACCGGAATTCCGTCTCAGCCGAATACTGGCGACACAATCTCGAACAGCCCGTGCAGTTTTCCAACGCACTGAGTACGCTCTTGCGCAGTCACAAGAAAGTGCACCTGATGGAGGTAGGACCGAATCCGGCACTCAAGGGACCTATACAGGACATCCGTTCCAGTATGAAGCTTGATCAGACCTCGGTGCCTTACTCCTGCACCCTTGTGAGGAATCAAGATGCCGACTACTGCATGAAGCAGCTGGCCGGCGTTCTCTTTCTGAGCAAAAAAGACTTACCCTGGCAAAAGGTGAACCAATGTATCACACCAACGTTTGCCAGTGGCCTCCCACCATACCCGTGGGACTACTCCGCTGGTCTCATGTGGGAAGAGCCTCGCAGCAGCATTGAGCTGCGCCACCGGCAATATCCCCGACATGAACTACTTGGATCACAACGCGCGGAGAAGCAGGGCATCAACTGGGCGTGGAAGAACGTGCTCACCACCACCGAGATCCCTTGGTTGCGCGACCACAAGCTGGAGAGCCAGATTGTGTTCCCAGCCTCGGCCTACATCGCCATGGCGGTCGAAGCTCTTTCTCAAGCCCGGAACGTGTCTTCTGACACGACACCTGCATTTGAATTTCGCCACGTCGATATCAGTGCGGCCCTGGTGGTTCCTGATGACGAGACCAGAAGTGGCGTGGAAGTCCACACCGTTTTGTCAGCTCGGGAGCTTACCCGAACAAGCCGATCGAAGGACTGGTTCGAGTTCCATATTTCGTCGTTGGTGTCCGGTGCTACTACAGTGCATTGCTCTGGCAGCATCCGGCTCGTGGAGAACGCGGACGGCATGACGCTTCCCGAGGGAGTCTCGTTGCCCTCCACCGACGGCCTCGAGGAATGCTCGGACACGGGTATCTTCTATGACAAGTTCGCAAGCCAAGGGCTGCATTTCGGACCTACGTTCCAGTCGGTGAATACACTGCACGTGGACAGTGGCCGTGTGCGAGAGGAAGCTATCGGCAGCGTGAACGTCGTGCCGGCTATTTCGAAAGAGCCTGGAAGCATACGATACGCCATCCACCCAATCACATTAGACTCTTGCATCCAAATCGCCATCATGGGTTCAGCAGCAGGAGATGTGAGCGAGACCAATGTCTTCCTGCCTGTCTTCATCGACGAATGCCGCGTTGTCGCGGCGGGGCCCGAGGACCATGACGCTGTAGGCGTAGTCCAATCTACCTCGGCTAAAACCAGCGTCTCTACGCGGAGGATGGCTTCCACTTTCTGGAAGAAGGGTCACACTGCGACACCATTGATCTATCTCAAAGGCGTTCGTCTGACACAGTATAAGGCTGCAATGGCCACAGACAGCCACTCCCTCCGCCAGCCCAGTCTTCGGGTTCATTGGATGCCCGATGTCAGCCACCTACATACGAACATGGCGAAACAGCTGGATCGCTATGTTTCCACCTTGGTCGCTAAATTCCGAGACACAGGCGTGGACTTCGGTGACGATGTAAGCTTGGCTGCTATGAGTGCTCTTGCCGACCTGGCAGGACATGGGAATCCTAGCATGCGAGTCCTGGAACTCGGCAACGACAATCTGTTCAGCACAGATAAGGTTCTAGAGCTCCTTGATGATGGCCCTGGATATCGACGATGTTCATCCTGGCAGCTCGGCAGGCTGGACGACTCGGGGGTTATTCAAAGACAGTGCGATGGTACCAGCGACAACGGGGCCCTTGAGGGTTCCTTCGAACTCCTTTTCGTTCAGGAATCGGCAAACACTTTGGATTCAGTGGGAAACCTCGACTCTCTACTTTCTGATAAGGGTTTTCTGGTTACTCGGAGCACTCCGATGGCTCTCAAGGCGCTCCGTGAGAACAACTTTACCGTGAACGTGCTTGATAGTAGCAAAGTGATTCTAGCAACGCGACTTCCAGCCGAGGGGAAGGATGCAGTACGATGCAGCCAATTCGTGATTGTGGTAAGAAATTCCTGGAAGACCTCAAAGACTGGTGTAGTAGTTAGCTGACATGACCTCTCCAGACCCCCAACGTCTCGTCCACAGCGGCAGATTTCGCTGCAGCTTTGCAAGAGCATCTCCTGCATGAAGGTGCGGTCAGCGTTCAAACTGTCAAGCTCGATCAAGTCAACGATGCACGGCTCGACAAGCGCACAATCTGTATATCTCTTCTCGAGCTGGAGCATGAGTTCTTAGCTACCTTAAATCAGGTCGACATGGATCATTTGCGTGCCTTGACCAACACGGTCACGACTATCATCTGGCTCTCGGGCGCAGATGCTTTAGGTGGCAGCCCAAATCCTGACCTCACTCTGAGCAATGGGTTCTCCCGAGCCCTGATGCTGGAACACCCGTCGCTCAATTTCGTCGTCATAGACGTCGGACTTCCTGAGAGCCGCTCCAACGACGTGACGATCCAAAACGTTGTGCAGGTGCTGGGGTCCTGTGAACCGGATGCTAGCAGCAACACAGAGCAAGACAAAGAGTTCGTCCAGAAAGACGGCCTTCTCTTCGTCAGCCGTTTCCGTCCCGACTTCGAGGCGAATTCGCTCTTCCGCCGTCGTGTTGAGAAGATCGACGCCATCACCGAGGTCGAACTATCTGCAGCTCACCCGGCCAGGCTCACCACCAGTACATTCAACGGAAGCGAGACTCTCCACTTCGAAGAGGTCAGAGAGCCAGTATCAGCCACGCCGGATGGGTTTGTCGACATTCTCGTCAAGGCGATCAGTCTCAACGCCAAGGACGTCTACGGACTGAGGGGCAAAGTAGAAACACCCGGTGCGACGACCGCGACCGAGTTCAGCGGTGTGGTGACAGCTACTGGACGCGACATCACGCATCTGAAGCCTGGGGACTCTGTTGCTGTTGGCATGGCATGTCATTTCGCGACTTCGCAGCGCGCGCCCGTATGGGCTGTCCAGAAGATGATGCCAGGGGAGCAACACACGGTCATGTCCACACTGCCTACGATATACGCAACAGCGCTGTATGCGCTTGTCCACCGGGCTCGACTGTGCGCTGGCGAGTCTGTTCTCATCCACGGAGGCTCGGGTGCCTTCGGATTCGCCGCCATCACGGTCGCGAAGCGCATCCTCGGCACGTCGACCAACATCTACACAACAGCCGGCACGCAGGACAAGAGAGACTTCGTCGCGGACAAACTGGGCATCCCACCGGCCAACATCTTCCGTTCGCGCGACGATTCTTTCGCCAGGAACGTCAAATCTGCCACCAACGGTCGTGGTGTGGATGTCATCATCAACTTCCTGACGGGCGACCTCCTCCAGGCTACCTGGGACTGCGTAGCGCCATTTGGACGCTTCATTGAGATCGGAAAGCGCGATCTCGCCGACGCTGGTCGGCTTGACATGCACGTGTTTCTCCGAAACGCTACCTTCACGGCGTTTGATCTCGGTGATCTGTACCACCTGAAAGTCGAGCATGGTAGTGACGTCTATCCAAGGTATGTGCCCCATTGCAGGAAATGTTGGGTGGAATGTGACAAAGACTGACTCAGAGCCCCATCAGCTTGATGACCGAAGTGTTCAATATGTACCGGTCGAAGCAGATTGAACCGCCTCCGATAACGACGTTTGCCGCTTCCGACATCGCAGAAGCACACCGTTACTTCCTGTCTGCAGATCGCGTCGGCAAGATTGTCATCTCACTCGAGCAGGAAGACTGCAAGATCCCGGTATGGCACCAGGGACCCCACCTGTCCACGGCATTAAATGCTAACAGCCGCTCTAGGTGACGCCCTCCCGATATTCAACACTGTTCGACGGTGACAAGGTCTACCTGCTCATAGGTTGCCTCGGTGGGCTAGGCCGTAGCCTAGGTCGTTGGATGGTAGCCCGGGGAGCCCGTCATCTTGTATTTCTGGGGAGGTCTGGCTCTGACAAAGCAAGCGCTAAAGCTCTTGTCGCTCGTCTTGAACAGTCGGGAGCCAGTGTGAAGGTAGTTCGTGGCAACGTCACCAGCCGTGACGACGTGGACGCGGTCGTCAGTACCTGTGTTGAGACCGGGAAGACCTTGGGAGGTGTGGTGCAGGCAGCCATGGGTCTTCACGAAGCTCTGTTTGCTCAGATGACGAGCGAGCAATGGCAGACCGCCATCCAGCCCAAATGGAGAGGCACCTGGAACCTGCACGAGGCACTCGAGGGCCACAACCTGGATTTCTTCCTGCTAACCTCGTCGATATCGGGAAGTGTCGGAACGGCAACCGAAAGCAACTACTGCGCCGCCAACAGCTTCCTGGACGGATTCGCCCGCTGGCGTTCCCTTCAGGGCAAACCGACTATCTCCGTCGGCCTGGGCATGATCTCGGAAGTGGGCTACCTCCACGAGAACCCCGACATCGAGGCGCTGCTGCTTCGCAAGGGCATCCAGCCCCTAACGGAGTCGGAGTTCCTCCAGATCATCGACCTCGCGCTGTCTGAGACGACTGCCAAACAGTCGATGGAGCTGTCACGATATATAGACGATTACGGGTCGTCGCACATCCTCACCGGCCTGGAGCCCCTGCGGTTCCGCGAGCTCATCAGCAAGGGATACGACGTGAGCCTGAGCAACACGCAGGACCCCCGCTTAGCCGTCCTGGCCGCCGCCCTGGCAGCCGAGCGGTTGGCCAGCGATAAGGATGGGTCGCGCGGTGTCAACGGCGAAAATGCAGACGTCCTCGCCAGCGCGGCGGAGTGGTTCAAGGGCGTGCCGGCGCACGCGCGGGCGCACCTGACGCCCGAGGCCGACGCGGACTCGCTGCAGCTCGCCATGCTGAAGCTCGTCCGCAAGCGCTTCTCGAGCCTGATCATCACGCCCGTCAACCAGATCGACGATTCGAAACCGCTGGCGCGGTTCGGCGTCGACAGCATGATCGCGTCCGAGTTCAGGATCTGGTTCTGGACGGCGTTTAGGGTGGATGTGCCGTTCTTGGATATGCTTAGTTCGGAGAAGAACCTTGGGACTCTGGCGGAGTTTGCTGCGGAGAGGTTGCTTGAGGGTTGAGTTTGGGTTGGAATTTGGGGTTGGAATTTGATAGGTAGTCTTTTTTATCGAGTTGTTTTGGCGTTGCACAAGCAGTACATCTTACATTTGACGTTCAATAGCCATCACTACTAGTCTCGGCGCTCACAAAATGCACTAGATACTATAACGAAAGCGGCATCTAGGTTAGATGAGTGTTGTCTGCTACGTGCAAGCTGTATTTCCTTGACTAGTTTGTTTGCAGAAACTCGAGCGTTGTTTCGCTAGCACCAGCGTGATAAGTAGGTGAGAGTTGTCAATTGATAATGCAGTGAAGGTATGAATGAAGTGATTAAAGTGATGAGATCTATCTGATGGTAGAGGGCCAATGGCCCTGTATATGTACCTAGTCACTAATATGCGGCGTACCAGCCTCCTTGAATACCGGCCATCACACTTGCCATCAAGAATGGAGGTGTATCTTTCATCGAATAACTTGAGTAGCGGCGTCTTCCGAGTAGGGACGAATCTCAGGTTGTACTCAGACCGAGATATCCTTAATCTGATCCATCGGGTACATATCAGCCTTCATCGATTGGGCGGATTCCGGCGTAGCACTGGGTGGAAAAATGATTAGCTGAGACCCGTCATAAGGTTTGGATAGAGACCAAGTCAATAATAAGGAACACTAGAAGAACTTACATGTACTCCCAGTTCCAGTAGTCGCTCAAGCCGCCCCAGCTGCAAGCTCTGACTTCTTTAGTCAGGCCGCTGATGCATTCGGCCGGTGGGAGGGTGCGCTTGGTTTTTCCTAGGCGGCTGACTGTCGTATTCAGGATTAGCCAACATTACTTCAATCGCTCCAGGAGCAAAATCGAGAGACAACAACCGATTCCAAGGGAGTGATGATGCCAGTGGAAGGGAAGGACTGCCAGAGTCGAAGAGGTGGGCGGATGCGGACTGAAAGGTTACTTACTTTGAAGTTGTACATATCCCATGTCCTCGTGGCCCTTGATCTGGTAGGCTACCTCCTTATGACCCTTGCCATCATTGTTGTTGCCATCATAGTCCCCGTGGAGGGTACCGTCGTTACAGGCCTTCTCGACAACCTTCTTGACTGCTGCGTTGTATGCTGGATCTTTCCACTGTTTCAAGTCGGGATGATAGACATTCATATCCTCGAAGCAGTCGGCAGCCACGACGCTCGCGAGAGCGGCTGCAGTGAGGTGGGACTTGATTTGCATGATACTTGTTGATGTCTTTGGTATCGGAGATTTGTTGTATGTTGTATCCACAATGTGCGTTCGGCCGGTGTTTCGTTGAAGAGCGGGCTGGGGGAGGTCGAGGTTATAAAGAGCTGCAGGACAAAGATTCGGACCTCTTGGTCCAGGTTCATTGGTGTGGAAGACAAAGGCAAACAAAGGGGATTAGGACCAGATGAGCCTAGTCAACAGGACTGGAGTGAATTTCGGGGTGCTCACCTGGAGTCGCTTGTTCAAGATTATCGAGTCATATGATTCCTTGGTCCATGCCGCCGGCGGTGCTCACCCAAGGGATAGCTGCCATGCGAGAACGCGCCCCTTACCACGGCGCGCTACTACAGCAGCGCTTCGCCAGCTTCCACAGCTTCATGCCGGCGCCGAAGGGGACGGTCGCCGCGACTGCGAGGCTTCACTTCCACTTGATGCCCGTGTGCCCGAAGACGCTGTGGTTGAAGACGCGGATGTAGATGTAGATGACTGGGAACACGCTCAGTGCGCCAATGGTCATGGTCGAGAACAGGAACCTGATCCTGCGCGCGCTCACCACGCGTACAGGTCCTTGAAGATCTGGAATGCGCTGGTCCCGTCCGGGTTCAGGCGGAACATGTTGTGGCGGATGTCCTTGAATTCCCAGGAGCTCACGAGGATGAGCCAGGTCAGCTCGGCAAAGAGGTGGCGCGCGCGCGGAAGACGGGGACGCAGGCCTTAGAGTAGTGCTCGCTATAACCAAAACCCAACTCGCCTCTGTTGGCGCCGTAGATGACGATGATGGAAATCGCCAAAACCAACGTACCCATCAGCGGCCCGTAGACAAGCATGTCGACGAGGTCTACTTCGTACAGACACCACGGCTCTTGTCGTGCATACTCCCGGCTGGGGCCAAAGTCCCGAAATAAGGACGTCAACATGTTAATGCACAGTATCTCCAGGGGCGAGATCGCGAACATAGAGAAGCCTGACTGTGTCCCGTAACCCGAGGACGCAGATCGGCAGGATGACCTCATCTATGTTGGAGGCCAGGAGGCGAAGAATGAATTTCTCGATGCTGAACATTCTTCTACCCGCGCGAATTGTGGCGACAATCGAGATGAATTTAACGTTCGTGAGCACGATCGTGGTGGCGGACTTGGCGACGGGCATCATTCACGCGGTCGCCAGTCACGGCCGTTTCCAATTTAGGGGCATCGATTCCTCCTCCGAGAAATTATCGAGATTATTTTGCTTTCTGCACAGCAGCATTCGCGACATCGTGACCTAAAATGCTCAGGCCGTGTGGAATAATTCCGACTTCCTGGGCGATTGGCCTCTGCGGTAGATGGGTGATCGCCTATCAACATGTGCACTTTGACCCCTGCTGAAGAACACTCGGCAATGGCGGACGTCGTCTCATTTGGTGGTGGATCGTAGATGCTGGCTAAACTGAGGAGCATGAGGCCGGTCTCGACGCGCTTGCGCAGAGCGTCTTCGCCCTCAGCATCCCCAGCCGTACCCTCCTCCTCGTATTTGCCATCCAATCGACGGGAAGCGATGTCCAGGACGCGCTGATCTTGGCAGGCGAAGACCCGGAGTCGACGTTAGACCCAGACCTGTAGAGCTGCAGTCACATCAACGGTGTGCTTCGACGGAGGCAAGCCACGCCTACCACAGTGCCCAGATAGACCAGCACGTGTGTCACGTGCATCGCTCGCCGTTTCTACCACGTGACTCTGACACGGCATGAGTTCTCGGACCTTCGGCATCTCTGTTCAAATTTGTCCACATTCACCCCCAGCCCCGGACCCCAGCATCTTGCCTGCTTGCCCAGGCTACCTAGGCAGTCTAGGTACCTACCGCTTCATTCTGACAATTGCACACACTGACGACTAAAGTAATGAGTACTAGGTAAACAAACACAAACACGACAGCAGGCGACTGGTCAGATGCGATGCGGTTGGCCTGCCTGCTTGCCCCAACCAAGTTCGCTCCTGGACTGGTACAGCCGATCGATACGATGCAGGCTTCCCCACATCCCCAGGAATAGGTCATTGGGGACGGTATCTCCGTTTTCTATGTCTCTCTTCTCACGTCTGTCGCCCGCCAATCAGCCGTGCCAGCCACACGCTGTACGAGGGTTGCTCGCTGTACGCCCAAACAAAGCAAAGCAAAACATTGAAAGGAAGGAAGCGTTCCCAGCAGTAGACTTTACCCGAGATGATCGCCAGACCCAATCGAAATGGAGATGCAGAGCAAAGCCTTGACGAGCAGCTTACCTAAGGCATTCGATCACAGAGGAATGACGAAATCCAGGTTTGTTGGTTTCCACCTGCAGTTTTGGAGATCGTGCGATGTCCCGGCTGTGTCGCAAATGTGGCTGACCCAGATCCTTGTGGCTGGCGAATATGTGGCTTGGCAGGCTCAGCAGAAGTCCCGAAGGTTGACCTCACACCTGCCCGCGAGACTTCATTATTCCCCATGTTCTTCTCTCTTCTCACTTCTCACTTCTTTCCGTCTTCGTTCTGTTAGTCCACCGTCCCTGTACTACATTTTCTACCATCTAGCTCCAAACATCCATTGCACGTCGCGAGCTTGACATCATTGATTCTATACAACCTAGATATAGCTGAACCACTACAACATTGCTCCTAATAGCTCTTTGCGATCACACTGTGTCCAAGCTTTGCGCTGTCCCCTCCTACGTCATCGACATGGCTGATAACACCATCAACGGTGCTGGTAAGGCCAAATCTCTTCTCGTGTTCCCATTCCTGTCATCGAGCCGCAGCTCCCTTCCTTTCCGCAGCCTCAATTGACCAGCTGTGAAGCTCATGGGAGCTCGCGCAGACCCACCCGCTTCGCGATGCCTGAGCTCTGACACAGTGTGAGCACAGTGTGTTAACAAGATCGTCCCAAGCAGCACCAGCTTCGAACGTCGCGAATGCGCCTGTCTCGGACTCTAGCCTCCCGCCTGTGGCAAAGGCCCCCGCGAGCACCGTCGATGCTTCCATGATGCCATCGGTGCCGCCCGACGCTGGCGCTTCGACCGAGCCGATTGCGCCCGGCGCACAACCCCCAGCACAGGCCGAGGCTCCCGCAACCGATGCGCCGAAGGATGACTTGGCCAAGAAGATGGATGCAGCAGATACCTTGGCTTTACAACCTGAGCAGCCAACCGAGCCGGTGCTTACACCAACGTCGCTGCCTCCGCCTGTTGAGGCTACAGAAGCCGTTGCGCCAGCCCCACCCACCACGGGTGCTGATGAACTACCGAAACCGGTTTCGGTCGAAGAAGTTCGCGACCAGGACCTGCCAGATGCGAAGCCACCGCCGCCTGCTGAAATGGCAGGGGCTTTGCAGAATGAGGCGCCTGAGAAGCCTGAGAAGCCTACCGAGGACGCGGCAATGGCCGAGTCTGCGCCAACTGTCACCACTGGGCCCGAGAAGACGGAAGTGCCGGAGGTAGACAGCGCCGCCGTCGCGAAAGAGCCCGAGGAGGCCGACGCCAAAACCGGCGACAAGCGGAAGGCCAAAGGCGCTAAGCCTTCCAAGGGGAATGACACCGTTGACGAAGCCAAAGACACCGCGCCCGTCGAAAAGAAACAGAAGACTAACGGCGCTCCTGCCGACGGCGGGGCTTTGAAACCCGGGCGACCAAAGAAGGACAAGTCAGCGCCCAAGCCCGCGCCACCCATGGGCAGAACAGCCCGGAAAACTCGAAGTCAAACTAAGGAATCATGATGAGAAGATGAGGAAGTAGGAGCTTTTATGAGGTATTCATTTGTGGATCAGGGGCCAATGGCGCTTGGCACATTGTGCCGGGGTGTCTGGCTGGTTGGGAACGGAAAAAGTATCAGGTTTCTCTAGGTGCGATTGGTGAGGTCTTCTGGCTTTCATTGGCTGTACATGACTTTTACAGTAGTCAATGCATTAAACACATTCTGGCAGACGCTGGTTAGTTGTGCCCAAGAGGTGAGATAAATGCGAATTAATGTTGATCCGCAAGGTAACTTAGTCGTCGAAAGTCCCGTTCCGAATCAATAGCTGCATTCTTTGGGGGTAGCGGGGCTCCGCAATGAAAAGGGGGCTAGCCGAGCGTGCTTGTGACCACTGCTGTGGACTAGACGAATACTTTGCATAAGAACTAAGTTCAAGGCAAATGCTTGGACAAGCACCTAATCGCTGCTTATTCCACTGCAAGCCATTGCTTCACCCATTGGTTGTGTCGAATGATGTCTGTGAATGAAGTCGTTCATCGGACGGTCTCGAAGGATCGTATCTCTTCTAAGAAGCGATGCAGCTATTGATCGTAGTATGTCCTGTCTGCTAAGGAGCTGACAAGACAGAGTGGTGAAAGGCAATTGGGGTTCGGAGACGTATGGTAGAATCTCTTCGTGCAAGAGGTGGAAGATGAAGATGGATGTGGACTTGGACTGTCTTGGTGCTCCCAGGGGAATTGCTTCCCTAGATGCAATTCCAGAATGCCAGCCTCAAGAAATATCATATCCTGAAGGTCGGATAGTAGACGAACACTGGGCACGAGAGTAGGTAGAGGCTGCCAACAGGTATAGTCTTTCATATTAAAACGCAAGGTCATTTATACGACCACTCATCCTTAGGTCTTGCTGCACGGGGTCTACCATTTACGTATGTCACCTAGATGCTGCTATCATCAAGTGCCAGCTAAGAGGGTCAGAGTGAGAAGGACCAGAGTAATCAATATGATGGTTTGCCTGGGCACCTATGCATCCAGCCCTAAGGGTTTACCGTTCCGGAAGAACTAAAGTAACTTGTAAGTTACAGGGAAGGCAGTCTATTGAATTAGGGATACGAGGACGGCTCACACGATGCTGTTTTCACGGATGCCGAAAATTTCGTCAATATATCATGCATTAAGCATTCGCTTAAGTTGTTGGCTTGTCTGGTTGGCATGGCCCAGACCGGTCTTCAAACCAATCGTGAATCCTCCACCTGCATCTGGGGAACCAACAACATCCCTTACTTGTTCAACCAACCAACCAACCAACCAGTGTACTCGGTATATATACCGAGGTTGTTACTCCATTCCACCTGGTCAAATCAGATGTTGAATACTTCCGTTGTTGCGTCCGATACAACGCTTCCCTCAATTTGTCTTGATACACCCACCGGGAAAAGAAGGATATTTGTCATCATGGCAGAACTCATCGCTCATGATGTCGAGCACGACCATGGTGATGAGACCAAAAGATCCACTACCTCGCCGCTGGCCCGATTGAAGGCCCTCTCATCATCTTCATCCACGGCTGGCCGGGCATCGGCTTGACGTGGAAGCACCAGCTACAAGCCTTCGCCGCGCTAGGCTTCGGGCCATCGCCCCAGACATGCCGGGTTACGGCGACTCGACCAGCCGCCGCGTCAAATCTGACTATGCCCTGGAGGCGCTTGTAGAGGGCATGCGCGCCCTCCTCTCCGGGAACAGCCGTCCTGCGGCTATATGGGTTGCGCACGACTGGGGCGCCGGCGTCGCGTCCTCGCTCGCGGCACACCACCCGGATATGATCCAGGCCCTGGTGCTCATGGCTATCCCCTACCGCTCGGCCGAGTTGGGTCTCGAACACCTCGTCTCGCTCGTCGACCGCTCCGTCTACCCGGAAGACGAGTGTCCGTTCGGCAATTGGGACTACATGGCGTACTACGAGGAGAGCTTCGAAAAGTGCATGGCCGAGCAGTGGGACCCCAACGTTGAGACTCTTTGCAAGCTGTTGTACGCTCCCACGCCGCCCGGAACCACAAGTGCCGATGCGTCCAAGCCGGTTTACACGGCCAACGTGCGCAAGAACGGCGGTCTGTTCGCGGGCGGGCCCGCCCCTCCGCCCGAAGCGTTGCCTACCCCCTTGCTCGCCGGAGATGTCTTTGACACTTTTGTGCAGGCGATGAAGAAGACGGAATTCTAGGGGGCGACGGCGTACTACATAAACCACAAAGAGAATGCCGCGTTCAATGATTCTAGGGCACTGCCCAACGGGGCCAGTCTGGACAAGCCGGTTCTCTTCATCCATAGGGCATATGACTTCGTGTGCGCCACGGTGGGCACGCCTCTTGCGGATCCGATATAGGAGGCTTATAGCAATCTGACTAAGGTCGTAGTGAATGCCGGGCATAATATGCATATCGAAAGGCCTGAGAAAGTCAATTCGGCTATCGCGCGTTGTGCCTTCTGGCAGGGGCCCAGAATACCATCTTACGATGACTAGTATTCTGGATGTTCTGCTTGCTGTCTAGAAGGATGGGAGCGTGTCCCATCCGAAAGGTCACTTAAGTACTAGATACAGTGCAAACGGTACCTTGTCCCTTGGGCAACAATCCGGCCCAACCGACAAGACACCTGACAGCTGGTACCAGCTGGATCCACACGGTTCCCAGTAGAGCAAGCACCTTCCCTTTGTCACGATGCCTGCGGCGTTGTGCTGGAAAACTTGTGGTATTCCGAAAATAACAAGGTGAGGAAGGAAAGGAATCCAGGTGTGTGTGCACCCGAATGGCTGCAGCACATATGGTGGTGTCCTTCCTTATCTAATCTACACGTGACCTGATGACTCAGCATCCAACCAGGTGGATACAGGTGCTGGACCGTTACACCCTTCCATTAATTCTCCGTGCGTTTGGAATTATTCAAACCTAAGCGTGTATTATATTAAAACCTTTAGTACTATTTTAGATTAGCGTAATTAACTTGTAAAAAAAAATTTAAAATGATAAACTTTTAATCAACCGACTTAAAAAAACATTAAAATAATTTTAATGATTAATATTAAGCACAAAAAACTTACTAGTAATGACATGTAACTTATTGGCCTTAACACGAGGTAATTTTTTACTTATTAAACAATTTATAAAATCGCCGCTTAGTTAAAATAACCAACTTTATTAAAAAGGCTTTTGAAGTCACGTTAATACTGCTATTTAAGCTTATAAATTTAATTATGATAATAATTACTTTAGTGTTCGGACAGGCTTGAACTATCAATCGTAGTACTCGAGTATTGGGTCAAGGTCATGATGTTGCTGATGGTTAGATTGAGAGGTCTAGCTGGACTCGCAGGTCTGGCTAAGTGACTTCACAATCCGGTATATAATCTCTTATCTAATCATACATATGGGTTTGATATGGATGGTTTGAGTGTGGAATCGCGTGGATCCGACCTTTAGCTTTAATACTTATTATTTTAAATATTGAATAATAGGATTATGAAGTAAAACTTTAACTAATTAAAAATATTGAAAAGTTTTTCTTAATTACTTATAACGTAGAAAAATCAATAGTGATATATGTAATATTTTTAAAATATACTATTAAATAAACATAAAAATAATTCATATATAAAGGCTTTAAACGTTTATTTAATTAAGTATAAATATTAATATTTAAAGGCATTTAAGATACGATATTATATAACACTGAAAATATTAAGATAAAAATAAAAATACGTTTAAAGTTATATATTATATTTAAATCGATAATAAATATTAATGTATACTCTCTATTTAATAATTATAAGGCACCTGGTAACAATTCTATTTTAAATAACTTACATATTTTCAATCCCTTTAAAGAAATTCTCGTACCAAGAGATATAAAGTTAAATATTACGATTAAAAGCCGGGAGTAGTAACTCGTAATAGCGGCTACCGCTTAGTGAAATAGGTTGTAAAAGTTATCATGATATTTATCAAGATTCTTAGTAAAATTACATATGACGAAAGTTATATTATAAACTTTCTTTCTTTTAACGTTCTTTTTATTAAAGCAAGGATTTTTAAACACCTCGTTACGAGCTTTAAGTATTATTTTTATAAGATATTTTATATTAATAAAAATAAAGCATGTTTTTAAAATAATAGAAATTCTAAGTTGAAAAAACTACTTAGTTAAACAAAGTAAGCTAGTAACTATTGTAATTATTTATGTATTTAAACTTAATTAGATTAGAATTTGATTAAAATTAAACGCTGCGATAAAAATACTCTTTTCAATATTTTATAATACTTTAAAAATCGGAAGTAGAAGAAAACGCGTATAAGGTAAATAAATACTTTAATAAATTAAAAATGTGTTTTTTGAACCGCTTAAAAATTAAACCATTAAAATATTAACGACCTTATATTTACTTTGAATAAGTTTTATAAAATTGTTAGAATAATAGAATAAAATTATTAAAAAATTCAATTGGATCTTTTTCAATTAAAGTCTTCATATGATTTTCGGCTAGTATAAATTAAAGGCGAGCTTGCGTTTACTATTTTGAATTAATTTGAATATTAAAAACGCTTTTAAAAAGATGTAAAGAAGCTAATATTTTTACAATAAGTATTTAAAACGATTCAAATTAATTAATAACTTTTTAAATATACCGGAGTTTTATTTAAGCTTAAAGAACTTATATTGAAACATTACACTTATTTCAAAAAGAAAACACAGCTTTATAATTAAAAATTACTCCATTTTATCCGGATTTAAAAAGCTTACCATTAAAATTATAGACACTTATTAAGTATCCATTAAGTAATATTATAAAGTATTTGATAAAAGGACTTTTATTATAATGCTCTTTATTATTATTTAAACCCTATTTAAGTTGTTATAATCCTTAAAATCAGTAAAGAAAAACCTATTAATATACCGGTTTTATAAGCTTATTACCTTATTTTTATATTTGAATAAAGATTACAAGAGAATTATTATAAGAAAATAGTATAAATTGTGGTAAAATCAGGCTTTATTAGCTTTTAATACGTTAATGTTTTAATTATAGGCTTTATAATAAACTTAGTAGTCAGTTTTTTTCTAAAGTCTTAAAATTCTAATAACAATGAATATTGTATAAAATGCTTTTAACATATTATTGCGCTATGAACTTTAATAGAAAATAGTTAATTAAAGTAAGCCTTTCAAAGTAATGTGCCTAATAAATAACATTTTCATTAACAAAGAAGTTAATTACGAATTAAATAAGAAAATCTTTAAAAAATTAAATTAAATTGCGGGACTTTTCAAAGCTTTTTATAATTTTCGATTTCTGATATATTATACTTCATCGATATAAATTGTACAAAATTTTAGTTGATAAAGATACATTAATAACTTAATTATTATAAAAGCCGTAATAATTATAAAAAAAGCGATTACTTTGTTGTTAAAAAGTTTATATACATATTAGCTTATTAAAAATATATAAAATAACTTCCGTTTCAAAAAAGTTGAGTGCTTTTTATTTCATAAAGGGTTATAAAACCGATAACTTTAAAATCGTTATATTACTAAAAACTAGCCTAGGTCACAAGCGAGTGGGACACTTTTACAAACCTCTCAAACTTTCAACTTCTAACTAGTTATCCTCTACCAATAATAATGGCACCGCGTTATTACAAATCAGATATGCAGCTAGCTATACAAGCAAAAAAATGAGACCCTTATATTTCTGTTTAAAAGCTTGCTAAAAATTTCCACTTACCAATCTCTATACTGGCTCAAAGAATCGCCGGCTGACCATCATGACACAATAACATACCCAATTCTTTGAAACTTACGGTTTCCAAAGGGAATGCCATTTGCTCCTTTATACTCGACCTGGATACACGAGCATTTCCGCTCCGGTACACTTATATTAAAGATATGTCGAATCAATTGTTGGCAGCACGTGGGGCTGGACGCATTAAAAGGAACTGGACGGCAAACTTTATTAAACGTATATCAGGCCTCTGGACGCGTTTTTATTGCAAGATAGATTACTCAAGGGTCTTGAACAAAGATCCAGACACGTATTGTGCGTGATTTTGCCAAGTTGCAGCGGCAATTACGAAACATGGTATCTAAGACGCGGATATTTACAACTTTAATGAGACTGGGTATATGATGGGTATTATTGGGTCTGGCATGGTCAACACAAGCGCCAAAAAACGTGACAGGCCTAGATAAGCTCAGCAAGGTAACATAGGATGGTCTACATTAATCTCTGCTATCAATGCTGATGGTTGTGTGGTTCCGCTATTCATTATTCTACAGGGCAAAACCCACCTCGCATCATGGTATTGCGACACAACATTACTACGCAATTGGAAGGTGGCCGTGTCTGACAACAGATGGACTACAAATGAGATCGGTTTGGAATGGATTCAGCATTTTGACAAGTATACCAGACTACGTTTAACTACCGGTAAACGCCTCCTCATCCTAAATGGTTACAAAAGCCATTATTTCTAGGTCTTTGAGAATTATTGCCAGAATAATGGTATCATTACTCTTTGTATGCCTGCCCACTCGTCACATAGGCTACAGCCTTTAGATGTCAGTTGTTTCAGCCCACTCAAACAAGCTTATGGACGCTCAATTGAGGATCTCATCTGGCGTCATATAACCCATATTTCAAAGGAGGACTTCCTCACAGCGTTTTGTGAAGCACACAATGCTGTAATGACACTAGGAAACATCCAAGCAGGTTTCAGTGCCACTGGCCTTGTTCCTTTTGACCCAGAAAGTGTCATTTCAAAGCTGGATGCTGTCGCTGTTGTACGAACACCGTCACCAGACCCCAATCTGCCAGCCACTACTTAGACTTCCAAGACGCCCATCACCATTAATGAAGCAGTAAACCAATCAGTTTATATCCGAAATCAAGTCAGAAACTACCAGAGAAGCTCACATATATCAATAATTGATGCATTGAGCTCGTTTTCAAAGGCTACATATGGTCTTATACATAAGGTTGCTTTGGTTGATTCCCGGGTCCGCAAGCTAAAGAAGGCCAATCACTTACTAAGTAAATGCTGGAGAACAAAAAATAAACGTCTAATAAAAAGAAGAATATTTTCTATTAAAGATACAATAGGTCTTCAGGCTATAAAGGATGGTACTGAGCTGGCAAGACAGGAAATAGGTGAAGGTAGTCGTCATCCA